GCTTATTACTTTTAATAGATAATTTTAGTAAGAAGAAAGCTATTACTCTTATATATAGACTTTCTACTATAAGCTAGGTCTAAAAACCTACTAGGTATCGAATAAGACTCTAGAAAATTAGTATTATAGACTTATAAACTAACTAATTAAAGATACTCTTAATATAGACTTTAAAAGAGAGAAGAATTAGTTTTTACCTACTATATACTAAGGCTTTAGATATAAGTTTACGACTGTCGTAGACTTATCTATTTAGAAATTAGCTATTCTATAATATTACTTTCTAGAGGCGTTTAAGAGTAAGGTTATTATAGGTTTCGAGCTAGTTAAGTTAGATATATTTTCTTAGTAGTAGAAGAGAGAGAATTCTATTAGCCCTTTACTACTAGAGAAACTTAAGGTAATAAGGTAGTACTAATAGTTAGGCTTTAGCGATAAGATAAATAGATAGATATTTTCTTATTACTATTCTATAGCTTAATAAATTCTAATAGGTAACTTATTCTACTAGGCTATCCGATATTACTTATCTATAGGTAATAACTAGAGGTAACTAGCTATACCTTTCTATATTAGGGACACTATAGACGACGCTAGAGAAGTTTACGCCTTTATTTCGATAAAACTATAGGATCTAATAGATAGTAAAACCGGACTAGTTATAGAGTTTACTTCTTTAGATAATAAAGGGGAAGAGAGCGCTCTAGCCTAGGTTTTAAAGGTCGGGGGAGCCGTAATACTATAGGTTAGAGAGGTATAGAGTCGTAGTAAACTTACTTAGGAGGAGATCTATAAATAAGAAGTCTTACGATTATTAAAATTTAACTTCTTTTATAAAGACTATAAGAGGCTTAGGGTAGTCTAGAAAAAGAAACCTGCGAAATAAGGTAAAGTAAAGTTTTTTTAATAAACTACTCTTATTAGATTCTTAGCTAAGCCTAAGGAATAATATAGGGAAGTCTTCGAGGTTTTTTGAGAAGTAAATTAATATAGTAGATTTATATAAGATAAACCTATAAGTTTTAAGAAAGTAGCCTTCTTATAGAAGGAACTAAAGTCTCTATCTACTATTTCTAACTACTTACTATACGTTTACTATACTACTAGTTATTTTCTAGCTACTATTAAGTTATTACTACCTAGAGCTATTTCTAATACTCTACTTAGAGAGCTTTCTTAGAAAGATACTAGAGTTAAGGGGTAGAAGAAGCTATATCTTAGAAAAGACTTTATAGAATCTAATAAGTACCTAGTTAAGTAGAGAGAGAAAGTAAAGAAAAGGGTTTAAAATAGAATTAAGGCTTTTCGATATAAAGAAGAAAAGAAGTTTAGCGATATATCTTACTACTAAAATCTAGAAGAAGTAAAGAAAGAGATCTTAGGAGCGTATTTTATAGAGTTTACTTCTAGTAGATAGAATTATAGAGAGTCTAACTACTATATTAAGTAGAATAATAGGATTCTACTATTTTCTCTTATAAAAGAAGAGATTACTCTAAAAGTAAAGAATCTTTATAAGAAGATAAAGGTAGTTAGAGAGACTACTAAGAAAGATAAGATACTAGAGAGTAATATAGTTAAAAGAGGTAGTAGAAGTAAGAGTTCTAGAGTTTTTAATAATTCTAACGAGTTAGAGAAGCCCTAGGCGGCCGAGGGCCTACCTTAGACTACTAAGAGATAGGTATAAGAGAATCTAGGTTTTCTTTTAGTTATTTAATTTATATTACGTAGCTAAGTTAGAAGGCGACTTAGTATTTTAAGAGAGAATAGATATAATAGAGTAGACTTATTTCGGGTTATAGTTATTTTGTTTTAAGTTTATATATTAGCTCGTTACTAGATAGCTTTAAAATATTATCTTCTTTACTTATTAAAAACTACCTCTTTTATTATCTTAGTTATTTGTATTTACTATATACTAGATTATATATATTCTCTTGTTTATATTATTATTCTCTATCTTAATATTATCGTTCTTCTTATTATTCTCTATATATATCTAAATAAAGTTAGAGTTATAAATCTACTAAGTAAATATAGCTAATTCTTCTTCTAAAACTCTAATAGCTATACTACTACTAGCTATAATCTCTACTTCTAATCTCTCTACTAAAGAGACTATATAGTCTATAAAGACCTTTTTAATTATATACTCTTTCTTATCTTTATTATTATTATTATTACTATTCTTAATAATAGTACGCTTTTTACTCTATATAATACTAGTTAGTAATACTTTATAGTAATACTCGCAATATTAATATATTTATAAAAGTACTTATATAAGATCTTAGGTTCTTCTTTAACTTCTCTATCTTCTTATCTTTAATAGCTTATAGCTTAATACTTTTCTTATTAATATAAATAGTTATTTTTAAATTAGCGTCCTTATTATTACTACGGCGAGACTCTATAATAGTATTCTCTATAGCTTTAATTATAGTATCTTAATTAGCTTTAGAGAGATTTTTAAAGCTAGGCTTAGATTTCGCGATAGCTTATACGCGAGACTTTACTAAATAATCGGCCTATCTTACTTACTTAATAAACTTAGCGGTTTTTTTATATATTTATTAGTAGCGAGTATTAAAAGAAGATATTTTAAAGGTATTTAGAAAGGTAAGCGTTACTAGTAGGCGTTATAGTTAAAATAATAGAGCTTAATAATAATTATTAAGAAAAACTAATAACTTTATAGAAAGAACCTATATTTTATAAGATTATTAGAAATATCGAGATATTATATTAATATATTATTATATTTTCTATAAATCCTTCTATTATATTATAAATTAGCTATTATTAGAAATTTAAGCGAGAGTTAGAAATTTATAGTATAATAGAATAATTTATAATATAATAAGAGGATTTATAATATAATAGAATAATTTATAAGATAATAAGATAATTTATAATACTATCTTATAATATATAAAGGTCGACCCTCTCTAAGAAAACTAGAGCTCTTTACGCTCGATAGTATTTAATCTATAAGTTACCTATTTAAGAAATAGTAACGTTTAATAGTAATACCTAATAGGTTCTAAAGCTTTAAATCGCTAGAATAGTATATAAAAAGAATTAACTAAAACGAATTCTAAAGGTATAAGTATATTATAATAACTACTATATAAAGGTAGAAAGTAAGTAATTCTTAATAGTAACGTAGAATAGTAATATCTAATATCTCTAAAGCTCGAGTACTTTATAAAATCTAATATTACTAAAAGGCTAAAGGCTACTTTCTCTCTAAACTTACCTTCTAACGTCTAGTTTATAAGATTACTTAGAATATTTATATAAAATCTAATATATAATTCTAAAGTATAGCTATCGAAATACTTTAAGAGATATTAGAATATTACTTAGTAGTATACTTTAAAGATATAATTCTTCTTTCTAACTTAATATATTCTAAAAACTAATATAGTAATAAAATAGTTATAAATATATATATAATTTATATAAAGTATATTACTATTTAGTAAAAAGATATATAATTAGTCTATTAGTTTTATTAGAGTAATTTAGTTACGTAAGAAGTTTAAAAGATATCTTAAATATTATAATTAAATTTATTACTTTTTCTATCTATTAATAAAATATTAAAATAATAACCTCTTTTAATTATAATAGTAATACTAGATAGTAATACTATTAAACTTCTTTTCTTAAGAATTATATAATTTCGCTATAATTCTAATATATAATAACTACTTTTCTATAGGTCTCTATTTAAATATAACTAATAATTCTTCTATATCTATTAACTAATTTTATCTCTTAACTTATCTATCTTTTTATTTCTATATTATACTCTACTATTTTAAGTATTAATTAATTCTTTATTATTACTATTCTCGATCTACGGCTTTATACTATTCTTATTCTCTAGATTATCTACTCTATTACTCTCTTATAATCGAATAAAATTATAGAGCCCTAATAGTACTAGAACTAGGTAGTTTTAGGTATTAATTAAGTACTTTATAATAGTATCTAAAATCTTAAACTTTCTCTTATTTATACTAAATATTCTCTCTACTACGTTTCTTATTATTATATACCTTAAGTTAAAAAGCTTCTACGTATTCTCTAGCTTATAGCTTACTAACTAATTCTCTACTAGGTAATATTATACGCTATAGTAGGGCGCTATTACAAACTTAGAATTAGCGTACTTAGCGTCCCCGAGCTAATATTTATTAAGTAGAGTAATAAATTTATAAGATAATTAAGTGTCCTATAGTACTTAAGTATTATATATAGATCCTTTCTATCTAGCTAAGATATAAATTAAATTTATATTAAAGTTATATACTATAAGAATATTCTAAAAGAAATACTTCTTTCTATTCTAATATAGTTTATAGAACCCTATAAGTATATAAGCTTTAATATAGGTTCTATCGAGAGCTCTAAGGTAATCTTTAAAGTAAGAAAAGAACCTAGAATTATCTCTAATTAAAGAGGTAATTAGAGTATTAAGATTAGGTAATTTAATAAACTACGTATATAGCTTAAGTAGTATATCTAAAATATCGTAAAAAGCTCTATAAATTAATAAGTATTAGCTTTATTACTATTTTATATTAATAATATACTTACTAATTAATTTACTAGAGTATCTAAAGATCTCTACGACGTTACGATTTAAGATAGCTTTAGAGGTAATAAAAATAAAGATTATAATCTTTTCTTTTACTAAGATATATCGTCTTTAATTAATACTACTACCTTCTCTACTACTTAGCGCTATATTAGCTAGAAGCTAGTCTCTTAAAGTAAAGAACGTCGATAATTCTATATATAAGTAATACCTAATCCTTTTAGTATCGCCTAATCCTAATAACTTTTAAATATAGTACTCTCTAATTATTTTAGCTCTTTTACGACTATTTCGGCCGCTTTTATTAATATCTATAAAGATTATTCTAAATATTAAAAGATTGTCTAATAGATTATTAAATAGAGTAAGAGGAAATAAGATAAGATCTATATTATACTAAAATAAGAGAGTTTATTAGTAGAAGTTAGGTTTTTATTATATTTTAATAGGATTCTAATAATTATATAAGTAGTCGAGACCTGTTTTTATAGTTATTAGAATTCTCTTACCTAAATAATAATAATTTAACAATTAATATAGACCTCCTACCTAGGTATACGCTAAAAGTAGTGCCTAGTCCCTATTAAGCGTTTACTAAGTAAGGTCAGTAAAAATTAAGTAGTTTTAGAAATAGCTTTATATTAGGGCCGTAGGGAGACCCTATACTATTCTGACAATTTAACAATTTTGTCAAATTGTCAGTAAGTAAACAGAGCCTTAGTATCACATTGAACATGTATCAGACAGAAGAGGATCAACATACAGCGGCCGATAGTATATCGCGGAGCTACAACCGTGATATTGCCAGGAATGAATCGACCTGCGATAATCAAGCCTTCTGGTGGAGTCTGTCGGTAGCCACCTGTTTGAACAGACGGAAACAAGCGGAGAATTTCGTTGATCACACCATTGAGATGGTCGAGTGACGCCAAGGCTCTTGGGTCATAGATGTCAACTCCGAGAGACTCTGCCCGTAAGAGTTTTGCATGGGCTGGTTCTAGGGCAAGGCAGCGGAACAGGTATATCAGGGCCGAAGCAACTGTGTCACTGTCTGTAGTTAGTACTTGAACATTTGGGGATGAATGAAGTTAGTACCTTCCCGCTACTATCATAGCAACCGAATCTCCATCTAGCAAAAACCTGTCTTGTTGGAGGGAATTGTTGTTTAATGACGCATTAATCAAGGAAGACGATATCTGTTAAGGTCAGTTCCAATGGACTAACATTCCTCTGAACAAACATACATCTTGTCTTTCAACTTTGGTCTAAGAACAACGTGTCAGTTAAACGTGCTAACAGGAGCTGGACCTATTTCCTGCTTACCTTGATTCGTTCGGTCATACGATCAGAGCACCATTTGATCATGGTATGCCAGTCTCGCACAACTGGAATTATGGGGATACTCAAGGCCAGCTGGATCAGCCACGGCACAGAGCTAAACGGGCCTAGAAGAGTGAGAGCTCGACGCAACATCAGAACGGCATAATGCCAGTTCTCATCTTCAAGCATCTTGAATGATCTCGCAAATGCAAAATCGCCCATGACATCAAAGGTAAGGAAGTAGAACCATTCAGATACGTTGACAGGTTGGCCAGTAGTCGATGCTATATGTCTCTCAAGTGCCTCACCATATGTATTGATCCTGTTCTCGTAGTCGGTTAAGGCTGTTGGAGAACGGTTAGACTTCAGGAGATCCTTTACATGCGGAGCTAGCACTACTGACCTTTCTTGGTAAAGCCTTGGTTCCATATTCGGCGACGTTGATCATGATGTACCTTGTCTCGAGTTGTGTTCAACGCAGTTAATGGAATCAATATGTCATACCAGACGGCTTTCGTGCAGTTATTGTTTGGACCGTCCGCAACTTTGACGACTTCAGGCGAGAATATAGTGATTTCAGTCGGACCTAATGAGTTGAAACTCAATCAGCATGAAATAGGTCTCCAATCTATTGAATGAACGTACCAGTGCGTACGAACGTTCCGTATTTTCATGTAACTTGTCAAGGAACAGGTGGTTGTGAGAATCTCGAACATGAAATAGGTGCCAGAGCTTGCTCGCTCCTGCCAAATAGGGTCCAGGGAAGCCCCGAATGCGATGAAACAGCTTGCGGTAGGTAATAATGCTGCTTAGGAGGGAAGCAACATAAACTCCTGAGACTACGGCTGCCACTTTAGACCCCCCATAAATTCCCAAGTACTTAATCCCAAGGAAGAAAACAGCAAGAAGCAGAACAAAGTATACCCTAGCAATGATAGGTGCTGCTATGTGGTGTTCTCCTCGGATGAAGAAGCCAAGATGAGAGGTCACCCCAGCCATTGCAGTAGTGGCAAGAAGGCCGTGATAGGAGAAGCCCCCATTGAGGGAAGAATTGAGTAATAGCATCTTAATGAAAGGATGCTTCGTCGACGTGAGCGATAGTCATATGGAATAATAATTTGGAACAGAGCTCATATACAAGAAATGGCGGTGCAAAAGACCAGGTAGTCCGCATCCTCGGTAGTACAATGACAGCGCTATTTCGGCGCAGTACTAGAAGGAGATACTTTTAGGGCGTCAAAGTCAAGTGGTAACTGACAATCATCATCCTAGACCTCTCCAGTCCCAGGATGTAGGATGTATGCCTTAATCCTGTATTAATGATTATTGATTATGAGTATGAATTTCTTGGTATTGTTGGTGTTGTTGGTCAATAGCAGTCAGCCACCAATCTGATTGCAGATTCTTCGCCGGTGAGCAAAAACGCCACCAACGGGCCTACATATTTTCACGGAACGGCAGGTGAGACACAGCAGATACGTGCTTGGAATTACCTGCAGGAATTAGCATTTGACAAACTAGGCAGTCGATGCGGTTGTCAATTCTTGTCTCAATGCAGTGACTTGCAGGTGGACTAGAGGCATTCCTGCATAGCAGATACACGCCGCTGCGGCATAGGCAGGCTATTCGGGGTGATCTACTCGATGTTCACAACTTCACAAACCCCCTTTAACTGAGAAGTTTCTACCGAAGAAGCTGCAGAATGACACGCCCAGAATACTTACTACCCGAGTAGAGGAGTCAGATCAATTTGAGATTGCTCTCAAAGCTAAACTTCTCCATATTGTGGTTGAAATTGTTCTTTTCTTTGAACGCTTACACCTTAATGTCTGAAGAGGTACGCTGTTGAACAGATAATCTTTTACTTTTCGAAAATCTAGGCTAACGTGATCTTATTAGCTTAAAATGTGTGCAGTGCACAAAAAGCCACTGCCATACCACATTTATACCATTTGGCTTTTCACACGCAGCGACTTGAAGACGATCGTTGGCCCAAGCACACTGTTTGCATTGGTTGGCCTTCTCTCTGGTCCGATTCTGACCACTAATCCATCGCCTTTACTATTTGAAACTGCGAAACGCCTACCGAGGGCTCTGGCCTGGATATGGATCAATCTCTTACCATTCAACATCGACAACCAGCGCCAGCCAAACAGTATCGCAGAAGATCTTAAGAACAAGGCATGGAGACCATTACGATCGAGGAGACTGAGTCCGGAGCAAGCAACACGTCTTATGTTGGCCCTTTATCTGCTTGCGTTCCTATCAAGCCTAGCACTAGGAGGCGTTTGGCAATGCATCGGACTCATGGCCCTCGGATACTGGTACAACGACCTGCATGGAGGTGACAGGCTATATATTCGGAACTTCATCAATGCCTGCGGATACATTGTTTCACCTCCGGCGCCTTGCTTGTTGGATCAAACGGCACTACCACTTCCATCAGATCTGAAGCATATCAATGGTTCTTGATATTAGCTTCCACCATCTTTACTACCATTCAGACACAAGATATACATGATCAAGCAGGTGATAGTCTTTTTAACCGGGCTACTGTTCCTCTAGTGATAGGAGACTCGGTCACTCGATGGACTTTGATTATACCGCTTCTCTTTTGGTCTTTCGTCTGTCCCGCATTTTGGCAGCTCGGGTTTGAAGGCTTATTTATCCCATTAGCCTTGTCGATAATTATGTTTTTAAGATACTTAATAAAGAGATCGGCCGAAGAAGACAAAATAACGTTCTACATCTACAACGTATGGCTTGTTAGTTTGTTTGTTTTACCGTTAGTTTCAAGACTTAGAAAAGAATTTAATATATAAGTATATACTTATTAATAGATTTTAGATAGAATTAACGCCAAAGTTTATAGATAAGAGTATAGATGTCGGAATCCCATTCACTTCATTGGCTAGACCTGTAAGCTAGTCCTAATTAGGTAGTCACGTGGTGCAACACCCTGAGTCCTGAGCTAGCCAGGCTTAGGACTCCTTCCTTAATTATCACGAATATACCCAATATTGTACCCGCATATCACGACGAATTACCGTGCCGTGTACGCAATAAGACCTTATTTCTAATAAACCGATACTGATTAGTCTATACTTATAGATTAGAGGAGAAAGAATTCGCAGAGTACTACCGCGTGGCAGTTGTGTGTTTAGACTTCAGATTATCTTGATATACCACCGCGTGGGCATCAAGTTATCTAGTCGAAGGGGGAGAAGATTAACAGCTTCTTTGCCAAGAATAGGAATAGAACATACCACCGCGTGGGAGTTCTGTCCTAGAGGAATTTGCATGCCACCGCGTGGAAGCAGATAACTCGACCACCTTGTCAGAATCGACACCAGGAACGAGCCATTCTAACGATAATCGACTCCACGACCTAGGAGCCTCAGAACTAGCTATTCTACGACCGCAACTCTTCTGCCAAAGAGCGACAATTACGACCTTCAAAACACCTCAATTGAAGCTAGTCAAAACCACCCCAAGAGCTCTCGGAACCTCTACAGCTCTTTCACGAATTTGACGATTTTTTCACGACTTCCGCCATATCGCCATTTTCGCAATATCCAATTGTGCGTAAAAAGAACCTGTTCAATTCACTCAATTGCGCAATTTAATCCAGGTTAATTTAAACCTTAATTGACTTACTCTATATGTCTCAAAAATGGAAGAAGAAATCGAGTACCGCCGCCAGGTCGAGTAACTTAGATTATAGTCTATCGAGTACGATAAAAGGGCAGCTTACATCGCATATATTGCTAGCTTCTAATCTTTCAAAGGCAAAATATGGAACGAGCTTTTAGAAGTCTTCCGTGAAGTAGCCGAACTCGTAGATAGAAAGAGAATTGAGATAAAGTTGATTAAGTTGAATTGGATTACAGCGAAGCGCCAAAGAGAACTCTAGAACCAGGATCTGCCAGAGCCTCAAGATACTTAAGAACTTCTAAAGCTTTAATCGGAAGAGATCTAGACTACCCAGATTAACAACGTCAAGGATCTGCCAAAGTCTCAAGCTTTAGTAGATACTCAAGATCTGGTGGAGCCTCAAAAGGATCTGCTAGAGCTTCATCAAAAGCTTCAACCGGAAGAGATCCAGATCCAGACTTAACCTCAGGATCTGCCAAAGTCTCAAGCTTTAGCAGATACTCAAGATCCGCCAGAGGTTCAGGTTATTAATCAAGATCTGCCACAGCCTCAAGATCTTCGGGAACCGAAAGAGAGTCAAGTTTACGATAACCAGGAACTTCAATCCCAGGATCTGTCAAAGCCTCAGGGTTTGGCAGATACTCAAGATCTAGTAGAGCCTCAAAAGGATCTACTAGAGCTTCCTCAATTCAAGGATCTACCACAGCCTCAGGGTTTGGCAGATCCTCAAGATCTTATTCAGGAACCGAAAGAGAGTCAAGTTCACGATAACCAATCTAAGGATCTGGTAGAGACTCAAGATCTGCCAGATAAGTAGGATCTACGGCTTTAGGACGACAGTATTACGAACTCTCACGACGGTCATTGCCACAGTATCTTAGGACAAGAGGGAACAGTATCTCCCACCCAAGTAGCCACCGGTTCAGCTGCTCGGGTAGGAGATGCTGTGATTGAGTAATGTAGTACCCAGGGAAAGCAATGCGAAGCCGTAACTGAGAAATACGAGGTAATTGGATGATTTAGACGATTTAAGCGTTTTAGACAAATTTTGTCAGCTACAAGCTCGAAAAGATCTAGAAGGTGGTGAAGTTGGGCGACGAGGACTCCCTCGCGATTGCGACACGGTCTGCTCGACGGGAAGGTTTTCGGGGAGAGGCATGAAGACTTCTTATACAAAGAATGGGGTTGGGATCTGTCTCGCAGAGACTTGGTTGAGTCAGGCACCGTACTAAACATACGAATTAAGCTTATCGTTTTCTATATATTGAACTATCCAAACTGATGCCCGTGGTAGACTTCAGTCCTAGCTGGAGTAATCAGATTCAAGGAGCTCAAAGCGCAGCAGTGGTAGATTTGGACGGAGAATATAAAAGGGACACCAAGGTTCGTGGTTCGAGGGCTTTGTTGAATATTTATTACCCGTTTGTCATGGTTGCGCTCAGCTTGAAGCCGGTTCGCACCTAGAAACCCCTTTGAAAGCCCTTTATTCTCGTTATTTGAAAAAAAAAAACCAAAAAAACACATAGGTCATCTTGTTAGTATAAAAGACTGTAAATAACGGGTTGAAGGATTTCTCATAACTCCGTTTGCTCTTGTGCACCATTAGCCCAGCACCAAGCTTTTCTTGGATCCTTTAGTAATTGTTCTATCATAGCTTTGTTGCCCCCCTTCTTCTCCCACATCAGCCAAGCTCGCAACGCCTTTTCAGCAAAATGCTTAGTATTAGCTTCATCTTCCCAAATGCAATATCTTAGTGCCGCAAAAATGTATGCTTCTGCTAGTGGCGAATGAAGCCCTTCAACTCGATAAAAGTCAATAAGACGGAGCGCCAACTGAGGGGTGGCTGTTGATCCACGGTTGGGAGTAAAGTCGAGGAGTGATGTTCTAAGTGCCGAAATGGCAGCAACTCGCAGATCCGACATCTCACGAAGGGGTGGGGGAAGGATGCAGTGGTTGCATGAACATTTGAAGCCCCAATGGGCATGAATGTACGATTGCCGGGTAGAGTAAGGTTGCTTCTCATCCAAGTCTTAGGTATTGTCAATGGTAGGGAAAATCAACGACTCGACAATGGTACTTACACGAAATAGTAAGTTCTTCTCCAGGGAAGATGGTGCGTATAGCATGCACCTTGTGAGTGAGTGTGTAAGGATCGAAAGCAAAGCGTGCACTATGATCATATCAACAAATGACCCATGAGTGAAAGAAAGGGCAATCCTACTTTGGCCTACAGTCATGGTTCAAGCGCTAATGGCTTTCTTTAGTGTCTTGTCTGATACTTCAACCCACCTTGCACTTACAGCAGCCTCGGGAACCACAACTGCAAACTTTTTCCCTTCACTTCCAAACCCAACGCCAAATGCGTTAGTTATGATTCGATCTTCGACCTCATCTCCCCCCCAATGACCGGCAAGTGCTTGAAACAAATCTTTCGCTTCTCTTGGTAAATTATCGATTGCCTTTCTTTGAAGAGCCAGCCTCTCATCAGTTACCGCAGTATCAAAAGATGATTCGTCAAGGATTAACACTGGTCGTGCTACCATGATCAGGTCGCCTCGGTGAAATGTATGATTGGAAACGAGCCCTTGTCCCCGCCCAGGCAAGGCTGCTTCGTAAAAGTGCGATGGGTCTGTTGGAAGCGGATAGGTTCGCTGGGCTAATTGGTTCATTGCATACACATCAAGTATACTTTGTATATCTTCAGGGGAAGCTACCACTGACATCCCACGGTCCGAGGCAAATGTGGAAAGGGTGTAAAGACAGTATTGGGTCTTGCTATTGAAATCTTGGATGCAGTTAGAAGTAGAGGCGTCTTGAGAAGATGATTCCGGTCTTGTCATTTTGACACTCTCGCGTGGATGTCGTTGTGGCGCATTCCCAGCGTGGGAATCTACTGCATTTACCAAGGTATCGACAACCGTAACCCTCTCGTTGGCACACATATAATCCGGATTCGTCGTTCTAGACAATAATTGCCCCTGAGATGCCAGGTCGAGAGCCAAAACGTCGGCCCTAGAAACAGGGAGGGCTAACCCCAAGAGCGATATAAGAAGTAGAGGTGAAGAAAACATAGTTTGTCAACGATAAGTATATTAGAAAACAGCTCGCAGAAGTTGTCGATCGTTTAAACTCCATATGATGTTCGGTCAAAGGGTCCACAACGCACGGATGTGAGAATGGTCAAACGACTACGAAACGAAGCCCAAAACACATTGCGTCAAGATCTGTGCCTCCATGTATAGCGTACACGGCCGTCTTTACGGAAGACTCGAGTAGTGCTGTCTGGAGTCATTAGCTGGAAAGAAGAAGGATAGAGGATGGCAGTATTCTGCGACGAATAACAAGATGGGCATATGGAATACCTCTTGGTGGGCAAAATAGGTGGCATTCAATGCATAATTTTCATTTTGATCGGTTTGATTGAGTATCGTACATTTCGTCGTTTGTTCAATAAGTGATGCGTTTGTCGACTTATATTCGACTGATGGAATAACTAGTCAGGAGGGTCTACCATTTATGTTGTCCTCTCCTTACGAGAACACGATTCCTTTAAGCTACAACACTTGGCGACCCAGACGTCGAGGGGGTTGAAAAAAGACTCTTCTACTCTTATTGCACTCAATATATTACCGAAAGGTCTCCAATTTATACTTACATGACCAGCGGGGGTTTCCTTAGTTGGATTTCTTGATTGCCGTTGTGGGAAGATGGTCATCTCCAAAAAGGCCTAAAAGGTATGATGTTCTGACCGAGAAGAGAAAGGCCTGCTCCAAGAATTAGTGACTGAAGGAAGACATTCATCGCTGATAGATATTACAGTTACACCAATGTTTCCCCAAGCCATTGCATTCCAGTTTGCAATGTCGGTGAGGCTCTCGTAGTCCATAACCCAGCACGTCACAGCAACGTGCCCAACATCAGCAATCAGCAGGGCTATCACATAATTCCGCACAACCCGCGGCTCAGTAGTGGTGTAGAGGACGGCGATGCCCACCATAGCCAGAAGCAGGTAGATGTTTCCCAATTGAAGAGCAACCATGCGGGAATTCGCGCTCAGTGGTTCAAGCGCCGACAGAGGCAGCTGTTTGGCAACGAACCAGTCCGTGGAAAGAAATGGAGCAACAGCTCCCGCAAGTCTGTTGAAAAGCACATACATTAGCGATGGCGCCTTCTACCGTGGCCGAAAGTATTGGAGGAGGTCGCTAACAAGGAGAGTGGTTCAAAGATGGTGAGAACAAATCGCGGGACGGTTGGCAGGATAGAGGCCATTTTGAGGTCCGGTATAAAAACCGCAATCTGAATCTGGTAGTTTGTAATCTTAGATCAACTCAAGATGGCGTTGAGAACTCGAAAGAATCATGGAACTCGAGCTTGAGCAAATACAGCTCAGCTGACCTGCACGACCGGACAATGTTCGGGCCAGGCGAGATCCGGCGACCATCATTCTGGCCTGCACTCCCGCACTTATTTTTACTCAACATAACCGTTGACACCATCTCTGCTCAGAAGACCGTTGGCCCCTTCCCTCCTCGAATCGAATACTAGTTTCCCACCAAATGTTCACAACTCTCCAAACCGAGAGATCGCCGAAAGCACACCCACGATCGCATCGAGCACCGGCAGGTACAGAGCTTCCTGCTCCCTCCCTGCCATGATGAGACGTTTATTGTCACTTGAAATTGCGACGTGAGAGTGCCGACGGAAAACCGCATAGCATGTTTACGACTATCGAGCCTCGCTTGATTGCACTTCTGAATGACGAACCCCTGGGATGTCCCCCCTCTTCTCTCGAGCTTCCACCGCTGCAAGACCCTAATATCCTGAAAGCTTCTGGTCGACCGTTATTACTTGAGCCTGGTACCAGCACGCGGAATGTTAGTCCCGCCTCAACTTGCAATACCCAGCGTACATCTCGGACCATTGAACCGGATATCGTACGAGATGAGACAGGAAAGGATTCAGAACGGTGCACCAGCAGTGAGCGAACCCTTGGTGTTACATCCCCTCAATCGCTGCGAAAGATACTTAGTGAAGATGTTGGCACCACCATCACGTCGACATCTAAAAAGCGATCCCTTGTTGAAGCAAGTAAGGATGACTTCGTGCAACTCCCCCAACCTCCTAAAAAGCAGAGAGCTACCAAGCAGGTAGTTCCCCCTATCATTATCGGCCTTTTTGAGCCTCCTCCTCAAGCTACTCTGTTTCCTCCTATCGCATCGAGCTCTTTTCACGACAGTCACGGTCGGAACACATTGAATACGGTGTCCTTGCCTGTTAATGGCGTGGAGCAAGTGCCGAAACCTGTGGTACCCGCTGATTTGGAAGGACTCCCGGCTGAGAACAAAGCGCCCAAGAAGAAAAAAGAGCCGCGGACCAGGAAGAGATGGACAGACGAGGAAACAAACAATCTGTTGCTTGGAGTGAAAAAGCATGGTCTTGGGTGCTGGACTGATATACTTGAGGACCCGGCCTTCTCTTTCAATAGAAGGTCTGCAGCAGACTTGAAGGATCGCTTTCGCACGTGTTGTCCAAAAGAGTTGCGAGGAGAAACCACCAATGGAAACCCGCTTTCGGCAGTAACGGAAGATCTTGGGCTGAGCGCGAAACCTCTTCGCTCAAAGTCAAGCTTGTTATCTGAAAATATTCTGATCGATGATGAAGAACTGCAGAATAACCTGAAAACGAACGAATCTAGCGCCGCTAGACCGAAAAAGACTCGCACACATAGAAAAAAATTAGAAGACCTTGCTCAGCTTGGAATTGAAGGGCCCTTTCGCAAGTCCAACAGGCGTGAAAGAAGAGCGTTCTCTGCGGAAGAGGATCGTAATATTCTTTTAGGATATCAATTACATGGCCCTGCGTGGACCAAGATCCAGCGCGATCCTCAATTCAATCTGATTACCCGGCAGCCTACAGATCTGCGAGATCGTTTTCGCAACAAATATCCGGAGAGGTTCCGCTCAGAAGATAAATCAGAACCAACTGGCAAGTTAAAGCACAGTTTTAAACCCAGTTGTGCGCGGGCGAGCATTGAAGTTAATCCGAAATCTACGGTCATAGTAGAGTCAAATTTCAACAATAGCGCTTCGCAGATGTCTCTGCCATCTCCTGTTAGAAGTAGGACGGTAGATAAGTCCAGAGATCATTATGGTAAAGAAAATGACGATACTATACCATCTCACACCCTGTCAAACCTCCCAACATCTGGCCGAGAGGGTCTACGCATTCAACAGATCATCTCGCAAGATAGTGGTCCATCATCACAATCCTCTACTGCGTTCAAAGACAATATCGCAGCTTTCGCGGAGGCCACCGCTACAGAGCAAGGGGAGGTGTTACCTTTCACCCAGTCTTTTGATTGGAATGCTTCAATGGCAGCCCCCTTTAATACAAACATGGGAGAGATGGATATCTCTCGACTGTTGCTCGATGAGTCGTGGATTGATCATCCGCTGCCATGTTCAAAGGATAGACAAAACATGTCGGACATCGATAAAGCCTCAATGGCAGCAAACGCCGACGGACTGCCCAATTCCTCATTTTCATACCTACTTGGCGAGTCAGAAGAATCGGCACCATTGGAGCAGACAGTGGTTCACGAATCTTTCTGATCGTGTTTACGGCTCTTCACTGACTGGTAATACAATCCGGTCCACTCGTCTATGGGGTGCTTTGTCCAGACAGTCCGGTTGAATATATGATAAGCGCCTGGGGCCACCTTTGATTTTCACCTAGTTTCCTTGGCTAGAAAATATGCGTAATTGGATAATTATGAGCAGGTCGCTCCCTTGAATGAGGCTGCCGCCTGTTTAGCCTTTTTGCATATTTGATATCGCATCGGTCCATCGGACATACAACCCCTCGTGAACCAGACGCCGTTACCAAGTATCAGGCTCCATGTAAATAGGGGGGTAAGTTCAGCCAGAGCGAAAACGCGTGGACTCTTAGTGCTACCAAGTTCTCAGTCGTTCTACCTAGAAACAAGTCCTAGCTGTCAGCTGAATTCATCGGAATCCAGGCAAAAGGCGTTCTGCTGTCTTTCCATCTCAAATCATCTCTAGGGTGGGGGCACGCTCAATTTGAACACAGGGTGGTCGAGAAAATGTGGCGATTACTCTATCGTTCCCCTCTAGAATACAACATTATGTCAACAACATCATGTCATAGGGTTAGACGGAAAGGAACTAATGGTCGCTCCTTTACGATGTTTCGTCAGTCTGACCAAAATGATAACAAAATATATCTTCTAGTGCTAATGGTGCTCTACCGTCACACTCCACAAAGGTGGTAGATCTTTGATGATAAATGCGCTTGTTCACTTGTTTAATGCTGCCTAGCTAGCTTTGTTCTATGTTCCATATACATGATTGGATTCGATTGCCCTGTGTCAATATCTGGGCACGTGAGTTGAATCAATTAAGCATCCATTTATAACTAGACGGGGCCATCAAGAGGTATGAGCGTGAAGGTGTCATTTGGCGCTGGAAGGAATACAAAAGTAAACTTGACCTTACCATAGATCCCTCTGATTTGTTGTAAGGCTGAACGGACTGTCATAGTTGTGTTCGCCGCGAGACGTCATATTATAATAATGTTACACTGAGTTCCCATAGCCAATATCTGGAGACAAGAAAGGCCGCCCATAGCTTTCCTCATCCTTCGAACGACATGATTAAGGGGCTGTTTAGAATTGGATTTAGTGGACTAGAAACGGAGCTGTATCGCAAATACATCGCTTGCTAGTGAAGTTTCTGCATTGATCGCGCCTGAAAGAAAGTACAGTGTTCCTTTAGTTGGAATGATTTTCCTCATTGTCATTAGGTTCGAAGTTAAGCTACAAATCCAGATTAGTTTCATATCATGTAAAAGTTATGTCAGCACATACCGCGTTGCCATTGTAAAATTGTTGGTCCTCCCTGGGTTGCTGATCTCGTAAAGTTCTAATATTGACCCTTCCTGGCCGAGGTATTGTGGCGGATGCTAGAGTTTCAGCAGTCGCCTCCGGCGGTTCGTTAGATGGCGTAGAGCCCAGAACACCACCGACGGTGCCTGCAACCCAACTAAGACTCCCAGCAAGAAGGCCATAGCCTGCAGAGGCTCCTCTGTAAACTAGTCCCATGGGACCGCCTTCATACGCCGAGGTAAACTCCTTTATTGGTACCAAAATCAATGTAGCTGAAGGTGTCAGTCCTAATGATTGCAGATCCTGCTCTTCCTCGGACAAGGAAATGTCCCTGTTGGGCAAAGGTGTAAGAATCAGCTTGAAATTATAGGGAAAGTCGAGCTCCTGCTTCGAGTCAACCCAAGGTCTAACATGAGCTCGTAGTGAACTCCCTGACGGAAACCGTTCTCTGATACTTGAGCCATCGAAAAGTCGCACCTGCACCGCACATTCAGCATGCAGCTGCTTCTGGGCGATCGGTCCGGAGGACGATTTACCAGCTGCTTGACTGCTGACAGCTTCTCTTACTCTTGCTTGAGCTCTCAGCTCCGCTTCTCTCTTTCTGGCTGTCTTATCGGCTTCGACGCGAGCTAAGATGCGATCCCTTTCTGCCCGCGCGTCTTTTTGCTCCTTTTTGCGTTGCAGGGCATACTTCGTGTCTGCTACCTTATTTGCACTCGATTCTGGGGCAAGCTTAGATGTGATAGGTAGCTCTTTACTTTTACCCTTACCGGATGAAGCTGGCTTTTGCTCTTTCCGTTCTCCTGAGGATTTGGGCTTTGCTTGAGGCTGGGACGAGGGTTGAGTTGTGAAAGCAGATGTTGAAGGTTGATCAACGACCGGGGCTGCAGCCGGTATACTATCAACAGCACCAGGTAGTGGACCTCTTAAGGCCGCTGCTATTCTGGAAGGAGTCTCAGGAACGGATGACTGGAAAGCAACTCCAACCCGCCTGAGAAAATCTTCTTTAGAGGTCCCTGAGGCCAGATACTCTTTAAGTTCTCCATTTCTAGATGGGTTTTAGTACTATTAAACGAGCTATAGAGCCCAGTACAGGCAAGGAGATCAATAGCTGTCGCTTACTTGATAATGACTAGTGTGGGTGTCTTCGGTATAGGAAAGATTGCAGCAAGATATAAAGCTTCCTGCGATCCAGCGATAAGTCGGAGAAGTACCGTTTGACTCGACAATAACGATTTGACCTAAAATGTGGTTGGTTGGTTCCTGTTCCATTTACTAATGAAACTCCCGCTCCACTTACAATGGAATCTTTCAAAAACACTTCCTCCCACAAACTGCTTTCCTGCTCTTCGTCTGGAAAGTTGCGCATCAGTGACGCTCGCCTTCTAGGACACCACCGCTGATATGAATGGAGCTATGGATGAATGTATGTGTATGGCCTACCGGTGACAAAACATGCTACCATTTTGGATTGGGCCATGGCCTGCGCAATTCCGCTTTGCAAATCCCCGTTGAAGAACATGATGGTGACTGCGATGGTGCTAGCCTTTGTTAACCCGGTGAAGTACGAGGATGGAAGGTCTAAATCGTGCAGTATGAACAGCAGACTGGTCTGACGGGAGCACAGGTACAGTGGTCCCCAGCACCGAGTATGCCACCCAAGCCCAGTCAGTTCCTGCAGAGCCGCGGTTTAGCCGGATCCTGACAATCTGCTTGACATTTTATACATCTGTTTCATCGAGCCGCCCACGCTCCGAACATGAATTCATTGCAATCTGTGCTCCGACCATTTTGCAGCCTCTCTCGAGGCTCAACACCATTGCGAAAGCTACGACCTTCACGCTTATCGAAATGCGCAGAATGCCGGCACTTATCAAGAAGCTCCCGGCGGGCAACGCCCGCTCCTGCTGATGACCCCAATTTCATGTCAATCGTCGACAATCCCCCAGATCTGGTCCGGGCAGGAAAGAGACACGGGCCGGGGCTCATTATTCTTGGTGGGCAAAGCTGTCAGCTTAGAATCTGGCCCACGTACTGACCAAGAATCCTAGCGTTGATTCCCCTCACAGCGTTTGGACTCGGGACGTGGCAGGTCCAGCGCCTAGACTGGAAGTCGAAATTAATAGCGAAGTTCGAAGACCGTCTTGTTCGAGAGCCGTTGCCACTACCCCCCCACATCGACCCTCAAGCGATCAGCGAGTTTGATTACCGGAGAATATATGCCACAGGGAGATTCAGACATGACCAGGAGATGCTAATTGGCCCTCGAATGCATGATGGGAAGGATGGCTATCTAGTTATAACTCCCTTGGAACGAGGTGGCAAGGGAACCACGGTGCTTGTGAATAGAGGGTGGATTCCGAAGAAGTTTAAAAAGCAGGAAAGCCGGCCTGACGGATTGCCACAGGATGTGGTCACGGTTGAAGGACTTCTAAGAGAACCTTGGAAGAAAAACATGTTCACACCCGAAAACAGCCCAGAAACGAAAGAATTTTATTTTCCAGATGTTGCGCAAATGGCCAAATTAACTTGCAGTCAAGCTGTATGGGTGGAGGAAACTATGGGTTCGTTCGTACACAGTTTTCACAGAAACTTGCTAAACTAACGATAGATGCGGATTTACTAAAGGCTTGGGACAGGGAGGCTCGTGGGATACCTATTGGTAGGCCGGCAGAGGTTAATCTGAGGAACAATCATGCACAGTATATTTTCACATGGTGAGTAGCTACCCACTCGTCTCTTTTTAATCTTTCTTACAAGTAGCTTAGGTATGCTTTGGCGGCGGCAACGTCCGTGATGCTATGGATGGTGGTTAAGAAACCTCCGGCAGACATTTCGCGTCGAGTGCGTCAGAATAAAGACTGGTCGTAGTAGATTAAAGTGTAAAATGTAATGATGTATCAACACTAACTTAATTATAATAAATCGCCTGCTAGGCTGTGTCCATCCATACGGCAACATCTCTCATCCACCAACTGACGGGGCATCTGGGTTGACTCGGAACATCAACCATATAGGTCAAACGACTCTTTCACAGTGGAATAAGTCGTGGGAACTGCCACATGGCTTTTCTAGTTTCGCGGCGCGTGCTTGTACTTGCGTTCTGGGCCCCCGGGGCCGTTTTGAACCCACCTACATATATAACCAATCTAATGTACGTAAAGTTCACCCCATAAAAGCGTCAGTACAGTACACGCCAATAAACGAACCTGTCAACGATGTCGAGTTAGCCAAGAAGAGGAAGACGAGAGTAGTCTACTTACACCTCGTTTATTGGTAATTTTGCATCAAATCTACTTCCCGGCTGTGTGAGGGAATCCTCTGGTGATAGCTTGGCGAAGCTTGCAGTCCGATAGGGGTTAACTGTTCAGATCCTTTCAGACGATGCGGTGAGACGGCCCTTGTCATGGGTGTCCATTTTACAGAATTGTAAAAAAGGACCGCTGGCTTGCACAGTCTCGCCGAAATATTAGCTTTTATTTAGTGTTGGTTCTTCGATTTGGGTGGAGGGACCATGCGCATTTCTTGAAGAAGCTCTCGTGGCAGGTATTTCTGGGCCAAAGAGAACGGGGTGTTACTAGCGTTGATCTGCCTCTGTCTGTCAACTGTCAGCAAAAGAGGCAGAAGACCTAGAAAGTCTATACAAACCTGGCCATAAGCGTTATAACATCAGTCTCGTCAATCGTCTTCCTCCTTCCGTGTTCAGCGTAAGCCCCCAAGTCGTCACTAACTTGCTCAAAAAACCAATCCGAAGCTTGAATGATCGCATCAAGTGTTTCCTTATTGAGTTTGGTTTTGTTGTTGCCAGCTGTACGTGCGAAAGTCGTTGCCAACTTCTTCACTACACCTGCAGGCAGAGAGGGGTATTCAATTCCGTGTACAGAGACTTTGGCTTGTTTATGCTTCCTCGTCGTGGCAAGCGTTCCTACCAAGCCAGGTGCGCGGGGCACGCTCATGGTTAGACTCATGTCCAAAGGTTGTGTGGGATCATATAGCACCGTGGGAACTGGATGCTCGCTATTGTCGAACTCTTCCCCTTCTTCTCCCTCCATGAGATTCTCTTGATCCAGTTCTAATGGCTCCACGTGTCCCTGGGGATCTTCACTCTGCATGTCCAGAATCATTGAGAGAGGGGTGCTACCTCGGCGGGATGAATTCCTCCGTGGCTCCTCAGAAACGTCTCTTGGTGGTACGATGAACAAGAAATCATTGTCGGTAGCCTCATCGGGTAACGCCAGCGGCCGGACGTCGCTGTCACGACCGATAGATAAAGCGCCTTGAGCGAGACCAAGATCTCTCAAAGTTTGTGTATTGTCTCTGCAGTGTGTCAGTTGAGCAATCATGATAGCTCAGACAAGGCGATGGTACTTACCCTGGAACCCCCATAGAAAACTCCGACATCTCGTAGATATCATCGTCAGCGAGAGGCCCGCCTATCAGGCTAGACTCATCCAGTGCCCCTCCAAGCCCCAACGCACTCACATCTCCAAAGTTGTCGCTCATGCGTACGCTCCCAAAACTCCCCCTCGAAAGCCGTGAAAGAGGCTGTTCACTTCGAGCTCGGCGACCAAACTCAACAGATTGCACAGTGAAGTTTTCGTCTTCTAAGCCGGCTGACTGAGGGGGAAGCAGTAAACTGTCGTCCTCGTCGTCTGCGTCGCCCATAGGCAAGGACAAACGAGGTCTCTGAAGCTCGACTTCATCGTCCAGATCATCATCATCACTCGTAAATCGTTTGTTGGGAGTTTGCCCTGGACCAGTAGGAGTTGGGGCGATGGGCTGTGACCTAGGTGCGAGTAGACGACTAAGTGCTCTCAAGGCATCACGAGGCGTTTCCCTTTGCTGCCGTCCACTCCTTCGCCTTTCTTTCCCTGGGGTTCTTCTTGCCTCCAGCTGTCGCTGAGCAGCTCGTCCATGGGGCGTTACCATCAATGGCTTTCTCGCCGAACCACCACCATATCTGGAAACCCCGGCAGGAGTTCTTGACTGTGCAACGGGAGTTCTACGACGGCCACGACTTGACAAGGGATCAGCGCTTGAAGCACGACGGAGAGGGGTCATCGGTCTCGTAGCATTGGCAAGCCCATGCCAATTTCTGTCCGTAGACGTGGTATATTCGGAAGTCTTCTTGCTGTGATTGGAGTCTCTGGATTGTGTTTTCCCGGCATTGTGGTTGAGATGGAGATCCTTGACAACGGCGCTATCGCGGGAGGTAGACATGACTAAAAGTCTTGCATTAATGTAAGTTTCTACCTCCAAACGTATCGTAGTTGTTGGGTGACGACGAGGCTCTGCCGTTGTTACAGTATTTACATATGTACGTCTTAGCTCCACAGATGTGGCAGACGCGTCCAGCGGGACGCGATCACGCTAAAGCTACCCCACCACTATCCACTTATTCTACACAGGCGGTGTAACTTTGCTGCCGGCAAAAATACAAAAATTCCCCGGCGAAGTGATATTTCCAAGGTGGTTGTTCAACCGACGTCTTCCATTTTGCTGATATTTATTTGCAATGGCTGCTACGTACAGCGCAGAGATTCTAGAATCGCCAGCAGCCCACCCGCTGGAGGCGCCAGCGGTCGATCCGCAACCTGTTTCCAAGAAAAGAAAGCGAGGAACAAAGGTCCAAATTACCACCAAGGATGGTGTCAAGATACCCAAGAGCAAGAAGAGAAAGGCGGACGAAGAGGATGAAATCGACCTTGAACTGGGTATAAACACCTCGTTTGCGCACATGAATAGCCAACTTCTTGCCGATCACATTGCTCAGAAGACGCGGAAATATGAGAGCGACCTGAGTTCCATAGAACTAGAAGACAAATATATTCCAGGTGCGTACCCAAATCCCAAACAATTGATCATCAGAACTGATGTGCGTTCCCATAGAATCATACATCTGCGATACTACCTCCTGGTCCCAGAAAAGGACGCTTGACAACCTACCAGGGTTTCTAGAAAAATTCGCGGGTAATTCAACGAAATTGTGGTCTGCGTCCAAGAAGAACGGGGCTCCTCATACCATAGTCGTTACAGCAGCCGGCCTTAGGGCTGCAGACATTGCTAGGTTAGTGCACGCAGGAAAGCCATGTGTTATCCGTCCTAACGCTGCTAGCAGAGCTCTTCGCAAATTCCAGACAAAAGATGCTAGCGTCGCAAAACTTTTCGCAAAACACATCAAGATACAGGACTCGGTGAAGTTCCTCAAATCAACAAGGACCGGTATCGCAGTTGGGACGCCGACAAGGTTGAAAGATCTGTTGGAAGATGGTATGTCCCTACAATAAACCTTTTATCACATGATCTACCATCTAATGATGATTCAGGCGCATTGATTGTCGATAGGTTAGAAAGAATTGTGGTTGACACCTCTCATATTGATGTGAAGAAGAGAGGGATACTCGACATGAAGGAGACACATGTACCCTTGATGACCTGGCTTGGCCGGAATGAGTTCAAGGAGAGATACACTGCTGAGAAAGATGGGATTCAATTACTGTTCTACTAAGAATAAACCTTTCAACCCGGCCCTATCCCAACACACCCGGAAATGATACTTGCAAACTGAATGCGACGCTGGTGCAACATCCTCATGTAAGAATGAAGGAACGACAAAGACAGCAGCTTCTTTGCGCATGAAAGTATTACTAAATCTGACGCAAATCCGAAAGCCTTGCGCTCTAGAAGGAGCACCGGCTTCCTATCTAAATGAAGAGCTAGAAACCCGATGGCCTCCCTTCATCACGAGATTCTGGGGGGGAGGGACGTGAGGTGTCCCAGACTGCGCAGGTGGCTTCCGGGTTACCAAATGTAATTATTTGGAAGGTACGATCAATGTATTTGTCGCCTCTAGTGTCAGTGTGGCCACCTGGGCAGCGTTTGAAAACACAATTCATCCCTCAACACACTCCTTCGCCAACCCTCGGTTTTTGGTGTCGACGCCTTCTGCGAGGCACTTTGCTTGGTTTTGGAACCCAACACTGTCGCTAGCTTTTGCCATCAAAGTCTTTGCCTTTTCTTTGGCTCCGTCCGGAATCGGCTTGAGTCTCTTACACCGGTAGGCCTCAAAGTCAAGCATTCTCGGCCGTTCACGCTCTATCTCCCGCAACTACGCAACCCTTGGCTGGTTCGACCCATCACTCCTTGATTGAGAGTTGTACCTTTCCAATTAACGACCCACCGTGATACTGGGAGAATGAAATTTTTTGGACTTCTCTTCATCCTTGAAGGATTGTTCAATGTTTTCGGGGAGAACCTTCCATCAGTTCCAGGTATGCTGGTGTCAAACTCTGTTCCAGAATAATCTTCTGACTCGAGTTTAGCGTGCGCTATGAGCTGCTGGGAAAACACAAAATATGTTAGCAGATGTTTCGACGATTTAGCATGTCTCTGCCGCGATGACGGCTATCAAAATGTACGAGAGCGTCATCGTCGCAATACTTGAGCGCTTGCTGACACGCCTTAGTCTGTATTTCAGTGCCTGTACTCCCAATGTGATATTGCTCACTCCAGCTCAGCCCTTCATTACGCTATATCTCAATGTTCTACTTTCGGGTCACAAGTCAATCCGGGAGCACGCCCTATAGCCGCCCACGATTCGCTACGACGTAGGATGGAGGCGGAATATCTGGCAGGGTCCTGGGGAAAACGTCAACAGTCGGGAGCTTCTGCTGTTCCATGGCCCACGGAAAGCGCGAATTTCCCTGTTGAGAGCGCTGCCTTTCTGATTCAGAGCGCCATTTTCCCTACCCAAAGTGCGAATCGAGTCGCCGGAGCAAGTGCAAGTTCATTGCCTGTGTCTCTCGACGTACGGAACATTGCTGGGCTTCCCACCACCATCGTGACGGTTCTGGTAACTCCTACTGGGCATCTAGATCCGTTCGCCTCGACTTCGAAGAATTTTGACGCAGACTCGGGTACAGCTAGGGGGTTAGCTTGAATTTCCTATCCACGTTAGTCGCTATGGATTTCACGCTCTGAGCCAAAAGGAATGGTAGCATTCAGCCACAATCTCTTAGCGCGAAGTCACCAAGTTTGTGTTTGATGCAGGTGGGCTTTGGCTTAGATAATCAAACTTGGATAGAGGTTTGATGTTACATACTCATAGTTGCACATACCGGGTCAGTTGTTAGCAATATCAATATTAAGACGATTTCCGATCATCCTGTACGCCATGCCTTGTAGAAGCTTAATTTGGGACAAGATACGTTTCGCATGGCAAAGGTTGCTTTATCTCTGATTACTTTGAGCTTCTTAAGTTATTGCGACTTGGTCACATCCAACTGGACATAACATGAATTGAGCCACATTCATCGACCTACCTAAGCTAGCTCGGCTAGGTACCTGGGTAGTCGGGCTGGTCTCATAATGTCTGCTCTACACCGCTTTAGAGTTGTACCACAATATGCCCCACCAAAGGGTTCAATTATGGGCAGAAAAAAAGTTGGAAATATCTCAATAGAACATTTTCTAGATCTTTACTATTTTCACAGAAGCGGATCTCCACCTCCAACAACGATAACGGATTGATCATGGCGCCGGCAAAACACCATCAAGATGCCACTCGCGCTGAGCGTAAAGCGAAGAAGCGCAAACTTCAAGATGCGATTCCTGATTTACCGGAAGAAAAAGACCAAGATTCACTAGACAACGTCGGGACAGGGGAATTGATGGACAAGAAGGTGAAGAAGAGGAAGCGGGATTTGGCGGCTGATACGGGCACTACAGATGGTACGGAGGGTGAGGAGGATAAGAGGGCTCGAAAGAAAGAGAAGCGCAAGAAGAAATCGCAAGAGGTAGATGAGCCGATTCAGGAAGAAAATCCCGTTGAGAGTGTCACCGATGAAGCGCCTAGGAAATCCAAGAAAGAGAGAAAGGCGGAGAGGAAAGCCAAAGAAGCCGCAGAGGCCCTCAAGACAGCCGCAGATCCTGAGGCGACTAGTAAAGACCACCCTAATGCTGAAGAGAATACCGTGAAAACAGACACTGCGGCGAAAAAGAACAATCGCAACCGTGAAAAGCAAAGGAAAAGCGCAAACAAGACGCCTCTCAATGGCGAGGAGGAGAAACCGAAGACGCCAGCCAAATTCATAGTTTTCATCGGTACGTACACATTGCTATGAAGACGTCTTTCATACTAACATTTACCAGGTAATCTTCCATTTTCTGCAACCAAAGCGTCAATAACCTCCCACTTTGCGAGCGTAAAACCCAAGTCCGTCCGCGCATTGACACAAAAGGACGATCCTACAAAATCCAAAGGCTGCGCATTCGTGGAGTTCGAGGGATATGATCACATGAAGACTTGTTTGAAGTTGTTTCATCATAGTGTATTCGATGATGGGATTAGTCCTGCGAGGAAGATTAATGTGGAATTAACGTAAGTACATTTTTTATTGGCGATGAAAGGCTCCCGTGCTAACGAATGCGTCGCGAATAGTGCAGGCGGGGGTGGTAATACGAAAGATAGACGCAACAAGATTCAGGACAAGAATACTAAACTTAATGAGGAGAGGGTTAGGAGGTTACAAGAAGAAGAGAAGGCGAAGTGGGAAAAGAGGGCAAATCAGCCGGCTCAGCCATTGGATGAAAATGGAATACATCCAAGTAGGAGAGGGATTGTACCAAAAGGCTAGTGCGGATATTGTTGAATTGATACCCGAAATTCATGACCATGGAATTCATCATCCACATCTCTCAGAGTCTATAGATAAAAGGTGCGTCAAGCAAGGAAGGTCTGTGACCACCCAAGTATCGGAGCTTTTTGTATTCTCTGAAGTCCACGACACTGTTTACATCTCGCAAACGATCATCTTCACGTGCAAAACGCGCGGATATAATATGTAATATTCTTCAAACGTTTCAATTTCCGTACGCCTTTAAAAAGAAATCGAAATGCTATGCAGACAACAGTCGTTCCTCATTACCTTCTCCTGTGCATATTATCTACAGGCTTTGAATATCTTCTGGACGCAAATCTTTGAAGCCTCCTCATAAGCTAGCCAAAAATAGCATCGACAGACATCTCATCAGTGTGGGAGAAGATATCAGTGCCCGGTATGCACTAAATCGCCCGCTCAAAATGTCACCGTGCCGTAGAGCTGGGGGGTCTCTATGTCTAGGATAATCCCTAGGTTGGCAGGTCGTCTGTTCTCAAATCATCCTCCAACGAATATACCTGCGAAATCTGCTGTCCGAATCCATTCTGTTATGTTATGTCCATTGTTCACTTACAGAACCACACACTTTCCCTTCTGCTTCTTCTGGATTTGTGGTCTGGGGCTTAGAACGGCTCTACCACTTGTGTTAGTTCATCGCCTTACGAATGAGAGCACGATGGAATATGACGAACCTGATAGCCTCATCGAATACGCTCTTCAAATTTCTTTGAGTGAGAGCTGAACATTCTAAATATTTATGCGCTCTAATTTCCTTGGCAACTATTAGAGCTTGATCGTACGAGACGGGCTCCATTCGTTTCCCTCGAAGGCTCTCGAGTGTCGCTGGATCCTCACGCAAATCGAGTTTGGTACCGACAAGAATGATCGGGACAGATGGGGCATGATGGTCGATCTCAGGAAACCACTAGATACGCTGTCAACAAACGGTGGGCATTCCAGGTCAAGGCAAGAGAAACACACCTTTGCGCGGACGTTATCGAATGAAGGTGGGCTGACGATCGAAAAGCAAATCAAGAAAACGTCGGTCTGGGGGTACGAGAGTGGTCGCAGGCGATCGTAATCTTCTTGCCCTGCCGTATCCCACAAGCCTAAGCTAATCGGTTTCCCATCTACCATTACGCTAGCGGAGTAGTTGTCGAAACTATTGACCATCAGTCGCAGTTCTGCTATCGCATCTCCCACTCCGAGAGGATTTGAAGCTCACACTGTTGGGATGTATTCGCCTGGGAAGGCATTCGTGGTATAGGAGATGAGGAGACATGTCTGAGTCTGGTCAGCATGCGGGCTCCTAGGCTGGACCGAGCAACAAATACCTTTCCCACTGCACCATCACCAGTGACAACGCACTATCCAAACAAACACGAGTTAGCCGGGATACGCCTGTGGTGGTACCAAAGATGTAAATGTTGAGGGAGAGACCAACTTTGAGTGACTGTGTTCCAGGAGCCGCCATATTTGTTTTGCGACAGATTCAGTGTAATTGTGAGGTTGTATAAAGTATTGGTTGACACGCAAGAGTTAAGGTGTTGTCGATAGCAGAAGTTCCCTCTGACAGAGTATTAGACCTTGACACCACGGAAGCTGGAAATGCCGCCGAAGGAGATCAGTGGAGACGCGAGGGGATATGTATGGTTTGGCAACTGTACGGGCGTACCTTCTTGGTGGAGAGGCGTATGTTATGGTGGAGGTTGTTCGTGCTCACGAAGATGCGACGAGTTTCGAGAGCGATAGGAGACGGATTGGGGATTCTCAGGAGAATATGCTGAGGTTGGTCGGTGTCGGGATGCTAGCGAGCTCGAAAAAATGGGGGGACGGGGGGAAGGGGGGGGAGGGGGTGTGAGGTGAGCCTGGGAGGAGGAGCTCAGAGGAAGAGTTGAGGCTTGGATGGATGATGGTGACTGCGGCAGACGGGCAGACGGGGCAGATGAGCAGATAAGCAGTCAGAGAGCGATGTTCTTGAGGGAATGTTCTGTTTGTCGATTTTCTGCTGCAGATGCGGATCTGGATGTGGATGTGGATGTACTGAAGATTGTACCGTGCAGCGCTGTTTGGGGTTTTGACGGTGAGCAGTGAGCACAGAGGGCGAGTCGACAACCTGACGCAGATCTGTAACAGAGGGAAGCAGCTCAAGCAAGACGCTCTCGAATCAGCGCCGAGCGCAACCGCGGAACCAACAAAGGCGCCGGCGTGCATCGGGGTGTAATCTTCATAGGACGAGTTTAGACGACTTTCAACCACCTTCAAAGTAGACGCAGTTTTTATCTTCAACATCTCTCATGATGCGTTCGCTGCTGCACGAAGCTGAGCCCTCCCAAAAATTCATCCAGCGAGGGCAAGTGTGAAGCATTTGACGCTCCAGGAGTCCAGGCCACATCTCTACAGCACCTTCGGTATTGCATTGCTCATTCACGATTTGTTTCGTTTTGTTTCCCCCTGCACTCGCTCCGCTGACAGCTTTGACTCCTGGCCGGCCACTTTGGTGACCCCAAAGGCCAGGCTTGCAGCGCTTGATGGGCCCCCCATCCGCCCTTCCACTTCTCGAGGCTGCATATATTCTGCAACAATGTGTATCTCGCGTTTAGGTACCGGATGGAGTGCATTGAGCTTCGGTCACATGTGGAAGAGTTGATGTTGGCAAGAGCGCGACATTGGACTACCTATTATCTTCATATAATGTTGTCATCTTGAGAACGGACGGTGCGTCGCTCTAGTTGTAACTTCGTTTTGGCGCTATCGGCAATCGCTCAATACAAATCAGAAACATGACTTGTTCGACTCTTTTGGATGGCGATTATCATGAGTGCGGCTTTACGTGGTTTTCATCTTTTGTACTGAGCCAGGCTCCTGATGGGGCTGGCTTGGCTCGTAAAGGACAAAACAAATGGCACAACCTTCTGAATATTACATCGTCTACCTAGGTAAATTACACTCAAGAGTGGGCAGGTACTTCTACTGACCAGGTGTTAATTTTTGATAGTATGAACCTCTTATTTACTCCAAATAACACACGATATATCGTCAACTTCATCGAAAACATGTCGTGTTTGGACTGTCACTTACCTTATGTTGTCCATCGTGAGCTTGGCTCGCTAACCGATCACGCCGGGTGGATTATATCTTCACTTGCCAAACGGTGACTGCATTTCATAAGCACGATATTACCCAAGAGCAAAGAACGCTACGCTAACGTTCTATCATATTGTATCTAATCATTACAATCGAGAAGTGGAGCTGACCGCGTGACTCACGCGGGCAGTCTGGTCTGGTGTCACTTCTTTATGAATACAGTAGTTGGTGTCTCCAACTTTCTATTCTACAGAGTAGCATGCAAATTTCAATCATTACATCAGTTTGCCTTGAGACCTTGTTGCACAATGGCAACTCCTACACCCCACTTTTCCAAAGCGTTGATAGCAAATTCCTACGACAAAATGGCTGCTGTTTATCTGGAATGGACATCTAAATATCCCTCGCCTCGCGAAGAATACACGCAAAAGCTTCTAGCAAGTCTTCCGACCAGCAGCGACTTGAAGCTACTCGAGCTAGGATGCGGAGCAGGAATTCCTGGCACAAAACTCCTCCTCGAACATGGTTGTCAAGTGCTTGCAAATGATATATCTGCAGAGCAGCTCAAGCTTGCCAGGCAAAATCTTGGCTCGGCCGATGGAAAGCTAGAACTGAGTCAAAAAGACATGATGGAGCTTGATTTTGGGGAAGGTAGCCTTGATGCCGTGGTTGCATTCTACAGCATCATCCATCTTCCACGCACCGAACAAAAGGATCTCCTTAGCCGAATACAGAAGTGGTTGAAACCAGGAGGACATGTTCTTATCAATCTTGGAACAAAGGATGTGGAAGAAGGAATAGCACACGACTGGCTTGGAGAGGGAATGTATTGGAGTGGGTTTGATACGAAGAGCAATGAGAGTATGGTTTTGGAGGCCGGATTCGAAATATTGCAAAGCAAGGTTATAGATCAGAGGGAAGAAGAAGATAAAGTCATACCATTTTTGTGGATCTTGGGGAAGAAGGGGTTGTAGAATACTCAGTCGTTCTACAATCGATTTTCGAGAAGTTTAACACAGGAAATTGAACAAACGAGGTGTGTCACTTGCATATGTTACTTGCCCAACTTGGTCACTATCAGCAAATCATCGTATACATCACACTAGCTACAAGAGAATACCAACCTTCGTTCAAACTAACACTAAGACTATCAGTAGAAACCATGGTTGGCAAAGCTCTACCAGGCTGCTAGTGCTTGTATTTTACTTTAACCAAACCCAAAGTCAATTCTTGAACGGAGTCCACCGTGAGTGAAGATTGAATTGTATTGCTTTTTCTAGAAGAACCGAGCAGCAGTAAAGGAAGCCAGGCAAGTCACAAAATTAGTTCAAGACAAAGCGACCATGTTGAACGGAATTCAAGTCAATACTTCCATCCTTCTTGCTTGTTGTGTGACAGTACATATTCAGACGGTCCTTGATCTCAGCAGTCTTCAAGCTAAAGAAACGAAAGATTTCATTTAAATTTAACAATTAGAAGAGAGCCGATGCGGCGTCAATCTAATAATCGACTCATATATCGTTAGTTGTTGACCTCGGTACACGGATGTAAGCTTACTATTTTTGCTTAAGACCGGATAACTTATCGGAAGTGGGGCACTCCTGTCCACTCGTTCGGTGCCAAGACCAGATCAATGTAGCTATAATGTCGACATCGATTCCTCAGTCGCCATTCACTGATTTACCAGTGCAGACCAGTTATCACAAGAGACATTAGTATATAGCTTGAGAAGGAAAAATTCAGACATATCTCTACCGCGTCCTTTCATCTATTTTTGGCTATCATGGCGCAAACGCCGAGCGCATCCGGCGATGATGCAACGTCTGAAAGCAACATGGACATCGAGACTTCGAGCGAGGTCGACACCGAAGACTTAGACAATGAAGAATTCATAGAGCGACTTATCGAAAGGGGCGAGCTCGACTACCATATTCCAGGACAATACGTGGAAGAAGATGACGATGACGAAGACGAAGACGACGGGGAGGAAGATGATGCGGACACCGAAGATGGCAGTAAATGCTCCCTCCAAACTAACGCAGTGGCAGTATATAATTCTTTTTGTTTTTAGATGGACCGTATTTAGAAGTCGAGGTGGAGGAGGAACCACAAAATGAAGGCGAAACAGAAGACGAACGTAGTAAGCTCACAAATGACCATGTAATACCAGAAATCACCATGCTTACACCGCGTCTGCAGCAACCCGACAGAGAAGACAGGTAATGCGGTTACTAGCAAACTCGGAACTGGGCCGACTTTTCTTCACAACTGCGCGAGTTGGCGATTTCGATGATGAGGATGACGATGCAGATTTTCATCCATTATGGGCTCGTAGGAGAAGAAGAGAAAGACCAGACCCAAATCGGTTTCCCAAAGTGCCTAGTGATGTTGGTAGGGATCTCATGATATCCGGAACTTTTGGAGTGGATGACATACGAACCGCGTGCACCGACGAGCGTACAAGGACAGGAAAGCGGAAGAAGCTCGCAATGAGGATCTTACAAAGGGAACTTGCGCAGGAAGTTCATTCAAGGCAGAAATTAAATCACAAACTTATGGCCCAAGTGCGTCCGTGTAATTCTAGCCTGCATATGCTTCCACTAATACGGATAGGACATGATTCCATCCTCGAACGCAGACATCATCATTCATTACGAACAACCCGTGTATTCCGGGCAGTTCTCGGACGACGGCAATTTTTTCTTTGCTGTCAATAAGGATTACAAGGTGAGGATGTACGACACGTCAAATCCGTACCAGTGGCGGTACTACAAGACTGTGGAATACCCTTTTGGACAATGGACTCTTACCGATGCTTCTCTCAGTCCCGACAATAAATACCTGGCATACACTTCTATAGCAAGTACAGTGTGTCTCGCGCCTACAGACCCTAATGACTTGGGAGATCCGTACACGTTGGAGTTGGCAGAAAGAAGGGCTGGCAATATACCGATTCGATCAAGGTATGGTGGCTCGTTCGGGATCTGGTCCATTCGATTTTCAGGAGATGGACGCGAACTGGTTGCCGGTGCTTCAGGTGGCGCCATTGTTGTATATGACATCGAGTCTCGTACCACACTCCATAGAATCGCTGGTCACGATGATGACGTGAATGCTGTGTGCTTCGCCGACAAATCATCGCCCCACATTCTGTATTCTGGATCTGATGATACTTTTCTGAAGGTTTGGGATACTCGAAGTATGGGTGATAGTCGGGCCGCTGGGGCCTTCGTTGGCCACATAGAGGGAATAACTTATATCGATAGTAAGATGGATGGCCGTAAGCTGCTCTCCTGACCTTAATAAAAACTACCGCTAAACACGTGGTAGGATATATCTTGAGTAACGGCAAGGAGCAAAGTATGAAGCTCTGGGACTTACGAATGGTTATGTCTCCGCAGAGATTCAATAGCCTTCCGTCCACTAGACGTAGTAGACAGACTAGATTTGATTACCGCTGGGGAGCATATGACGAGGATAACTGGTATGCTGACCCCAACGATAACTCACTCGTTACTTTCCGTGGTCATAAAGTCCTGCGTACACTCATACGTTGTCATTTTTCACCACCTGGAAGTACCAACTCTCGATATGTATACTCTGGTAGCGAAGACGGAAAGGTATACATCTGGAATATGGATGCTACGCTTGCAGGTGTGGTTGATGCCTATAGTGCTACCAAAAATACTCGACCACCAATGAATGAAACTGGTGGCATGGATTGGGCAGACGACGACGATGGTGTATCTGGGACCTCGTGGAAGACCTGCGTTCGGGATGCCGCTTGGCATCCGAACGCTCCTATTATTGTTGGTAAGTAACTATATCTTTAAAAGCGTGTCGACCGAGCAATTACTAACTCAGAGAAGCGTCTGCATGGAGTGGGTACGGTATGGGCAGTGGTACTTGCTCGGTCCACTCGTGGAATGATAACGCAGAAGAAGACGAAGCAGAGCCCAGGATGGGTGCAAGTGTCAACCAGAAACTCGTGCCGTTACCTACGTACGACCCGGATACACACCCTCGAGCACACAGTAGGAGGAGAAGGGCGGTACTACGGAGGCTGATGGATGATGGCAGCGACTGACGTGTTACATCACAACGGGTTCTTGAGTGTTTGGGTCAAAAGATAGTCCAAATGTAAATACAGCGGGCATTCTGTATTGTGCTCTAAAAACCAGCATGTTTATAATCATACACATTTAGGGAGCGATCTGTAGACGCTAAAATATTTCATCTGTCAATCACTCGTTCCAAACTCAGCATTGCGGACTCTGCCTTTTTGGTAGTGTAGTGTACCTGTTCTGCAAATTAAGTATTCCTCGCGCACGATATCAGCCGTCGCGAAAATTCGAAACCAAATGATAAGAAGTCTCCTTGAGCGAAAATATGTAGTGAAGACACAGTTTCTCAACTAGCTCTGTAATATGGGGTGGTCAGAGAAGACAATAATGTTTTATATTACACAGGATATATATTTTGGGGATGTACGCAAGAGAGCGGTATCGATTTTCAATGCAGAGTATAGTACAAGTTTTGCCGTCCCGAAAAGCCCCAGACGCTATGCTTTTCCTTGTCAAGGCCGAAGGCGACCATTTTCTAGTATTGGCTGGCGGCGGATTGGCATGCTTTCTACAAACCAGGACATCAGTATCGGATTTTTATGAGTGAGTTTTAAGAAAGACACTTACAAGTTGTTCTAGATACCAGCCGCAGATTTGCATATTTCCACTGTTTTCGTCCAAGCACTTGGTGAACTGCTTAGCATCCACCTCGCAGCTTCTGGCGCCCCAGTTACTCTGTTCTTGCTGCCCCGAAGTCGCGACAGCTCCTTGCTGTGGTTGTGCGTCCGCTGGAGCACTCGATCCACCGCCGAAAAAGCCACCGATGGCATGGCCAATGCTACTTCCGACAGCGACACCTCTACAATGAAACATTAACCTTATGCAATCGGTTCCGGTCTTGGATAACCTACGCTGCTGTGCTTGCCATCTGGCCGAACAAACCCGGACCTGCTGAGCCTTGAGGGGCTTGAGTTGCTGGAGGGTTTGCGGTTTGATGTGTCTGTGCCGGAGGATGCGCGGCTGTTGTCGCTGGTCGAGTTTGGTGTGGTGCTGGTCTTTGAGGGGCGACTGTAGGGCGAGAAGGTGCCCTGCTTCCGCCACCCGATCTTCCTTGACGAGGCATTGTGTTTAGAATTGAGGATATTGTTCCGTGGTGGACGCAGAGGTAGATGCTGGGTTGATGTTTGCGACGGGAGAAGTGTGTAAGAGGCAGGAGAGAATCATGTCGTTGATTGTAGAAGCAGACTAGCGTGCGGAATTAAGCGGAATTTCAAATGTGGTCATCTGATTGGCCCAGACGAGGTGGTCTAATTGCTTACTCGGTTCCAGCATGTATGTAGAACTCTTAAAGACCTAGGTACCTAGGTATGTAGCACCCGGGCTGGCCATACCAGCCCTCGACGTTAGTTATTTTGCTATAAGTTTGTTTTCCGAATTTCCGTACAACCCTCAAACGAGTCTGCTTGGCATAATGCCTGGGTGAGTAGCATGTCTACGGCATATCTAATAATCTAATTCGGTACGAAATCGGAAGGTGTGCTCATTTTTATGTGCCATGACACGATTGATGGACTGCCTAACGCCACATACACCATTCATGACCTACACCAGAAAATCCTTTGCAGTTTTAATTGTGTCAAGTTTGAGTACTTTACCAGTATGCTAACCCTTTCTCTTTGGTGTCCCCTTATACTTCAACGCCTACGCTATGCAAATAAATTTTGGAAACCTTGACTCCTACCACTAGCCTTCAGAATACATCAGGTACTCTTCGCTTTATTCTTCTTCGGGATTTTCTGCTGTTTTACACTCTTACCTTTACCCTTGCTCTTTTTTGATTTCTCTGCTGAGCTTGATGTCCCCGATGTCATGCCCGAAGTTGGGGTCGATGTTTGATCAGAAACTGCGGTCTTCTTCGTTTTTCGCTTCTTGCGCGGTGGCTCGGTTCTTTTCTGGTCAACCTGGACATCTTCCTCATTTTCAGAAGGGGAGTCGGAGTCAGAGGAGCTAGTGTGCTCTGCCAGACCAGCTTCGTCTTCTTCGGGTTGGCGTTTCTGTGTTCTGCTTCGAAAATCCGCATTTTTCGTTGGCTCGTCGAACTTGATGTGAGCTTTGGCACGCGCTCTAGCTTGTATTTCTGCTTGCTTCAAGGCTTCTTTCTCGGCGGCCGCCTGTTCTACATTAGCCAGAGAAATTGAATTGAAAGTAAGATCAGAAACACGTACTAGGCTTGGATTGATGAACCTGGCTGCTGCTGCCTTATCAAGAGTCATTGTCCTTGCGGCAGCTGGCTCAGTGTTCTTGATCTTGTCAAAGTACTGCTTTACCCGGGTAAGTTCTATGAATACAGGATGGTCTCGTGCTTTCACGCCATTGAGCCGCAAGTATGCTACGAACATGTCAGTACTAGTCGTACAACACGCGTGGAGTACATCAAAGAAAATGAGCCCTTACAGAAGAGCATGGACTCGATCGCATAAGTGACCAAAACATAGAGCTTGGCTTTGTCGACCAATGGAAGTTTTGACGTAGTATCTGAGAGTGCTGTCTCTATGAGAGGGGCTAATGACTCTTCCAGATCATCGATCTCATCGTCTAACTGCTCCAAAAGCCCAAGTACTTTGCTGGAATCCATGTTGCTGAATAATATTTGGGTGTTATAGGTACTTGAGCGCTATTTCAACCTCAGCCTTGTCAGATTTTGATGGTTTATTTTGACACGGCTGCACTCGGACTCCCGAAGTTCTTCCGGCGGCGACATGCGCCAATGTAACATCCTTGTATGAAACTTTTGTCGACTTTATTTGATCAGACTAGACTGCGCTCAGCCCAAATAACCCTCCACGATTCTTGACGTCTTTCATTCTCATAGCCTAAACGAACTCGCAACCAGCGTGGAAATATACTTTCTTAATTCGAACTCTCTCTTTCTTCTTGATTCATCCCCAGAACTCCCATCCTTCATTCGCGACGGGTGCTTCCTCCTTATCGGCAACAGCTCTCCTGAAATCGCCATAATTTTGCCGCCTCCATACGCCTCAATCTATTTGACACCAATCGACCAATTTTGTCTTGTATAGAAGGCTACAGCCTGCGGATGTTGTCATGAGGCGTTATCAATAACATACCCGTATCTGTCATCCTGTCTCATCCGATCTATAACCGCCCGCTGTTGCGGGTGTGTCTTCGAAGACCCCGTGGCGATACATGGAGTTGCGATAGTATCAGGAGAGGCCGGGCGGCCTTGTGCTCATCCACGTTGGGATATGGATCATACTGGTGGCCACGGTGGAAACACTTGGACGGCAAAGTGATGCCAATAACAGTCGCAAAGGATGGGAGATTCGCACGTCGCTATAGCGGGCAGGGATTGGAGCAGAGTATACCCGATGGCCATCAGGATATGCCGTTTATAGACGGTTTTCCGACTCGACTCATTCGGGAAGGTTTACCTGGACGACTGAATAGGGAAATGATTGGGAGTGGCGGCCGCTGGGTGATCGAGCCGCGATCAAGCAAGATATTTGCCAATCCATGGGCTGAACAACTGCTCAGCCAGAACACTGAAATTGTGATTCCTCACAATCTGGCGAGTCTTGCCCAAGATGGAAAGAAGGGTGCTGATAGGGAAATGCCAGCCAAGAAAGAACGCACACCATCAGATTCGCCGCCAGAAATTCCGGAATATCCAGCAAGGCAAGAATCACAAGCATCATTAGCTTTACTTGATGCGAAAGAGTTACCGATCCCAGAGGCGGTGCCATGCGGGGGGCCAGAAGTCCTAAAACTACCGAATACCGTGCCCAACGATTTTGTGCCTTCATCAGGTGTAGAAAATGCGCTGGCTTTGGCTCAAGACAGTTTCATTGCGACAGAGATCCAAAAGGAGCCTCAAACAGAGATCAGGTCCGACAAAATACACATCCTAGGGACCACCAGAATGAGCAAGTATGTTGCGCACTCAATTGCTTCACTGCCACACGCCCCTCCCGTCACCATTCTTATTCACCGACCTCATTTCCTGAAGGAATGGCAAGATGAGGGCGCTGTCATCAGTGTAATCCGTGATGGAAGAGTCTCTATTCAATCGAACATTAAACTCGAGCCTGTTATGGAGTTCCCTCGTTTCGGGAGGCGCAACCCTAATGTTCCGGTTCCAACCACACCAGAGTCCGTGTGCCAGAGTCGAATTGATAACTTAGTAGTTACGACAGACTCGCATGCTACCCTAGCAGCGCTCTCATCTATCCGACATCGAATCCGCTCAACGACGACCATCTGCTTCATGGCCGAGGACGTGGGCATAGGCTTGATCGATGTGATCAACACCAAATTCTTTCCCGACCCACAACAACGACCCAGCTACGTAGTGGCAGATTTCAGCCATAAAATCACTCCCACTGAACGGAGATTCACGATTTCCGAGACGGTTTCAGGAGAAGCCCATTTCACCGCTCTGGAACGTGACGCTGAAATACCCAAAGAGGCAAGACTTCTAGGCGTCGACCCGTTCGGGATGGGTGAGAATGGGCGGGCGGACGACCCTTTTGCTCACATCCTGAGAACTATTACGCAGGCCCCTGAATTCAACGCTAAACCGCTTAAAACAACGCATTTCCTACGAAGACATCTGGAGAAGATGATTGTCTGGTCAATCATCGGACCCCTCACTGTTATTTTCGACTGTTCAAACAAGCAGCTGCTGCATAACTATAACGCTACAAAAACAATGGCGCCACTTCTAGAGGAGATGATCCAGATCGTCCGTGTATTACCAGAATTAGCACATTCACCGAAAACTCAACAACATTTTACACAGGAATATTTGCAGCCTATCATCATTTCTAATTTGAAAAAAACAAAGTCCAATACCTCTACCATGTTGCAAGCGGTGAGGAAAGGCAAAAGGACGGGCATTGAATTCTACAACGAATATTTTGTTCGCCGTGCGATAGAGTTGGGCCTTCCATGTGCCCAAAATCAGATGATGATTGATATGGTGAAGGCAAAGAATGCTATCATTGGAAGAGAAAGGAACGGGTATATACCATTTCGGGCTGAGCGTAAGAACTTGCCATTGTAATTAGTGTTGTACAGTATTTTTTCTAGAACATAAGTCGTTGGTTAGGTTTGCGCATATAGACAGCGAAAGTACTCATAATTGCGTGTGGAGTACATGTAAATAATAACCCACGTTACGGCCCCTTAACACGTCGCTACCATATTGCTGGATGAAACCAACGATCCAGACAACCTAAATAAGGTACAATCTTCAATCGTAGCAGTGACTTCACTAACATTAGTTCGGAGTTGACGCGTCCCAGATGACTGAAAGAGCCTGATTTACATTGTACGACGAATGCTGTATTTAAATATAACCCTTCAAGACTGCAGCTTCGGCGTTGAGTATAGACGATCCGGCTGCTCCGATGACAGTATTGTGACTTAGAGCCACAAACTTTAAATCAAATATCCTGCTCTCATCTTCTCGGACCCGGCCAACACTAACAGTGTATCCATTTTGGGTGTTTCGATCTAGCCTAGGTTGCGGCCTATCCGCCTCCTCCATAACTAATATTGAGGGTTGTGGAGCAGATGGACATCCTAAGGTTTGTGCCTCGCTTACGTACGAGCTGAGAGCCTTCTTGACTGCCTCCGCGGATGGTTTTGGACTGTTCCTGTCCTTGAACCTTAAGGATACGCAGGCCATGTGGCCATCTAATACAGCAACTCTGTTACAGGCTGCCGAAATCTTCAGATCTGATTGTTCGTGGAATCCAGTTACCTCTCCATTGACTCTCCCTAGGATTTTTTGGGCTTCGGTCTCTAATTTATCTTCCTCTCCAGATATAAACGGCACGACGTTGTCTAGAATATCCATACTGCTTACACCTGGGTATCCTGCACCCGAAACGGCCTGCATAGTGACGACACTGACTTGATCGACTTCCCCAAACTCCTTCTGTATGGCTGCGAAAGGAATAACGATGCCAATGACCGCACAGTTGGAATTGCAGACGAGGAATCCTTTCTTGAGCCCGTAATGTTTCCGCTGGTGTGGTATAACGTCAAAATGCGGAAGGTTGACTGTCGGTACGACGAGCGGAACCAGAGGATCTCTGCGGTAATTTTTGGCATTCGAGAAAACTGCCAATTCAGCTTTTAGGAATTCCATCTCTGTCATGAGCAAGTCAGCATTGGTACAGCCCATCCCAGGGCACTGTCACCCACCTATGTCACCAGCAACATCAGCGTCTAAGCCACTGAAGACAATATCACAATCCGCAAATTCGCTAGCCTTACACTCCTTGACGACCAAATTCTCCACTTGCTTCCCCATAGGAGACGCCTGCTTCCATTTCACCGCATCCTTATACTTTTTCCCAGCAGACCGCGACGATGCGCCAACAGCATGGAGTGTGAAATGCGGATGTTGCGCAAGTAGAAGAATGAATCGTTGGCCGACTGAACCAGTGCAGCCCAAGACACCTGGTAGAGAGTAAGTATATGGCGCTCTCGGCGGGGTCCATTGCCCCTCCAAAGTTTACATGCGAATGCTTGCAACTTACCACACTTCTTGGTAGGAAATTCAGGAGCCATATTAACCCTCGTGAATGAAATGATGCAAGTAGTTTCTTGGGGGCAAATTATGCTGGTGTTTATTGGAAAGCTCGGCTGAGGTTTTGGGAGTTGCAGCTGAGAGTCACAAATAATTTAATCCGAAGATCGGCGTCTGCTTTTGGTGGGGCAACTTCTCGTTGAACCCTTCGAGATCTTGTGGGGAGATTGATCAATTGGACTGCAAAAATATCTATCAATCCTGCAGAACAGTTTGATTAAAGAAAGGAAGTCTTGAGCAGCTACTCCCGCAGGTACTCGTGTATGCATAAGTACAAGTGAGTGCGAGATCAGTCACATACTTACCCCGCGATGGACACTTGAAACACGATATTTCCTCGATTAAGTTGACCAAATATTGGATATCTCATCGCTTACTTTCAGTGGATACGACGTTGCAAACGCCTTATAACAACTCAATATTTAGGTCGTTGCTGAGAAGTCCTAATTCAAATCAACAGACAATACCTACCTACCTACCTTACCTACCTACCTTAGGTACCTTAGCTAGGAGTTCTCTGGTTGTCCTCTGCGACTCAGGGCCCTAATTGGCGGTGGGGCGAGCTCTGTGGATCCACTTTTGGCAGTTGACACACGTGACTTTGCTACTTAGCGAATCCCACAAGAATTTCATGTTCTCCTCAAGAAATTTTGACGAAACATCGACAACTTCCAACGACACCCCAAACCTTTGTATCTCGACAACACTTTGAGACGCAATCATGGGTAGAGGACCGTAAGTAATGGTAGTTTACTGCCACCATTCATTTCCCGCACACACAGCGCACAGAACTCGGATCCGAAGACGTGAAATTGCGACTACTTGGGCAAAGCAGCTCGAGTTCGACAACACGTATTCTTTCGCAGAGTCAATCTTGACACTTGTTCCGGCCGCCGGCTCATTTGTGCGCTCAGCTTTCAGCGCTGGAAGACGATCACTCTTGATATACACAATTGCTAATATTATTTTTCACACAGGAAAAAGCATCAAAAGCGCCTTAGCGCGCCATCGCATTGGCTTTTGGACAAACTCTCCGGTTCATACGCTCCCCGTCCATCTGCCGGTCCACACAAGCTCCGTGACTGCATGCCTCTCATCGTCTTCATTCGAAATCGTCTAAAGTATGCGCTCAACTCTCGCGAGACCAAGGCCATCGTCATGCAGCGCTTGATCAAGGTTGATGGTAAGGTCCGAACTGATGCCACCTACCCAGCTGGCTTCATGGACGTTATCAGCATCGAGAAGACCGGCGAGCACTTCCGTCTAGTCTACGACACCAAGGGTCGCTTCACCGTTCACCGAATCCAAACCGAAGAAGCCGAATACAAGTTGGGCAAAGTCAAGAGAGTGCAATTGGGCAAGGGCGGAATCCCATTCTTGGTCACGCACGATGCACGAACGTAAGTTCCATCAGACATCATTCAGCCGTTGGTCCAAGCTTTGGTTGATTCATCTCGAACGATTGGAGCTAGATCAGCGGTTGCTATACATCCCCCCGAGAAATGCTGACATAAGGTTATCCAGAATTCGTTACCCTGACCCAGCCATCAAGGTCAACGACACTGTCAAGATCGATATTGCTACTGGAAAGATCACAGACTTCATCAAGTTCGATACTGGTGTAATTGCCATGGTTACTGGTGGTCGTAACATAGGTCGTGTCGGTGTTATCACTCACCGTGAGCGTCACGACGGAGGCTTCAACATTGTCCACATCAAGGATGCCATTGACAACTCATTCGCTACCCGTGAGAACAACGTTTTCGTTATCGGATCAGAGAAGCCATGGATCTCCCTACCCAAGGGTAAAGGTGTCAAGCTTACTATTGCCGAGGAAAGAGATCGCAGACGTGCCCATGCCATTGCTGGACAGTAGATGTGATTTTTGCTTTGGGGTCAAGAGCGGTCATGATATGGAGTTCTGGGTTTTGCTGTTGTGCTAAGGGTGGCACACAAAAATGATGCAGATAGCGGCATAGTAAACCAATCCTATCAAATGTGAACAACTGCTTCCCCATTTCAGTGCAAGTCTTTTCGTGACAACGTCATCCCAGCCACTGCGTATAAGTGATCAAGCACAGGAGCATTGGAGGCTCTGGCGATGGTGTTGCAGATCCCTCATCTCATTCGATCTGATGTGACCCCCATTTCAAACCCTGCGCCATGAGGATGATGGACCGGTAAGCCATGCTGCGAGTGCCACCCACCTTTTCCTTATGCATTCCTTGGATCTCTTCGCATCACGGGGATGGTTGCTGGGCTGAGAGCTGTCCGGACCTGGACAGCATATCCAATAAGCCCGCGATTGGCCCATCTTGAAGCGGTGTCGATCCGATGGATCGATGTTTCTGATTGTCGGGACTCCTAGTATGGTTTCTGTGAGGTAAGAGGAACAGCAGCAGGAGAAATAGAGTACCGGATGGGAATTGAATGAGGGGTCGACTGTGAGGGGAAGGAGGCCTCGTGCGCATCTGGAAGAAGAGGACGTAGTTACGAGAAGAGACCATTGTCCTCCCCATCCACAGTCCCTGCGGACCATTATCGCTGGTGCTGAGACGGTCGTTGGAAGTGTCAGCGACGTGGTACTGGATGCTCTGCTCCTGGTGCTGGTGCTGGGCAGAGATTTCGACGAGGACTTTGCCGGATGGCTTGCAGGAAAGAGTATGCGGTGCCAACGGTGGCGTGGGGTGACACGAGTGGACGTACATACGTTGTTGCTGTCTGCAAGCGCCTCAAGGGGAGAAGGTTGGACTAATGTGTATTGCTGTTGCTCTACGCATTGGGAATGCTGGCTGGGTGCGGATGCTGGAAGTGGGATGGATCAAAAAAGAAGACATTGGGTACACTTCTGCTCGCAACACCATCGCTCGATTGGCTGTGTGCTTTTCGTTTAGGTCTGACATGCGAGCGTGTCCGACGTACGACGACCGCTCGTTGTTACTTACAAAGTCCGGCCGGGTAGGTACTCTGGTGGAAGACCGTAGACTGTAGTTGAGCTGTCAACTGAGGCGGACGCCACGGATTCTGGCTCGTGGCTCGTGGCTCAAGGCTCATGGCTCATGGCTCATGGCTCATGACTCCTGGCTTTCCGGCTCAAGCTCCCACTTAGCGGCGGCGGCCCTCATAATGGTATAAAGAGAGGCTGACCACCCGGAGATATAATGCTGAGCTGGAGCTGGAACTGGAGCGTGAACTTGATCTTGCTCTTGATCTTGCCGGGTCTCGACTTGACCATTGCATGCGGGTGACCACGAATTGCGAACTTCAGTCGACGAACATCACAAGCGGCCGCTACTCGTAATCCAGTAATCCACACGCCCACGGATTTGTCCGCCAAACGACAAGAGGTAGAATCCTTCCCCACTCATACCCTCACAGGCCCTTTCTCCTTCCTTCTTGTGAATAGCGTGCTTTGGCACTAATACCTCGCCGAGCACAGAGAAGACTACTCGAGGCCGCCATCTTTCACTCTCGTCGACGTTGCAAGGTACAAACTCAGAACTTCACCGATGACAAAACTTCGACCACGATACAATGTATAAGGTTACATGCATGAGCTCGGCAAGGTGCTCTCAGGTGAGGGGGGTCGGGCGCGCTTCTGGAAGCTTTCCAACACGGACCTCGCACCTACTTTCAATAAATTATCCTCGCGCTCCGGGCGGTCGTCGATGGAATAGCCTCCAACCATCCATCCATTCAGCAAGGCAACGTGGTGGGGGAGCTACACGGCAGTCGAGAAGGGTGGGATGGAAGACCACTAGTGTTGTAAGCCTGGCTGTGGGAACAGGGTTGCTGGCTTTTGGACTGGCAACATTCAATGCAAAGCGGAGGGAGGCGAGACAGAGAGAATATTCGAATGAAGCAAAATTCAGAGAGCCAAAGTATGCAGATGTGAACAATCTCAAAGACGTAAGTTGTGAGCTGCATCGTTGGAGGTGGAAGATTTTTCTCGCTTGTGAAAATGGAAATTTGCCGAGAATCTCACTCTCTTATTTTGCAAAAGGCTTACTTGACTGTCTAGGCAATCAAAGAAATCCGTCATGTACTAGGCGATGAAGATGTCATCTCTACCGACCCAGAAGACCTCCATGCCCATGGCTACTCAGAATGGTCCTCGACCAATATTGAAAGTCTCCCAGTGGCCGTAGCCTACCCCAAAAACACCAAAGAGGTATCTGAAATTGCCAAAGTATGTTGCAAATACAAAGTGCCAATCATTCCTTTCTCGGGTGGTACAAGTCTAGAAGGCAACTTCTCTGCACCATATGGCGGAGTTAGTGTCGATTTCGCTTACATGGACCAAATCGTGCAATTTCACGAGGAAGATATGGACATTGTCGTTCAACCGTCTGTATCCTGGATGGATCTGAATGACGAATTAGCAAAAAGGAAGTCTGGCTTGTTTTTCCCAGTTGATCCCGGACCGAGCGCTAAAATCGGAGGAATGGTTGGTACAAATTGCTCTGGCACCAACGCTGTACGCTATGGCACTATGAAAGATTGGGTCATTAATCTGACTGTCGTGCTCGCCGATGGAACTATTATCAAGACCAAGAGAAGGCCAAGAAAGACGTCGGCTGGATACAACCTAAACAGTCTTTTCGTTGGCTCGGAAGGCACACTTGGTCTCGTCACCGAAATCACACTGAAGTTGGCGGTGGTTCCACAAGAACAATCGGTCGCAGTGGTCACGTTTCCATCCATCAGAGATGCTGCTTCAGCTGCTGCTGGTGTCATGCGAGCTGGCGTTCAAGTCGCGGCGATGGAAATCATGGATGAAGTACAGATGAAAGTCGTGAACCTCTCTGGGTCAACAGCTCCGAGAAAGTGGAAAGAACTACCAACTCTATTCTTCAAATTTAGCGGCACCAAGGCTTCTGTCAAGGATAACATCCAAATGGTTGGTGCAATTGCCAAAAAACACAAAGGCGGAGACTTCGAATTCGCCAAAGATGCTCAAGAGCAGAAGATGCTTTGGAGTGCCAGGAAAGAAAGCCTGTGGTCTATGCTGTCTATGCGAAAAGAAGGAAACGAGGTCTGGAGCACTGATGTCGCGGTGCCGTTTTCAAGACTAGCGGATATCATCGAGATCAGTAAGAAAGAAATGGATGATCTCGGACTCTTCGCCAGTATTCTGGGCCATATTGGGGACGGTAACTTCCATGAAAGTATACTTTACGACAGTCGAGTCAAAGGAGAGAAGGAAAAGGTTGAAAGGTGTGTGAAGAACATGGTTAATCGTGCTTTGGAGATGGAAGGAACCTGTACGGTAAGAACTTCGTTCTCGTTAATTCTACTATTATCTACTAACACGAGCAGGGCGAACATGGAATTGGAATCGGCAAAAAGGAAGCCCTTCTCCAAGAAGTCGGTCCCCATACCCTCGGCGTGATGAAATCCATCAAACAAGCTCTCGATCCACATTGGATTATGAACCCAGGAAAGATTATGGATTTACCTTCAAAGTCTTAAAACACGTCAAGATATGGTATCGTAACGCATAATGAAGGCAAGAATAAGGAGTAACGACAAATTGACGACAATATTTCGACCATGATATTATGAACTTGTATTTCGCATTTAGAGGTTCCAAAGGCGGCAGCTATGCACCTGGAAGGTAGGTGGCCTCGATTCATTTATATGATTCTATTAGATTCCTCTTCCTCGCGGATGAGATGCATAGGATTTGGGCAATAATCATTTGCAATAGCAGTATTTACACGTTTCGACAGTCTATTTTTGTCATTGAAGCCATCCATCGTCATCGTTTCAATGTGGGAAAAAGCAAATTCCTAAGCAACTTTTCATGCAGAAATACCAAAACTATTATTTCTTTTTGTAACCCGTGATAGTCGGTCTGAGCGTGTACATAATGAGTACATGCTTGTCCCTTCACCGCTACCATTTTCATGTTTGTTAGATAGCGTCTCTGCCTTGTCGGCACAGGATGCGGGATATAGTTTTCCAGCTTGGACTTGTACCCCCACACAAAACAAGGGAAAGATTATGTTGGAGATGATGCATGCTTTTAGCTGTGCATGCAGCCTTTACATGGATCGAGGAATTCAAGGATTAGGAAGGATGAGCGGGAGGCGAGGAGATAGTGCAGAGCTATTAGTCTGTAGTGTTCTACGCCAATTATGTAGCATACTGTAAGGTACTAGCAACATGTCACAATCAGCTATGTGGGTTCAATGATGAATATCAATTTCTATCTCGTAACTAACAATGTGGTATCATTTAGAAGAAGACAGACGCTCGTAGGATACTCTCCTTTGCAAATCATAAATCTGCCCATGTCAAACTCAGACATAAATATGCCCAAAACTCCAGTATCCCAATGCACCCTACCCAAATAGTGCCAAAACCCAACCCGAACTGTAGAAGTGTAACCAAGATACTACCAGAGTACTGCACATAATAGATCATTTACAAGTTTTTCGACAAAAGAAATAAGCCACAGTCAACCGCGGTTGGGGTTGTAGACCTAAGATGCAGTGCTGACACGCTCGACGACGACTCTTTCGCTCTTTCGTTGTTGATTTTGGAGTTCGCTTCTCTTCTCCCTCCCATCTAGTCTCATTTTGTCACTTCTCCTTCCACCTCTTGGAATAGATAAGCCAACGCTAATCTCACCTGGCACTTGTCCTCCCCGTCGTGTTGCAAGACTTTGTTGAATGGAGTTTGTCGATTTAACAGGACTTGTGATGTAAGTAGTAGTCATGTTACCATCCCACGCCTTTACACGCTTGTTATCATTAGATCCTGGAACAACCACTAATGTTGGAGTGGCGGGCTTGACACTTGATACTACTTGAAGATGTTCGGTAACCAACGGAGAGGATTGACTTCTCGTGGCAAGAGGTCGGATGCGTTCTTCGGAAGCTGCCGTTGCAACCGCACCTAGCGGGCTTGCTTGCCTGGAAATATCCAGCTTGGCATTGATACTTTGTGTAACTGGGCTGGGAAAGTTTGCGTTGTGTTTTGGTCTCGTTTGGGCGTTGGACGGCGTCCTTCTCATCTGATTGATGGGTATCAGAAGTTTTCGTTGTTGCTGCGATACAGATATTTGACGAGCAATCGATACTTCCGCGGCACTATTCAAACGCGCTTCGTTGTCTTCGATCGAAATAGTTGAGGTTCCAGATGCATTAGAAAGCTTACGGTGACTATGAGATTGTACCACTGGAGGTTTAATTTGGGTTGATATGTTGCCGGCTTGCATAAGGGTTATAGGAATTGACGCTGAAGTAGCAGCTGTTGAGATGCTTGCTGCAGAGGTAGACGACATTGATGCTGATGTTGAGTGATCTGAGCGGCCGCTGGAAGGTGTAGTGCTATGAATAGTCCCGGCATGATGCTTATTTCCCCCCTTAACCTCCCACGCAGGTTCAACGAGCTCTGGCATCGAGGGCTGCGCACGGAGGATTGATGAAGGCGCGTTGAGAACTTCCAAATCCTCCCCACCTTGAGGGGAAATTAGGACAAGATGCGATTCGTTCGGATTCCACTGATTCGATCTCGTCGTCACGCTCGGCGTTCGAGCAGGGCTGGGGATAATAGTATGTACATCAGGAGATATTTTTGCCGACGAAGTTGCTTTCACAAGGAGAGCGTGTACTTCATTATTTATCCCTGGAGCGAAAGTTGGTCTAGCTGGAGATAAAGCGGCAGGTGAGGTGTTCGACCGATGAAGAAACGGAGAGGCACTACGCGGTTGTGGAGAAGGCGATGGCTCTCTGTGTGATGACCTAGAAGGTGTGTTTGGAAATAGAGAAAATGCTGGACTTCTGGTAAGACCAGGGGAGGTTGCTCTTCGGGGTAAAAGCATTTTCTCCCTTCGCTTGATCTCAAGTTCCTATCAAGAGTGTCAGAATAGATAACTGCAAAACCCGCTAGTCGCTAATCCTACCTTGAATGCGAGATCCTCGTTTACAGCTTTCAGCTTGTCCAATGTGGCTTGTCGCCTTGCGAGTAGTGATGAAGTGGTACCATTCCCCGTCTGTAACACGTTACCAAACATAACACTGTACCGCTCTAATTGAATAGATGGTATATCGACGTCTAATTTATGACCAAGCGGCTTATATGCCGCGTTGTTTAATGGGCCGCCGTCAAGGGTTATCTGTGGTGTTTCTCGACCAGATTCTGATTGGAATTCGGGACGAGTAGGAGGCAAGGTATTTGCCCTTTTCACATCTGGTCTGGCGTCCTTCTTCTTGGTCTTTCGCGTGGAAATACTTCGTCCTCGGGTGCGGGACTTCGATGGTTCCTCAGTGGGTTCCGCGAAGCTCGTGTAGTTGGGTTCCGTTGTGGTTGTAATCGTGGCACCCTGCTGAGGTATTTCGGTCTGAAGTTGGTAAAAGGATTGTTGCTGGGCTCCGATATTCTTCTTTCCACCGAACAAACCTCCAAACATCTTCCATTTACTGGATTTTTGCTTCGACGGAAGCGGGCTCGCCTGAGCCATGGAGCCATTCATCGTGTCTGGCATCGGGTTCGCGGTAGTATCTTCATATTGTTGCTGTTGCTGCCAGCCAGCCGGTGGATGTGAAGGACTTCCCAATGCCATACCAATCTCCATATGGACCAGACCATTTCCGGAGCCTGCTTCCATGGCCTCCGGCTTAGGTGACCTTGATACTAGCGGCATTTGAGGCAAGGACAATGACGATTCCAATAAGCTTGAGTCTGGCGTGGGCGTTCTTCGGGGGAGTGGGAAATCGTAGAACGTTGTCCCCGTGCCATGCAATGCTAATGGGTTGAAGTGAAGATCGTCTTTTGTTTCTCTTCTGCTTTCTGACCTTCGAATAGGCACTTGTGACGTCGATCCAGAAGAGGTTTTCGGCCTCTCTACCTGTCGGTCATGGTCTTCTCTGAATTTTAGCTTCCTCGCGTGATTTATGTCGCCGGCTTTGGCCTGTGCCTCATCTGTGACACGAGTCGGCAAACGAGGAATTCCAACGTCTCGTCCCTTCACACCCACTGGCTGGCCCCGCCCCGACAATGTTCTGGAGACTGTCTTTGCCATCTGGTCTGGGGATAGAGGAAGAGGCACGGTCTTCGATTGGTTGTGAGAGAGGAGCTGCTTGGAAATGACGAGTGAGACTGAAACGTCCAGTGGGAGCGAGTTTATGCGGTCTTCAGTACGACAAACGAGCAGATAAAAAGTACAGACTTCCAAAGGAGTGGACAGGCTCGCCAGGAAACCCAAAAACAATGTGCAAAAAAACGGAAAAGAAGTGTGGACAGAAGCTCCGTTGAAGACTGGACAGAAAGGCTGATGAAGATAGCGGAAATGACCTACTGTTAACTCACCGTGTATGCTTGCACCACCAGGCTCGTTTGAGGTTGATGGGACGAGAAACTTCTGACTTTGATTGCAGGCTGGAAGGTGGTTGATCGTCGACAGGGTCCTCCCCGAAATATTGTGGAGTTGCAGATGGCTGACCGCACAGGCGTTGGCGTGGATGGACCTGATGGGCGGCCTTGCGTGGTGTTGGGGTGGAAGGAGCGAATGAGCAGCAGCTTCTGGAAGAAATTGAAGAAATTGAAGAAATTCCTTGTGCCATCACCGTCAAGCAGGTGGATTGATGAGCAACGGGAACCTTGGAAAACCGCTTTAATCTTACTGCGCCAATAATCGAAGGGGCGGGAGTCGCGTCAGGATCCAACATGCTTGAAGGGTTCTTGTCGTGGCATGGGCATGTCAATTTTGACAGGGCTTTTCACGTCGTTCTGGCCTTTTGTTTGGATGCGATGCGACTCGGAGATCAAGTTGAAAGAGGCGAGCTATTTGCTTTCTGAGGAAGGGAACGTGGCAGTATAACGACAGCATGATGAAGATGGCCGCAAAAGCACTTGACCTTCTCATGGTTGACATGCAGTTGACTGGAGTTGACTGGAGTTGACTGGAGATGATGGTGGCTTGCGGGTAATAATCCTATGTTCAGACGAAACATGGGGACGTGCACGTGCTCACGACTATTCTCCGCTGATGTCGACGATGAGACTGCTTCCCGATGTGATAGATCACTCTATCACTCTATCACTCTATCACCACTGATGCCTGCATCAATCATCGCAACGATGTTACAATGAGAATCCGACCATGTTGCGTGGCACCGAGCGATCTCTGCGGAGAACTTCATTCAATACATTTCTGCCTCCAAGTCGGTAACCTGACGGTACTTGTTCGTAATGGAAGTCTCGAATGCAAATGCTCATCACCAGCCAAGCGAGTCATAATTTTCCGAAATTAGCTGGTCCTTCGACCACTGGATCATTGCCTTAGGACCCAAATTCTTTAATGCTGTAATACGATTAAGTACACCTAGTGTCTTGATGTCCAGACTCCAGTTTGATGTCTTGGTTATCAACGGATCGCCCGCGTCTTTGAAGACGCAGATTCCCTTCCCCTCCCCAACTACTAATCCGTTTTATCTACTTTACGACGTGCTTCAGCAGTGGGATGCGAGGTACTCATCGATTACATATCCCTCATCTGATTGTTGCTGATGCAGCGTGACTTCGACGGTTTCACAACACGGCGAGGTGTTTGAAGTTCTAGCCGGTGAAACACCCATGTCCAGGTACTTCTTGCCGAAACTGTCAGGGAACGGGTGTATTTTGACGAGATTGCTGTCGATCAACTATGATCTGCCAAGTTTATATCTTCAAAACACCTTGGCTGCTCCTGGCATTGTGTTGTGCAAAGCCGCCCTGAAGAAAGCTGTTTGTTGACAATGTCACGTGAGCCTCCTCGAGTTCCTCCGGTTGAACGATAAATGAAATAGCTCGCATGGTGTGTTGATTATAGTAGCATTTTCGAATTTGAATTTGCGGCGAAAGGACGGCAAAGTGCATACGGATTCGGCATACGGCACAGAATGCAAGAAAACCCCGAAGGAGTACAACCTTAAAGTAGCGAGTTTTCACGATTAGGTCAAAGTAACGCTGTGAGAGATTAGGCCGCACTTTTCAAATATCCCATACCCACTAGAAGACATGCAATCAGGGGTGGAGATGCCATCAGGTAGGCGCAATACTATGTTGTGCCCAAATATCAAAGAAAGACGGGTACTATTAGTAGTAGTGACCCCTTAACCTCCTCGCTTAGCCAGGTCCCGCAAACCTGGCCTGGTAAACCACTTGTCTATAGTTGCTAGATGCATATAGTTGTGTTGTTGGGATAGCATAACACAAGTGCCTAGGTAATGAATAATATAGGTACAGACTTGTTGGTTTGTCAATTGTAGTAAAGAGGGATAATACCTATAGAAGATGGATTAGTATTATTGCTATATTGACTTGCAAAAGAGGTTACTAGAAGTTTTGCAGGCGGCAATTCATCACAGCAGAACCAACGCCAGCAGAAACTAGAAATTAAGCTGGAGCAAAACATGAGAAGGAAGAACGGCTGCAAAGGATTCTGGAGCAATAGAGACGAGAACAAGAGAAGGTTTTATAAGTAACGACGTAGTCTGACCTTCAGAAAAACACTGGAGACGACATGCAAGTTCTCATCTCTTTTATGTATTTCAGCTCATAAACTTTTGAGAGATCCAGTTCCACTTGTTCGAACTCAATGGCGTACATGGATCATGTTTGAATTCCAGGAACGATGTGCTTGAAAGACCACTCCAAATGTCCAATTTCTTTACTTTCATACATCTGATTTTAACGAATAAAATTGGGTATCTCTGGTGAAAAGTTACTTCAAGAGTACGGGAAATCAATTCAAATGCTGCATATCACATACTTGTCAATCTGCGGTGCTCGACGCTTGTAAGTAAGTGGTGCTCTTAGTTGCGGCGACTGAAATGGGCATCAAAGCACAGCGGAGGCGTTCACTTCTTCTAAGTTGTCAATTGATTTAGACATGCAAGTAGACTGTGGGGTGTTTATTGTATTTATGTCATGCAAAGATGCTAACCATGATGACCAGTACGACACTTCTAATATCAGACAGATGTTGATGTCAACTCCTGCTAAGTAGTTGTATTCATACACATTACTTCCTACATATTTCCATCTTCAAATAAAGAGGCTAAGAACCTTATTTCACGAAACCATTCCTCTTTTCTGCTACTCGGACTCAGACTTTATCCCATGCCTATCTCCATACCCCATTTGCACACCACCACACACTACATCCACCACATTCAAATTCACCACAACCCCTCCCCATTCACTTTTGCTTTTCCCCCTCGCCCCCACCCATTTTCCTTCATCTTTAACCTTTATAAATCCCAATACCACTTTTTCTCTCAACAAATCAGAACGGTTCGAAGACTCCAAGCTGCCGCAAGGCGACGCAGGTCCCCCTTCCCCCACCCTGTCGTTCCCTCTCATTAATTCCTAGTGATAGAGTTGGGAGTGGCGAGTTTAGTAGAACTTAGTTCCCACGACTCGGATGATGACCGAGAAAGCATCTTGTATGCTACCTATTTTTTTTTGGAGTTTTTGGGGGTTGTCGCTTAGCATAATTGTGGTTAGGAGGTTTGAGTGTTATTCTAAGGATAGATCGGACGAGTGGATTCACCTGCGATGCAGTTGACATGCGCCCTGAATTGTGTGTACTGTGTAATTAATTGAATTTGTTTTGTTTTTCTACACCTGAGCTAGAGTGGCCATGTTACGATGACTAGGAATCAGATGAGGGTAGTCTTTTTCCTTAGTAAGTACTTTGGGTTTTGGGTGCTATCATTCTATCTCATATAATATAGAGCTTACTGTTCCTTACGGACATAAATGCGTATGCCCATTCGTTTTGTTACAGAATGTACAGAAAAGTTCCATTATTGCCCACCAGTACTTCCGCGAGGTTCCCAATGTTAAAATGACCGAAGATAGTGTCTTGATTTGATGATGAACAATGACATGAGAATGGAGTCATCCGAAAACATGGTAGCATATATTTTTAACATTTTGATCCTCAACCCTGATCTTCTTTGCTGTGAATAAGTCCTCCTCGAAAGAGGACGCAACCACAAGAACTTCAAATGTGTGGCACGATGCGTTTGTTATCCCTATGCTTCCACTTACAATTAAATAAGTACCAAAACTCACAGTTCGTCCTATTTGTAATTGGGGCGGGTTTTCTGTCTCAGACACTAACTTAAATAAAGAAGTGAACCTTCAGAGCAACTAGGGTCTGGATCAAAATTGCAGGGTGTGTAGTAGTCGGGGAATAGAAGGATCTAAACATACATATAAAATATATTCAGGGAATCTTGAAGTTGCCCTACAAAGGTACACGAACAAGAATGCGTACATAGCAAACATATCCAACTTCGCTGAAGCCCGATGCTGTGTACTCTGATCACCGCCAGTGTCTGTAGCCTATGACCACCTTCTCAGATAAATGCGAATCTTCCCTCTGCAAGAAACGATGGTATAATCCCGCGGGGTCAGAGCTAGCTATGTTGCTACAATTTCCTACCTGTAGCATCAGGTCATAAGCTGGAGCAGACAGAACACGCCGGGCGGAGGTTTGGTTCTGCTCAGATCTTCTCGTGCCTCTACACAGTACACAACATAAGCACTTCGCAATACAGAGGCGCAATTTAATGCTAGGAAGGAACGATGTTTATGATAAGACCAGTTGTATCAATGCAAAAAAAACCAACAGCGAATGCCGAGTTGAAAGTCCGAACCGGCTGGGTAGAATTCCAAGATGAACTCTCTCTAAGGTGCAGTATTAAATCACCGCCCCTTTGCTGTGTATGGCCCGTGCTGGGAGGTAATTTAATACTGCACCTTAGAGACTCTGCCCCCTTAACCTTAAGCGAGGAGGGCGTGGGCTCCACAAAGGTTAGTACGCAACCTTATCAACATTTGTACGCTTCATCCCGCAACATTGATGGGTATCGGAAAAACTCTCAGTTGGCCTCGAAATCCTGAGGTCATCCTTATTGTAAATTTAGGAGACTTTCACACCGCTGACAAACACGATATCTGCTAGATCACCCTTTTAAAAGCTCACGCAGACCATATATTTCAACCGGTCAAGTCCAAAATCATCGACGGCCACTGATTCATCCCTTGAGATCATTTGAAGAAGCTTCATTTTCCTTCGAGTCTCTCCTCAATCACCACTATAGAAAGGCACCTAGATCATGTCGTCGCAGACATGGCATGTGCCGGTGAAACTTGGTCTCAACCCGCCAGTCCACTTTGCAAGCCCGGGTTCAGCAGATATAAATTTCCCAGCCGGTCTTCGACATCTCTGTCACAAGGGTCCGCAGGCAGAAATTTCCTATGTCCTCAACAACTGGCCTCCTAGCCTTGGCTCTCTCTCCAATTCCCCATCAGTCTACCGGCCAGCCCAATGCTCAGCTGCTCTCGCCGGCCGTATCGCCGTTCTCGAGGACCTTTTCGCCCACGGCTGTCCTCTCTTCAACGAAGACGGTGACGAGACGGTTTCCAAAGCCGCGACAGAGGGTGCGGTGCGGCGAGAAAACACCACAGTTTTGGAGTTTCTGCTTGAGAAGGGGTGGGATTCTCGAGTGCGGACTCTAGTTGTGGTGTAAGCTCCCATGAATTTTAACTCGGAGACGAGTTTTCTATTCTCATTTACGGTACTCATTTGAAAAAATCCGGAAGCACTTTTGGAGAACTCTAGCCTGAATCGGTGGTGCAGACACGACCTACCGAGCGAAATGGTAACCAAGTGGTTTCTCACCCATGGTTGTTCCCCGAACGACCTAATCCGTCAAACTCGCGGGCAGACCTTGATCACCAGAGCCGCATACACCACGCCTCTATCCGTCATCGAGCTTCTGATTCTGCAGGAGGAACAGTTCAGGGAAAGGATGCGGTTGCCAGGGCTGTCCAGGCTCACGTTTCCAACATCCCTGGCCGGCTGGAGGTCGTGGAGTGCTTGCTTGATAATGGCGCTGACGTTGATGGATATGTGTATAAATACGCACCGAATCAGTCAATTGTTTGGATGCAAGGACGCGAAACGGGGCTTTTGGTTACGACCCGGGGAAATAGAAAGGACATGGTAGAGTTGCTGTTAAAGAGAGGGGCGGATAGAGGCTTCAGGCCTGGGAAGTCGAGGCTCGGGAGGACAAGACGGCGCTGAAGATTGCGGAGGTGAAGGGATATGAAGACATTGCTAGGTTACTTAGAGCGTAAGGACTCAGAGCCATGGGATCTTGATTTTTCTCCAATTGGAAGTCTGTTATCATTGTAAGCTCTGTCTGAACTGAAAGACGTAGCTAGTAGGAAAGAGAGGAACCTTTCAGGATTGAGTAAGACAGTCAATCTAGAGACGTTAGAGGAATAACAAGACTAGGAAATATATAGCAACAAAGCCGCCACTATAGTAACCTTAGCAACATCAAGAGACACCTTTCGCTTTGGTGCGACCTTGGGTCGATGCAGGAGAAAAAGGCATCCAGTAGTTATATGCCGGGGACTTTAAATTATCCTTCGTAGCTGTCATTAAACTTGTATTCAGAAGGTTTGGGTAACACCGTATTATTTCAAGGTTCTCTAGGAGTACCGGCGTGAAGAAGGTAGAATCCAAGCGTGCATGGTATATTGTTGTTCAACAGGAGAAAAGGTGCTGTCGGATTGACACTCAGTCAGTGGTGAGTAAGTAGTCTTCTAATGACTGGTAAATTTATGATTCCGGTTTAATTCCGGATTATCGATCTGAGACTTTTGATGAAGTTGGATAGAGAATCTTTACGAAGACGGACGGGAAGAGGCGTCGGCCTGGACAAAGCGCCGACTAAGAATTTTGACACCCCACCAAAACATAAGCGAGTCACTGGTTGCGGGACCCAAGGTTTCTTAGGCGCGAAAGCAGTTGTGACATCCACCGACAAAACAATCTACAAGAACGCCATCCCCAACTCCCCGATCCGCACGTTACTCGAAAATTTCCAGCATCGCACTGGATATACTTTTGTTTAATTACTTATTTGAGCCACACACATATCCTCCAAGATGTCTTGGCAAGGTGGGTGAAGACGAAGATTACCCCTCCTCAGGCTGAGCTGGCTGACTGAACTTTTGTAGCGTATATCGACTCTAGGTACGACGAATATGCGAAAAGAAAGAGGGAAATCACGCTAACGTGTCACAAAGCTTGGTAGGCAGCGGCCATGTTGATAAAGCAGCTATCATTAGTGCTGCTGGAGATAGTGTTTGGGCAACCAGCGCAGATTTCACCGTACGTCGCCAACCCCATCCTTTCCCATTTTGGATCCAGGCCCGCCCGATTTGAAACGATCCGCCGCAACCTGAACTTGCGAGGGTTTTGGAAGGATACAGACTGATTCAAAAGCAGATCTCTCCTGCTGAGATGAAGGAAGTGGTAGCCGGTTTGACCCAACCGGACAACCTATATGCCAACGGGCTGCACGTTGCAGGAGAAAGATTCGTTCTCACAAAAGCTGAAGATCGAAGTCTCTATGCCAGAAAGGTAAGGAAGTTATGCCTAAGTTGCGCGTAGTAGCTGAAGCTGGTTAAGGCTCAAGATCGAACCTCATTTCTGACTTTTTTCCAAACAGGGCAAAGAAGGTGTCGTCATTGTTAAAACCACACAAGCAATTTTAGTCGCCCATTACAACGAAACCCAGCAGTCGGGGAATACGGTGACTGTTGTTGAGCAGCTGGCGGACTACCTCATCAGCACCGGATATTAAGAGCGAGGTATTGAAACGAAATTGAAGTGATTGAGGGACGAAGTTATGAGGTTCATCGGGAACAAGATGTGCATAAACGTATCAGGAAACCCATTTTGTTGGCATTGATAGGGCGGATACTAGAATAGTATTCCATATGTGGTAAATGAGCGTACTTGGGGTCTTGGTAGGCCTTGCAGAGGTTGACTGCCGAGGAGTAAGATAAGCCTTTGCATAGGTACGAATCGATGGAATTCATATGCCACCCTACTCGAGACTGCGATTAGCTTGATCGGACCATTGTGAAGGTTGAGCCTATCTGCCGCAGAGGCAGTATATTTCCACAGACGAATTTCGAAAACCACAGGCTCTAGCACGCTCTAAATTCCAAGACAATAATTTACATGAAGCACCAAACGCCCACCAACCAGTTCCGTATATATACACTTTAACAACAGTATACATTTCCCCATATTTGGTCGCGTATTCGGGTATAACTCGCCTCCATCCTGAACCTCATCTAACGCCGTCAGCGTCACTACCAAGCTGCAGACAGAAATTGTCTTCAAACTTTGCAAATGCTCTATTGCTTTATCCCAGCCTTTTCGCCGCACTGGGCGTGTTTACACAGGCAGCGTCTCCCCACCCCCAACGCTATCTGCGATCTTCCCGATCCAGTATCCTATCACCGGAATATTCCTCCCAAACCCTAATATCGTTCCTAGGAAGTCCCCAAACAGTACGAATATCCCATACAACTCAATCAGGAAACCGAAAAAGGCCCAGCGCATCAGTATCAGGAATAGTCCTAAGAAAAACGCAGCCGTACCCTTGAGCTTCTGTTTCCGCGCAAAGAAAAGCGCCGTCTTTTGTGGTCCGATTATTATTGTGAGGCCGATTAGGAAGAGGATCTAGGTTTCGTTAGGGGACGGCCGAGAGCAGAAAAGGAGGGGACAGACATTGCCCATTGCTAGCCTAGGAAAGAGTTAGCGCTGGTATGCATTTTGGTTAGGGAAGGGATGTATACATGGCTCTATCGAAAAACATCATCACTCCACCTATTAAAAAGAAACCTCCTATTATTTTCGTCAGCGCCAGGCCATGCGCCGGGACGAATAAGTACTTACCACCTGAACAAAATGCCACACCAATTTCTGTTGCAATTGTGTATTAGCATACGTTCGATACAGTATAGTCGGCTGGAAAAAATAGAAATCCGAGAGTCCGGCGCAAGTTGAAAATATCGACTGGAAATTGCTGGGTATTTACTTTGCGAATCTGATAGCCACATTGAAGGCATTTTTGCTTTGTGATCCTATTCCTTTCTGCAAACTTCCTTCTCTTATAACTATTCGGTTCGGACTGTTTTACTGAGACAGTTTGCGGGAAATGGGTATTGTAAAGAGACTTGTGGATAGGCTTCTATGAATTCTTGAGGAGAGCGAATCTGGCTTGTTGAATGAGAGACGCGAGCTGGATGGTGCACGGATGCTTCACGTTGGGACGCCCACTTTTTTAAGTGGTGGTGCCAAGGAGTTTTGCAGGAGCTTTATTTCTTATTTTTCTTTTGACGGTTGATTTCTTCAACTGTTTCAATGCGTAAAATCACACTGCCAAACTACCGGAGGAGTCTATGTATGAGCACCACAGGGGTCAGTTCACATTATTGCTGATATCGCCATTATGTGACTCATATTCAAAATCATTTTATTCTTATTTCCTTCATTGTCCAAGTCCAATGTTCCTCTCAAGGAGGAATACATTTCCACTATATTGCCGCGACGACTAGTGCTTCATGCATTGGTAACTGAGTCTATTCTTCGATATTCTCTCGGTACCCCGTCATCTGTGGGATTTATCTCCAGGCAAATATCAGAATCCTTGATCGCGATTAAGCCGGAGCGTATTCTTGAGCCATTGATTGAAAGGTCAATGATGGGTGGAATGGGCTTGACTTTGTCGGTCGGACATATCGAATTGTGACTCCAGCCTTTGATCTGCTTATCGAGTTCAAAGTTTGGCGCGATGCTGTTTTCGACACGCCGCAAAAGCCTTCCAGTATCGAAGTTGCCAACAACACTCAAAGCAATACGATTGTCAACCAGATTTGTGAACCACCTTCTCCAATACCAAAGGTCATCCTTTGGAAGCCCAACCTCGGCCGAGTAAGTAGATAACTCCCCTCGAGTACTGCTCTCTCTCTTCGATTCTGCACCAGTGCTCTTATATATTCCCCCGCTCATTTCAAGATTGTATGCGCCCCTCTGGCCTCTAAATACTGCTCCGCGACACCCTGTCCCAGAGTCCTAATCACCCCGAAAACCTCTTTGTTGTGATATCTGAGCCTGGTCTTTGGATCTGTATAAGGTGCTGGCAACCCCGTAATGTCACAATAATGCTTGTTATGCGCCATGCTTGGAGCGCTTTCGATATTCGTATATGTAGCGGTTGGAGCAGACGAGAAGCCGCTACTCTTCATGTTCCTTTCCAGGACTAATTTTGATAGGTTCCGTGATGCCTGTGCTAGATTTGGTTGTAAAGTTGCAGATGCCGTGGAGACTGCAGGAGTAATATCGCCGTCTGTAGACGTGACAGAATCGTCGGGTAAGGGAGTGACTGCGCCGGAGTTGTCCTGAGTCGCCATTGTAGATGCTTCCTTGCGAATAACATCGCCGATTATTGTCTTGATGTTCTTGTTGCGACGTTGATTGGGCTTCCAGTGAGCGGAGCGAAAGGGCTTAGGGATAGCGTGTATATCGAGTTGATCGATGAGAATCTGGTGTGCCTCTGCTTCAGGAGTTGGAGGTGCCATTTTGCGCTTAAGATCCGATTAGTTCAAAACGTCGCTGTGATTTTGCGTTGGGTGTTGAGAAAGAAGATATATCTACAAATCGAGAGACATCGTAGTGCACCCCGAAATCCTTGGCGTATTTCCACCCGCTTCCCCTCCAACGCGTCAAGATAATCTTTTAGTTTCCAACAACAAAATAAAATATCCGCAGACATGGTAATGCATGAAATCACGCGTCTTTTGGACCGCTCTAATTGTACAACAGGAAAGCCCCCACGAGCATCAGCAGAATTTACTGCTCTCCCGAATCATTACCAACGTGGTACGTTTTTCATTGTAGCTCCAACCTTCACGTATGGCTAATTTCATTCTAGGAGAAGCTAAATGAGGCTATCATGCTGTTAAACAAGAACCTTCAAGTGTGCTTTAAAATAACAATAGTAAAGGGTCCATTACTAACGTAAGCTACAGGATATCAACATCCAAAACATGAATGTGGAACTAGTAGCACAGATGTTCAAGAATTACCAGTCGAACGTGCTATTCCACCTCGAAGGTAAGATTTTCAAGATTCGGAAGTCTAAATTCCCAATCAATTACTAACTTACAAATTAATAGCCACAGATAGCTTAAAAGATCCTTCATGAGGGCTTGCTGGGTAGAGATGGTGTTAGGGCAGGTAGTTGAATGATAAATGTGTACTAGCATGATGAATTTTACGAAGCAATAATGAATCATACACGAAATGAAATATCTGTTATCTCTTCATTAAAGACAAAAGATTGTGATGGCTAAACGTTTGTATTGGGAACTTCAGCCTTGTGAACCATCCGTCACCCAGCCTTGCCTGTGCAAGCGGGAAAACGATCGCGAACCTTTCCCAGTCGCAAAGCTTACAACTATTTCCACACCACACCATTCTATGTTCTAAGAAACTGACTCACATGTACATGACACTAGATACCATGTCATAACTAAATAAACAGTTCCCCAGACTGTCAGCGACACAATGGCACCCTCCGCGACCGAACCTGTAGCTCCATCCTTTGACAGACAGAGCCCAATACCACCTCCTCAGCTTTACCCAGTACGCGAAGCGCATTTCGAACAGTATCCAGAGCCCCAGAGGCCTGATGGTTATCGAACAGCGGTTCGGCGCAATGATGCTGCAATTGTGATAGATAATGGTACTCCCTTGCCTTCCCAAGTCCTTTCCAAATAGATCCGGACTAATTCCATTATAGGTTCGTCAGCGTGTAGAGCTGGGTGGTCTTTTGAAAACAAACCTCGTCTGAACGTAACTCCTATATTCTCCAAATATCGCGACCGAAAACTTGGCAAGACATACTCTTTCGTTGGACAAGATGTCTTGTCAGATACCACCGCGCGGGGACATATGCGGAATGCGTTTGAAGCTGGGACGGGAATCGTCAGTAATTGGGATGTTATGGAATCGCTGCTGGACTATACGTTCATCAAAATGGGTGTCGATAGCTCAGAGGGAGTTAATGTGCCAATTGTCATGACGGAGGCGGTCGCGAATTTGGCATACTCAAGGAAATGTAAGTGCTGTGGTACAAATTCCATCACTTACACTAATATTGAATTGTAGCCATGACGGAAATTATGTTTGAGTGCTATAACGTTCCGTCTCTTTCCTACGGTATTGACTCGCTCTTCTCTTACGACTACAACAATGGCAAAACTGGACTTGTGGTGTCTTCCTCACACAGCTCAACACATGTCATTCCAGTCCTTAATTCCAAAGCAATTCTCACACAGGCAACAAGGCTGAATTGGGGAGGTTCACAGAGTGCAGATTATCTATTGAAGCTAATAAGGCTTAAATACCCAACCTTTCCAGGTAAATTGAATGCTTCTCAAGCTGAACATATGGTCCGCGATCACTGCTATCTGTCTCAAAACTACGACCAAGAAATTGCGGGGTATCTAGATTGGGAGGGTCTTGAGGACCGGGACCGAGTCATTCAATATCCTTTCGTGGAAGAGGTCATCATTCAAAAAAGCGAGGAAGAACTTGCAAAAATAGCAGAAAGAAAACAAGAGAGTGGGCGTCGGTTGCAAGCTCAAGCGCAAAAGATGAGGCTTGAGAAGTTGGTGCAAAAAGAGCAAGAGCTCGAATATTACCGGGATCTCCAATCTCGGTTGGTTGACCAAACCAAGAAAGAAATCAAGAGACTTTTGGATGATGAGGAAATGAAGGACGAAGCGGCCCTGGAGAGGACAATTAAGGAGTTAGACAAGTCTATCCGAAAGCAACGGATCAAAGATGTTGGAGGTCCTGAAATTGAGGAAGAAGTCGAGGAACCAGATTACTCGCTCCTCGATACGCCAGACGACCAGCTCGACGAAGCAGGTATAAAAGCAAAACGCCATCAACGCTTGATGAAGTCAAACAATGAAGCTCGAGCTCGTGCCAAAGCTGAAAAGGAGCGCGAAAAAGCCCGGATTGCAGAAGAGCAACGTGCCGATGAAGAACGTCGCGAGAACAACCTCGAGGGATGGCTTCAAGACCGTCGAAGCGCACGTGCAGAGATCATTCAAAAGATGAAAGATAGAGACCGTCTCAAGGCAGATTTGGGTAATCGGAAGTCTTTGGCCAGTCAGATACGGATGAAATCTATTGCAAATCTTGCCTCAGATGCACCGACTAAGAAACGCCGCCGGGGAAATGATGATGATAACTTTGGTGCCAATGACGACGATTGGGGTGTCTACCGGCAGATTGCAACCGGTGATGGTTCTGACGACGAGGAAGAAGAAGACTTTGGCGCTGGGCTCAAAACCCTCGAAGCAGATCTTCTAAAATACGACCCAGAATTCACCGATCAACATACTCTCGATGCGCAGACTGACTGGACTAAATCACTAGTCCATGCTTTCCTCCGCGGCCCTAGACCATTCGATCCAAAGAGTCAAGGCGAAGCTCATCAACTCCACCTAAATGTCGAACGAATCCGCGTTCCAGAAGTTATCTTTCAACCCGCGATCGCAGGACTAGACCAAGCAGGACTCATCGAGATAGCCGCCGACATCCTCACCACTCGCCTAAACAACAATCCTAACCAAGGTGACTTTCTCAAAGACATCTTCCTGACCGGCGGGCATTCTCAATTCCAGAACTTCGACGAACGGCTGCGGGAAGGTCTCCGAGGGTACTTACCGGCTGGAGCACCAGTAGCAGTGAGACGAGCAAAGGACCCTATATTAGATTCCTGGAAAGGGGCGGCGCGATGGGCTGGTAGCGAGAAGTGGAAGAGCAGTCAAATCACCCGCGCGGACTATCTCGAGAAAGGTGCTGAGTGGTTTAAGGTATGCTTAGTAACCCCCTTCTTCTTTTGCCCTTTCCAGACTTCCCTTGCCCCTTATAGCCATTTGGCACGAGTCATGTCACTCCCGATCTGTGAGGGTCAGTGGCGGTATGTTACATCCATCGAAGGGATTAGTAAAGAAGTTGTTTGTTGTTTTCTTTTTGGTCCGTTAGGTAATTCATGCTAATTTTGAAACCCAGGAACACGATTTGGGAAATGCTTACTCATAACCGTGAGTGGCATCTTTTTCCTGGCGCCAAGACGGAATAATGATTCAGATACGGGAGATACATGTGGCTTGTTTTAGAAAATGAGAGGCTGAGAATCTGTTTGGCTGGTGAGCGGATGCGGGTATGTCAGTAGATGAATTCGGAAATTTACATGACCAAAGGCGGATGGGCGTTTGGCTGAGTCTAAAATTGGAGATAGTGAGTTTTTGCGATGGAAGTGCGGTGCGGTCGTCAATTTCTCTCTCTCGTGTTATCCATATTGTGGACTCGGTGAGGCAAAACACAGAGGCCACTTTGAGGTTTCTGTGGCTGCATATTCTGGACGATCTTGTACTCGAGTATGTTTGTCTTGAGAGCGGTCAAGAACTTGCCACGTCTGCGCGTTATCTTTCTCAGGTGGACGTGATACGGATCCCTTCTCTGTTTTGTATTCATGAATTACCTAGTTATCTGCAACTAATTAGACTTCGTAGTATGTCAGTCGTATTGCGTTGCTAGCCTGACTCAAGGCATGAGAACCATGTAGCCAGCATTCACGTTACTTGATGAGTGTGCCATCGCTCGACTAATTTCTCTGACAAGTATCGTATCCAGAACGCTGAATGGCAGTGCGGCATTTAGCAAGGAACAGGAGAACCTCCACCAACGAGACGTTTGTCCACGAACGAGATACTGTTGCACAAAGCAGTCAGAGGAAGGGGGAAGGAATATGTGGAATGAACGGGAGCGTATAGTATACTATTACTTCTTTGGTATCTGGAATACCAGTAGTAGAGCCTGAAAACTTCCACTTTACGAGCATGCCTTTAATAGGTACCATAATATTTTGGCACCTAATCGCTAGACAAATACAGCCAGTCTCATAAACAAACATGAACGCCAGTCCCCCAAAAATGCAGACTTTCTTAACGAAAGCGCATGTCGCTTAACTGAGCGAGCTCAGCACCATCATGTGACGCCGTAACACCAAACCCAAATTGATTCATACATTCTATCATGCGCACATTTTTGAATATTGTTGCAAGCAGCATGTATTCCAAGTCACCAGAATTGTTGTATGATGAGAGCCTCAGCGGGAATATCACATCCAGAGTGTGGATATAGAATCTAGCTCTGCATGGCCGGAGCAGGGAGACCGTCAGCACTGGCTTGTAATTGCGAACGGATTATGTCCTCGTCGGCGGCTTCTTCTGTTGCAGCGTCCTTGAATCGTTTGTGATCATAATTATGAGGTTCTTCGTGTGCGTGTTTTGCGTTGGAGTTTAGACTAGCAGCTGCCAGATTACGAGCTGCATTGGCGTTGAGAGTGTTCATCCCTGACATTGCTGCCACAGGCGCTCCATCATGACTTCGAGTTACATCTGAAGGATGATTCAGGTTGACGTTTGGTGGAGGTTGAGGGAATTCTCCTTGCGATTCGATGAGGCGGGATTGAAGATGGATGATGTATTCTCGCAGCGAGTAGTTCTCGCTTTGTATGGACTTGTAATTGTCCTCTAACGCATGCATTCCTCGCACTTGTTCCTCGAGTTTCTTAATATAACCTTCCTTCCGTTGACGAAATGCTCGCTGCCATAGGTGTGAATGTCAGTGGATGGTTTACGTAAGCTCAGAGAGGGTCGATGGATGACATGAGAATTGACAAAGCAATAGGAGCAACCACCATCAAATCAAAAAATTGTCACCAAAATACACGACGTCTGCTTTACCTCACCGATCGCGAAAACGACCACAACGCAAAAATAAAATAAACGTACCTGGGCTGCGCGATTCTGGGCTGCACGCTTCGATTGCGATAATTCCCTCTTTCCACCTTTACGACCATCACCCAAATTGTCATCACCACCCGAGTCTCCCCCGCCGGCACTCATCATGCCACCCGGACCGCCTATAGATGGATCGATGTTGTGTTCGTGTGGACTGGCGCTGCTCGATGCTGGAACTTCGTTGTAGCCATGAGGAGGCCCGCCGTGCTGTTGAGGATGTTGCGCCTGTGGTTGCTGCGTCTGGGAGGTGCTTATAACAGCAGCCAGCTGGGCTCTTAAGTCTGCAGGTTGCGCCAATATCATGTCAGCAAGATACACACCAGGGTTAGACTCGATTGACTCGTATTGAGCGGCATATGGGGTATGGGTGGACGAGGGGGGATAATACCATTATCTGCACTCATCTCCTGCGTAAGTCAAGTGAGTCAGCCTGGATCCAAAACGATGTGGCGGGTTTGAGCTGTCGGTTGACATCTCTGTCACTCTTGCCTGCCGGTGATGTGTGTGTTTGCCAGACGCAAGGTACATCCGGTCGGCCCAACGCAATCTGGAAGAGCGTACGAAGCGCAAGTAGAGCGATTACTACTCGCGACTGCGTTGGCGTGATCGAGTGGGCGGTGGGCGACCGAGGACGTAGTGTTGCGCGCTGCATCTTCGAAACATCCGGCTGATGGGAGCGGAAGGGCAGAGAGACTGGGGGTTGAACGTACCTGACTTTGCATCTGGGGCATTGGTGCTGGGGCAATTGATTGCATGGCCATGGCTGGTACTGATCACCAAGTGAAGAAGAAGATGGATGTTTCCTAGCTAGCTGGCTGACTATGTCTGGGCCGTGGTTGGAGTGGTGCAACGTTCGCGACAGAGCACTGCTTCCTCGCGCATCCGATGATTTCACTGCTGGTCAAATCCCCCCAGAAGCGCGACCCTTCACCTCCGCTGGGCTTCTGTTCTGGTTCGCACAAGGCACGTGACTCGTCTCGAAGTTCGGATGTGGCGGAGGAGCGATTGTTCGGACCTGCGTTGGATGCCAGCCTGGAAAGCACAGCTTCTGTGCTTGGTAAAGTCGGATGAATCGCACAATGTCGAGGTCGAGGGGGGGTGTTGCTTAATAAGGGATGATTTATCCTGCCTCATGCAATGTGATAGTCCGTATGGATGCCCCCTCGCCCAGCTGGATGACTATTTAAAGTCGTGACACTTTGAAATCCGAGGTCCCTGGGGCGCTGCGAGTCCCGTGCGGACTTAATCCGGCACCGTCGAGGAATATGAGTGGCCAAAACCGTTGATAATATGGGGCCGATGGCGTGGCTGGTTCTGACCAGCTGCTTACACATCATCCGCACTTTCGCTCCGAGTCTCTCGGCCTTTGGAAGCCAACCTCATTCACCCTCATCCACCCTCCTTTATCCCCGAATCCAGACATAGACGATCGTTACGAGCACCATTCGGCGACATTATCATGGACGAAATACTGCCGCAGGTGTTTGCCACGTTGAGATTGATGAATTGCATCTGCATTTGCATGGCGGGATAGCCCGCACGCGTTTGCAAAACCGGTTCATTCAATATTAGCTACCTTACCTTACCTAGCGTAGGCAAGGTAAGGTAGGTATTGATCCTAACTCGTCTCGCTCGCCCCCAATGGCCTCTGTTCTGAGGTCCAGGGGACTCGACCTTTTTCTCTGTATGTTCTAGTGCTGTCTCGGGACCTTGTTTTACCAGTTACCTCATCCGGCACCGAACTGTTGGTTGTATTCCAACAGTAACAGCTTCATCCTGCACCTTGGTCTATCTCCAGATCCTCAAGCTTCTATTAACAGGATTCCAATCTTACTCATCCTATTCGGTATGTGCGGAACACCATCGGTCCTCAGAGCAGTGTATCATTTGCCTGGTTGGGAGGTCTTTGAAATTTTCAAATTCAGTGTCACTATATTCTTCCTTGGGATTAGTAAGATCACTTGGTCGGCCATAGACTCGCTGGCATTGACCAAGGGAGTTACACTGATCGAATGTGCCTACCTTCTCGTTGCGTTGCAGCTACGTCCCGTCATGTGCTCGGTACTCCGGGCTACGCGGATGAAGTGGCCTCGAGCAATGACCAGCAACCATCATCAACGGCAATCTGAGGCCCTGGAGCTGATTGGAACACGAGGTGTCTGAGTAGGACATGGTTGAAATCTTCTTCTCAGCTTCCGGCATCTTCATGGCATCTTGTCTTGCCGATATGAAGATGGGTGCCACGGATATCGTCAAGTCCCACCTGACAATGTCCTGATGAAGGTTACTTTTACTTCGTGTCGTTGGCTAATCGTACATCTTCCAATTGTATATCCGGGACCGCAGAGAGAACGCATCCGTGGGGTTTGCAACCATCTCGGGGATTTACAGATGCACTATATTCCTTCATCTTTACACTGATCAACCCCTCCCTCCTATCTACGGTATCTCACAGATATGCGCGCCTTAAAGAGTATCGCGTTGCAGAATTTGAGATCTGGGAGAGAAGCTCCAGCTGAGCGGCCTGTTCTTCAATGATATCCACCTCCTGTAGACTGTACGTCCTTTGCGCACTGCAAATTTTGGTTCACATAGAAAGCAACGCCATTCTCGTCGTGACCTGGCAAACGAGACTACACCCAGTGTCACACAATGGGCCGACAGATCAGAACATGTTTCCGATTGGTTCTAGCTGTTGGAAACAGGGCGAGAATCTTGAAAGTAAGTACAGTCAGCATTGATCTGAGCCGACATCCCCGTTGGCTGCTTCGTTTTGTGTCAGTTCCGAATTCCTGCATTTCAAGTTTGAAAGAACGATGTGATGGAGTATGACTGCAGTCAATCAGACGCTCGCCATAGGGCTGTGTGTCACCAACAGATCAACTAACAATGCTGACGGAATTTGAGGAGTGAAGCAGATCGCGGCGGTCAGCTGTGGGCTGTCTAGTTCATGCAGTCAGACGATACTCCATCAACCGGCAGTTCACCTATAAACCGGGAAATTAATGATCTTATAGAGGGCTAACGGACAGAATAATAACCCTTCGGTGCTAGAATCCGGATGTCATGTGGCAGTGTTTGCCAATTTTCGTTAAAGTTAATTTTCTGCATCTGTCTGCTTTTCTTAAGAAATTATAGCAATGAGTATTACTACATCCTCTTCAATCTGCTTCTGCACACAATGTGGCTCGTCTGAACGCGATGATATCAAATTCCAATTCAGGTCGAAGAGTGGCTCAAGCCGCCAGCGGAAGATCATCTATAACCTTACTCGAGTACTTGGTCGTAATTATATTTGACACCAAAGACAACCACGACTCAGAAGACATCAGCAACACATTTCAATAACACAAACAGAGCCACATTCATTGCCCCCACTCACCTGCAGACCGCCGACGGCGGTAACTAGTAGTTGACATCAAGTCATACTCGGAACGACTAATAGAGCGCGATTGATCAGCGACATCGCTCCTACTCGCATTTCGAGCTACCGTGAAAATTGCTTTTGATTAAGAATTCATGGCAACCTTAACAGGAAACATATGCCGCGTATAATCTCATCAACAAAGAAACTAAATGGGTCAAATAGCCTACCACAGATCACTAATCCCTAGCCATATTGCAATAGATCCAAAACTGGGAGGCGGGGAACGCATCCCCCAGCTTCACGCTTCAACTAGCACTTCCAGATTCATCACCCCAATCCGAACATAGTTAATGGCGGGGAACGCCCTTCGATGTACTTGATCTCGATACGACACTGCCAGAACCACTGGTACATAAATGCCGCCGGGAACTCAAATCCCGACCAAACAACAGGATCTCCGAACCCCAGAAACGGGATGTGAGTAGCCTACATCTCCCAATTGCATATGCGACACAATCATCACTACTGCAGGACGGCCTCGCTGCGCTGGTAAGTCCGATGGATGCTCGCGTCGCGGTCCGCAATAGGAAAACATCCTGCAGATTCTACCACTTCCCAGGTCTGGGTGAAGATGTCTCGATTTAGAATATCACTGCTTGCTTTTTTGAGAACAAATATGCAGTGGCCGAGAATGGCAAATGTTCTGCGAAGTTGCGAGGAGCGACAAATTATGCGGGTGCGTTGGATTGGGATGGTGATGGGTCGCGTGATGACGGGTTGGGAGAAGCGAGGAGTGTTTTGGGAAGAGGGAAGATGTTTGAATCGGAGATGGTGACAAATTGATTATTAGGGTTGACAGGCTTGACTTTCAAGTTGTCGACCATAGTTGGCAGTGTGACATTCCATATCCAAATTCGATACGACATGCGAGGAAGATTCAGAGATAGACAGACGATACTGATGTCTGTAAGATCGATACGCAGTGATATTTTCCTGCTGAGAAGAGATGGCGTCTGCTTGGACCCTCCTCACCGGCAACTAGGTACAGTATAGAGACGTCAACGCACGGGTATATTGCTTGATCAAGTATGTAAATACCTTCTAATGGATGGCCATAGGATCAGCAGCATCCAAATCTTGTCCTGACAGCATAACCATAATACAGACCCCCTTAAGATTGCGCAACTGATGTAGATCTGTTGCGTGCCTCTACATCTGATTGACGGCAAAACACGCAACTCAAGCTCGCTCGGTCATGATAAGGAACTATGGAAGCTTTGTGAAACAAATTGGTTTTCCAGGCTAGCCAGTAACAGACTGAATGAGCTTTTTATGATTTACAGGGCGACAGCTAGGATAGTGTGCTTTGTATGACCGAGTTTAGTGGTGATCGAATACACAAAACCATCTGGTCGCAAGAGGGAAAAGGATATTCTGTGCGTCCTCAAGCCACACAGGCTGTAGAATACGTCCACAATACCACACTAACAGAGATGGCCGTGAGTTCATGAAATTCTTTGCGTTCTGAATGTTCTATTCCGTTCTACAGTACATTAAGTAATCACACCATGTAGGCAATCGAACTAATTTTTCACAATTTGTTTCCCTTTTACATTGGAGTTCGTGTTTGAAGATGTAAATATGGTCGGGTATTGATCTTGAGTCTTCTGAAGTTCTATTAAAACTCAATAGTATATATTACTTCATTGCTTACAGTCACCGTCCGGCCTCTCTCACGTTTGGGTATGGGAGTGTCAGCGGCTTTTCCTCGCTCATTAACCGCAATGTCAACACACTCCGCGCAATGGTGAGCTTTGAAATTAAGAGAATGCAGGGTGTGGTGTACGAGAGTCTGTTATTTCTAGTAAAGTCACAAAAATCAACGACGTAGAAATTCTCATGTCAAATGTCTTACACATCTCGAGTACTTAATAATTGGGTAATAAAGCTGAATTTTCAGTCCCTGACCATCTCGTTCTCACAACACTTGGACACTTATAATTGAATCTATGACCTTTAATTCAGCAATGCTGCCGTAGATATTATGCGTTGACTTTCGCACAATGCCTAAGCTAGCCAGTTGTCGCGAGATCACCTGTGACTTGATACCCAACCCCAGCCCTCGGCGATCTAATGAGATTTGATTTTGAGCCGTTCTGCTTGTTTTTAAGGATACCATGTGGCTTTTCGTTGCGCAATACCAGGCGGGTGAGGCTACGGAAATGGAGCACGTAAGTCCGTTCAGTTGCCAACTAAAAGATGACATATCTAATTCATTTGTTTGTTGTTTTAGCTGACTGAATTAGAGGAGATTATGGGATGAGCAGAATAATTTAGACAAGGCATATGAAACCTTCAGACATGACATAATATTTTTGCCTAAATGGAAGTATATGTACGAGACCGGTGAGAGACATCAGCAACCACGTAAGCGCAATAATCATGTATCCCACAGGCAATAATGTCATCCAGCATTGATGTTAGAGACGTGGTAGCAATATGTTATTGAAACCAGGAACAATAATTGGGGCATACTACGCACTACCTTTCCCGAACACGCCATAAAGCTGCTGCATCATGCTTCGGTGGCAAATGCATACGATAATTGTAGATTGATTTATGCTTCTAAGTCTAAAGTCAGCTTCGTGATACGCACTTCTTCGGGCCAAGTGTGCAAAGCTAAAAGCCTATAAACCCTCCTTGGGACCGTCACGCGGTCCAGCACCCCACGTAACAACACAGTCAGCATATACGAAACTGTGTAACATCCTGCAAAACCACTATTGACGGGCTCATTGAAGCTGCCGTTGCCCGAGAGAGCATCGAACTGACCCGATGAGGCTCTGCGCAGATCAGGAAGTCCGAAGCTGGACAGTGTGCTTCAATCCTCGCTTAGACCCGACTCCCCTGTCCATTTTTCGCAGCCCCCTTTTCCGCTTTCTTTCCGTCATACTCCGCAGGCAGTGTAACGACTTCGGGCACAACATCCGGAATTTCGACACCCTGAATCTTGTGTATGAGTCCCAGATATCCATCGCTAACAATCCAGACATCAAATTTCCTTCCTTGCTCAGCGCGACCTGGCTCGTCGCTAGCGAATTTCATGGACGCTCTGGCACTTGGCTTTCCTCTCATGTTGGTGTTTGAATTCCAGCTCACTCTTTTGATAGCAATGATTTCGTCTTTCCCTTCGTTACAGAGAATCGCAAAATATCCCTCTGTTTGTGACTTCGGGAAACGTGGAGCGTACATTTTGCCTTCCTTATCTAGTAAAGGATTTTGACGTTCGATGGTTATGGTTAAAGAGAAAGGTGTTATATCTTTTACATCAATTTTAAGAATTGGAAGATATGTTGCTGCCTTATTAAACTTCTGGGTTTGAGCGGAAGACAAACCGAAAGCTCGTATGGTTGACTGATATTCATTTTCCGATTGGTCGGCCAGTGCTTGAAGAGATGATGGAACTCCTGCCTCCTCGGGTTGGGTTGTTGGTACACCTGGAAGGATAGACAATGGATAATCTGTTGGCCAACGCGCAGACTTGATACATTGAAGCAGCGTGATCATTTGCATGCAACTTGACAGGAAGCCCATCTCTGTAATAACGTCGATACTGGCTTGTATAATACGGATCGCTTGGTCGAGTACACTGGTTTGATCACCAACATAATCCGTGATTGGGAGATCGATGCGTGACATGTGTGCTTGCAAGAGAAGGAATGCTTTGACATGTGGATCCCACATTGGAAGACCATCAAATGATGAAGCTGGAATGGGGAGATTCTTTGAGAGCTCCGCGTTGATGAGATCCTCGTTGTGACGGACGGGAAGTTCGTCATACTCTATTGCGCTGGACATCCAAAATAAGGCGTCTGCGAACGAAGCATCACGCGTCGCATGCTTCACCAAATGGCGTATTGTTTTGTGAGACAGATAATAGTAACTCATTATCTTACCAAGAGCCGTTGAGTCGACGTCTCCGTTTGGGTACATGGTAAGACACTGTGATTCTGCAAGTTCTCCAAGCGACTTGTCCACCATCTCAATCATGTAGTCGTTAGCCATTTGCTGAGCAGCAATGGTGTTATGTTCTTCCGCTGAGATCTCGAGGCCATAATACGAGGGATTTTTGTGCAAGCGACGGAAAAAGAAGGTCCACGTCAAGTAGTCCAACGCATCCTGCTTCGTAGTAATGGTTTCCGCTGAGACTTCCGCACCCAAATGGTTGTCCAAAACATTGTGTAGCGATGACTCTACAGGAAAGCCAGTATGGAGAAAGTGTTTGTAGAAAGCCTTCTTCGAATCTTGAGTAAAGATTCTTGCAATTCCCGATGTGTCGAACTGTGGACGGCCAGCACGGCCCATCATTTGAAGAACATCTGTAAGGTCCATGTCCTTGTAGCCCTCAATTTTAGCATCAAAATACTGAGTTCCTTTGACAACAACTAGGTGAGCGGGCAGATTCACACCCCAAGCAAGTGTACTTGTTGCAACAAGAATTTGGATCTTGTTATTGGCGAACAACTCTTCTGACAATGATCGATCAGACTCAACAAGACCTGCATGATGGAGACCGATACCAAAGCTTAACGCTTCCTTCAAAGCATCGTCTTTGACTCTGGAAAGATTTAGTTGCAGGTCATCTTCTGACATCTTGACAAAACGACGGGGATTATCCTCCATTCCACAAAAATTGATCAAATCCTTAGCCGTCAAACGTGTCTGTCGGCGAGAAGCCACAAACACAATAACAGGCTTATCAGGGCTATGTGTTTTGATTGCCAAGAACGTGGGTCGATTCATAGATTGCATGAGAGGGCAGAATCCTCGCACTTCGGGAAAACCATCAATGAATGTTTCCAACGGGACAGGACGAACACTGTGTCGGAAATTGAAAAATCCTTCCTTCACGCCAAGCCAGTTCCCAAGATCCATAGCATTTGCACATGCCGTTGACATACCCATCAGCCTTACGGAGTTCTTAGATTGGGCGGCAATATAGTTCATACGAGACACGATGATCTCCAAAATGGGACCTCGATCACCACCTAGTAGATGGATCTCGTCTATAATGACCAAGCTGACCTGCTTAACGTAGCCTCTCGATTGCCACCCTCGCGAAATACCATCCCACTTTTCAGGAGTAGTGACTATGATATCCGCATCACGAATAGTACGAGTGTCTGGAGTATTGTCACCAGTCAACTCGACTAGCTTCAAACCCATTTGCCGAGTGATTCGCGCGCTCCAGTCTTTGACACGCTCTCGAACAAGTGCTTTCATGGGTGCAATGTACACTACTTTTGAACCAGGCTTTTCTCTAAATGCCCACCACATTGCCAGCTCGCAAGCGATGGTCTTTCCAGATCCAGTGGGAGAACCCAAGAATACATTTGCAGGCGAATGGTACAGACAATGGAAAAGTTGTGTCTGCATCGGGTTGAAGAACTGGAATCTCTGGCCATAAATCTCTTCTAACCCAGGATTTTTGAGAGCTGTGACCGGGAGAGGCTGCAAGTTCAAGAGATCGGTGTAAACACTCTCAGTATCTGGTCTGATAAGATGCTGAAAGGAGATAGGATGAACCGTTTCCGCACCGAGCCAACGATCAGACACAGCTCTGACATAGATCTGAGTCGGTAGCGGATCTGACAACGGGATCGTGAAATTGAGCTCATGGTCATCATATAGTTTTCTCCGATTAAGAATGAAAAACTCGTGATGGTAGATCTCTGACGTCTCGGAGTTCTCAACCCAGATCCAGTAACTCTCGGATGTTCCATGATGACGGTCGTTCCAACGGAAGTCTGGTGTAAGGTATAACTTGATTCGGAGCACATCCCTATTTAATGGAGCAATTTCAGAGTCGATGCTGATTGTGGGAAAGTTGTCTAGGATCTTGGAGATATTCTTCCCAGCTGCGAAGTTGTGTACTAGGGACCCTATCTCCGCAGGCTCCATGTCCCTCAATGTCTCTATCGTTACCGAGTCTTTGGATTCCAACTGATTGAGGACTGGTTTAGGTAAATCGAACTGTTGCAGAGGATGCTGAAATGCCCATAGACGCTTCTCGATCGATTTGCACATTGAAAGCAAGACCAAGCATTGGTGACCCCATCGCCGGTTAAGGGCAATCATGAACAGCGCCCTGCAGATTCTGGCGGATTGCTGCGCAATGTAATTCGAGTCATTGGCCAAGGCGAAGTCCTCGATGTACGCACGGGATATATAAGATTGCAAGAGGATATTGGTCTTGGTCTGCGACGACTCGCCTTTCTCGACCTCGCAAGGTGAGAATTGTTCGTCGCGAAGTTTTGAGAGCTCCTTCGATTCTGTATCTCTTGACTGGACGTTGTCAAACTCTCCACTCATAGCAATCATTTTCAAAACATCAGCTTCAGTAGCCTGCGGCCTCATCATAGTGTTGAAGATTTCAATGCTGGTATGAAGAATATAATATTGACTGGCGATTCGGCCAATGTCTTTGCTGCGAAGCTCCTCCGTTGTCTCATTGAAGATGATCATCTGATTCTGTTGCAACGTTCTCGCAGCTTGAATGATCAACAGCCGTCGGCGTTGAACCAGCGTTGGGTCGTCTCTAATCTCTGCCCAGTCAATTCCATATGTAAGAGGATTTCTTTGCATGCGAACAAACAAGTAGGAGTAGCCAAGCCAGGTTACCGCTTCTGGGACCGATGTCACGGTTCCTAGACCAATCTCGGCGTTTAAGTTGTCCACAAGATGCTTCGAGAATTTTGATTCGATAGGGACTTGAGCTGTGACTGCTGTAAGGTAATGCTGAACCTTATCGTGTGTTGTGCAAATCATTCCAATACCAGTGTCTTCAAACTGAGGTCGACCAGCACGACCAAAAATTTGAAGAACGTCCAGTATTCCGAGGTCAATAAATTTGCCCTCCTGAGCGCTGTACACCTGCGTTCCTTTGATAACAACAGCTGCCGCCGGCAAATTAACACCCCATGCAAGCGTTGCAGTACAGCAAAGTACCTTTAAGACGCCATTACCAAAAAGCTTTTCCATCAGATTTCGATCCGAACGAGCCATTCCTGCATGATGGATTCCAATTCCTTTCGGCAAGAGTTCACGAAGTTCTTTGCCTTTTGACTGCTTGAGATCCTTGATCGCGGCTTCGTACATGGGATGACTGGTAGGATCGAATAGATCGACGCATACTTGCTCGATAGCTTTCTCGTACAGCATTTTCGCCGTGTTCTGGGTGTCCTTTCTGGAATGAACGAAGACCATCACTTGGTGATCTTGCTCGAGCATCTCACGTACCTTTTCAAACGCAGTAGTATCAATGTTGTCTCGTGAAGTTTTGGTCCCGGCCTTGCCTTTTACACCAATAAAATGTTGCTCAAGAGGGACCGGTCTGAAGCTTGCATCGAAGTAAAACAGGCCGGCATGTCGATTTACTTTCAAGAAGTCCGCAACGTCGACATAGTTAGGTAAAGTAGCAGACAGACCAACAATTCGGATGAGGGACTGTGTACTCTCGACTTGGCGTTCTGTCCTAGCAACAAGTGATTCAAGCACAGATCCACGATCATCGTGAAGCATGTGTACCTCATCGATGATCAAGAGTCTCACTTTTTGAACGAGTTCAGTATCACCGGTCCCTTTCCGGGTCACAACATCCCACTTTTCTGGAGTTGTTACAATGATCTGCGTCTGGACAATCTCTTTTTTTGTGAGGTGCATATCTCCCGTGAGCTCTCGAACCTGCACACCAAGCCAGGCAAGTCGGCTACCAAGTTTCTGCGTGATTTCCGCAGCAAGAGCTTTCATGGGAGCGATATAGACAATCTTAAAGTCTTCGGTGTTTACAACGAAATCAGAAGCTTCTGGTTGTTCTGCGGGATTTGGTGAAGTATTTTGTCCAATTGCATGAAGCACAGTGAGCATAGCAGCATCAGTTTTACCAGCACCAGTCGGAGCGCAAATAAGCATGTTTTCGCTGCTCTGGTATGCAACAGGATATACCAAGCTTTGCATGCGATTGAGAGTCTTGTAACCCTTGAAAGTCTTACGGCAGAGGCCGTCCATTTCTGAAATCTTGACAAGCTGGCGGCCAGCACCCAATGTACCAACTTTAGCTGCAGGTATAATGTATTCTTCGTATCTGGCATGTTCCTTTCTCTCACTTCCGGCAGGAAGTCCATATTTCTGGCCTCGGTGATCTAGCAAGTTGCCAGCAGAATGTGCTTTATAAACATGGGGATATTGAGGACCGTCTCTATTGAGACTCGGGCCTAAAGTTGCGTTCTTGTGCTCGTAATCTCTCTGCCTCAAGGTCTCCTCACGCTGACGTTTAGTCTGAAGCTTGCCGAATATACTGTCATCCTGATTTGCCGCAAATGGAGAAGGGGCTGTGATTTCTCTACGATGAGAAATAAGATCAGTAACGAAATCAAGATCATCAAAACCAATGATATCGGTAAGGGTGGATTGTAGCTCTTCTTCAACACTGTCTGATGCCAGGAGTGCCATTATTTGTTCTTGTAAATCTTCGCCCCGAAGACCTTGCTTTCTAGAGGACAGAAGCAAACATTTGCTCCTCAGCCATTGCGGTCCATATGAGCCATTTGGGATTGGCGGATCATGGTCTCCATTAGAGTCGCTGCTGTAGACGTCTTCTTCGCTATCACTAATGAAATCCCATACATCATCGCCACTATTACCAGACGTAAAGTCCTCTTCTTCAAAGGCGACATCCGAATCATAAAGCGTGTCTCCATTATTTTGAGGCAATTTGAGGTCGGCCAATGCTGCGCGCATGTTGGCCAGTTGCGTTTGCCACCGCGCCTCTGCGGAGTCAAGCGCTGCGGGAGCCATCGTGAATAATATATTCTGGGTATGCGATGACGATCGCGGCGACGAAGGCGATAGTACACTCAATGAAAGATCTGATAGCAGCTTGATGCTCGAGAGAGTTTGAGGTTGACACAAAATTGAACATTCTGACTGACATGAGCATTTCGAGGCCTCGCTAAGCTCGCGCTAACAAAAGACATGCCCCACCGAAGATCAATGACAGTGACATGAGTTTAGCCCACCAGCGTCTTATTCTCTGAACTGTTTTATTCGGTTTTGTGCTACCATCAGTTTAACGTTTGAAATAATCTTCAAAATTTGGCCTTCACGAACTCGCCATTTCCAGTGCTGTGCTATACGGGGACGAATTTTTTGCTATTAAATGTCTATCACTTTCCAACTATCTAGTAAGCGGCCGCCAATGAGACTACAGTAGAGCGACCAGTGAATTCTCATCAGGGGGTGAGAAAGAGGCTTTAATAATATGTCAGTACGCTACATTCTCAGAGATAAAACGACTAGCTTGATGTCACGTGATATCTCAAAATCATGCTTCTCTCGCATTATCTCACCATGTAGTCAGAAGCAGAGGAATATCCATTGCCTTCAGTAGGTATCTCTACTCTCTACTGGCTGAGTAAAAATCCCGTCTACGAGCCGGTTGGTAAAATTATGAATAAATTGAATCACAGATCCTAATCGTGAGTCTCGTGATAATATGAACCAGTTGACCACACGCTTAGCCACGCAGAACAATATATCGACTTCAGGTTACCAGATGGATGGTATTTGGAAAAATCTCCGGCCTCAAAAGCATTTATTCCGCCGGATCCAAGATACCTTGGCCAAAATGTAGGCTAGACTAGGTGCCACTCGCTTCGCAAACAGCCGCTGTTAAAGTTTGAAACGGAAGGGGAAGTGACGAATCCCAGGTATACGAATGAATCAAATTGCGGGGAGCATTTGACCCTGTTGTCGGACAGATTTGCGCACCAGTGATATGATAGCGTGAGATCCTTCCTCTCCGCGTTTCTAACCCACTCATCGGTACTTGGGAATTTCCCCCACACATATCTAGTGGGTTACAGTTTATATTATACCGAAGATAGGAGCGGGGAGACTTCTTGAGCAGGTGATAGGAGGACAAATTTCATATGTTCCGAGGACCAGGAACCCAAAACATATTTTTATTAATGCCCTGATCTTTTCAACTTCTCTTTCCTCTCTTTCCCCCTTTCCTGTTTTCCTTCTGTCGCTCACTAGCCTCTGACTCTTCGAAGCATACAAAGGTTGCGGCAAGTGAGGTGATTCAAATCGCTATGTTGCTCCAAAGACTTGCAATATTTGCCCATGCTGTATCTTTTGCAAATGCCGCCCTCACATACAAAGGGGTAGATTGGTCCTCAACTCTGATGTTGGAAAAATCAGGCAAGTCCTTCAAGACCACCGGCGGAAGTACCGCTGCATTCGAAAGCATCTTGAAGTCCAGCGGCGTAAATACGGTGCGTCAACGGTTATGGGTCAACCCTGCAGATGGCAACTATAATCTGGCATACAACATTGCCCTTGGGAAGCGTGCAAAGGCAGCGGGGTTGGGAGTATACCTAGATCTTCATTACAGTGACACATGGGCGGATCCAGCGCACCAGGTATGAAAATGATTATGGTGATCGCTGAAGCTTTGCGGCGTGTTAACTATTGTTGCGCAGACACTGCCTAAAGGCTGGCCATCCAACATCGATGATCTGAGTTGGCAAGTATACAATTATACTCAAAATGTATGCAACTCTTTTCAAGCGGCAGGTGTACCTCTTGAGATAATCTCGATCGGTAATGAGATAACCGCTGGTATGCTCTGGCCACTGGGGAAAACCAGTAGTCCGGCGAACCTAGCACGTATGCTACATTCGGCAGCAGCTGGCGTGAAAGACTCGAGTCTTGCAAAGAAACCGAAAATTATGATCCATACAGATAATGGATGGAACTGGTCTACACAATCCTGGTTTTACAAGCTCATACTGGCTCAAGGGACACTGGTGACGACTGATTTCGATATGATTGGTGTTTCTTATTATCCCTTCTACAATAGTTTGGCAACGCTCGCATCCCTTAAAAGCAGTCTAAACAACATTGCCACGACTTTTTCGAAACAAGTCGTGGTTGCAGAAACAAATTGGCCTGTATCTTGCCCGAGCCCCAAGTACGCTTTCCCCAGTGACACCACAAGCATTCCAAAGAGCATTGCTGGCCAGACGACCTGGATGAAAAACGTAGCTTCTGCCCTGGGAGCTGTTTCGGGATCTTTAGGTGTAGGAGTATTTTATTGGGAGCCAGGATTTATTGGGAATGCTGCTCTTGGCAGTTCGTGTGCTGACAACCTGATGGTCGAATACTCTGGAATTGCGAGGTCGAGTTTGTCGGTATTTTCATCGCTCTGAGCCATTTATCAACGTATTGAAAAATCTCGCTTTCTGTGAGGAAAGAGTATCAGTCGTGGTGCCTGTATTCGCAAGTCCCAACTAGTATTGCTGGCCTTCTCCGTTGAAGTATTGCTGTTTGAAAGCACACGGCAGGCAGACTTTCCAACTACGCGTGTAGAGCACAATTGCAATCTGAATCCTTTTAATGGTGATGAAAGGCCCAAGAGGCGTTCCCGGGTTGTAGGGTATGGAATTGTTGATAACTGAAACTAGATTAAAAAATATTGAGCAACCACATATTCTATAACCGTGTGGGCTGTAACAGTCAAGCAAGACTCTCGAAGCGCTCTTTCGCTTTGTCCTTCGTTTTATTCAGGAAATCAGCATAGGTTCCGGTCGTTTGACGCTGCGCTTCTTCAGCAGCATCACCAAGCTTGCCTCCTTGCGCACCTAAGCCAACTCCGGCACTGTAGAGGTCCGTCCTTATTGCATCAGTCATTCCCGTACCTTGTGCACCTAAACCCTCGCCAGCAGTCCAGCCCATTTTCCCCAGCAATGCTGCGCCCTTAGACTGCACTGATGTATCAATCGCATCCGTGTCGGTGGAAGGCTTTGATCCACGGTTGTGTTGTGCAGCTGGCTGCTTCGGTTGGTTGAAGGCTTGCCTCCGCTCTTTGGCTCTGTCTCTATAAGCCGAGCTATTGGGATTTTCAATTGATTTGCTGAGTTTACTCAATGCATTAGCAACTAGCGCCGAATCCTTCATGTTGTCTCGATGGAGCTTGCTCGTATGCTCGTGCTTCTTAACGTCTTCTTCTGATTTAAACTGCCGAGAACATAGAAGACAGCACTTTCGATTCAAGTCCGCAAAACTCTGGGTGGAAGGTTTGGTTCCATCGGTCAAGATTTTGTTGTCCACACTGTTCTGCGAGGCTCCAGGAATGGCATCTTCGGGCTGCTTGGGCGTAATGCCATGGATTTCAGCATGCCTATTAGACCAGAACTGTAGGTGAGGCGCTACAATCTTGGCTTCCTTTTCGACCTTCCGCTTTTTGGGTCGAGCCTCACCCTCCTTACTCTGATCTACCAAGCCCTCATTTGCTGCAGCAGCTGCACGCTTGGCATGCTCACTTTGCTTGCGTTTCTCGACCGACGGCTGCTCTGCGACTGCAGTGACAAGCTCATTAGCGTAAGCAGCCTCGTCCCAATACATCAACTTAATCGCGTTATTCGACAAAGGGCTAAACGTAAATTGAGCATCCCCGTTTTCCAAAGGACGAAGGACAGGCACGAATACGCCTGCATGTATATAAGAAATCATCACGGGCTTCGATGAAATAGTAAATTTCTCCGAAGCCTTGTATTTAGCCACTGCGGCTTGCGCATCTTCAACCGTGCTGAACTCAGCGAAGCCATACCTCCAGCTATCGTTGGTTTTGCGGTCACGGATCAACAGAACGCGTCGAAGTGATCCTTCTTTCGCCCCGTAGCTTGAATCGTTCGATGTGGAAGCTATTTTTGTCTTTTTGTTCGCTTGATTGTCATTCGAAGAATTGGTGGCCTTGGTCTTATAAAGCTTACTAACGCCTTTGGCTAAGAGGTCCTCGTTCACACCTGGCTCTAAACCGCGCAACAACAGAAATTGTGAAGCATTACCATCAAGGGCTGCGTCGCTGTCTCCCGTTGTGGCAAACCCGGAGAAAGCAGACATGTTGGCTTGCGCAATAACAATTCCGTGAGCCGAGGCACCTAGTTCTGTTAGAAAGTACAGCGTAACAGATCATCGTAAACCCACGAGTTCTTGGAGCATTGCAACGAAAGCATAGTGTGCGACTGGAAAAATTAGGAAGGTAACACTGTCACTGTCAGTGGACGTCCGGAATGAAGAACTTCGAAGAGTCGTACCACATCACACTTCCAATCGTCCTCCCCATAACCGGCTTTGTCACGATCGTCCCTCTCGCGACTGTACGCGATCCGAACTTTGACTGGTTGAGACGTTCCTTGCTGAGCACCTTCTTGTGGATCATATAAAGTGAGACTAGGATAATGTCGTTCTAGGAGACGAGTTGCGTCTGCAATAGTAGCGAATTGAGCGAAGGCGAATTGTCGCGACTTGCCTTGAGCAACGTAAGTACGTACTTTCAGTCCATCAATTGTTATTCTTACCAGTCTTCTTGTCCTTAATAATCCGAATTTCCTCTAACCCATCAAGCCGTAATTTATGTTGTAATTCATTCATAATCTGTAAACCAAAAGAACGGCCAGATGGCCAGTCCTCATCTTAGCCAGAGCTCTGATATTTTTTAACACATACTGAGAGTAAAGGAAACTGGCGTATCGTATGAATTGCCGATGAGGGGTGGGGAAGGGGCGCCAACGTCTTCGTGTGTTATGTTTATGGGAATGCCCTCCAGTATAACATTCCGATTTGGTACTCCGCCATAGTACGGAGACCGGCTCCGTGACCTAACTGGAGATTCGTAATCTTCTCCATCTCGATCGATATATCGTCCTCGCCTTTCTCTTCGTGGAGATCTGGATCTGCGGCGATTATGGTCGTAATTCCTGTGGCCGTCTCTGGGAAAGTCGTCTTGGTATTTTGTGGTTTGCATAGTTTCGCCGCTCGCAGGCCGTCTTGGTGATGTTCTTGAGTTATCTTGGGACATGGAACGTCAGCAGAGATACAAGAGAAAGCTCTGTATATGTTCTATCGTTTACCATGCCTCGAGGTTTCGTAGCCTTGTCCTTGTGGTCTGCGGAAACCCTCTTCGTAAGGCTGATCATCGTACATGCTGTATTCTTGCGCATTGCCCTGGTGTACGGGCCGAATAGAACTCATCTTGGGCGGATTCTGGAAAACGTCTATGAACTACGTTCTTAGAAGTAGCTTGGGAATGAATGATAGAGACGACATGGCGACGTTAACTTATGTTTGGGCAAGCTTGTTGCCTTACAAGCAAGGCTCCACAACAGGTGCCCCAAACCTGCCATTAACTGTGAATCACAGCCTCTTTCACTCTCGTTCAAGTGAAAATTCGGCCCTCCAACCACTCAGAAAATTGTTCTGCTGTAATACCGTCAAGATGGTAAATATGGACACAAAAGAGATTGTCGAGGAGACCCGCTACGTGGCACTGACACATGATACTCTTGATGCAAAACCCATAATGGACCGTGTGCGAAGTCCAAAAGCCGGTGCAATAGTCCTCTTTGCCGGTAATGTGTCTCCTCCGGTACCTGAAAATTCCCTGACGAATGTTTGAAGGTACTACAAGAGACAACTTTGCCGGAAAATCGGTGAAGGAGTTGCAGTACACTTCGTACGAACCTCGTGCACTGCAAAGTATGCTAGCGATATGCAATGCTGTTCAAGAGAAACACTCCCTCACAGCGATCGCAATGATTCATCGATTGGGTGTTGTACCTGTTGGAGAAGAAAGCATCCTAATTGCAGTCTCGTCACCCCATCGCCAAGCGGCTTGGAGGGCTGGTGAAGAGGCTTTAGAAGAATGCAAAGAGAAAGTTGAGGTGTGGAAAAAGGAAGAATTCGGTGGAGAAGAAGGTGGTGTTTGGAGAGCGAATCGAGACGGTGCTGTCGGCGTACGTATCGACAATGACCAAAATCTTAATTCGCCGGCTCCTGGTCCTCATGGACCAGTATTACGTCCAGGACGGCTTGGAGAAAGAGGACATGGAGCAGTTGTCAATCCTCGGAATCAGAACCAAAACTCCTAAAACACCTTTAGGCTTTAACATCTGTCGAAACTTCTACTACCTACCGATAAAAGCCTTTGGGCTCCTATCTGCATGCCTGCCATTGATCGTGTGGGTTTTTCTGAGCTCAATAGAGCTCCAGAAAAGTGCACCCTAGTATCTCATTCCAAAGGCATTTGGAAGACGCTGCTATTCAATGGTATAAAATGTTGGAAGCACCGCAGCTGGCATATACGCATTGTTTAGAGTTGATGTCGAGTCAAGAATCAGGTATCCAAGTCGCCCGGTAATTGTTTCCGATTTGGTGTAGCTCAACATGTCTTCATTGCTTCTTCGAGTAGCCAGATATTAATGTTTGAGTATCTGAGCTGGTCTCAATATTTTTACTATGCATGAGTGCTCAAGACGCCTAAATAATTGCTTTTTTGTAGTTGTCAATATTCAATCAGTTGCACCAATCTTGACAAGTACCTTCATCAAGAACCTCATATCTTACGTCGAAGGTGGCGCATTGCCCAGAATAGCTTTCACTTCCCCGCTCCACGTACACCATACGCCATGCCTTGCTTCCCCTCAATTCTTCGCATCTCTGTCAAGATGTACGAAAAGCATTTGAATTATTGAGACTTCATTATCTGGAATAGTTTCCTTTCAACGAAACAACGTATAGAACAACCTAACTATTGCTGGGTTAAATATGTCAGCCCTCATAACCAGGGCGCAGCGCCTCGCAGGCCCAAGTAGGATCTGGAAGTCCGTCTTCAATCGCCGCACGTTTATGCATCTACAATCTTTCTCTCTTGAAGGAAAAACATGTGTAGTCACTGGGGCTGGAAGGGGTTTGGGAAAAGAGTTCTTAACGGCCTTTTCACTTAGCGGAGCGAAAGGAGCTTGTGTTGACTTGAGCCTAGAAGCCGGCAACAATTCGATCCGCCATATTAAGGAGCATATATCATCTGAATCAAGTGCACCTGAGTCCTATCGACCCGAACTTAGAGCGTACGCTTGTGATGTTACGTCGGAAGCACAAGTGCGGGATACTTGGCAGGCCATAGTTAAAGACCTAGGCAAGATTGACGTCGTGGTCACCGCAGCTGGAATAGTAGACAATGTTGAGGCCGAAAACTATGGTTATGATCGATGGAAAAAGATGCTGGACGTGAACCTAAACGGAACCTTTCTTTTTGCTCGAGAAGCTGGAAAGTACTGGATCGAGCAGAAGATGAATGGGAATCTAATATTAGTGGCGAGTATGAGTGGGAAAATCTGTGTTCGACCGCAGAAGCAATCTGCTTATAATGCCGTGAGTCCGCGATCATTAATTGTGCTAACGCTCTCAAGTGATACCATAACAAGCGTTAACTTTGAGAGGCTGCTAACAATGCTTGCAGTCCAAAGCAGCAGTTTCTTTACTAGGTCGCTCGCTAGCAACAGAGGCAAGTCACACCCAATGAATATCGCACGATTGCAATTTACTCATACCTTGATGTAGTGGGGACCTAAAGGAATCAGAGTTAACAGCCTATGTCCAGGATACGTGAAGACAGATTTGATCATTGATCTTTTAGAGAAGGAAGGAAAGCACATCGAGGAGAATTGGGTCAAGGATATTCCTCTTGGACGATTAGCTCATCCGAGCGAGCTTCAAGGCACAATTGTACGCCCGCCATCCCCTTTACCCATCAAACCCCCAAAACCCTTCCACCTATATCCATCCCACCCCCGCTCCACTACAACTCCCACATATTGGCATCCCAGAGCTAACAAATTTATCACACATACAGGTTTGGATGGCTAGCAATGCGTCTAGTTACCTAAATGGAAGTGATATTGTGAGGCACACAGCATCTGTTTGTTGCCAGATATACCAAGCTAACAGAGGTCCAGGTCGTTGATGGCGGATACTGCTGTTACTGAGGCCTTGGCCTTCACAGTGATCTGGTGGGGTGCGGGTAACATTGCAAAAAAGCGTAGTAATTCGATTAGTTTGTGTTTTCGGACTGCCTCCTACATGGGTTATCAGTTATATTAATTTGCCAGAACGAATGGGGACCGGCGTGGGGGGCGGGGGCGGCCTCAACCACTCATCATGCTACCCTCAAACCAGCCCAGTAGTCCGATATGCAAGCTATTCATATTGCAAGGGCAGTAGAGCAGCAGTAAGATCCCATAAGACACAAGTCTTTTTGTCAGCGCAAGATAACGTGAGACGCCATTCTACAAGCCGTCCCTTAACGCCTCCAGGTCGACGGTATTTACTCAATTCCTTTCGATACACAAATCAGTTCGAATAACCCATTTCTCACCCTCGGTGACTTCTCTACCCTCATGCTGTTTGATATTAGATATCAACTTCTGTATATCTTTTGATGCCATGTACTCACCAACATGCAGTCATCTCCATGCTTATGGAGAAGCAGCATTCCTGTCTCTAACTCAACCACAATCTCTTTACCAAGTGTGGACTCTTTGCCTGGCGAGTCGTCTGGATAAAATACTGTCTGGCCACCCTCACACCCAGTCGCGGGGGACGTCAGATACAACAAGATTGTCCAGGTCGTTTTCGCTGGTATTGGTTTCGGTTTAGTATTGATGGTTAGGACATTGCTTTCATCGTCTAGAAGTGTGAGTACTTTGTTTAGTAAAAGCAACAGATTTGCTCATGACTTACAATGGCAATCAAAGTACTGCCCTTTCGAATATCTGTATATTCTGATAGAAGGGTTTAACCCGATGGGCTTTCCTCCCCTTAGCCAGACATTAGCATGTGAAATTTGAATGACGCAGCAAGCATACCATAATTCCGTTCTCTGCTCAGCAGTCATAGCATCTTCTTCTTCCTCGCCCTCGCCTCTCCCACAGACTAGCTCTCTAAGGCCAGTCTCAACCCAAAGTCGGTTAGCAAAAGTCTCATCAACAATCTGAAAGCGATCATTGACTCTCAATGCCTCCCCTTTCTTCGGTTTCCCTGGGGTGGTTGTAAGTGGCAAACTTTTCAAAAATGCCACATAATTTTTACACAGCGTCCCTGTCCAGAAATTGCGCGCTACCACAATCTGCGACTCGACCACAGTCTCGAGGTAGATATCCGATGTTGGCAAAAGTGGTTTGAATACTGGCCAGTCTGGTGAGACATTGGCTTTTGGCGGGGCTGGTTTCGCAGTGGAATGCTGTTTTCTGGGCATCTTGGTTTGATTGAGGCGAGCTTACTAGAGGAAGAAAATAAAAAACGATCGTTTAGTTCTGATTGCGCTGATATGGCTGCCTGGTTGACAGTGTAGAGAACGATGGAAGCTCAGCTGGTGCTAAAGATCGATCATCATTGCTGTGGAAACCCGTGCATGTGGTTTAGGGGTTCAAACCTTTCACGCTCACGACCTCACAACCTTTCTCACGCATCCACAGCATCATGACTTTCCATTCATCAATCAACTTCGATACACAATGCCTAGGAAAGCGACAGAGGTCGTCATTGCAAAAACAAGTACAATTCTCCGCATTCCAGGCGCGTCCACACTGCGCAGTCGTGAATTCCGGCAGGGAGCCCGGCCATCTTAAAAGTCGAACATCGCGTCTTCCAAGATGAACGTAAATGTATGGAAAAGACGTTTATACCTTCCTTTTATTTTACTTGAAACAGTACTATACACTTTTCGACTTCAAGATGCCTTCTAAAGTTCTTCTTCAATTCCTTGTTTTCATCTCAGCGCTGTGCGTTTCCCCTCTCGAGGCCAAGTCGCATACTTTCCACAATCGCTATCATCAAGACCTCAATTTGCGTCAAGAAAATGGGACCACTGAACAAAAACCACAAGTTCCAGAGTTCGATAGACCGTTCCCAACGCACAATGCATCGATAACCGTCATGGCCAGTGGCAGTATCACCAACACGCGTCTCACTACGCCTACTACAACCCCAACTTCCAAAAGCTTATCTAAGTTCTCCATTTGTGCAATATCAGATGTTGACAAGAGCAAGGACAGTCTTTGTATTAACACGGTGCCTTTCACGTCAACGCCTACTTGCTCTACAGTTCTCACCGGCTTCTTCACCAAAATTACCGTGACGGACTGCTCTCAAAGTGTTACCTTTTCCAAGATGGAGTCGTACGCTGTAGCTACTGCTACGAGTTCAGCTTCTACCTCCTCCCGTCTTTCTCTTCGTGCACGCCAGCAAAGGTCTACCTTATCAATGGTCGCGCCTACTGGAACACCCACGGAAACATCTAAACCAAAGCTGTATCTTCAAAAGAAGGTGACTTACTATATCAGTCCTTGGCAAGCTGTTGCTGCAAACGAACCAAAAGATGTAACGGTTGTAACGTGTACATATGATGAGAACAATCTCAGCAAATGTCGTTCATTCGATCAAGTTTGGGTCACGTACATCAAATACGTTCCAGTTACCAAGACGAGCACAATTTCTGTCCAAACTTCGTTCTCAGAAGTAAGATCCACCTATAAGTTCTTGGAATGACCAAAGCTAAACTATCTGTAGCCTGCCGAACTTGCCATAAACCCAACACTTACCATCCCTGTTCCGGCTGGACCATTTGATCTCTCAACTGAACTGGAATACACCACTTCTGAACCGGTGGTCACATACTCAGTTAAACCAAGGAACAGTACCACGACCATTAACCTTAGACTAACTTCCACTATTACACGAACAAAAACTTTGCCTTCAGACAATTCGACTAGGACATTTACACAGACTGTATCGTCGGCTAGCACATCTGAAGAGCCCGAGTAATCGTGAGTAAATGTACTTGAGAATTAGTAATCTTATCTTATTTAGCCATAGCACTACAATAGAAAAGGTCGTGGTTACAGAGCCTTCCATGGTGAGCGTTACCATGACGAGAGGTCGTTAGGTCAGCTCAACTTCTCTTCTCGGATTTATTAGTTTGCTAAATTGTTGACAGTAGAAGAATTGAATCGTATATTCCATTTTTGGAATGAAACATAGATGCACCGAGTATTATCTGCTGGCGGAAGTACCGGGGAGTCTGAGACTCCACATCCGTTGATTCTTTTGGAATATCTATATTAGACTCTTGAAGAGTCGCAAATTTTACCTTCTACATGCAATGTTTCCCAATCAAAGATAGTGGCTAAATATATTGAATGAATCCTGGTTTTGGAACTCAAGAGTGTCTCACCATATGAATCATGCCTGTGAATTCCACATTCTGATCCCTTGTTGCTTTCCGTAAGTGAAATCGCATGTCAAGATGAAATCGTATGTTAAGATAGTATCGTATGTTCAGAACTATCTGTGCATAGGACACTTGTAGCCAGGTGGTAGATTTTCTCAATTACTAACGGTCGCAAAGCAATGCAGGGTTTGGCAAGTTGTTTGGGAGTATGTAAACAGTCATAAACGTTTGTGTCAAGAAATGTAAACTAGCAGGAATCTACTTAGATACAATATGAGCTTGACACAGGTGTACAGTAAGTGTATTAAAAAAAGCTTGCCCAGAAATGCTTTTGAAAGATGATCAGATATCCAGCCCTTGGTACTCCAGTTCGCTTATGAATATCAATTTAAGAGTAAACTTTGTAACAGTCCTCTTGACTCTGCAGTTTCATCTCTAGAATGGCAATTGTCGTCCTGCGGCAGAGTCCTTCTCTACTCTTGTTCAGTAGGCATATGTATGGGACTTCACACAATCAGTGTTTAATTCCTACATGCTCCAGTCAGCTTGGTAATGACGGATAGGCACAACTTACCCTTCAGTCTGGCTGATTAACAAGGATCTTCGCCCCCCAATGTCCATCATAGCGGTACAAAGCAGGTCGCCCTTGAACGTAGGGTAAGTGGTGTGTAGGCACAGCCCAATGTTCATCGATAACACCTTCTAAGGTAGGGTTATCGGCGCGTTTATAGTCGTCCATATTATCGAAGTGAAAGCTGTCCAGATGATCCAATATTTCTTCGTATAGACCATACCAGGACGACCCAAGAATCGGACTAAGCGTCAACACCAGTTGTAGCGCCTTCTTCAGATACCGTAGTATACAAGATTTGTTCGGCTCGACTTGAAGATCTTCTTCACCTGGGATAATTTCGAATTCCCGGAATGACCAAATCAAGTACTGAATTGCGATAAGTGCCAGGGCCCGTCCATCTCTCGGATCACCTTCTTCTTCACTAGAAGCCCATTGGTGTAGAGACCAGATTTGCTCAACCGTACTTTCCAGGGAAACCGCCACCTCTGTACAGAGGGCCACCAGTTTAGCTGATTTGACATGCTGAAAGATCCATTGGAGGTGTCTCCGATGAAAGCTTTGAACATTTAGGCGTGATAGTTCTTTTTTGAGTTTTGTTGCTATCTGCATCTTCGCATGGCCATTGTGGGGCGGCAGTCGTGCTTTCTCAAGTAATATCTTAGAAGCCTCCAGTTGCTTGATAACATTCGAGAGGCTTGCCATGTTTACGGAAGATGATCTGAAGAATGTTAGAGCTTTAAAAGGAAGTAAGCATCTTTTACTTACCAATTTTACTACAATGAGCACGAATATGGAGGCTGTGTAATACTACTGAAGCTGGTTTCCAAGTTTGTGATGTAGGAGAAAGATGTTAAATACGGTCACGTGCTTTAAAGGACACACACATGATTATATATGAACATGGCATTCCTAACACTTTATGAGTCTCACAGCAAAATATTGAGATGGTGAAATAGCAGGCCTCACACATGGCCAAGTCGGCGACCATTGCGCATCAGAATGTAGGCGCCAGGGCATGACTCGACGCTGAAACTGATTTGGAGCCCACCCAAGGGAAAGACTGGTGAGAGCAACAGACAAAAGCAAGAAACCAAAATGTCGCGGGATCAAATTGAATTAGACTTCTTTTGAACCTGCTCAGCTGCCCAGAATACCCCTGTATTGGGGCGTTCTCAGATCTTGAATCCCCTGGACCAGAACCACAGATCTGTATCTGAGCAGGGATAAAAAGCGCCGCGATCTGGCTCCATGCGGGGATAGATTTTGATCATTGTTTAGGCAGAGGAAGGAAGATGCATTCCACGAAGAAGCAAAAATGATGCCAAGAACGCCTCTGTTCAAGCTCTCGTCACCGAGTACCCATCCTTCGGACCCAGCTTCCGCTCGCTCGGCATCCAGTTCGGGTTCTCAGAAAAGGGCCAAAGGGATGTGATAGATTGATATATCCGATTGTTTGTGTAACAGAAACGGTACCCGCGCTGAGATGCCTCAATGAAAACGTAATCCGTGGGACAGAAGTAAGAACATCCCTTGTGCTTGGTGGGGCCCCCGGGTCAAACAGCTGCTGAGCAATGCGGGTTCTTCCAGACGTAAAGAATAAAGAAAATATAGGTAGTGTTGAAACCTGGAGAGGCGAAGTCCCAAGGTTGCTCGCTAAAATGTAGGGGCGTGAAGGAGGACTGACCGCCTAAATGGCAGAACTGTCTTATATGCCCCGCTTTTAATATTGTATATAATTATATACATGAAAAAGTCAACCAATCATAAAATGCTCCGCTGGCGCAATGGTAGCGCGCGAGACTTCTAATCTCGAGGCTGTGGGGTAAGTCTCGATGTTCTATTCTTTGATTGCAAGTAACTAACCAACCGAAAGTTCGAGTCCCACGCGGAGTGTAGAAATCTATTTTTGTTCCAATTTTTATTGTAATGTATTTTATTTTGCCGTTTCTTTAGCAGTTCATTTATAGTTCAGTTTTTATTTTGCTGTTGTTGCTCTTTTGCAATTCAATTAATAGCCTTATATTGTTTTAACATCCTTTTAGTTCTTAGCTATCTGTTTTTAAAGGACTCAATATAGAAAAGTTATAATTTGCGCGGCTTTACCTCCGCCCGAGGGTGGCCCAAGCTCCATAGGGAGAACCACGCCACGAACAAATAGTCGTTCGGTTAGCACGTACCACCCAATTCCTAATTGGGTGAGGGTCAGCAATGTGGTAATTCCAGCAATGTGGTACTTTGGGATTTGTATAGGATGCCACTAAAACTAATTAATTAATTAAAACGCCGTAACACGCGATATAGATTAGTTAGATAGCTAGAATATATTTATTTATACTAAGAATAAAGTATACTTAATAGAATTTATACCTTATACCAAAAATTATCGTGTTCTTGAAAAATGTCGAAATTTTCGGTCGCATTTTCTAGAACTTTATTTTTTTAAGTATAAAACAATAGAAAGTATTATCGGGGGTTAATATTTAAGTTAAAATAATACTAAATCCTTAATTCTAGGTAATTTTACTAAAGCGTTGTGTTTTAATAGAGTCTTGAAAACAGGACTTTTGGTGGTAAACCAAAGTACCACGTTGCTGGAATTACCATATTGCTGACCCTCACCCAATTAGGAATTGGGTGGTACGTGCTAACCGAACGACTACAGAACTGAAAGGCTGTAACTCGCCAGTTGACACACTTGGTAACAAATTGTCTATCTTACTCCCTCACCATTTCGCATTTCGCATTTCGTCGCGGTCCATTCAGCTCCGTGTGTAAGACTGAGGTGACTTGAGATTCATCGTTCATTTCGTCCTCATTGCGCAAGGCAACCTCGGCGCGACAATTTTACCATCCTCATCCTCCTCGACATCTTCAACCTCGAATGGCCTTCCTCCAGCCAACAACGATGGCGCAATCAGAGCCAATTCGAGATCCACAACCCTCCACACAATCCGAACCAAGATCAAACTTCTTCTCACAGCGGTCGATGCGTCAATTGGGCTTGTTCGCAGCAGGGGCGGGTTTCCTAGCCATATCAACAGCCGTCACCCGGAGATCACTTGTTAGAAAATATAAAGCTTCGATACCACGCTTCTATCAGCCAAGCAACCGACCGAACATGGAGGTCAATGGTGCCATGGAGGCATTCGAAGCTCTAAATATAGCGACCATAAATGTTTTGAGTGCAGGGATCATGACTACTGGGGGATTGATCTGGGCGTTTGATATTTCTTCTCTGGAGGATATGAGATCGAAAGTTCGGAAGACGATGGGGGGAAATGGCAGCGCTGAGGACCAAGCAGCGGAGGAGGAGCTTGAAGAGTGGTTTGCTTCGGTTTTGTCAAGAAAGGAGTTCAAACATCTGAGGGGCATGGAAAAGCCAACAGCGGTCGAGGAAGACAAGGAGCAGAAGAAGCCGTGAAAATAGGAGTAGCAGCGCTCGTCGGCCGGTACTGGCTTCGAATAATCAATCTCCTCTCCTGGCACGCATCTTGAAATTCTGATCAGGGCCTCTTAGTGATGTTGAGAAGAACGCAAAGCTATTATCGCTTTGCGGGATCGTCAAAAAACACGCTGGGCCGACAATTGTTTCGGCATCGGGTCACAGTGAAACCGGACAGAGCTCAAGATTATTCTGAAAGTAGCGCGGCTTGCATGGTGGCTGATTTTGATCTGCGAATCCGAGTCACGTCCGGTCATTTGCTCAAAAGATGGCGATTGATAACTCCTGGTCGAATTTTAGCAGCATGCAAGGGCGGGCGTCTTGTCAGACGCTCTTTCTGTCCGATGAGATTTCAAAGGATGACCTTTGCAATAGACCGATGGGATATCCAAGCCCATAGAAAATGGCCAAAGGGCGTACGGGATTATTAGATTGCCGCATTGAAGTGCGAAGGTATAGGCTCGTCTTAAGACCTTCGCGATGGGGCGCTAGAGGGTCCAGGACTCAAGTGTTGTCGCCCGTCCTTGATCTCTCACGCAGGCAAGTGCGCGTACCCGTTAAGCGTTACTCACAGGTGGATGAGGACAACAGCGTTTGTTTCCTACCGAAGGAAGACTTTGAAGATGATGGAAACACCTGCTTGAAGTACTGGACAGATGCTCATGGTGTTGCTCTGCGCGACTCGTCCACAAACGACTTTCAGTACAAGCGAGGCAACAAATTCTGGATTTTTATCACCAACGACAATTCGGGAGATAATGAGAATGTCCCTGTCATCAACCTCCAGACCGGAGAGGAAGGGACTGTGTGCATGGCTGACGTGTGTTGGATGCCCAAGATCGAAGGACCAAATGGAGAACTATGGACATTAGGTGGGCCAGTTCGAAAGATGAAGCAGGCTGGTCCTCGAAAGTTCACATATTGGTCGTATGTCATTTGTCAACAACTGGATGAATCCGTCGCGACTGTCAAAACAGATCAACGCATACCTACAGCAGAATCTAGTCTTGCCGACCGGCGTCTACTCTCGGCTGATGAGTCTCTGCTTCTATTTGAAAAACGATACTGGACTATGGAAGCAAAGAGACCTCGGGACATGACGGTTCCTCTACCGAGTCCTCCCATGACACCGGCACAGCAAGCTGACGAGAATATCACAAAGCGTTCGGGGTACAGTGCCGAACCATCAGAGCCGGCTGCTGAGGCTGATAACGTCGAATTATGGAGGAGGATTATTGACATGGCGAAGTGTTCGACGGCTACACGCATTGGCCTTGGAGAGACTACAGCAGACACCCAAGCGAGTCCAGCCACGAGTCCATTCATTAGCCATGAGGTTCGTGAGCAGTCGACTAGTATCGTATCCGTGGTGGAAGATGACGAGGAGTCGTTGTGCTCATCAACACCCTTGGCTGGTACGCCATCACCAGGGCCGGAGCCGGAGCAATACTGGGACACGCGTCTCACAGCAGATGACTATATAGGAGCGATAATTCTCCAAAGCTTGTCGGAAGGCCAACACCAAATTCCTCGCAGAACTGAGGGAGATTTCTTGCGTAGCATTCAATCCGATACCTCATCCAACATCTTGCTCAGCCGCGAAGAGCTCGTTAGCCTATGCGATCTGCGAGACCCTCAATGCAAATACATCACCACGGCGACATGCAAACACTACCACTCATCACCCTCAAAGTGCTATCTAGACAACGAACCATCCAACCTCGGCACACCCTTGCCACCCCACGAACACTGCATCTCCCGTTTAAGAGCCCTTCCCGATATAGTCGGACCTTGTATCCTGGCTGACATACCATCAAAACGACACGCCTGCTGTTTCTGGAGAGAGGAGGATAGAGTGGGCTGGGAGGATATCTATGAGCAGCAGTATGTGAAGTCGAAGGCGGAAAAGGCTCGACGCACGCTGGTTCAGATGCATGTCCAGTACCATGATAGGAGTCATTGGGTTAATTATAAACCTCCGTGGAATATAGAGCCTGGGAGATGATTATCAAAACACGACCGTCAAAGATGGTTTGCAACTTGGAGGATGGGGAGCGCAGGTATATGTCGGACGAGGATTGACAATTTGTGCTGGAAGGTGCAAAAGCATAGCTCAAGTAAGAGAAATGTGCGAGGAAGGACGAACAGTGCCGCTGGTACAAGTGTTGAATGCCCTTCTGGGTGCTCAATCTCATTTCTAATGTCTCAGGTTGATCCTGTCATCGTGCTGCTACCTTTTCCTACATCCCAATTCTAGAAATACAATATCGGAGTTGATGAGTCCAGTGAGTACATTGGCGTTTGGTTAGGATAGGATATACACGAAAGAAAGAAATTATGAAGTCATGAACCGCGCGTTTTTCAAACTTCTGTTTGTTGAGAATATACATGATTAAGGAAGAAATATATATTTATACACTTTTCAATCCAAAACAGTCACAATTGATTAAACACGTACCGTGAATACATTAAGCTACTTTCATCGCTGGTCTCTATTTCAGAGACATCTAGAAATCTAAGATATCCAACCCCCCACACCCATTCAATACTCTCCACCCTCAGCATTCCCCTCCGCAGCAGCCCTTATCTCAGCTCTCGCCTCCGTACCTAGTCCAACAAGCTCATCCTCCAGACTATTCCTCCTCCCCCAGTTCCTCGGCTGTCTCTTCAGAAAAGCACCGACCGCGCCCAAATACCCTTCGTGTCTAAGGAAATACGCTGATTTCGCTCCGTTACTCCAGAATTTTATGGCGTAGGAAAGCGTGTTCATGGTTTGACGGTGGCCACGGATGAAGGAGCCGCCGAAGTAGATAGTTGATAAGGAGTGTTTCTCGGACTGGAGGTAGGCGATTTGACCAATGTTGTTGGAGATTGCGTAGAGGAGGGACCGAGAGATGTCTGCTGAGGAAAAAGGAGGTTCTTTGGGTGGGAAAGGAATATCACTCTTGTCAGCATCTGGTGAGTCTGGTTGCGATTCGTTGTCGCCGTTAGCGAGGCCGCCGCTGTCTTCTGCTTCTCGCTCAGCTTCTCTTTTCATTCGAAACACTTTTCCGAAGGAACTGGCAATTGTGCTGCTCTTCAATCCTATTTTGCCATAATCTGTTCCGTAGATGTCGCCAACTAGCATGTCGACCTTGGCATTGTCACCTCGTTCGGCCATTCCCAGCATCTCGTCAAAGGTTCGGGATCCTGTAAGGAGTGACAACAGACCCCATAAGGTTCCTCCTCCCAGAGACGTTCCTCCCACCCTCACGTACTTCCGTGGTCCAGATACTTTAATCATGCTTACACCTGAGCCTATGTTGACCAGTAGGTAGGGATAGATGTCGGCTCGTGGATCGGTAAAGTGCATTGGATCAGTCTCGCTATATGTGAACACTTCCCGTGGAATCTCAGTGATGAAGAAGTCCAGACCTATTTCTACAATTAGCATGCGAATGGACGCAGATGACCTCTACCTACCTATTATCAAGCACTCCATTTCATCCTCGGCAAGCACATCGACCCCTAAAGCGTCCCTGATTTTATCATAATATTTGAATGCTCCACCGCCCGTCGCCATAACACACAACGCTCCTGGCTTCGATCCATTGAGCTCCTGCTGCTTGACTTTCAACTGCTTCATAAACTCTACGCAATCATCTATGCGATCGGTCTCGAAGTTCATGAAATTGAGCCGTCCGCCAGGTTCTCGGGAATGAGGTTCGCGTGAGAAGTATACCAGTTTAGCCAAAGAACCGCCAATCTACAAAACTTGTAAGCTGCTGGACACCGAAAGATCGCTGGATCATAGAGCATACATCAACAGCTATATGGCTCACTACAGCTGTATGGTTTGGCAACCGGATGTCCCTGGTATCATGGCTCCCGCCATGGCTATTCCCCCTATCCGGAGAGACTGATTTCTGATCGACAATAAAGGCTCCTTTCACATTGATCTTAACGGACCCAGGATGATTTATGGTGCTGTCAATCTCAGCAGTGTTCGTTCGCATGCGGTTGTGGTTCGCTTTCGAGGAGTCGGAGGGGTCGGCGGGGGTGTGCTGGTCCTCAGAGAGCACAGCAGAGGGTGTGTTGTCATTCTGCGGTGCCTCCGCAGCCATTGCGGGTGTAATGGCACCTTGTGCCAGAACCGTGGATGGATTAATAGAACATTAACTCTGGTTGCGCGCCTCTCATCTTTGTTTTGTGAGGGCAGCTCGGGCGTTTGGCTCAGACTCATCGCGATGGCAATTGAGGTGAGAAACTCAGAAGGATTACCGAGGAGGAAGTCTTATCGATAAGAGCTTCCCGACCTTGATGACCGTTTTCCCGTTTTCCCGACCCCGACAAAGAATAGCACTTGTACGAGTATCATCTCTCCCTCTCTCAGTCTTGCCTTTACCAGTTTAAAGCAGAACAGCAACAATTCGACCTTGAATCTCCAGCATCTTCTAGATGTCTTGATTGTTTGAACACCGTACCAGCTTTTGGTTGCTCCTAGTTCTACCGCATGGACAGCTAGCTGGCAACCGAGAAGTAGGATTCAAGATTGCCTCCTACATCCCTTCGAGAACGTCTTGCTCTTGCCATTGTGCTTGTCCGTTGCAGTGTATACCAATCAAGTAGTTGCAATCATTTAAGGAATCGTCGTTGTCACTCATGGCAGAAGACACGTTCTTGCCAAACACCAACATGCTTTTGCTTGCTTCGCGAAGCCTCCCTGGCAGCAATCTGCGCATCAAACCACGAAACAGCGAAAGCATGAAAGATTTCCATCCGGTTTCCGAATATCGCAAGAAACGTTGAAAAGTTTCAGTGTTTCCAATTCTGCCCTTTGCGCTGAAGTCATGGAGGATCGAAACTTTCACTGTTGGGTCTGGGCGGATTTGCGGTTTCATGCACATCTTTATGCGGCATCAGCCAGTCGTTCCCGAGTTTCAGCATTTGATCGACCATCGTCTGGCTTTTCCCCGGATTCTTCAATTGGAAGACTATTTCATCTTATATGCTCTAGATTCTACATTATCTCTTTCTTTTTCTTGTTATACCATTGCTTCAAGTCCTTCAGACAACCATTTTAATTACACCTTCACGTACTTGTTTTATTTCTTTATCAGTCAGCTCACCTACAACTATTATTTAAGTAATTTGTTAGCATCATTACCGATACTTTGAATCTTCTCCAACATGCTATTCCAGGAATTACCAGCTAAAGGTTGGGCAAATCGGCGGGCACAACGTTGTCTTGCTTTCGCTGTCATTTTTGCGTACGTCTGACCCTCTTTGGTTTTGTAATCTAAACTCATTTTTTTTCAGCTTGATATTTGTGTTTGGACTTTACGAACGACATGCTCTTCCAAGACGGACGGAATTGCAGGTCCAAGGCAAATTCCGCGGAGTGTACACTTATATGTCGAAGCCGGAACATGGAATGCCTCGCCTACCTTTCAGAGATAACCCGCTGCGAAAGTCAACTGAACAGCCCTTCTTTGAGTGGCCGGAAGAGAACGCCTAGACTTGTTATATCCACGAGATGCTCCTACGTGGCATTGACCTAGAGGGCCGGGTGAACCACCAAATGAATAGGCACCGGATAACCTGATGAAGACTGGACTTCGAAGTATTTATCGGAGATTGGGATCACTAGACCTCTTGTCTATTGATTCAAGTTGTATTGTGGCAGAACAACAAAAGTGGACTGGCGGAATATTCCACTTACGCCAAGGAGAAAACCCTTGAAATGCAAGTTCGGCGGTGGAAGTTCACAATTGCTCCATCGAGGAGTAGACCATATCCCCAACTCACCCAGGGCAATGGCTTGCAAGGAGGCACATTTCTAGTGCGATAGCTAAACTGCTTTACGATTCTGCATTGGATACTCGTATTTGAGTCGGCTTTCACATCACAATACTTAGATCCTCAGAATATTGTTGGAAGGATTTGATATGGATTATGCAGCAAAAAGCCGCCAGATCACCTCAACACACCTATCAATCTCCGTTGCGAAAGTTTGTTTTACATGGAAAAAATATGGAAAAGAAGCGCCTGAATTTGTAGAAGCGTCGATACGCTGTTCGGGCGACTTATGATGTTTATGACACATTGTATCATATATAGACTGCAGATAAATATCGAGAATATTTGCTGGAAAGGCTATCTGATGGCGGCTCTGTTTAGTTCATGGAAGTATAAAGACTAGAATTGATAGATTAATATATAAGATTGTAATTCCAAGTTCTGTTCAGTAACCATATAGTCTATAGCTGGTTTCAAGCGCTCCCGAGTGATAGAGTAAAGAACATAAAAGCAATATGTTGATTTGAGATCTAGCCCAAACATTGCCCGAGTATTTGGTCAATAAGTGCATATCACACAAAAGCTTAAAGTTGAAACGTCATTCAATAACTTGATCGGATATATAACTCAACTCCATGAAGCCGAAGAATTCTATCGCAACCCAGCCATCCATACCATTCATGTCACATTTGGGGATATTTCATGTCTAATCTAATTCATCAATTCATAATAAGCTATCAGGTTAGCTAGATGCAAAGCAATGCTATTCATGGGTATTTAATGCCTTCCTTTCATCCAACCGTCCTTCCATAATGCCGCCGAAACTCAATGCAAGAACGCAAAACCAACGCACAATCATAATTCTATGTAAAATATCTCGCCAACCCCGGTCCCATAGTACGGAACCCGCACGCCAGTTTTAGTATTTGTAGAAATCAACGCTCAGTGTCCTCTCGATGGATGTAATCGATAGTTAAAATTTCATCCGTAGAAACAAAGCTTGGATTAGAGAGTGGTAGCCATCATCTTCGCTAATTTGTCAATAGGAGTTTCCTCAATGTCAAGGCTGACGATTTCTTCTTCGAAGGTCTCTTCCTCAAGAATTTCTTCCTCGTTATCCGAATCGAGCAAGCTTCTAGATGGTGAAGTACATCTTAATGCAGGTGAGGATGCTTTCTCGGGAGAGACATAGCCTGGTTCTCCCTCGTCAAGATCGATGAGACTGCCAGAAGGAGTAAGAGAGGAAGGGGTGACTTCAGTCTTTTGGATCGATGTAGAAGTCTCGTCAGGCAACGTAGTTTGGACTGCTTTCGAATGTGGCTTCGTCGTAAAACCATCAATATGAGGCTGGGCAATAAAGCTGTCGGAACCAGACTCGGAGTAGGACGATCTCGGAGCTGGAGAGCCCTTGCCACTGCCAGAGTTTAAGTCCATGTCATCGTTGTCGAGATCGCCCAGCTGTTCGCTGGCCTCGTCATGTTCGCCGTCGTCAGAATGGTCATCGATCAACACCTCCGGTCTGAAAAGATCGAGAACCTCACCACGGTGTACGACCAAACCATTTTCTTGTCGAATGACATCGTCGGCGACTGGCATGCGGTTTCGCGCTTTGTCAACCTTTGAGACAAATTGCTCAGAAAGGTCGACTTGGTTCTCCTCGTCGTCCTTCCCTGTTGCGATACGGGTAAGAACATTCTCGAAAAGCCAAGGAAATGATATTAAAGGCATGGTTTCTGACTCCATCTTTCTGGCTGGCACGTCTCTTCCTCCTACTAGCTTCGTAGATGCGCACTCAGCAAGAGCACAATCCAGTTCCTCTTTGGTGACCTTATACATTCCCGCGACAAAGGGACCAAGAGTGGAGAATTCTTTCCCAGCATATTCGATCACGAGTGCTCGAAATTGTTCTTTTAGACCTTCGGATATGCGTCCCATTTCTTCCCCTAGCTTGTAGTCCGATCCCACGCGTGGCTTTGAGAGCACAAATGTAGACCACACCTCGAATTCCGTTTTGATTTCTTGCTGAGCCATGATTCTTCGCATGTGAACATCGTATTTGGATTTTAATTGGCGGGCCTTTTTCAAAGCTGCATCCTCAAATTTATAAGCAGTTAGGATACGTCGGTCGAAAGGAACTTTCCACTGAGGTAAAAAATTGATACGTTCCACCTGGTTATACAGCTGACCAAGAATAGTAGTCGACTCATAAAGTTGATCCTTTCTCTTGTGTCTCTTTTCCATGAAGTGTGGCCAACGCCGTGGCTGCAGGTCCTTTGGCATCTCGGCCGCGTGGCCTGATTTTACATAGTCCACTGCCTTTGAATGGAGATGTGCGAGCTGAATACACTTTGGATTTTTGGCACCACCAGGAAGCTGATCAGCTTGAGCTAGATGTGCATGGGCGATCTGCGGAAGAGAATCGTTCTTCATGTATCTGACAAAATGTTGCATAAGATCTTTTACCGCAACTGGATTCCGTTGTGATTTTGCTGGAGGTGCGTCGTAATCCATTGGAGAGCAGTTCCACTCGTGTGGTTGTAAATCCTTGTCCCATATGACAAAGTAATCATCGCCATCAAGGTCACCGCCAGAGCACATACTAGGTACATCTCGATCTCCACAGGAAGGGAAAACCACAACATCGCGTAAGTGGTGTAAAGCTGGAACGTCAATGGCCTGGCAGATTCTAAGATCCCCGGGATGTAGCGAGGGATTCCTGCCAACTAGGCAAATACCCTCGATGACATTGTATACAGGGTTTTTGGGGTCACATCCGTGGACAGGGACTTGGATGAATATCTGGGGTAGTTGCTCCTCGGGAATCGCATCGCCCTCTGTACTCGGTGCTTTGTATCCACGCAGCGTGTGTGTCTCGTCGACACAGCCAAATACAAATGCGCCCTTCTCCACGACAATCTTAGCTTTTTCCTTCAGAAGCTTGATCGACCAGGACCTCCAAAGGTGCAATAATGAAGAGACGAACGGATCTTTAATGTCGCTACTAATCATCTTCGCGATGTTTATCGTCATACGATTATCGTCGATGAATCTGCAGAGGAGCTCGATTGCTAGGTTGTCATTCTCCATGGCATTCTGATAGCCGCTAAGTTGCTCTTTCATCATCTTCAGGAAGACGCCATCACCCACTCCCAGATTAGAGAGAAGCGTGATGGTTTGCCGATTTAAGGTAGCACAGGAGTATTGTGAGCACCTAATAATCTCGAGGCCGTTATACACAGCTGTAAACTTTTGCTGACTCTTACGGATATGGACTTCTCGATCTTTAGCATCGGGCCACGTAACAAGAATACCTTTGCAGCCACCCAGGCGAAATTGGAAAGCGCTTGGCTCATGTGCTACGTGCAACCCGAGCTCGGCGGTGATCATTTGGGCTAAAAATGGTGAAATTTTACCCACACCGTCGCTATAAGTATACTTTCCATGCTCAATATCCGGGATCGTCACTATTGTAGGCGCTGACAATCCGTTGATAGCACGAGTAGTAGAGAAGCATTGGCCCAATCTCGCTGCATATTTCGCTGGAACGTTGATATGAGTGAAATTTCCCATCCAGTCGCGAATGTCATTACAGGTCAGATGTTCATCCTCGCAGAAGAAATAGGCGCCATTTTCTCGAAATTGTGAATTTCCGAAAGCCAGGAACTTGTAATGTCGATCACCTATGCGTATGCCATTGGCCAACGTCCGGTAGACTCGAGTGAAGATCTCGTCATTTCGTTGCTTGACACATGAGTTTATTTTACCCTCGAAAGACTCATCGGTAAATTGGACTCTGAGGAACCGACCATCATGGTTTTCCCTGGAGTAGTGTCTAAGTACGCGATTGGTGGTCTCGACAGTCGGGGAGCTGAACAGGATAGTGCTTGGCGTGATAGTTGCTTTGCGCGAATATGCACAATAGTGCGGAATGTCGGTCTTTACAGAAAATGCTAAGGCCTCAGGGCTGTTAAACAGGTGAAGTGGTTCATAGATGCGCTTGTCGTTCTCAGCGACATATTCCAAGATGTTTCTCGCTGTCGACGCGTCACTCTTGGCGAGCTCAGCCAGCTTCTCAATAAACTCTCGGTCGAGATTGTACTCGTTCAAGAGTTCTCGGGATATGCACACTTCCAACTGGTAGCGAACCTCGAAAGGCAAGGAGATTATTGACGAGTCTTCTGCGAGATGATCAGCAGCGGATTGACCGAATTGCGGAGGGTTGATCATTGTCCATAGGCTAGCAGGCCTTCCCGAAATTATATTCAGTTCGTTGAGAGGAACAATATCCACATTGTGATCCTCCAAGGCTTGTTTCATGTTGCTGTATAGAGTTGTATGCTTTAGATCCGTTGTAAAGTCGAAAACGTAAGATGTCCATCGTCCAATATCGATGACTGGGCGATCTTTTTGAAGAGCAATGGGAGCTGACCCAAGTAGATAAGGATCGTAGACAATATCAGTCTGGCGGTACCATCCATCATCGAAGTCAGACCATTGTAAAGCGTCAGAAGAATGACATTGGGGATCTTCTTCTCGCTTGCGGTTGAATTGAGGTGGGGAGCTGAGGGATATCGCAAGCTGGAATGTGTTGCCCTTTGCCGGTACTTCGTGGATGACTTTGAGTTGATCGAAGGGAATTTGAAACATGTATTTATTTATACGATCCAACTCTCCTACTGGATGTGTGCCGACGAAAGTAGATCCTGGCCCATGTCGAGGGTCCAAATTCTTCACAACAAATTCCACCGTCAGCTTCTTGCGAAATGCGTCGACGCTAAACTTCAAATCTTTGAGACACCTTGTTCGATATATAGTATGTTGAGACATCATAATATCGGGTTTTACCATAACTCCAAAGCGCATCTTGGTAGGCAGAAGAGGCATTACCTGGGGGTATCGAATATGATGCTTGACTGGGCTTGTCATCATGAAATCCCTGCCTCGCTCGTTGACGAGATCAACTCTAACATTGTAAGATGAGTCGTCAACGGCTATCATCTGGTACGTCTTAGATTGCCAAAAGCATTCCACGCCAGTCGAGAACTTGATCTTTCCTCTGCCGTTACGTAGTCCCTCGGATAGCTCAAAAATATCAATGAAGACGATGTTGCCATATTTCGAAAAGTTCCGATGGATATTCCACGTCGTTTCATTCGGTCGAAGGCCACTCAATATGACTTGAACTTGTGGCCAATTGGCCCAGGGCTCTTCCTTTTTCCTCCTCATGGGAGGTAGCTTATTCAATGCTTGGCGGCTGCCAGCGGTGGTATTGTACCTGGTTGAGGCATTTGCATTTGGCCTTCGTGAAGCAGGTCTTTGGATGATTGGCCGTTCACGCCGTCCCAAGTTGTAGCTCTGAGGCGCAGGAGAGCGCTGCGTAGGCGACTGCATCATGTGAGATCGATGAGCCGTGGGCTGTCCGTGAGATGGGTAAGATAGATGGGTAGCGGTCGACATTTGAAGACGAAGTTCGGTTTTCGAAACACGACTTCGGCTTCGAAGCGATACTGGGCATGTGAATTCCGAAGATGAAGTCTTCTTGTGTGTGATGGCTGTTGTTGAACTAAAGCTTGTTCAGGCGCTTTACTCAATCTGCGACAATGGGGTTGTCAATATCTTGACACCGAGATAGAAAATCCGTATTGGTAGAAATGACGAAAGGTGATGGAAGGAAAGAGGTTGACTGTTCAGATCGATTAGCTGAAGTATCTCCTGTAGCACAGGATACGAAAGTGTTTCTGATTGCAGTTTTACATGAGATGTAGAGGATGTTTGCGACTTCAAGATGAATGTGTATATCTGATAAAGTCTGGGATGTAGAAGGAGAGGATCGATCTTGAAAATAGCATCATGTTTTTTAAATGATATTGATATCAACTTACGTGGCAGTTGTATATTACCTCAATGCTTGGAATTGACCCGGACGTTGATTGCGGGTTGTCAGTAGCTCCTGACAAGCAAAAGTGTTTGGCGTCGTTGGAAGTTGTTTGTATTCGCAATCAGGGAGCCATAGTGAAAAGAAAACAATATGGAGAATTAATATCGAGGAGTAGCGCTGTTTGAGAGGAGCCGGCTCCACAGCGCACAGATGAATACCTAGGCAAGGTGGTGACTGAAAGCGACGCTGTATTAATAGGGAATCTGGAAATGGGTGACGAAGATACAGTATCGTCAATTGTTCTGGAAAACGCGCTGTACCTTCGCATTGTGGGGGAGACGCGCCTACAAGGGTTTGTACACCGCTTTTTTGGCAGAAATATGTGAATAATCAAGTTATGTGGGGCCCGTTGGAGCTAAATTCCCTTCACGTTGTGCCCGTCCAAAGCCTCCGATTTACATATTCATTCATCTTCATCTGTTTATTTTATATGGTTCTTGGATGAGCATAGTATGCTCTGGAAAAGACCCAATCTTGTCCGCCTCCTCCACGCGTCATTCCCGTATCTATAATATTTATAGCTCTTCAACATCCCGTTTCAGGCAGGTTCACGAGATGAGGAATTCTTTGTGCATTAAATGACCTATCCATCTGTTGCCGCATGGCGGGCGTCTGATGTCTAGCGTATGATTTTGGTATCCTAACCTACAACCTGGGGTGAAGAGGTTTGTAATGTTTGAGCTCATATTGAGATCGCAAGGTCCTCTGAGATTCAAGGGTGACGGGATACCCCCTTTCAATCCAAAAGCATATTCAACCCAAAACCGCTATATTTACTCTCTTTGTTTCACTAAATCCTGATATTGTTTCTTTTGATCAGACTAGACGTGCCTATTTGGGAAGGAGCGAGCTTACTATGGACGGTGGCCTGCCGGTGAACTCATTTTATGTACTCGGGCAAGAGGCAAGACACAGAATATGTTGAAATCAATTAGACGACTGTATGCAGTTCTATTCCGTCGTCGTCGTCATCTTCATCTTCATCAGCGTCTACTACCCCAGGTCGCTTTTCGAACCCATTATTCCAACGGTCAATGACAAGCATGTGGATCTTGTCCAGAAAACCGCTTGACCGACGAACTGCGGTTTTCAATACAGGCAAATTCAAGATTAAAATCAGAGTGCCGAAGAAGAGTCCGATGAGTGTGTATATCCAATGTTTTATGCTCGCGTCTTTAGGGAGAATTGACTGCATGCTGAATATGGTCGATGCAAGTGTTGGAGGTAGGTATAACTATGGGAATTAGCTCTACGGTGTCCGCGAACAGGCAACGAAAAGTCTCAGTCCAATGACGACATTCAATACGTGATATCTTTTCTCGCAGAGGACAAAGTAAATGGCAGAACGTCCTCGCTGTTCTATATAAGTCTAGTATACTTTAGAATAGGCAAGTCGCTTAATTTAGAACTTTTCTTTCGGTAGAGTTGAAGAGATTATATTTACTAAAACTAATTGACGAATTATACGATATTTCGTCAACTATTTTGAGCAAATATCGTCCTTCGACTGCCACTTATTTTGCGCCGCGAGCTTGTCCAACAAGTTGGTAGATGTTGTGTTTGGATTGTTCTGGACGTTTTGCAGTACTCACAATAGTGATGACAGTGAGTGCTTGAATAAATTGTGTTTGTAATCTGGTAACGACTGTCTCAGCATGAGCAGCATGTGTAACGATCTAGCACGAGTCAATTCTCATGTTCATAGGGCGGTCATAGGAGAGTAGCTCTTACGCTGTTGGTCATATTCTCAAATAGCTCAGTCTGATGTAATAGGGAACTTCGAAGATCGCGAAGCTCAATAACATCTTTGTCGATAGCAGCTAGATATCGACCCCAAGAAGGCTGTGCCAGAGCCTGGGTGTCAGGGGCACAAAAGTACCTGAGTTCGCCGTCCTTGAAGCTTTCCCAAGAGTCGATTGTCTTGGATAGCAAATGGGTAAACTGTCGCAGAACTCGAATAGTCCATTTGAACCCTTTCTGCTGCGTGATATCTAGCTCTTCTATTTCGCCTAGCCCGGTTTCACCTCTTGTGAATGAGTGGATCTGAGAAGTATTTAGCTGTGACGTGGACATCGAAATAAATTGGGATTGCATACACATGGCTGAATGTGGCGGAGGAGCTGATACACAGCGTTGCTCCATTCCTGCTGGACTTGCTCGATGCGATACATCAAAAGTTGTAAGAAGTATTCTCGTGGAAGCCACGCAGGTTTGTCTAGGATGGTAGAGGTTTTACCTCCTGAAAGAGGATCTCTGTTAGTGTTTGAATAGTATTCCACTGATTCATGGTGGCCAGGACTTTTGAAGTACACGTCAATGAAGCAATAAGCTGTCCAATACCAGTCATCAAGCCCGGTCACCATGATAGAGATCTGTGCTTCATGTATATAAGCTTTTTCTTCCTCCTTAGCCCCATCTCCATCAGAGATATCGTCTTTATCTTTGAATTTGAGATATATAACCTCTTCAGATTTTCTCAACGGCTTTCCGTAAGCTTGCCGACTTTTATTCATATCTGCTACATCCAAATCTAGTGATCTCCAGACGTAGTAAGGAAGATGAAATTCGAGAGAAAATCGCGAAGAGCCCACGGTCTAAGAGCTAAAAGTTAGCTCTTCGTTTCTTTATCTTGTTCACAAAATTGACTTCCCGGAATGTTACCACCAATCAAAGATCTCCAGGAAAGATGCCTATGAATAAAGTCGCGAAGAAAATTAGCCTGTAGATATGGGACTGTGACGGCCATAGCTAGAACACACAGCGGATCGAGGTCATTGATGTATCTAAAGAGGTTAACGGTCGGTAAAATGAATGAAAGTAGAGAAAATATTCGATCATCCATCAAAATGAGTCGTGATTGTAGTACAGGGACGCTTCTACTCTCTCTCGGGTATAAAGAGAGGTCGAAATTTCTAATCATTGAAAACGATAGACGAAATATGGTATATTCTTTCAACCTGGTTGACGAAATGTAAGATATTGTGTCGATCTGGTTGACTTAAGGTCGTATTCGACAGCCACTTTCCTTTTCCGCCTTAAGACTGGTAGACCAGGCCGAGCTATGTAGGAAGTCGTACACTTACAACGTACGACGTTCAGCGTCTGGGATAGTGCTAGTAATTGTTCCAGTGTTAACGCGCTAACCGAAGTATTAGTTATAGGAAAATAGAAGAAAGATGTGCAAGTCGTACGGGTTCTAACAGCGTAGTGTAGAGCTGCGCGGCATTCATTGCCCCTCGGGACTGCCGTCGATAACCAGAGACTATATCTCTTGTCCCCTTTGCATCATTTCGATCATCCAAAAGCGCTGCTTCCCCCAAGGCTGTGCTGGGAACTTTGCCTTTCAAGACCTCGAAGTCAACACCTCGGAGAAATTCCTCGTATAAGTGTTCCACATAGGAGTACCTAGCAACGTCTTGATGGAACTGGTTGCTTACAAAAGTGTCAATGATCTGTTCGGTGGTGAGAGTGTTGAGGACCTGTCCTGTGGTGATTCCAGAGACTTGCGGACGATGTATGCTCTCAACAAAGCTCATGTTCCCTTTGCTGTAGGCTAGTGTCTGACGCTGCCCGAAGGCTGGCTTCCAAACATACGCATACTGCTTGAACTGTGTATGAGCGGCCATTATCCTAGCATGGAACCTGAGAACCGGGAATCTAGGGGAAAAGGGAACAATCGCTCTCAGGGCGGAGGTCACTCAAAGCAGTTGGTTACCGATGAGCAGGGATTTTGTGCTCCTCCCAGGCACAGCTCCCACACCGTTGATGCCCGCAGTTGAACTCTGGACAAGATTGAATGAAGTCGCCGTTCCCATGACCCGACCCGCAGAGGTGCTGTAGAGTAGTGAGCTCAGTGGCCATCCATGGATAAATAGGATTGATTGCTTACACAGAACCAAATCCAGGTTGACACCAGCTTACGGGGTTTTGATGACGATGATGAGCCTTTATGTGACCGGTGTCCACTACTACCTTTACTAGTTCTCGACGAGCTGGAAGGCTATATAACGTTGAGTTGAGCTGATGACGGGATGAAAGAAAACCAGACGCAGCCTCGTTTCGACATGATATGCACGATGCAAAAGGCGGCAGGGAAAAGGATCAAGCCTACCATTGTAAAACCTTTCTACCACCCACCACCTAGCCCGCTGCGATACTCACGAGTTCGTATTACCTCGAGAAACTTTCCGAGTGATTAAGTGCGTTTATTGCTAGTGTGGACTATACAGGCGAACAGATATATCGAATGGTTTGTAGACTCGAAACCTGTGGTAGCGTACAGAAGAGGAAGGCTGTTTGCAGGATTGTCTGCTTGGTTTGTCTTGTGGGCAAGGCAATTTGTTGATCCACGTGATTGCAGCTGATATGGTGGTAGGAAGTAGCTCTGTATTTAAGACAAACATGTCTTTGTTAGAAACGGTGACTGGTGATTCAGAAGCAAGGCAGTTTTCTCGCGCCAACGTTGGGCGGCAAGGCAGCTCGGCGCATTCCGCTCCTACCCGATAGGACTTCGCACCTCTAGGCTTTCGTTCTCGAATGCATAAGCTCTTCGCTTAAGTCACCTATTCCCAGTCAGATAAGAGGAAAACAATAAAATCTCGGCTCTGCTCAGGTTAAAGTACAGTCGGCTTTTGATAAGGGAAAGTCGTTGCATGGCAATGTAATCTTATATGTGTGTATGACTTAGCTGTATCAACTTTTATGATTCTGAACTGTGATTTGTACGACCAAATAGATCAATACCTGCAGTATTTCATTCACAAGTAACCACTGAGCCACAGGTATAGATGAGGAGATGCCTTTCGCCAAAGTGCACTGCTTACATTGATAACAGCATCAAAGAAGTTAATGAGAAAATTATTGATTGTAAGGTGTATATGGATTTCAGAATATCATATGCTGCTGGAATATTGCAGGCGGTGGTACGCGAATGACTATTTTACTACCTTCCATTTGATATAATAAATCTGGCTCCATTACCGCTGAACACGCTTTAATTTCAAGTTCAAGTCTGGCTTTTCCCACTGTGACACAATGATGATTAGTTAATGACAGCGCCAAAGGTTTGAGTCACTTACTGTCATAAACGCTCTCGCACGACCCATCTCATTTTCAGGATTCCAGTTGGGAGCACCATCCACGGATATGATATCGAAATTCCATAACAGACGGCCTAGAATGATACGCATCTCCAAGTATGAAAGACTGTTACGATGTAAGTGAACGCTTGCTTTAGTACAGAAAATGGTGGAACGTACTGCTTTCCAATGCATCCTCTTGGTCCCAAGGAGAATGGTTGCGCCGCTTTCTTGTAGTCCGTATCGTAAGACTTGTCGAGCCAGCGCTCTGGAATGAATTTATCTGCATCACGGAAATTCTTCTCGTTATGCGAAGCGGCCCATGAACCGACTGAAACAGCAGTCTGCAAGTTGTTAGATTTTACCCTTACGATACGAAAAGCGAGTGAACTTACTCCTCCAGGAACCCAGAATCCATCAACCGTATCACCATTCTTAGGAACGGTTCGCAGGAGTCCAGTTGGGACAGGTGGGTGTATCCGCAATCCCTCCTCAATAACAGCATTCAGATACTTCAACTCGCTCAATGGCTCCCATCGGATGTCCTTCTCATCCTTGAATGCATCTCTGATTTCCTTGACCAGCTTCTCGTATTTATCTGGGTTGTAAATTAAGCGAGCCAACATGCCACTCAACGCATTCGCGGTGGTTTCAGAACCAGCAACGATGAAGAGTGCTGCATTGACGATGATCTCATCCTGGTGCAAATCGAACTTCTGCTTTTGTTTTAGAATATACCAGATGAAATCTCTATGATCTGTCTTCTCGTTCTCTAGCCGCCTCATAACCTTCTCGGTACTAAATTTGAGGTGATCTCTTCGATCTTGACGCCCCTTTTCTGGTAGACACCAGAGTAAGAAATTCTGAAATACTGAGCCGGCACTTGCGAATCGACGGGTTGCTTGTTCCATTGCTCCAGCTTTGACTGTTTCGAAAATCAGAGATACCCAGGAGTGGAATTGACCGGATTCGAGACACCCAAAGGGTTCCCCAAATGCAAGATCTCCAATGATGTCGAATGTTGTGAAATTGAGCCAATTGACCATGTTGAAAGATTCGTTGTTATCACACAGACGATCGAGGTGCCTAATTAATTGTTTGACGTAGTCTTGAATGATGTCTTCTTGGTCCACAAGTGCTTTCTGTGAGAACGAATGAGCTAATGCTCTGCGTTGACGGGCGTGATTGGAATCATCGGCCATAGTAAGTGTTGTGACACCCTGAAGAGGCTCAACTGATCCAACATGAACGGGATCCTTATGAAAATTTGGATGCCCTGGGCGGTGACCGTAGATATCTTCCCATGCTTGAACGGAGTTGAAGTGAAGTTCTGTAGGTGATACTCGGACCACGGGGCCATATTTGTCATGAAGAAGTTTGTTTTCAAAAGCAATACGACCACGTAGTAGAGCCCGGATGCCAGGCACTGGACTTATTGCATTCAACTTAGGACCTGGAAATTTGGCAAGCGGATCAAGTGTGAGTCGGTATATCGCCTGATTAATAATTAGAAGTTTCTCAAATTTCGGAACTCATGAAGTTACTAACAAGTCCAATCGTATATGTTGCTCCCTGTTTCACAGTTAGTGTTCATATCCCCAAATACATAAATGGAATACAAACTAGAACAATCGCAATTGTGAGGAAGGATCCAATTGCTCCCAGCAACGAGCGGGGCGCTGCTGCCTCCATTTTTAATACAAGACCTCTGAAAATCTTTTTCTAAAGGAATCAGGAGAAATTAAGGAAGACCAAAAGTGAATAAAGATTGTGAAATGCTTCCATCGACCAGTTGTCGTTTTTGGATTGCAAATTTAAATGACTGAGCCATAAGCTTTTGATAGAGAAGCCTGAATAGGATCAGGCCTATCCCGAGGCAATGAAGCCCTAAAAGACAGGGGTTAATTCCTCTTGGAAAACGTTTCCCTTTTGCTGAAGGAATCCACCCCCACTATGTACCCCGCAACATGACTCCAGGAAGGCTAGTGTTGCATAATTGTACGAAGCTAACACCCAAAAATGGGGAAAAGACACTGGTCAACAAGTCTTTTTGCGGAGTTTCAGGAACGACCGGCATGTGTGCTGACTTCTATAAAGTCCAGGTGTGCTGACCTGGAAAAATTGCTGTGAGAGAAGGTTGCACGTGATACAAATAGGGATGTGTTGAGAAATACGAAGGGAATATAGGCCAGATAAATGAAAGTTACATTACTTTGAAGCAGAATTGAGGTATATGAAATGGTATATTACTACAAAAGCACTGACTCATAATTTTGAATGTCGTCCAGCTGAAAGAATCTGTCCGCCATCAACATTTATGTCATTACCATTTCTGCTCAAGAGTTAGTGAAATATCCGTTTGCCAGTCATAAGTCCATCTTACATGTAGCTTCCAGCTGGGGTACAAAGATATACCATCACACCTGCGATATCTTCGGGTTCTCCCAATCGCTTTCGTGGGTTTGCCTCTTCTAATTCTGCTGTTCCTCCCAATTTGTCGATCAGTCCAGCTGCCAGCTTACTAGGAAAGAATCCTGGTGCTACTGTGTTTGTTGTGATATTCCTTGGACCAAGTTCAACTGCTAAATTTCGAGCAAGATGCTAGAAGGCGTCAATTGTTGATCTTACTCGGCATTGAGGTCGTCAAACTCACATGTGCCGCGGCTTTGGACACGGAATACATAATTGTACCATTATCGCCAACATGAGGAACATTACTTCCCGCTGTTGAGCTCACAATAATTATTCTTGACGGGTCTTGTCGTGTTCCTGCTGCTTCCAACATCGGCGCAAATCTGAATCCTTGTCAGCAGTTTCCTGGCGCAATTTCGTTTGCCTTCTTCAACCTACTTTTGCGCCAGCAAGAACACACCACGAACATTCAAATCCAAAATCTTTGCACTTGAGTGATCCGGCGCATCCTCAAACTTCGATCCCCATGTCGCGCCGGCATTTGCGACCAGTATATCGAGCTTTCCTTCAGTCTTTTTTACATGTTCTACCAGCCGAATGATCTCTGCTTCGTTCGACACGTTCGCTGGAACGCCAACCGCGACTCCCGTCACCCCATCGAGTCTATTGAGCTTCTCGACTGCTTGATCAATTCCTTCGGCGCCTTCTGTTTTCCGCGCTGTTATGAACACCTTCTTCGCTCCTGCGTGGAGAAACGCGGTCGCGGTGTGTAGACCAAGTCCCCTGGATCCTGAGCTTTCAGCATGTTTTGCGTGCGACAAACTTTTTGTCGGGCTGGCTCACCTCCAGTTATCAGCGCAACCTTTCCATCCAAACGGAACATGCGGTCGAAACCTTTAAGATCAGTCATAATGGCAATCTTTGAAGCAATTAGATGTCAATTTTGTTTTGAGTATATTTCTTAATCTTCAAAATCACACCTTTTGCTACGTTATTCTTAACCCAACTGAGTATGGATTTACCGTAGCCCTCCATAGCCTCGGGTTTTCGGGCCATGGCTCTCCCCACATACCCCAGCTACCCCAGCTCCTCAGCAAGCTTGTGTACTACTTTCTATGTAACGTCGATAGCTCTCCAGACCAACCTCGGATTGTCGGTAGAAGAGGTAAGATTTCAAGGTACCTATTGCCAGCTTTACCTTCATTCATATGCCGTAAAGTGCTTTGAGGGATCTTTCGATGGTTTTATTGCAACTTTTCTGTAAACAATCATACCTCAAAATGCCGTTTGCTTCTCCATTTCCGCTCTTAGATTTGCCAAAGGTCGATATCCTGACTTATCTATTTCCTCCTGGCCAACAAGTTTCAACAAAACCTCTATGGATAGACTCAAGAGATACTAGCCTGTCATTATCACCTGCCCAGTTACTACAATGGGTCAAGAGGCTCTCTTATGGGTTGGGAAGAACCGGATTAAAGAAGGGCGATGTGGTGATGATATACACGCCAAATCATATTTTTGTACCCGTTGCATATTTGGGAATTGTTGGGGCAGGTTATGCTTTCAGTGGAGCGAATCCAATTTACACCTTGCCAGGCAAGTTCAGATTCCCCGGTTGCTCAATTGCACGGTAAACTATTTACTAATTTTCATTCAGAAATGGTACACCAGATCAAGAACACGGAGACTCAGATAATTTTGGCGCATCCGACAATGGTCAAGACGGCCGTGGCAGCGGCTGAAAAGGCAGGCTTAGCTAAAAGGCGTATCTATCAATTCTCGGATACAGAATGCGAGACTCTGGATGGAGTGAAAGATTGGAGAGCGATGATTGGAAGTCTCTCACAAGGAGATGAGTACTCCTGGCCCAAACTTAGCCCCGACGAAGCTGTCAATACAGTCGCGACAATTAACTACTCATCTGGGACCACGGGTCTCCCAAAAGGTGTCTGTGTCAGTCATTACAACCTCATTGCCAATATCGAACAAACAATCTTCATTCGAGACCACAAAAAGCCATATACTAGAGAAACTCGGCCACCTGAGCGTTGGATTGGTTTTCTCCCACTGTATCATGCTTATGGACAGCTTTACACAATTCTGATGGCAATTAAGTTGCAGGTTCCTGTATACGTCATGAAGCAATTTGTCTATGGCGAGTTTTTACAAGCAATCCAAGACTTTAAGATCACGCATCTACAGATTGCCCCGCCAATCCTGGTCATGTTGAGCAAACGCCCCGAGACGGCAAAATACGATCTTAGTAGTGTAACAGATGTACTTTGCGGAGCCGCACCGTTATCGAAAGAATTGCAAAACGACTGTTCAAGACGATTCAAGATGCAGATCAACCAGGGCTGGGGAATGACCGAGGTCACATGTGGAGCGATTCATGTTCCAGGAGGCGTCAATGATGATTCCGGAAGTGTTGGACAGCTGGACCCGAACACAGAATGTATGCTTCTGGACGATGACGGAAAGGAGGTGGCTACTGGGGAACCTGGCGAGATGTACATTCGAGGTCCCCAAGTCTGCCTTCGGTACTGGAAAAATGATGTCGCCACCAAAGAGTCAATAAGTGAAGATAAATGGTTACGGACGGGAGATGTAGCGGTTTGTGATGATAGAGGGTATTTTTGGATTGTTGACCGTAAGAAGGTACGCAAATTATCTTTCATTTACAGTTCAACTTACTAATGTTTGTCAGGAACTTATCAAAGTAAACGCACTGCAAGTTGCGCCCGCAGAGCTGGAAGCGGTCTTGCTCGAGCACGAGCATATTGCCGACGCCGCAGTTGTCGGCATAACATTACACAACGAGGAGTGGCCAAGAGCCTATGTCGCCATTCAGGAAGCTTCCAAAGGCAAAGTTACTCCTGGAGATATTGAAGAGTGGATAAAATCTAGGGTTGCAAAGCACAAACATCTTGTAGGAGGTGTTACTTTTGTTGATGAGGTTCCAAAGTTGGCAAGTGGGAAGATTCAGAGGAAGACGATGAGGGAATGGTCAAAAGCTGATGCGAAGGTCTTGGAACAACAAAGTAAAGCTAGATTCTAGAATACCAGTCAGACTTACCAATGATAATGATGTATATCAAAAAAGGATTGATGAATGTGCCAACCACTTTGTTAGATATTTTGTCAACTTCCACCACGACACCTGGGCGTGACCTGGCTACGCGAAAGTTTATTCTCGTGAATATATTCTGCTACCTTGCTTTACCCTAGTCTCAATGATGTAATATCTGAATACCTAGATAAAGCGATATCTTTCTTGAATGTCAATATCGAAACTGTTACAGAGGAGGATGGTCACGAGGTCGAAACAAAGTCACGTGCTCATGACCCTGCCCTTTCGCGTCGCTTCAGGGCCTGGAGGAAATCTTTTCCCGACCTCAAAGTTCCCCGCGTTATGCCAAATTTCCCCACACATCCTCAATCGAGCTGAATTTTGCAGCAGTCCACATGAATCTCGCCCTCTCACGAAATGCGGTCCAGACGCTCATCTTGACTCAAGCGGCTTAAGGGGTGCTCAGTGGCCACAATCAGGCCTCGCAGCCTTGCACTAACCACGTAGCTAGATTCCATTGACCGAGGGACAAGCTTTGTCTTGTACAATACTCTTGTGCTCAATCATGCTTCGTGCAAGGCTGTACGTGGATATGAGTTTCCGGTGAGTGACTGCTCGAGAAGATGGTCCCGAAAATAATGCTTTCGGACCGGGGTCCTGGAGATCATAAACACAGAGCTAGGTAAATAGGTCTTTGGCCAAATTGTTAACTCGATGTCTCTTTTTAATCTCAAGCGTCTCTTTTCGGTTTTTCATCCTTCTCAGTCGTCAAAAGATACCCCTCAGCAAGCTACAGTTCCCAGTCGAAGCGAAACAATCACTCATTCCAAGATGGCGCCTTCAGCAATGCCTGATTCTAATGGTGTCACTACCAATGGTATCAATGGTGGAGGTGTTCCCTATGCAGAGGCAAAAACTGAAGATGCATACAAAGTCCTTCCCCAGTATCATTCGCAAGCTTCGAAGCTTCGAGTGGCAAGTATCGGTGCTGGTGCATCTGGACTTTGCCTTGCATATAAAATGGAGCGTATGTTAGAGGCAGGAACTTGGGAGCTTACCCTTTTTGAAAAGAACCCTCATTTTGGTGGAACCTGGTACGAAAACACATACCCTGGTGTTGCTTGCGATATTCCGTCACATCTATACACCTTTTCATGGGATCCAAATCCAAATTGGAGCCATTACTTTGCATACGGACCGGAGATTCAGAAGTACTTTGAGAACTTCGCAGAGAGACACGGCAGTAAAAAGTACATGAAGTTGAATTCAAAGGTCATCGAAGCTAGGTGGAATGAAGCTGCTGGCAAATATACCATCGTTCTCGAGAACCCAATCACCGGGCAGAAATGGGAAGATTGGTGTCATGTGCTCGTCAACGGCTCGGGCATTCTGAACAACTGGAAATGGCCCGAGATTGAAGGTTTACATGATTTCAAGGGAAAGCTAACACACTCTGCGCACTGGGATCACGACATAGATTTCAATGACAAGAGTATCGGCTTGATTGGCACAGGGTCGTCCTCAGTCCAGATTGTTCCTCAACTTCAAAGGCAGGTTAAGCACATGGATGTTTTCATGAGAAGTCCAACGTGGATCAGCCCCCCATTCGGTGGCGGTAAGTTAACTCAACTTATATCTATATGCTTTTTGAAGCTAATCATATTGCAGGCGTGCTACACGAAGAGCTCCTCAAAGGAGCAGAAGAAGAACCCGGAGAGCGACAATACACATTCACTGAGGCTGATAAGAAGAAGTTTGCCGATGACCCAGAGTACCTGCTACTGTTCCGAAAGAAGATAGAGGCAGAAATCAACTCGCTTTTTGGGATGTATCAACAGGGCTCTGAAATGTCGAACCAATTCCGAGAAGTGATAAGGACGGAAATGAATAGAAGAATCGGGCCAGGGAACGAGAAGCTAAAGGAGTTCATCATTCCAAAATGGTCACCAGGTTGCCGAAGAATCTCTCCTGGTGATGGTTATCTAGAAGCTTTGGTCAAGGACAATGTCCAACCGGTCTTTAGTGGCATCAAGAAGGTTGTACCAGAAGGGATAATAACCGAGGATGGAGCTCTACACAAGATGGATGTTCTCGTTTGCGCCACGGGATTCCAAGTTGCTTTCAGACCCGCTTTCAAGGTCGTGAATGGCGATGGAGTCACACTAGATGAGGATTGGGGCAAAGGGCCAAATCTTTACCTTGGACTCTCCGCTCCTCGATTCCCTAATTTCTACACCATCGTCGGACCAGGTGCGACATGGTCGAGCGGGACCCTGCTGCCATCGATCGAAACCAGCGTTGAATACGCCATTAAGATGATGCGAAAGATTCAGAAAGAGCAGATTAAATCAATCGATGTCAAACAAGAGGCCCTCGATGATATTTACGCTCATTTCGATGAGTTTCACAAAACCACCGTTTGGCAAGAAGAGTGCCGCAGTTGGTTTAAAGATGGAAAGGTCAAGAACAGAATCTACTTGTGGCCAGGATCGGTAAGTCGCTTGCCTGTTGTACCAATTTAACGCATGCTAATTACCCCCACAATACAGACAATACATTTCCTGAAGACCATCAAGGACCCTCGCTTCGAAGATTACAACATTCGATACCGATACAATAATCGGTTTGCATTCTTAGGGAATGGAGAAGTCAAGGCCCACACCATTAAGGGCAACGTTCAGGGTCTGGCACCCTATGTAAGAAATCACGATCACGAGTGGTCGATCGAGTAGAAGCAGTACTCTCTGTGCTGTTTCGTCATTAACAGAACTTGTCCATATCGAGCATTCCTTCTATGGATGGAGTGGGTTTCATTTCCTGGAGTCGGCGCATCTCGCTTTACTTTCCTTCGGATGCCGTGGTTTGCATCTGGGCTGGGCATTTCAGCGTATTGGTCATGGAAGATCTAAGGTTTCATCTAGCAAGTCATTTACGCATCTATGATATACTACCGACTCTTTTCGATACAGCGATCCTTCTCTCCTGACAGCATTTTTAAGTGATTCAGATTGCGTAAACGCAGCCAAAGTTGTGACTGAGTTGTGACTTAGTTGTGACTTTCTACAGGAGTTTGTTCGGACCATCGCATCTAGAACACGAGCTTGTACAGAGCTACCGCAAGTCCGGCAAGGCATAGCGTCGCTCAATAATGTGATGGCAACGCCACGATGTCAGAATGGCCCGATTGCTAAGCTGCCATTCGTAACCTGGAAGCGGGCAAGACCACCACCTGTGGGTGTCAAAATGAGGATCCATTTATGACAATATGCTGAGATTATGGGGTGCTGGCGGGAGGGATGGATCCCATTCAAAAGTGGGAAGCGGAGTACCCCGCAAGGTCAACAATACCTTCTCGGTGGGTTGAGACATCGGGGGTCAACCATACTTCCAACACATGCATTCATATCTGCTCGATAAATTAAGATTACACTTCGATACAACAAGCTTGATGCCCTCACATCTCTAATACTGAGGCGATTATAGTTCCATCTCATTTTTTCTCTCATAGCAGATCAGAGTCTGGCATTCGTACACAGAAACGAGAGTGCTAGTATAGAGCAACGCAAACTAGTCATGCAAATCGAGACAACCCTGCCGACCGAGTCAATTGACTGGTCTCTGACACGGCTCTAGTACGACAATGGACATATTTCAAACGCCACCATACAGTTGGTTGAGGCCGTTGCGGGGAACAACGTCCCCAAATGCGGTTAATCCTTGAGCTGAAGACGACGCTTAATCCTGGGGCGTGCATTGCGTCGGAATCCGGGGCGGTTGATTGGGATCAACAGCGGTATGGGGGTTCTGGGGATGCTCTTGGCTGGGATTTAGAGCGGGGAAATATGGGCCATCACAGCGTAGTCTGCCCCAAGCTTCTTGGGGATCGGAACGGGCACTTACTGAGTCCAAGGGACCTGACATCTTTGCTGTGTTTTGCCTCTCTTTGCTGTACGTACGAACATCGTCATCTCTTGAATGCTCGTTTATTACTTTGCTTGACCTTTCATTGTTATTTTGTAGATCAGAAGGTCCAACTCTCTTAATCTGTTGACAACATCTCGAGGTCTCTATGTCGATGCGTATAAACAGCTTGTTCGAGCACGAGGCCCTGATGAAACGACACGCAGAACAAAATGAAAGTCCCAATAACACTTCTGCTTCTGTCATGACTACAACGATATTCGAAACACCAGAAGAGGGCCAGCATAGTCATGCATCGCCTCCAAAGGCAACAGCTTCCAATTCACAATCAAATACTACTTCGAATTCTTCAAAGCCTGCTACTCAACGACATCGCGCTTCTATAGCATGTGCATCGTGCCGGGACCGTCGGATCAGGGTGAGTTCTATATATTTGCACACTTCAACACTTTGGCTGATGCTTGATATAGTGCGTTGTGCCAGCTGGAGAACAAGAATGTACGCAATGTAAAAGATCAAAAACCGAATGCATAATAAAGAATGATGATGAACGAAGAAGGTGTGTCGAGCTGGGTGCCTTTCATATGCTTGGCTAATATTTCAGACCAATATCCAAAGCATACATGTCTTCTCTCACAGATCGTGTCGCGCTGCTAGAAGGCATGCTGCAAGAAACTGGAAAGGAGATTCCACCTGCGTCCTACCCTCCGAAAACTCGAGGTGAGGCTACTGCGTCGCAGAACAATAACCAAGAAAATTCTCAGAACCTGTCTGGACCTCCGCCAGCGCAGAACACGACACCGAGAAGCATAGCAGACGAGTCGACCGACGGAGATAACGGATATCAAAATGAGAGTAATCTGTCAAATAGCATGATGGAAACTCATCCTCCGCCGAGGATTCAACCATCGAAGAAAGAAGGTCTGGTACATATGTTACTTTCTACTCGGGGCCATCTGAGCTTCGATCAACTCAGTGGTCGCTTACGATTTTTCGGTCCCGCATCGAATTTTCACATCTACGCAGATAACAACAATGAAGTCGATACTCGAGAAACGCCCGAGCAGGTGCGAAGAACGGAACGAATAATACGATCACTAACCATCGAGACTCATGATTATCTGATGGATCTGTTCTGGGAATACTACAATAGTGTACTTCATATTGTGCACCGAGAAGCTTTCAACGAAGATATGCAGAATGCTAATAATAAATACTATTCTGGGTTCTTGCACATCAGTATTTTGGCGATGGGCTATAGATTTGCGGATCTGGAAAGAGAAGATATGAAGAAGATTACATTAGGAAACCGAGAGTGTACATTACATCGAGAGGCGAAATATATGCTTGATATGGAATTGGAAAGACCAGGTGGGATACCCTCGGTACAAGCGTTTTTGTTACTCGGAGATTTGGAGTGCGGAGTCGGACGTGATAATACTGGTTGGATGTATGCTGGTAAGATTTCATCTTCTGAAGGTCAAATTTTAGTAGCTAATCGAGAATCAGGAATGGCAAACAGGCTTTGCTTCGATCTCGGATTACATTTGGATTGCCAGAATGACGGACTTCCGGAGAAGGAAATACAAATACGACACATGACATTGTTTGCTTGTGTAATTTATGACAAGTAAGTGATTCTCCCTGTTTGACTCAGTGTTTAACTAACATCTAAGCAGATACTGGGCATTGTTTCTCGGTCGACCAACAGGTATCAAAAGCCAAGATCTTGAGATGTACCGCTTGTCCAAACAGTTCGCTTGTCTGTCTGCTTGCAAACCGGCAGGGGTTCAGAAGAGCTTGGAAACACAAATCTACGAAGAGCTTCTCGACTTGATGGAACTGGCAGGCAAAATAGCCGAGATTCGAGATTCAGGGGCTCAAAGTGCACAAGACGTCGACAAAGCAAACAGCGCATATCTATACGTTATGAATCTCGACCGCCAGCTACAAACCTGGTACAGAAGACTTCCAGAAAATTTAGCTTGGAATCCAGAAAACATCCAAACAGCACCATTCTCCTTCTTCCTCCTCCACCAACAATACCACTGCAGTCTAATCCTCCTCCACCGACCCTGGGCCAAATACGAAGATCCCACGCCCGCCAACTCAGACGACGGCCACGACGATGACACATACATGAACATCGACGACAACCATTCCTTCATGTCCCGCTCCATCTGCACCCGCCAAGCCATCCGCGTCGCCCGCATTTTCTGGCACCACCGCCAACGCTTCAACACCCGCCGCATCTTCGTCACAGGCATCCAGCACGCCGGTACCGCCGCCACCGCCCTCGTCGCCGCTCTCGCCTTCATCAAAAACCCCGCAGACCGCAGGACAAACATGCAGTACCTCGAGTGTCTCGCCTCCGCCCTCGGAGACATGTCATATACCTACCAGCCCGCCGCCTCCATGTCCTCGATTCTCCAAGGCGTCATGCTCGAACTCCAAACCCCCTCTTCAAAAACCCCGCCCCCCGATTTCCGCTACCTGCGCAACGACAACATTCTCATCCCCGCGCGCCGCGAAAGCACAACCGACGCCTCCGACCTGCGCACCTTTAAAAAACGCCAACTCTCCAAATCCTCAACACGACCTACAACACTCTCCTCCACCGTCTTCGCCACCACGCCCGCCTCTTTACCGTCCCAAACTATGAGTTTTCCCGCGGATAATGGGGAGGGCTACGTGATGATCACGCCAAGAAGCGAGAGGGCTGTCTGGCCGACGCTGAATAATGAGTTGAATCCGCTGGATTATCCGATGACGTTTACGGGGATGGGGATGGGGAATACGCCGTTGAATTGGTTGGGGGAGGTGGGGAGTCCGTTTGGAGGCGGGGAGGAGGGGGGGCAAGCAGAGGGGGGGACGGGTGGTGGGGGAGGGAAGAATACGGAGTTGGATTTTTTTAGTTTTTGAGAGTTCATTAACTCGGAGGAAGTCGGTGGGAGTGGAGATGCTGTATGTGAATTTCTTGTTTGGGTGTTTAAGGGCTGGTTTAAGAGCGATGGTGTTTGGTGTTTTATGATATTTTGACATGGGTTACGGGTTGGAAGAGGTGGAGTTATGTTACTTACTCTTCCAAGAGATCATGTAGAGAATTCAGGAGCTTCAAGAAGAATGAGAGATTCAAGAGGTAAAGAATACACAAGACTAGTATCTCGGAATCCAAGTGACTATCTTCACGTATCTTGAAACAAGGTTGGTCAGTAAAAACAGTTAGCGAACCACGATTTGATCATCAAAACGAGAAGCGCAGGACAGGATTGAGAGAATTGAATGTCAATCCTTTTCAAGGTCATTCAATATTACTAATGCCAAAAGTGTTACGTCTACCTCTGCCCCTCTATTAAAAACATCTCACTGATCTCTTCTGCAAAACCAAATGATCCTGTCGCTAAGCGAGCCCCTTTCCCCCAACACCAATCCGCGAACCAAACCTACAAATTCCGGAACGATCTTTGCGACCATTGAATAGTTGTCCCACCTTCAGGACTCGAAAGCGCTTCTTCGTGTTTCAAACGTCAAATGTAAGACCAACACCCACCAGAAAGCTCCCGTAGACTGAGTGGACTTTTCATTTCATGTGTGACAAAAGAAAGAATTCTGTCGAAATCACTACTACCCTCAAAGGACAGACTGCAATCAGTTTTCTCCTCTGTCACCTAAGCGGGAAGATCGGGGAGCAGATAGCCTTCTCGCCAGTTTGTCCGAGCGGGTGAACAGGATAAGCAGTTTCTTGAACACAGGACAGGAAAGGAGTGAACAAATGCTAACATTACTGGGGCTTTCCTGGTTGAGATTGTTGAAGAAGGCAAAGAAGGCGATGTTTGTGTTGATGAATCCACTAAACAACAATTATTTATTGCACAAAAGCTGAATTTGAAGTCGAATTTCAAGAGTCTAGAAAAAAAGAGTCAGCCAAAGTGCAAAGGCTGGTGAATACACTTCTTCAAAGGGAAGACTGGGTAAAGAGCAAAAGATTCATCTACACCATCTTCCCCCGTCCGCATGGTGATTCTAGAAGTCAGGCCGAGAGAACAACCTCATCTACCAAGACGACTATTGTTTCGTCCGAAGACAAAACTGAAAGGCATAGGCAGAACGAGAAGAATGGAATGTGTACTCACAATTTGAAGTCAAAGGGGTCGAAGTCGAAGATGTCGAAAAGATGTGGAAGATGTCAAAGTCGAAGATAGATCTAAAAATGAGAAAGTCAGCCAAAGTGCAAAAGCTGGTGAGTACACTTCTTCAAAGGGAAGCGGGCCGGGAGCAAGAGCTCATCTACCTCGCTTCTATTGTTTTGGAGACCAAAACTGAAAGGGTGATGGCAGAGTGGGAAGAATGGGGTGTGTACTCACTATTTGGAAGATGCTGGAAGGCGGAGAATTGATGAAGGCGAACGAAGAGGATGAAGGAAGAGGAATTGAGAGGTGCGAGGGGGTTGGTTATATAGGAAGCACAGGAAGTCGTGGAATCGAGGTCGCGGATCTGCGAAGAGGTTGAAGACAGCTATTGTGGATTCATAACAGCCATTGTGGATTCCCTCTAGCGTTTTCGCGAGTTCAACACGCTAGTCCGTGGTTTAGACACATCTAGCTCAGGGTTGTCTGAGAATGAACTTTAAATATAAAACAACATTCCGAGAGGGGTTGAATGGACCCGCTATCGAGAAACACGTTACGGTGCTAATGAGAAAATGGGTTCTGCGCTGGTATGAGCGGAGTGTTTGAGTGGTGCTGAATGAGGAAGTGACGATGGGTTGGAGAGGGATGACGCTAGTGAGGAGGGGAGGGTCAAAATTATTTCGCGACTGGTGAGCTGTCGGACAATATGAATGACTTGAAATTCTTTGCATCTTGGATCATGTGGCGAAGGGAGAAGCTAGGATGGTAAATAATACGGAAGTTGTTTCCATGATACTTCTGAAGACTATGGTTTTGAAGTACGTTGGATTCGAGATTTGAAAGCGCAACTGTTTATCACCGAATTGGATTATTTCCCAGTAGCAGTGACTTGAGAAAACAAACACATATTTGTCTGAATCATTGTGCATGAAACATGGTGTTATGCTGAAGTTTTGTGTGTTATATGACAATTCTTCAGGCAATTAATCTAATGTAGCTCATATGTTGAGGGTCTGGACATAGGCGTATACAATGGACTGAAGGGTCCTGCTTTAGGGCTTAAACACCAGCAACAGGCACCCAAAACACCATTGCTGCACTTGTGTTACGCTGAAAATGTAGAATACCATGATGGAGTGCTCATTTGGCTCGTTCAGATGATCATCTTCACTCGTCATGCACCTTCCTCAATCTCACCATTAGCGATTTAGTTCGCATAGCATCTTTCATAACATCAAGTTTAGAGCAGTTATACCATTTCGAGCTGAGTCGGCTTATTAAAATCTACCCATTCACTCGTTGAACTCCTTCAGCCGGCAATTCCACCAGGTGTTTAACCTTGCACATCTGCCATCGAACCAAACCTTCGAAGTAACCAACGTAGTGGACAACCCAGGAGCATTGAATGTATGACCATCCTCATGGAAAGCAGCATCAAATGTAGACTTGGTATCCAGCTCTAGCTTTGAATCCAAAAAAGAGAATCACGTATGGAATGGTACATGAGCCCAACTCAAACAAGCAGTTCAGCCTAGAAATACGACAACATGATCCCAAGAAAACACGTCCCACCGACGTCCTTAGACAGTAGAACAGACTAGGAACTAATGAACTTCCGGAAAGTCCTAAAAACTGCACTAACAATGCAAAAACGCCCCCCATCCCCCCATCCAATGCGCTTTGACGAGATACACAACACTGAAAAAGCCCGTTATCAAAGGGCTGAACTCAAACCATCCGACAGACTCTCAAGATGGGTAAGTGAGGGATTTGGAGGAGCAATTTGTTCAGCGATTTGTGCAGTAAGAATCGCAGCTCGTCGAGATGATCTGTGATCTGGTGTGTATTCGACGTGACCTTCTCCCCGTGCACAGCGAGTATTTCCATGCAGAACTGCGCGCACCTCAGAGCCGCAAATTGAATTCCAAAGATACATTTATTCGGCTGAAGAGTATTGCATGGCATCAACTCGGATTGAATGGCTTTGTAGACTAGGCGCTTGCCTTTCCATGAGATTACAACTTGTGATTCGGAGGGGTATACCGAGATATAGGGGTATTGTTTGAACTATGCGGTTATCTGACACTAATTTATTTGTTGTCCATGTACATTTCCCTGCCCGAGACTTAACCCTTTGGCATGCGGGCTCTTGTTTCGCTCATCCAAAAAACCAGCTGGCAATCTATATCCAAATCTGCAAGTGACACATTAGTGAGATGTCTAGAATCGCGGAGCAGAGAGTATACATACCGACAATTATCACATCTGCAACCAGGATAAAAATGGTGATCACAACCCCATTTATAGTCTCCAGGATTTCCACAACACGTCCAACGAAATCCCATCGGCCACGCCTCGTAGAATTTTTCAAAATTGCACTTCATTTCCTCCTAGAGCGACATTAGCCCAATATCTCACAACCAATCCATGAACCCACCTCGAATTCGGCCTTCAAAGACGGCGACTCATCCGCCTCAGTCGCACCCCATCCCAAACCTTGCTCCGGCGTCTCCCAAGTCACAACCTCCAAACTCCCCGAATGTCTCCCGCCATCCTCGCATTTCCTATGTTTCTCAGGCACATTCGGCCACACGGTCGAGTACTTCTTCCCATCTTTCGTCACTGAGGGTTCCGGAATTGGTTCTTCGGGACGGTTGAAGATGGAGGTGGAGAGTTGTTCTGGCAGTTGTATTAGACACGGTTTCCTCGCAGGAATGCAAAGCGCACGTACCTTTCTCCTCTTCTGGTGGGAAGATGGCGAGGTAGATTATCACGGAGCCGACGGCGATGGTTACCAGGACTAATATCTCGGCTGTATTCATACTCGTGTCATCAAGAATGGGATGGTTGAAAGTCGTGGGTTTCTGCGATCTCTGAGATTTCTCTCTACGCGACGATTTGCGACGAGGTGACGCGACGCTCGAAGGATCACGGACATGGGCCACTTGGGATGATTCTGCTCCTGATTCCTTTGACATTGTCACCGATGCGACCAATATGATGGGTCATCTTGGATGCGACGACGAGGTGGTCTGAACAGCGAATTGAATTATTACATGTTGATAGGTGGTAGCGGTAGCTGGTAGTCGCGAAGCACATAGTGTTAGTCGTATACCTCGTAAAGTGCTTACCAGATTTCGATGCCGAGGCCAGACTGCTCCAGCTATGGAACCCCTGGATGGAGTTACAAGTACATCACTCTCTGATATACTGCTCCGGATGATTTGTTTGAGCAACCAATCCTCGTACCAACATTCTCGCAATATCTGCGTACAAATTACCTCATAAAGCCATATTATATCTATTACATCTATATCACCATCACGAACTCATAGTTCTTACCGCCTTATCCCACGTAGGGTCTATCTTGCAACCATATCAAGCGAACTGCCTGGTGATCGCGCCGAGTCTGTGCAGATGATGGTGGAGAGTTTTCGACCTGACACGCAAGATGACGATGTTTGCAGCATGCCCAGGTGAGCGGTCAACAATTTTGCGCCACGACAGCTTCATCCCACACGAGAGAACCAACCAAGCTTCAAGGCAAATGGAATTCATGCGCATCCTGCAGAGTCTGCTTTGTCCTGCATAAACATTCCGTTAATTGCCTCAAAGTGCCGGGACCTTTATATCTTCCTCACCATCGTCTTTCGCAAGCTATTGTATTCTCTTCGGCACCATCCGCGACTAGCAAGCTGTAGCACAAACCTTCCTCTCCGCTCGAACTCCACATATCTTCATAACGAGGACTATCTACTTCGAAGCATATCGAAGATTACCAAAACATATACAGTACCTCTAAGGTCTGTTAGGGAATATGGCAGCACCATTCATCGGATTAGGCCTCAAAGCCGCAGATGCCGTGATAGACAAACATTTCCACAAGATCCCAGACAAATACGTCCACGTCGACACATATACACCCAAGAATCTACCACTCCCTTTCAAAAAGAAGAAGAAGTCGACACGAGAGGGCGGTCAAAGTCGATCTCCAGATGACGAGACGAGATCTCGATCACCTTCGCCAGAATATGATATCGAAGAGATAGACGAAGTTCCAATACAACGAGATATACCCAGACATTCGGGTGCAGCTCCAAGTCAATTTGTGAATCCTGCTACGGCTTATCCTCCGCAATACAGTAGTCTTCCACCGCATGTTAGAACAGAATATATCCCTCCTCCACCGATAGGAGTGGTCTATCCACCACCACCACCACCACAATCTAATGGGCAGTTCCCTCCACAACAAGCCTATAATCAGTTTCCACCTCCTCCGTCCCAACAATATCCTCCATCTCCACCTCAAACAGTAGATCCTTCCCAAGTCGACAGTCGCAGCTCAAGAGATCACAGACATCGACGCAGATCAGGAGGACGAGATCTAAGTCCCGAAGACGACCGTCGCAGTCGTGCCCCAAGACACATCCGAAGAAGCAGCCCCTACGATGGAAAACACACCAGCAGATACACCCCCAACGACGACACCGAAACCGAGTTCTACCGTTCCCGCCGCCCAAAACACACACGCCGAAGCAGTCCCTACGAACCCCCACGAAATCAAGAAATCTCCCGCTATGCCGCACCAGAGGATACCTATTCCGAAGCTTCAAACCTGCGGAGAGCGGAAACGGCGCCCAAAACAAGAGAATTGAACGCGTATGACGAGGATTACGATATTTATCGCTCGCGCGCCCATCGTCCGCGTATGGAAACCAGAAGAAGCAGTTCATTCCATGGTCGGGAATCGAATTACCAATACACCGCCACACCTCGCGACAGGAGACGTCGGCAGAACAGTCTCGGTTCTGGATCTCGCCGCTACGACGATGATGCTCCCAGATCTGAAGACGGCAAAGAAAACAACCAATTCTTCACCAAGAGCAAAGAAGGACTGCTTTCCGGCGCCCTAGGTGCCGTGGTTGGCGGATGGGCTGCGGATCGGTTGCAAAAGGGTGGATCCGGCAGGGAGAGGAAGAGTAGTGGGAAGGGAGGGGAAGATGATAAATTATTGACGCTTCTTGGGGCTGCGGTGGGTGGGTTGGCGGTTAATGCGTTGGTGGAGAAGAGGGAGGAGGGTAAGGCGAGGAAGGGGAGGGAGGAGAGGGTGAGGAAGGATGGGAGGGTTTATGAGTGGGATGATGGGTATAGTTAGGGTGAGATTTGAGGGAGGTGAGAGGTGATGGTCATGATCAAGTTAACGATTTAATGAGGTTCAAGGAGAAGATTTGGTGGTTACGATGACTTAAGAGGTTTAAGGTGTATGATGGGTGGACTGAGGTGATGATGTTACGAATTATGTATTATGAGTTACGATGTTGAGCATATACGTTGATCTTGGGGTTTGATCCCTACTTACTATTTTTAAATCTATACTCACTCACTCCTTACGAAAACACGAGTCTATAAAACCTTTTCACCATGCACAACAGACTAATCCGGAAACCCCTCATGTATCTAGATCTTCAAAATTTAAGATATATATTCCAGTCATTTTAGAGCCATAGATTTTGAGATTTGCCGGGACGGATGATGGTTGTGGGTTGAAAGTAGAATATACGTTTTCTAGACGATTCACACCACAGACTCACAGATTCGAAAACCGAGTCTCCCAAACCTCGTCAAATCCCATCAGCATCACCATCCCTTCGTCAAGACAAGAAATATCGTATCTCTCATTCTATCATCCCAATCTTTCCCGGCCTCGAGTACTCACTTTGAGGTGAAATACATGATGACATCTCTCCCACTCTTACCCACCCCATCTGGGACACACATTCGTCTTCGGGAAGCATTGTCTGTGATTCTGCATGCCCTCGGATTCAACTCCATACATATCTTTCGGCACACAAAGCGATATCTGAAAATGACGAACCTTCTGATTTGCAAACTTGAGATGGGCAAGTAAATCGTCGTGGATCTGAATCATGGGGTTTAAGAAGGGAGTCTTTTTACCTTTGTAGGTCGGAGAGGTAGGGAACTCAGGATCGTGTATGGTTTCTTGGGGGAAGAGTGTTAGTTTGGTCATGGTTATCTTTCTGCTTTTCGGAGATAGGATAAAACACAAAATCCCATCGGCGCTGGATAATGAAAGGTTATTCTGTAGTTCTGAGGGATGTTGCAGTGGCTTTTCGTGATATCTGTGCAATGAAATGTTTATTGATTTTGATGGAATCTCCGTTGATTTAACAAACAAATCGAACCTATCTTATAGTTTATTAAGCTTCGCATCGATCTATACGAACTTCCACTACAAATCCCATAACCATGGTGTGATTTGGACGACTTGTTTGGAAATTCGTGGACAACTACCAAAGTATCTATATTATTCGATTTTACGTGACCGCTAAGTGGTTCTCCCACGAATAACTTTTTTATTGAACAGCAAAAAACGGTAAATGTGGGTTTGGGTTACTAGTTTCTCAAGACTTGAGATCTGACGATATTGTAGGGTTTGATAATCGCAAGTGAGTATGTTTGGTAGTGCTTTACGACATCTGTGTGAACAAATTTCGCCAGAATGTTTACGGCTTTACTAAACTACCTATACCCCCTTTTACAGCTTCACTCACAAGTCAAACGCAGAATAGTTTGATATCAACGACTGCTTAGCACTGCGAAGATTGAGAAGTTATAGACATTATGAGAATCTCAGTCATCCAAGTCCATAACACAAAAACAAATCATCTATTGCACCCCCCTAATAATTCATATTAACCATAACAGTCTTCCTCTCCGTATACGCCAGCAACGCATCCCTCCCACACTCCCTCCCGATCCCACTTTCCTTACTACCCCCGAACGGGGTGCCCAACATCATCAAACTCACACAATTCACGCCCACCATGCCACTATCAAACGCGCTCGCCACCCTCAACGCTCTATTAACATCCTGCGTGAAAACCCCCGCCATCAACCCGAAATTCGTCGCATTACTGCGCTCGATGATCTCGTCCTCGGTCTTGAAACTATTAAGCACCGCGACGGGCCCGAAGATCTCCTGCGTCAGGAGTTCCGAGTCGGCGCCGACGTTTTCGAAGACGGTGGGCTCGATGAAGAAACCGGAGTCACCGACGCGAGAACCGCCTGTGAGGAGGGTGCCTTGGTTCTGCTCCTTGCCGCGGGAGATGAAGCCGGAAACGCGGTCGAATTGCGCTTTATCTATCAAGGGGCCCATGACGGTACCCTCTTTATCTGGATCTCCGATCGTCTTGCCCTTTGCTAGCAAGGCGTCTTTGTAACCCTGCACGAACTTGTCGTAGATACCTTCTTGCACATATACTCTCGTAGCAGCGAAACACACTTGGCCTGTATTGGCCGTGATAGCATTCGCCAACCAACTGACCGCATTCTCAAGGTTCGCGTCGTCAAACACTACAGCAGGAGACTTTCCACCCAGTTCAAGCGTCACACGCTTAAGATTCGAGCGTGCAGCTGCTTCCTGGATACGTTTCCCCGTTGGGATCGAGCCCGTGAAACTCACTTTACGGATCCGCATATGACTTGCAATAAGCGCACCAGTCGAGCCATCGCCAGAAAGGACTTGAAATACTCCTGGCGGGAACCCAGCTTCCTTGATCAACGGACCGAGAGCAAGAGATGCAAACGGTGTTTTCTCAGACGGTTTGAGGATGAAGCAATTCCCGGTTGCGAGCGCAGGCGCGGCTTTGAGACCAACCGTCCCTAATGGGCCGTTCCATGGCACGATACCAGCTGTGACGCCGAGCGGTTCGTTGCGGACGATTTTCAGAAACCCGTCTTCTTGCGGGAACGACTCGCCGGCGAACTTGTCGATCCAGCCGGCGTTGTATTTGAATGCTTCAGCCGCCATGCCGGTTTCGAAGGCGCCAAAGGAGCCATATGGGGCCCCCAAGGTGATGCGCGTCAGTTCGGCGAGGGACTTGCCGTGTTCTTCGATCAAGGATGCAAATTTGAGGAGGATGTCTCGACGGGCGATGTTGGTTAGTTTTTTCCAGGCTGGGAGCGCTTTTTCGGCGGCTTTGACGGCGGCGTCGACGTCGTGTTCGTCGGCTAGGTCGACGTCGTCGGCGATGAGGGAGCCGTCTTTGGGGTTGTAGAGGGTGAGTTTTTTAGAGTTTTTGGAGGAAACGAACTAGGTTTTGATTAGTTGGGTTTGGAGGATGGGATTGGGAGGGTATACCTCATTGTTTATGAAGAGCTGTTTTGGGAGGTTGGTTTTGCTGAATTCGAACGCCATTTTGGGTATCTTTCTCTATGTGATTTTGTAGACCCTGATGCTTGAACTTAAAATTGTATTCTGAGAGAAGAAACAGAAAAGAAATCAACAAGTGAGGAGGGGTAAGTGGAAGCTCTCTCCCAAGCCTTAAAACAGTTACACATCAGTCCTCAACCCCTCATCTGATCAGCATGGTCGTCGCACGTCGGACTTAATGGTTTAACACCCGATAGCCAAGCAAGCTGGGGGCTCAGGGTACTGCTGCTGCTACCGTTCATGGTGGCTGTTGCTGGTTTGAAAAACGCGTCGACGAGGAAGACCTCGGATGCGGTTACTTATGTCGAGTCAAGATGGGAAGGGTTGTGGAGGTGATTGAGTCGGTGAGTGTGGAGAAAAGCGGGAGACTTTAGCGAGGACAGGGGGCCAAAATGTGGGGTAATCGTCTCTGACATGTGAGACAAGAAGGCGGTCCGAATTAGGGGGACACCGTTGATAAGTAGTGGATTTATAGTTTTTGAGGGGTTTTGAGCTGATGAGTCTCATGTGAAAGTAGAAACCAAAAGTTTTGCACGAATGTTTCGAGAAGGATAGACAAGGATAGACAAGGAAGTGGGATTCATCCTCGCAGTTGCGTATCTGGGATTTTGATAAATGACATTGATGCATAAGTCAAAAATTCGTAGTCAACCACCAAGGTTTCCCAGACTCATGTACAGAGGTCTTTCTCAAAAAGAAATAGCTCCCTCAGATATTCGCCTTCATATCAGCAAGTTCCTTCTCAAGCCTAAAAACCATAACCTCACTCCCCTGCAAACTACCCATAACCTTCTTCGCCCATTCCGTCTCAGCAGTCTTCTGCAACTCATCTTGCGGCAAAGTATCAACATCAAACTCATGCAGCGCTAAGTACTTTTGTGGCTCCCTCGGTTTCTCGAGATTCTTTGCATTGACCGCATTCTTGAGTTTATACCGACGAGTACGAACGTAACCTGTGCATTCAGAAAGAGTGCGGTAATGCTCATCACGGTACCAAGCATTGAAATCTTCATCGGTTCCTTCGGCTGGTGTTAGACCGGCTGAGATGACGAGTTTTGCTGGTCCTGTTATACATTTGTTAGCTTTGACTTCGTGGGAAGTTGATAGAGGATATAAAATACCAGATTTGGTGCCCTGCTTCTGGAAGTCATCCACAAATTCATACCATCTAGTATCGAATTCGGCAACATCAAAACACTTTTTTCCACCACTTATATATTTCTCGCTCGTGACCGGGATGTCGAAGTATTGTTTACTTCCCAGGAAGTTGATATCTTTGACTGGGTAGAGAACCAGATACGGATGGGTATCAGATGGGTTGATATTGGAGTACCGAACTGCTGACGAGACTTGTTTTGTGATGAAGATGTCGGGGATATGTTCTTTATCGTACCATTCCAGGAATTTGGGCTCGGGAAATTCGGAGGAATTTGTGATGCGGGAGTTCACCCACAGAAGATGGTGTTTTGACATTTTCTTTTGTCCTTCCAAGTTTGTTGACAATTGTGAAATGTGTCCTCGAAAATGAAATGAAGCAGTGAGTTTCCTTACTCTGCATAGTGTTAGTGATAGTTCTGAGCAATTGGATTGTCTAGGAAATATTTCTTATCCTTTCACAATATCGTGGGAATGCAAACTAGTAAGGACAGCTTGTTACACCAAGTTGAGGCAGAAACAGATGGATTGATATGAGTCAGAATAAAACGGAAGGAAACTGCTTGTGTTATGGTCAAATTTCCTGATTTTAATTCTTGTTGAGTTGCGACCCAGTAATGTTGTTAGATGATATTGAAGTCTTTGGCAGGAGGTTTGCATTCAGTTGAGATCCCCATATTTCGGCTTTATGGCAAATAATCGGATCAAGTTAGTAACCCGTGCCATTCTCGAAACCTGGTTTTTAGCCATACGAATTACTTTACCTGCTCTCAAAGCTGTTGGCGGAAAACGATAAGCTGAGTACCTAGGTGGAAGCTACCAAGTATGGTGGGGACGGCGGGGTAGTGCTAGGCGGAAGGTGTTATCGGAGATATAAAATTGGTGCTTAAAACTGGTCGTGATCAGGCCCTCCATTCCTGTGGAAGCTCTAATGCAAGCCCGAGAAGAGCTAGGGAGGTCGATTAGCCAATAGACTTGCGCCAAAGAGAATACTTGGTGGGTTGTTGCTCACTTCAAAAGAGCTCCAACATTAAAAGTCCTCATTTATATTGATAAAATCAAAATATTCATCTTTCTTTCACGAAAGCTAATAATCTTCACAAGAACGAAATCAAAATGGGCAGTCATAATACAGAATCTGAGAAGAGCGCACTCATCTTTGGGGCATCAGGTGTAACTGGATGGGCCGTTGTCAATGAGATATTGCATGACTACCCCAAGAAGGGTACTTGGAGCAAAGTGCATGCTCTGACGAACCGACCACTGAAGCAAAGCGACTCGCTCTGGCCAGAAGATGAGAGATTGAACATCGTGAGCGGGATTGACCTTTTAAAAGGTACCCAGGAAGATTTGCAGGATGCTTTGAAAAGGATCGAAGGCATCGAAAAGGTGACACATGTGTACTATTTAGGTAAGTGAGTTCTTGAAGATTTGTGCAACAGGACTGAAAAAAATAGCATACAAAGCTTCCTCCGACTTCGCCCAGGAGTACAAAGATGCAGAAGCGATGTTCCGCCGCTCGACCATAGCAATAGATCATCTGAGCCCAGCATTGGAGTTCGTCTGCCACCAAACAGGAGCGAAAATGTATGGCTGTCATCTCCTTGAGAATCATCCAACAGATTACATTTCCGTCCCTCTGAAGGAGTCACATCCACGACTTCGGTCACCATATGGCGATGGTCTGTTCTACCACCCACAGCTAGACTTCATTGCAGACTTTGCTAAAGACAAGTCTTGGAATTGGTGTGATACACGACCAGACATCATCATCGGATTTGTTCCAAACCAAAACTTTTACTCCTTAGCAACATCGATAGGAGTCTTCCTCACATTATACGCTGAGGTGGAAGGAAAAGGTGCCACATGTCCGTATCCTGGATCGAAAAAGGCATGGGTAGCGAAGTCTCATGACAGCTCCAGTGACATGATTGCTCGTCAGTCCTTGCATTTGTCCCTGACGCTGCCCAAATCTCAGAAAGGAGAAGGGTTCAATGTTGCAGACGCCAAGGCACCCTCAACTTGGGAGCACAAGTGGCCAGACCTATGTTCGTATTTCGGACTGAAAGGGACGGCGCCGCCAGATGAGGGGGAGCCAAACGAAGTTAGGACCTATATCAAAAAGCACATCGACACGTGGAACAAGCTTGAGAAGAAACATGGATTGAAGACAGGTATCGCCGATTCGGAGATGACTTTCAAAGGCTTCGAGTATTTCCTTCTTACCCAGTTCGATTTTGATAGGCAGTATGATATGACGAAGATGTATGGAACTGGATTCAAGGAGGAGCGAAGCACGTTGGAAGCCTGGGGTGGAGTGTTCGATCGGATGAAGAAGGCGAACATTCTGCCTTCGTAGATATTGAATTGAGAAAATTGATTCCTCATGGATTGTTAGCTAGAAGCCTTCTTTCGAGGATCCTAATCAAGCTCGTGCTTTCTTGATGCGGTGGTTCGTGGTTTTGTTATGACGTTAATCGTGACTTCGTTCTCGCTTGTCTAAAAGAATTATAAGTACTCATGCGTCGTGTGCTTGCAACGTTATTGATCTCTATCTGGCTGTTGGATATTGTAGAGCAAAGATGGTTGAGGGGTTGATCTGATGATGATAGAGGGCGTGGAGGTATAAATTTTGGAGGCGGTCGATTTTGCTCCAGTCCCGATTGGGATTAGCACGTTTGCAAGGACGTCGCCTAAACTTCCAGTTTTTGAAGCAGCGATTTTGCTCCATCAACCATTGTTTTATCTCATGTTCTCAGTATCTACGTAAATGGCACTGTTCTATGCGACAAGAGGAAGACACTCCTGATATGGCGCTTTTGAAGATGAACCTTAGTTTTCGAAGCGCGTTAATTCAAGCGTCGAGCGCGACGCGTTACGATACATTTTCGTTCCGATTGGATTCGTTCTGGACGTAAAGCGGACGAGAAGACATTGAAAGACCCTTGGTGGTCTAGAGATATGTGGTATAAGAATATGTGTTGCATAAGATGATATACTCGATACGCCATGTTTGGTCAAGTGGCCGATCGAAAGGTTTGATCTAGTCGAAGAATGCTGCCGCGCTTTCTGTGCTAGCTCTCGCCAGGGAGCATTTTTATCTCATCACCGAGCTGTTTTCCGATAGCCTTTCGCTTTCTCTTTTCATTTTCGAGTCAGCATTGTGTTGTCAGCTTTCTATTTGAGTCATTCTTTTTACAATGAGAATCGGTACTAGTCTGTTCAGTGTCCTCTGCCTTGGGAATGTTGTCAGCTGCTCAGTCCTCTCCTCACTGAGAATACGAGCCCTGGATTACTGGAAGCCACAGCCTTCGCTAAAATGGCAAATCGTTCTCCAAGAAAGTCTTGGTAGTTTGAATATTTCAGGCGTGGATGTCTATGATGTTGATCTCAATACCACCTCAAAGGCGCAAATCACGACACTCCAGGCGAATGGAAAGAAAGTCATCTGCTATTTTTCTGCAGGTAGCTGGGAGAAATACCGGCCCGATCAAAGCCTCTCCGATCCAAGAGACATTGGCAACAAAATCGCAAAGGGAGAAACAAGTCAAGATGGATATTGGCCAGGCGAGAAGTGGCTCAACATCAGAAGTCCAGGAGTCCTAGGAATTATGTTTTCCAGAATTCAACAAGCAGCAGATAAAGGCTGTGACGCGGTCGACCCCGATAATGTTGATGGTTATGGAATCGACCAGTCTGGACCTAACGATAATGGCTTCAATCCCAAGACTGGCTTCAACATCACCCAAGCAGATTGCATCGTTTACCTGACAAGGCTTGCCACAGAAGCGCACAGCCGCGGTCTCGCAATTGGTTTGAAGAATGCCATAGAGATTGTACCGCAGATTGAACCTTTGGTTGATTTCGCCGTGAATGAGCAGTGTGTGCAATACAAAGAGTGTTCAACTCCCGCCAATTTATCGTCAATCAGAAACCTGTCTTTCATATTGAATACTCAGCAAAACTGCAGACCCTTTCGAAGGCCACTTTCAACAAAAGCTGTGCTTCTGGAGTGGAGTCGTCATTCTCGACAATCATCAAAGACTGGGACTTGACATCCAAGGCGAAGTGGTGTGATGGGACCAGCGCCCAGTGAAGTCTTAACACCGCCTGGATTTAGTATTCAATACAAACGTGTAGCTCAGCGCCGCGCCTACAGCTTCTCTAATTGCTCTTCATGTTATGTCTTTCGATTATCATGAATCAAGCCACATGCATTATCTTTCAAATAAGTTGCTTTTCCTAATTCTATATTCTAGCTTGGCATTATACATCAGGAGTAACACCATGGAAGGTCTCAACCTCTACACCCATCTCTTTCGCTGCCTTCAAATACTTCCGTCTATACTCCTTATTCCTCTCCAAGAACTTCTCCGCAGTCTTCAACTCATCTCTCCCAACCTGATGTCTATGCGCGCTATCAGGACCATCCGCAATCCTCACAAACCGAGCATACGTCCACATCTCCGGCAAAGGAGTATGCTGCGTAAGACCCTGACCACCATACAACTGCATACACTCATCAATAACCCTCGTCGCCATATTCGGTATCAAAATCTTCGACTGCGCAATAGCATATCTCCCAGCTTTATTACCATGCTTGTCCATCGTATCAGCCGCATTCAAAACCACCAACCTCGCCTGATCAATTTCCAACCTCATCTGCGCAATCCTTTCAATATTCGAATCAAAAGACCCAATCGACTTCCCCCTCGGCGTCTTCCTCGTATCAATACACCTAATCAACGCCAACTCATACGCCCTCTCACACTGTCCAATCAACCTCATACAATGATGAATCCTCCCCGGCCCCAACCTACCCTGCGCAATCTCAAACGCCCTTCCCTCCCCCAAAATGATATTCTCCACCGGCACCCGCACATCCTTATACACATACTCCCCATGTCCCTCAGGGGCATGATCATACCCCATAATCGTCAGATTCCTCACCTGTGTGATCCCCGGCGTGCTCGTCGGCACGATCACCGTCGAGTGCCGATTCCATTTATTCGGATTCTCTGGATCGGACAGCCCCATGAGGATGTAAAACTTGTTCTCGGAATTCCAGATACAATTCCCATACAATTTCCGCCCGTTAATCACGTACTCGTCCCCCTCACGCGTGATTCGACAGCCAATTTGCGTCGCATCGCTAGACGCAACGTCTGGCTCTGTCATCGAATACGCAGACGATGCTGTTCCGTCTAGTAGTGGCTGTAACCATTTCTTCTTCTGCGCCGGCGTGCAGTATTTCGCTAGTAATTCAATATTCCCCGTCTCAGGCGCATGGCAATTCATCGTCTACCACGCCCTCATAATTAGCCATCTCCCCTCATCTAAATCCCTCTTCACCCTCCGAAATACCACATACCTGCTGCGCCCAATAAACCCTCCCCATAATCTCCGCACAACACGCATACTCCAAATTCGTCAGCCCTGGACTCTCCTTGAAATGCTTCGGCAGGAACAAATTGAACAGTCCTGCGGCTTTCGCTTTCTCGCGAAGCTCGTGCATGAGCGGTTGAGTCGTCCAGCGCGATGAAGGGGAGGAGATTTGGGATTTCATGATCGGTTCGAGGGGGATGCATTCGTTTTCTACGAAGTCGTAGACGGCGGTTATTTTTGAGATGGCGATGGGTGTGAGTTTGGATTGCACCCATGGTGGGATGCGTGTGAAGGCTGGGTGGGAGAGGGTTGAGGTCGGCATTGTGAGGGTTTGAGGTGTGCAGAAGGGATGGATTGCGAGAGGAAAGGGTTTGGGGAATAATTTTTACATGTTTTCTACAAGTCGGCGTCGGTTCCTAAGTTCATACTCTGGCCGAGGTCGCGGTTCGAGATGTTGAATTGGAGTGCAGGGGAGCTGGCGATTGTGGGGTGCTGGGGTGCGGGAGTGCTTACCCGAACCCCTGAAATACGCGGGGGGGACCCCGCGATATGTGATTGGATGGGTTGGGGTGGTTTGTAGACCTCGAGATGGTTCAAGATGTAACGCAAGACCTTAGTGTACCGTTGTGTGCACGATAGACATTGGGTGGTACTCGAAGTGTTGACGCCTTGCGAAGTATCTAGCAATTCTCTTCCTCACTAACAACTTAATCTTTTCGCTTACCACGTCCTCCTCGATTCAACTCCTACCATCACTTTCCAAATCCAAACCGAAACCTTCACCAAACATGCCAGACAACGAAGGCTTCGCTCAACCATGGCTCGACGTACCTTACCCTCCATCCCCAATCCCTTCCAAACCTCAATTCTAACAAAACACAGTTCGAATCCCAACTCGGCACCCGCCTCCTCCTCCGTGCCTCCACTCCCGCCGAAGCAGACGCACAATACCTCTCCATGGCCCCCCTTCTCATCTCCAAACTCACCTTTCCACCCCCCGACGCCTCCGTAGACACCCACGACCAAACCCTCCCTTCGGGCCCCAAAATCCGCATCTACACCCCGAAAACCTACGTCCCAGGCAGCAAACCCGCCTGTGTGTTTTATCATGGCGGTGGCTGGGCGATGGGGGATCTCGAGGGCGAAGACGCGGTTTGTAGACGTATAGCGCGGGATTCAGAGATCGTGGTCGTGAGTGTGGATTATAGACTTGCGCCTAAACATCCGTATCCCGCGGGCTTGGATGATTGCGTGGAGGCGTATGAGTGGTGTTTATCCAACTCTGAATTCTTGAAGACCAAGGAAGGGAAAATCGTGACATGTGGGACGAGCGCGGGTGCGAATCTGGCGTTGAGTACGGCGTTGAGACTTATTGACTCTGGAAAGGGGGGAAGTGTGGCGGGTGTGGTTGCGGTGGTGCCTGTTACGGTTGCGCAGGAGGTTGTGCCTGAGAGGTTTAGGGATAAGTATCGGAGTTATGAGGAGCATGCTGAGCATACTGTTAATACTAAGATGGCTATGGAGATGTTTTTTGGTGAGTCATTTTCCTGGGGATGGTTGATGAAGGGATGTTAATGGTAGCAGATGCGTATGGAGGAGATCCAAAGGATCCTTATGTTTCACCGATGTTGCATACAAAGATAAAAGAGCTGCCGAGGGTTTACATGGCGGTTTGTGGACAAGATACTTTAAGGGATGATGGGAGGTTGATGAAGGAGGTTTTGGATGAGAATGGGTAAGCAACAGTCTTTTGCAATCAGAACAGATATTTCTAACAGCAGACAGGGTATCAAATCGTTACGAAGAGTACGAAGGATATCCGCATTGGTTTTGGGTCTATCCGTCTGAACATCTGAAAGAACCAGTGGAGAAATTCTTTAGTAATTTGAAAAAGGGATTTGAATTTGTGTTGGAAAAGTAGCAAGCTAGTAAACCAAATCTAGCATAGATCTGTTAGACACAATTAGATTTGCCATTCAGCTATCAACAGACCAAAAGCCTGAAATTTGTAGAGAGTCCTTCATAAAGCCGAGAACTATCTCCCTTCGCTTGGACAGTACTTTTCCATGACAATGCTGCGAAATCCCCATGAATCAAGAACGCAGGCATCTCGCCCCTCCATGATTCAGTCTGCATGCCACTAAAAGTACCCCGCGTTTTGGATCCTGTCAGCGTGCATGGCGTCGCATTTCAGGGGTGTGCCCCTGTAGCCCGCCCGCACTTGAGCTCGAGTCAACTTTCCGGTCTGCATTTCCCGAGTTTGAGAAGCATGGCGAGATGCAACCTTCAATACGATGGTTGCCGCTAGCCGGCTAACATGGGGTTTTCAGAAGATGGATGGAGCCAAAACGATCTCAGCTGTCGGAAATATGAGATGAGAAGCTGCTGAAAGTGTTTGACTTCGAATTCAATCTTGATAACAAACAAAACAAAATCAAACATGGCAACCAACGGGCATACAAATGGAAATGGCACAACCAAAAGACCCCTCCGAGTCGCTGGAGCCTCAGGAGGTTTCACAGATCGCCAACGTGCCATTTGCTCTCTCGCTCATTGCGACGTCGACGTGATCGTTGGCGACTGGATGTCAGAATGTACAATGTCCTGGCACGGTGCTGCCAAGTCAGCAATTCTAGCAAAAGGAGATACCTCTGAGAGAATGGGACTTTACGACCCATCATTTATGGCAAACTTGACACCTGCGCTGCCTGTTCTTGCAGAGAAAGGGATCAAGTTGGCTGTAAATGCTGGAGCTAGCGATACTGAAATGTTGGCTAAAGAGGTTGAGAAAGCGATTAAGAAGGGAGGATTGGAGGGGAAGTTGAAGGTTGCGTGGATACAGGGGGATGAGGTGTTGGATGTTGTGAATAAGCTTTTGAAGCAGGGTGAGAAATTTGAGAATATATGTTTTGGTGGGGAGTTGAAGGATTGGGGTTTTGATCCTGTTGCTGCTCAGTAAGTACTCCAAGTAATTTTGGAGATAAAAGCCTGGTACTGATGATCGTAGATGCTACCTTGGGGGAGCTGGTATTGCTGAGGCTTTCAGACAAGGTGCCGATATCGTTATTTGTGGTCGTGTTGCTGATGCTGCCCCGACTATTGGAGCTGCCATGTGGTGGCATGGCTGGAATCGAGACCAGGACTTCGATCAAGTAGCAGGTTCGTTGATTGCTGGTCATCTAATTGAATGTTCCTCGTACGTCTGCGGAGGATATTATTCTGGATTCAAAGATCTGTTCGACGGGTGCGAAAACATCGGGTTTCCGATCGCAGAGATATTTCCTGACGGAAGTTGTGCGATAATCAAAGAGCCAGATACCGGAGGAGAGATATCTGTGGGAACGGTAGCTTCTCAGTTACTGTATGAGATCCAAGGACCTCAATACTATGGCTCTGATGTAGTTGCTGTTCTCGAAGGCATCAACATGACCCAAGAAGGAAGAGATCGAGTTCTCGTCTCGGGAGTAAAAGGCAAACCTCCGCCAACAACGACCAAAGTTGGTCTCACAGCCCACGGCGGATATCAGGCTGAATTCCACTATCTCCTCGTCGGTCTTGATCTGGAGCAAAAAGCCGAATGGACAGAAAAGCAAGTCCGAGCATCAATGGGAAAGAACGTCGATCGCTTCTCCTGCTTGAAATTCACACTGAATGGCTACTGTCCAGAAGACCCGCGAAATCAAGACGTAGCGACCGTAGACTTCCGAGTCTTTGCCCAAACCAAAGATAGATCTCTGGTCGTCAAAGATTCGATGGAAGTTCCTGGGTTTAACCGCTGGTGTCTTGAAAACTTCCTTCAATCGTGTCCGGGTGCCACTATCGAGAACGATATCCGACAATCTGCAGGTAAAGAATTCTACGAATACTGGGCAGCACTACTTCCGCAGGAAGAAGTTAATCATCAAGTCAAACTTCTGTGGGATAACAAGACGATTGATGTTGCTCCTTCGCCTGCAATGGAATTGTATAGCACGCGTCAATGGTCTTACGAGACGAAAGATCCTGTCGAGCTTTCAAGTTTCGGTCCCACAACACGTTGTCCACTCGGATTCAGAGTGCTCGGAAGATCTGGAGATAAAGCTTCAGATGCTAATCTAGGATTCTTCGTTCGCGAAGATGATGAGTGGAACTGGCTTCGGTCTTTGCTGACGGTAGATAAGATTATCCAGCTGCTGGGTCCAGAGTATAACGGAAAGCTGGTGGAGAGGTTTGAGATACCGGGTATCAAGGCAGTGCATTTCTTGCTCCATGATCATCTAGATCGAAGTTATAACGCAACCAGCACGTATGATGGTCTAGGCAAGAACTTGTGCGAGTATTTGAGGGCGAAATATGTCGAGATTCCCAACTCCTTCTTGAGGAGAGGAAGGATCTGAGCATTTTCATCTTGTACTCATTTTAGCAAAATCAATAAAGCAATATACCAAACCCATGACCAGCTTTCCTCATGCCTTTTCAGCAACCAACATCTAGCCCCACTCCCTCCCCAATCACATGACCTAAGATCCCCATACCCCTCCCACATGTTATCTCATAAATCATCCCCCCTGCTCGTTTCACGCCGACTACTAAATATCGGGTATTTTCATCGATTTACATCGTTTAATATAGGGTATAGTACGAAAGGGGTTAATACCTAGTATTATATTTATCTTATAATATAGAAGGGCGCGGGGAGGTACTCGAATTTCTTTATAGTACGCTATATAAATCGGAACCGTTTATCCTTAGACGCTTCGCAGTAAGAAACCTCACGTGAGACCCACTTGTTTGGTCCTTAAAACTTGTGGTGGGTCCTTGACCAATTAAACACACGGAGAAGCGTCTGATTTATGAGATAACCCACATGTAGTATCCTCGCATTACGATAAGCAACAAACACCCAACTGGTGGCGAGCATCGATGTGCAACGAAACTCAAAAATCGCGCAGACGGAGCAAATGAGAGGAGGGTGTGGCTGAACTTTGCAACCTCTTCGAATCAGAGCGTCGGTGAGATATTTGGGTGTTACTTGACGCGTTTGGTTGAAAAGCGTGACGTGACGGAGAGGGAGGTGGTTATGATGAAGGTTGGTAAGTTACGACCTGTAAGTCAGTAACGTGCTACAAACACGTAGGTTAGGCGATGGAGTTGTGTGTAAAAGAATGGCAAGGAAGAGGTGCGTTAGAGTTGGATGATCGAAGTTGTGGAAGGCAAAATGAAAAGAAGGTTATTCTCGGCAAAATATCGGGTTGTATTTGGTCCCCAGAAGGCATTATTTCTACAAATTGATATCAAATTGATATGTTGACCATAATTTATCTGCTGAAACCTGATATTTGGTATATACTCCAGAGCTTTTCCCTTTAATGGACCCTCCAAGTGAAACACTACAACGCACAATCATTATCAACCTCCAACGCAAACGCCCACGGACTTCGTCCTTCTCTGCGATCTCTTCCCATCTTACCACCTGTTCCTCTTTCCCTAATCCCTCTGTTGATTCCGACCACAGTAATTTTCCCGACATTAGGAGTAGCAGCTTCCTTTGGCGTCACAACCTCAATACTAGGCCGCAGTAGCTCAAGAAAATCATCGTATTCTCCATCTACACCATAGCCTGCATTCATAGGATTGATAACAGTTTCATTCGCGGCCTTGAATGTTGTTGACTCCTCAAAGGCTGGTGGTGTTGGCACTGGCGATTCCGAAGATGTTGTGGATGAGGCTGCTTGATTTACGTATTCAACGTCTTCATCTAGCATATCGACATCATGAAACTCGGGATGAGCTATGTGAAATTGCGAAGAACTTGGGGGTATGAACGGAAATGAGCAAGCTGTTGTTGTCATTTGAGTGAGTGATTCTTCTTCCTGCCACACGGGGGGCCGAGAAGTCACTTCTGGGCTTTGAAATGGCACGGCTTGATGTTGTAGCTGCTGCCATTCGAAGGTTGGCCCCGCTGTTGATGCTGGTTGTGACGGAGCTGTAAGGGCGGCAGATCCAAATGTGGTATCACTACCAGTCCAACACAACCAAGCCTTCTCAATGTATGTTTGCGCGTTTGTAATATCTCGCATATGCTCCTCGTCATCTTCGTCGCTCATGATATCAAAATCAGACATTGCAATAATGGGAATTTCACAGTCTTCTTTCTTGATTCGTACTGGTTGTTTCCAACTTTCATTTCCTGATATGGCAACCAGCCGATCACGAATGAAAGCTGTCCAAAAAATGCGGCGCTCCAGCTTTCGCTTTCGGATGGAGCACATATTTGAAGTCGTTCCAGCAGGAAGTGGCAGGCTGCGATGTAGTCCAAGAGAATAGCAAAGAGATATTGCGAGATTCAGGTAGTGACTGGCATCCTTTGCTGGTGCTGCACGGTGCGCTTGATGTTTGACTGGCTCTGACTGATAGAGGGTCATGAAAAGAAGAGATTGAACAATTGGCAATCGGTCTGCTGTCGTATCAAAATCGTAAAGTAGCTGTTCTCGGGGTCAGCAAGGAAACAAGATACAATTTAGATAATGTGCATACCTTTACTCTACCAAACATTATTCTCCTGCAGTCCTCCCTGTTCGTCCATCCCGCAGCCTTCAACGCTTTTAATTCCACGAACTCTGCACCTGCAAACATTACGGCTTGAAATAGAAGAAAATTGATCTGGGCTCTGCCGGCAAGCTCTCTTTCGGCGTTCTTGCCTCTCTGTTCATTGAGCCCTTCATATCCATACTTGACCGCCGTCAGAAATTCTTCCAAATCAAGAATAGGCATGCTTCCATGTACATAATTGACATATGCTTTCAGCAATGCGACTTGGAAAGACTCGGATGGAAGGGTAAGTGCATCGCGAGTATGGAGATACATGAGATCTGCCACTTCTAGATGATGTGGGAACGGTGTGAAAACCTTTGGAAGAATTGGAAGTCGTTGGTCTGGTGCTTTTGTGCTCGTCATTGGTATTGGTGCTGTTGATAGTGGCGGTTGAATCTGAATCCAAGCTCTGCTTCTCATTGTGGTTGGTGCTTGTAAGACAGGTTCATGTGATGAGGTAGATTCAGTTGGCAGAATTTCTGCTAACGGATGATCTGATAATCTCATACCATGTGGTGCGAGAGCTGTAATGGACACTGGTTGCTCAACACTCTGGCAAATTTCTTCGAGCTCTTCACCACCGTGACATCTATCACCAGCTTCTGATCCATTCTGAGACTCTCGCAGAGACTTCTCCGCGCGCTCCTTAGCTGATCTGAAGATAATTAGCTAAGTCTGCAGCTGCAAGTACTGGGTTACTCACCGCTGTCTACGGCTCAAAGGTAGAATGCAGTCAATTTCATCATGGCGACAATTGCTACACGGAGCGCCATGAGCTATGATGTTGCATCGGACTTTTCTCTGTCTACAAGTCGTGCAAGCTCTGGATGATCGTTTCTTCCCACGACGCTTTGAAATGGGTCGCTGTTCGACCTGTGGTTGCTGCTCTTGCTCTGGTGCTGGAGAGCCTGAGGGCGAGTTGAAGAACGGAGCTGTGGTTGAATTGTGCAGGATGAGAGCAGAAAGATCAAATTCGTCTGAATTGATGTCTGACATTTTGATCTGATTTCGTCGACAGTTGTCGGATTGAAGATTGATAGAGTTCTTCTGCTTACACTTCCTGAACTATCTCTGACAATATGATGGGAAGAGGAATTCAACAACAGGAAGATCAACAAAATCAAGAAAATTCCTTAGGGTCCAGAGCCTTGCCATGGCAGCCCACCATTAGCCTTGTGCAAATGCATCTCCCCGCCATCATCCCAGAGCTTCGAACACGGCGAGTCCGCTATCGCAAAATCCGCGGCCATGGCATGTCGTGTCTATCATCTGGGCGTCACAGCCTCGCACTAGCACATTCAGACATGAAGCATGTTGAGAGTACCTGCATGGGAAAGTTGATCTGGAGTCCGGGTCTCCATAACCGCTGGCTTGTCAATGATGTGGGGTCTGCTACCAACGCGGGGAAACTTGGGAAAGTAGTGTCGAGTCAGGGAGGCGCGTCAAGGATATGTCCGAATATTTTCCTCAAAGAGTTTGAAGATATTGAAGAGCATTATTTGATCAATGAACATCTCATTGTACTGAGAGCAGTTTGATCACAAGAGCAACGAGGACGTCGAACGCTTCGTTTTGAGATATGAAGTGAAGCGTTTGTAGTTGTGATGGATCAACAAAGATCTGCAGTCGTATGGCCAACGAGTTCGAGAAGCTCGGACCACCCAGTCGACTCATTGACTTCTCGCTTCGCGGAGAATTTGACTCAAGTAACTTTCCCCGCAATGCAACCTACAAGGTCACAGGCACCCTGGTATCTTGGAGACTTCTTGGTATTCGAACAATACCATCCTAGAAATCTCCTTCAGGGTCAAGCGGCTCGCCCGCGGACTTTACGGGAGGTTTTCAGTTCGATGTCCGGATTGTAAGCGAGTAAGCTGAATGATTTCCTAGTTGTGGTGAGAAAAAGATAGACTGCAATATCACTTCTTTCAGTCACTTGCGAGACTACGAAGTTGAACTAATTGTACCCTAACTCATACCTCAGGAAAGATTGTAGAGGAAGTATACTACACTGTCACTTCTTTTCACTCACTGCGTAGTTAAACCAATCAACCCCCTTTTCCAACCTCCAGAAAACGTGACCCCATCAATACATCTCAGATGTCTTTCCTACTCAAAGGATCAGCATTCATAACAGGTGCTGCTTCTGGTATGAAACCCCTTCAAACTCTCCAACATAAAGACTAACAAACCGCAGGAATCGGAAAAGCATCCGCCTTCGCCCTAGCAAAAAACGGTATAGAAAGATTATCATTAACAGATATATCACGTACCAATCTCACGGAAACGACCAAGGAACTTCAAGATCAATACCCTAAACTTGAGATTTTGTCGCAGGAATTGGACGTTTGTGATGAAGATGTGAGTGGTGTTTTAGTTGCGTTTTTGGAGTAAAGTTTGATGCTACTATAATTGTCCAGCATTTCATGGTCATAAAAATGTCAAGAAATCACAAAACAAGCATGACCATATTTACCAAATCAGTCCCTCACACACAAGATCAGACACCCAATTTCCCTTCTCACTCTACATAAATACCTCAAAGCACATCACACCCCCAAATCCTTCCATTCCCAGAACGTTTCACTAACAAACCCCCAGGCCGTATCCTCCTCCATCCTCGCAACAACCAAAAAGTTCAACCGTCTCGACATCGCCATAAACGTCGCCGGCATAGGCGCAAACGGCGCCCCAACAGCCGACCAATCCTTCGCCGACTGGGCCAAAGTAATAGACGTAAACCTGCACGGCGTCTGGCGGTGTCAGAAATCCCAGATTAAAGTTATGCTTACGCAAGAGTACATTCCCTCTTTCCTCCAAACCAACTCCCAATCCCATTCAATTCTAAGAAGTTGTATAGGAACCTAGGTCCCCGCACCGGCCGCGGCGCCATAATAAACATCGCCTCGATGTACGGCCTAATCGCGCCTCCCTCCAACCTTCACGCTTCCCCTTACACCGCGTCCAAACACGGCGTCATCGGGCTCACGAAATCCGACGCCAACAACTACGCCTCCAAGGGCATCCGCATCAACGCGCTGTGCCCGGGCTATGTGCGCACGCCGTTGTTGATGGAGAGTGAACGGCTCGGGTACATGGATGAGGCGGTGAAATGGACGCCGATGGGCCGGATGGCTGAGACGGAGGAGATTGGCGATTGTGTTGTCTTTTTGGCGGGGAGGGGCGCGAGTTTTATGAGTGGGAGTTGTTTGGTGGCGGATGGGGGGTATACTGTTAGTTAGAAAGAGAAGAAGGAAAGGGGAGGGAGTGAGTGAAATAAGGAGTTATGGGTTGACTTGAGACATGAAAGAATATGAGTGATTTGGTTGTGAATGACATGTGTATCCCAGATGTGAACTATATGAATTACAAGATGCGTGGTGTATTGAATGAGTTGAATTGAGTTGTGCAACTACCATTTATGGACTCAAGTCCTAATCGAGTAAGTCACGAGCTGTGTGAGCTGTTTGAGTGACTCCTGAACACACAAGAGATGTGGTATGATTAAGCGAAGAAACTCACTGCGCGAGGCAACAGGTTGATAGTGTGCCTACTGTACATATGAACTACATAATCATCACCCAGCTCAATTAGTCTCTAAGATTGGGTTTCAACAAGTAAAACTGAATGTAGCACATTTCATTCCATAGCTATACTAATAATATATACAAATTTCCAAATCCCCAACACCTCATGATATGCTTTCACCCCCCAACACTACAAATTTGCCCTCTCAGGCACAGGAGCTTCATCCTTGACTCCCGCAAAGTTAATCCCAGCATTCCCCTTCATAGTCCCACTCTTACTCAGCACCTTCCTCTTTCCTCCCGTAGTAGCAGGTGGATCATCATCCCGATCCCTAATATAGTAACCCCAGTCTGCCGTATTATCCAGCTCAGTCTGACTATACCCATTACCCATCCACGCGAACCTGTTGCCAGAATACTTGATGTCCCAATCCTCAATCTGGACTTCCCGGATAGCTTCGATGTAGTGCAAAGCAGAGCCGGGCCACAGAGCGGTGATAGGTCCGTCTGGACCTTGCTTGTACCAGGAACGGCATGGGTCCGCCCAGACGGATTTCTTCATGAATTCGTCTTTGTGGGCGATGAAGTCGTTGATGGCTGATTTTGTTGGGGCGAAGGTCTTGATGTTTCTGGTTTGATAGCGGTCGATGAGTTTGAGCATGTAGTCTGCTTGTGCTTCGATGGCACAAAGAACTGGCCCGTTTCCAATAGGTGAGTTTGGTCCGAGGAAGATCAGGTAATTTGGAAATCCGTCGGCAGCCATGCCGAGGTATGAATGTGGATCGTCTTTCCATTGTTCTTGGAGGTTCACGCCACCTGGGCCGATGAGTGGGAAGCGTGGCTTGAATGTGGTGTCGAATCCCGTTGCGCAGATTAGAATATCGACTGGATATTCGTTCCCATCATCACAGAGACATCCCTTCTCTGTTATCTCATTGATTTCTCCGTAGACCGTTTTGACGTTTTCTTTGCCCAAACTCTCCAGGTATCCGACACCTGGTGTCAGGCGCCGGCATCCGACTGACCATTTTGGAATCAACCTTTCTTCGAGGTATTGATTCTGGAGCTTTTGATGCATCTGATCCATCATGTAATCGTGTGTGTCGTTGTTGGGTTTGGTATCCTTCAAGAAGATACCGAATTGTCCATTCAGTCCACGCTCGATGTTCTTGCGGTATTCTGTGAGCACGCCTGGTTTCTGCGCGAAGTCTTTTTGCTCTTCTGCTGAGTATACATGCTGTTCCAGGCCTTGAACGGGTGACACCCAAGTTGGCTCACGGATGAATGTTGTGACCTTGTCAACAATCGGCTGGATCTTTGGAAGTACCTGAATTCCGGAGGATCTAAAGCCAGTCAGCTTGTGTCTTCCCTAATGACGAAACTTCGACTTACCCATTGCCAATAAGACCGACGTGTTTGCCAGTGAGGTCTACATTATCATCCCAATTTGCAGTATGTAGTAAAGTTCCTTTGTATTTCTGTAACCCAGGAATTGCCGGCCACCTCCAGTTGTTTAGAATGCCCGATGCATTTATGAGAATATCGCAATGCTGTGAAAACTGCTGTCCATTCTTGGTATCACGGACCTTGACATCGTAACCGCCAGTACGATCATTCCAGTACGCCCCAGTAACTTGATGTTCGGTCTTGATGTAATTCTTGAGACCGTACTTGTTCGCAAAGCTGTCAAAATACTGAAAGATCTCTTTGCTGCTCGAATAGACTCCTGTCCAGTCAAGCTTTGGCTCGAAACTCCAAGTGTAATTATGAGATGGGACGTCACACGCGCACCTAAAATCGTCAGCAACAGCAGCGTAAGTTCAATTGAGGGAACTCACCCTGGATATCTGTTTTCGAACCATGTGCCTGATACTTCTGGATTCTTCTCGAAAACCGTCAAAGAGAAATTGCTAAAATGCTTTTGCAGCTTATAGGTCATGAGAAGACCAGAAGCACCCGCGCCAACACAAATGATGTTAACATGACGCTCTGCGTGAATTGGACCGTCAAGCCGCCTTGGGCCTTGAAGATCAGGAGAAACGTCTTTAGGAACGAGAAAGTCTGCCATGATGGGTATCTGAAAGAAACAATGTGAATGAGAATGCAACGTATGGTTTGAAGAAAGTCAAGCAAGAAAGATATAAAAGGCTCCGGACTAGGAAAGAAAAAAACCGAGAAGCTATCAAGCACGGGAGCTACCCTGTTGATGGCGGATACTATCTACCATGCAGGGAATAGTGCTCCAGCTAGAGTCATCCCAGAGTATGGGGAAAGTCAATCATGAATCTAGTCTCTTCAATGGCCCGTGGATGCCAATCCTGACTCAAGTTTGATTAAGTCATGTGGGGTAGAGAGTCAAGTGGAAAGCAGAGCCATGAAAGATGGAGTTCAAAAAGTCCTTCTTCCCCAGCGGCGAACTTCGCCATTCCTAGGAGCTTCTAGCTGACACATGAGGATACGAAGACGACACGACCCGTTCGAGTTGGCGGAGGCCGCGAGGCGCATTGCTAGACTGGTCGAGGAGGGGACCCTAGTCCGTCCATCTGGCTCTTCCGTGGCAGCGACCTTGGCTGGGGAGCGAGTGAACTTCCGAGTGTGGAGGTGGTGTGGAGGAGGAGGAGGAGATGGTGGGGACGGAATTGGAGTTGGGGAAGACTTTTCTGGGGAAGGAAGCGAATGATCTTGCATAATTCCAGATTCCTGCACAAACCAGGTTCATAAACGGGTCGTTTGTGCAAAATCCCACGATCCTGCCTGGACCGTGCATGTTTGAATCATGAAAAACTCTAAATATGCACCTCATAAGTCATTCCAATCTCCCTTCCCCGCAGCCAAGATGCACCAATTTCCCAGACCTGCAACCACAACACGGGAAAAGGTTCTCCATCATCCCCTTTCAGTTCCAGCTGGGATAATGCTAGGCCCTGTACATGTTTGATCATGGACTGCAAAAGACCCCTCGGTCAATTGACCGTTCGTCGAATCGGGGTCACCCCGCACTTCAGCCTCGAGCGAAGGGCTACTGCTAGATGAAGATGTTGTGTTGTTGTGATTTTATTATACTGTTTTGATTAATCTAGATTATTTTCTTTGGTGTAGACTTGTAAATCTTTCTTCAAGAGATCAATTGAATTTAAGCGAGATGTCGGGTAACCATGCGTTGATATTTGGTAAGGAAACTTTGGAATACACCCATATACTTCACAAGAACTGGAATGTTGACAATTTCTAGGTGCAAGCGGAATCACTGGATGGGCAATAACCAATGCTCTGATTGAAGGCTATCCCGAGGAGAGTACTTTCTCCAAAGTTACAGCTCTTACAAACCGTCCACTGAGTAAAGAAGCGGCACAATGGCCACCATCAGAGAAACTGCAAGTAGTCAGCGGATTGGATCTGCTCACAGAAACGGGGCAGGAAGGGCTGGAAAAAGAAATGCAAGAGAAGGTCAAAGGAATTGAAAGCGTGACACATGTGTACTTCTTTGGTATGTGAACCTATGAGCACTATGAACCAAAGAGCATGCTAACTCAAGCAGCATACATAATGGACCTTGATCCAAAAAAGGAAATTTCTATTAATGTGAAATTGCTAGACCGAGCAGTTCAAGCCGTTGAGAATCTCTCACCCAATCTCAAATTCGTCGTCTTACCCACCGGAACAAAAGTTAGTAGACCCCCCAACTATAAAACCTCAAATCTAACATACCCAAGGCCTACGGCGTCCACCTCCTCGAAAACTTCCCCTTCACACCCCCCCTCTCAGAATCCATGCCCCGCCTCGACGAACCGCACGCCTCCCAAATCTTCTACTACGCACAAGTCGATCACCTCGCCAAATCCTGCAAAGGCAAAGCCTGGAAATACTGCGAAGTGATGCCCGACGTGATAATCGGCTTCGTGCCCAACAACAACATCTACTGTCTCGCCCAAACCCTCGCGACCTACCTCACTCTCTACGCCGTCGTCGAAGGGAAGGGCGCCGAATGCGCGTTCCCTGGCACGGAAAAGAGCTGGAAGATTAAAAGCAATGATTCGAGTCAGGATCTCGTGGCGCGCTTTTCCATCTACGCCTCTCTCCACCCGGAAGTTTCGCACGGCGAACGTTTCAACATCGCTGACAATGCGATTCCAAGCTCCTGGTCCCAGAAATGGCCTGTGATCTGTGAGTACTTCGGACTTAAAGGCACTGCGCCGCCAGCTGGCGGATCTGGACCGCAGCCGGGGAAGTATATCGAGGAACATCTTGATGCGTGGAAGAAGCTGGAGGAGGAGAAGGGGTTGCAAACTGGACGCGTGGGGAATGAGAGGAGTTTTGGAGGGTTTCAGTATTTTATTATGACGATGTTTGATTTTGATCGGCAGTTGGATATGAGTAAGGTGCAGAAGGCGTGGGGTGACAAGAAGGAGGAGACGGATGTTAAGGGAGCTTGGTGGAAGGCTTTTGATCGGTTTAGGAAGGCGAAGATCATACCGTGATTTTATAGCCTGTGAGTGATATTATAGATAGAATCATTGGAAACGTTGTTCGGATCATGGCTTGAATGATCGATCACAAGTTTTAGAGCCTGTAGGCAGAGTAGCGTTTCGGTTGTAATGTGATGATATACAGCTTTCGCCTCATGATACAGTATATTTGTCTTCTGGATATGGCTAAATTTCGAATATCTCAAGCTAGAGTTTCCTTCCAGATTCGGCTAGCTGGTGCCTCCCGTCACTGCAAGCCAACATGTTACGAGATCAACAACTTCTCAACCTTCTTCTCCAAACTCTCCTCAAACTGACTAACCCCCTCTCCAACACCTTCACCCCCCACCCTTCAACAAATACACAACCCTCCTCCTCCCCTCCTCCTCCTCCTCCTCCCCATCTTCACTCTCCTCCTCCCCCCTAACCCCCTCCACCACCCTCCTCACCAAAAACCGATCATGACTAACCACCACCACGGCCCCATTCCACGTACTCAACGCCTCTGCCAACGCAGTCACAGTATAAAAATCAAGATGCGTCGTAATCTCATCCAGCACAAGCAACTGCGGAGTTTTCCACAGCAGTCTCGCAAGCGCAAGACGGACTAGCTGTCCACCGCTCAGTTTCCGCAGTGGAACGTCACTGGCGGTGCGGCCAGGCAGTCCAAGAGCGCCGAGTAAGCCGCGGATCTCGCCTTCGTCGAGTTTATCCTCGCCGTCGGTGGAATCGTTGATGTCCTGTGTGAGTAAAGCGAGCGCAGTGAGTTCGTGCTCGGCCATGCCGAGGAGTTGGAGTTCTTCGACGGCGTGTTGTGAGTAATAGCCCATTCGTAGCCGCGGATGGCGTGTCACAGTCCCTTTGGTGGGTTTCGTCGTATCTGTTAGGAGTTTGATGAGGGTTGATTTCCCACTGCCGTTTAGGCCTATGAGACCGATTCGGTCGCCCGTGTGAATGGTGAGGTCGATGTCGGTGAGGATTGCTGGGGCTGGAGGCGTGGTCTTTTTGGGGGAGGGATATTTGAATGTTACTTTTTCGAGGGAGATCAAGGGGCCTGGAAAGCGGAGGTCAGGTGCTTGTGGGAGGGTGATGGAGACGCCTTTCTCGTCTTGTGGAATCTCGATCTCTGCTCTTGCGGTAGTATGAAAGCCTGTGAGATCGCGGTTTAGTTTGAATCGCCCTCCATTAGCACTTTTCTCCATTCCCATTCGATTGTCGAGTTTCTTTTGGCGAGATTTGGCTTGTCGAAGTTTGTTGTCATCACCTGCTGCTTTTCCCTGCTTGATGTTTTGTTGGATGGTGTTTTGCATGTGTGACTTCTGTTTTTCCTGGGCGTCTTTCATACGTCCTAGATAGAGCTGTTTATCTTTGATGGATTTGTCATATTGAAGGAGGTCGCCACGAAAATAAGCCAGTTCCTGATCACGGAGTATGATGAGTTCCTGACATACTGCATTGACGAAATCTCGATCGTGGGATACCAAAACTACAGTTGGCGGATTTGAAGCAGAATCCCTAAGTTGAATGAGATACTTTTCCAGCCATATGATACCAAGCAGATCAAGAAAGTTAGTTGGCTCGTCGAGAATTAGTATATCAGCTGGCTGGAGCAATACACTTGCGAGATTCGTTCGCATGCGCCATCCACCTGAGAGTGTCGAAACGTGTTTGTCGAAATTGGCTTTGGGGAATCCGAGACCTGTAAGAATATTCCTAGCTCTCGTTTCGATATCTGCAATCCTTGCGGGTTCCACTTGTGATTGCAGTTCGACAAGAAGGTCACTCGCAGCTTGAGTTTCTTCTTGTATTACTTCCTCAGTTAGATCTTCATCTTTCTCTGCTAGCCTGAACAGAATGTGAGTTATTGTTCGTAGAAACGAAATATGCCACTACCTTTCTGCAGACTCTGCAATTTTCTTTTCGAACGCTGTAAGTGCTTTACGGGCTGCCATGCCTCTCGTCCCACTTCTTAAACGTGCATCTTTGTCTAAGATAAAGAGCTCTCTCTTCATCCGATCATGGTGCAACTGTCTAAAGGCACGCAGTGCTGCTAAAGTCGAGGTTTGCCCCTCAATCGCTGCAGATAGAACTAGGAAATATTAGTCTAGGCCCTTTGAGGATACAAATTATGTTTTCATACCATCAATTTCTCTTTGAATCTCGTTCCTTGAAGTTGCATTGTCAATTACTTGCTCAAGTACCGATAATTTTGCTGTGGAAGTCGCAATACTGCTCACAGATCCATCGCCAGCAGCAGCTTTGTCTGCATCAGTCTGTTGGAGGATTGAGATCCGTGTTGGTATTGGAATACCGGGGATCAGTTTCTGTGCCACCGCTTTCAAGATCGCTGGAGTAGAATTAGTATATTCCTATCGCTATACCATTGATTTTATATTTCTTCTGGTCATTTGAAATGTTTCATAGTTGGAGAATGACTTACTCGATTTCCCAGTACCGTTTCTCCCAATTAGTGCGTAATGAACACCAGCTTTCAGTTTCAGCGTCGCGTTCGAAAGAAGTTCCAGTCCATCAGCTCTAGCCTTTCCTTTCGGCTTTACAGCCGACTTGCTAGGACCAGATGTCACGGTAATATTCAATCCTTCGATATCGAGCTACAATCCATTAAGCAAAATTCGCGAAACATAGTAAACTCTCTGACCTCTTGGTATACGGGGTTTTTAATGTCGAACCGAGTTTGTTTACTGGTACACAGAATCGTGGTTTCGGCTTCCTCGACGTTGGTTGCCATTGCGACGGAAAAGAATGATAATTGCTTTGATTACTGTTGATTCGGCTTTACAAAGATATTTGAAGAATTGGTTTCTTTGGAAATGTTCCGTCTTTTTATCAAATCGTACATGCGGAATTGGTTGTTGATTCTATTGTCTCTTCGGTCGCCAAAATCGCAATTGCCAATCCTTTTCGGCGCCGTTGCGAGCCGATGAGGAATTGGCTTTTTCGGTCTGAGTCACTTTGGTAACCCCAAAACTACCTACCAGGTAGGTATCTTACATGTCGACACACTCATTGCATGGATTCAATCTTCAATGAAACCTGGGGGCTTCGGAGTCCGGTGGTAATCCGCGGACTTGAGTTACGCAAACCTCGAAATGTTTTCGTTGGTCACGTCGTTGCATGTGGCTGCCAGGATGGAGCACGCAATATGCAATTGATCAATCGTGTCAGTCATAGACAGTCACCATGGAGTCACTCCAAATCGATCCTTATTTGGCTTTCAGTCAATTGAAGGAGTTGCATTGTAAGAGGACCTGCAATTCAAGGCTTGACAAAAAACCTCTTCAAGTCACGGCGTTGTCACGTGCATGTCACGTTATTGTGCTCCTCAAGTCTAACTCAGCCGAGTACTTCAAACATAAGCTTCGGTACAAGTCAATGATATACCAGCTCTGGTCAGTTGTTGACTAGCACTTCCTCTTTCTACGACAAGGCGCCGCCACTTTCGACTGATTCTCCAAGAAACTCTTAATACACACTATACATTATACATTATTCATCTAACGACCGCCTTTACCACTAAGTACAAACACTTCGGTTGACCACTGTTTCAAGCTTTTATTCCTCAAACCTTTGTCTCCCCAGATTCTTCTTACTCAAATCAATCTCGTCTACAAACATAGAAGTAACCAATCCCAGTCCGCTAAACGCCGTCATGGCGAAGAATATGGCTCTGAAGCTTGTAAGATATACTCCCAATATTCTCCTCAAAGCTTCGGTAGAGATATCGACCACTCTCAGTTCTAAGATGAAAGCTACAGCGTTGGAAGCATCACTAAGAGGAGCGAGTGGTCCCGTGAGCTGTCCTGCCGTCGAAGAGATCGAGTTTGAAAAAACAGAGTTGAATATTGTCGATGCGATGGTAAGCCCTATTAGGCCACCGAACATCCTGATAGTCATCAATAAGCCAATGGCTGCGCCGGTATCATCTACTCCTTTGACACTGGCCTGCATAGGCAGCATATTGAGACGTAGCAAAGCTACACCAGTTCCCCAAAGAATAGGAACACCGAGACGCATGGACGACGATGAATCGGCATTGAATAAAGCGAGTAAGCCAGTACCGACAGTCAACACGACCCACGCAAAGCGCAAGATCCAGACATATCCGCCAATGACCGACACCATCATCATCGAGGCGGCAGCGAAAACCACGCTCGTAATGACCGTTGGCATGAGAGACACTGCTGATTGAATTGCCGTCTGAAGACCTACTGCTTGATAGAACAGCGGCAGGTACTGCAACAGTGCAACTAGTATCATACCATGTATGAACGCTCCTGCTAAAGTCATATTCGCAGTCTTCGAACGGAACAACCGATGAGGTACAATAGGTGCTTTTGGTTTGGCTTCGTATATTGCGAATGTGACGAGCAACACTAAACCTAAAAGCATGGGAAGCAGAGTCTGCCACGAACCCCAGGGGAACAATGAACCAGCCCAACTGAGCGGTAGAACAAAGACTGTGATGCCAACGACAACCAAAGCCATGCCTATCCAGTCTAGATTGTTCAAGTTCTCAACCAGCGAAGAATCAAGTCGAACTGGCCGTAACTTGAGGAAGAAGATCACCAACGGCGCCGCAAACCCAAGTAAAGGCAAGTTGATCCATCCAATCCACCTCCAAGTCAGATAATTACTGAACGACGCACCAATAACAGGACCCAAGATATTCCCCACCGCGTTCGGAATAGCCATCAAACCCAAATACGTCGAACGCTCCTTCAGCGTCGTCATATCAGCCAGGATGATCTGAGCGAGGACATCAATACCTCCTCCCCCAAAGCCCTGCAGTACTCGCCCGATAATAACGGTATTCATAGTCTTCGCAGTAGCAAACACAATAGATCCGACGAAGAAAAAGGACATGCAGGCGTAGAGAGGCGGTTTGCGGCCAAAAGCGTCGGATATACTGGCCCAGAGGGGTTGCATGACGAGACCGCAGAGGGTGTAGGACATGTTTGCCCAGAAAGACCCGAGGTTGTCGCCGGACAGTTCTTCTGCTATGGTCTAGTAGGAAGTATTAGTTCAAATGGTTTGAGGTTTTGCTACGAGTGTAGAGGAATATTCCTCACTGGAAGCGCGATGCCAAGGGCCGTCGCATCGACCTGGAAGACGAAACCTGTGGCTGCAAGACCGATGAAGGCGAGTTTGAATGCTAGGGACTTCTTGGCTGCCGGTTCAGGAGCTTCTTCAGCATCCTCTTCTATAGTCATGGGATCCAGTACACGGCTAGTATTGTGGTTCGAAACATCTTTGCTGGCGGTTTGTACCCCTATTTCCGATCCAGAACCTGAGCGTCGACGGATCGTGAACGAGTCTTCCATGATCAAAATGTGCCACGGAATTACAATTGCTCTTTGAATGAAGAGACTAGCAGAATCATTTCCAAACAGTCTCAGAAATAGGATGATTGCCTTGTACCTTTTGTTTCTGACGTCCTGAAGTACTTCTGACATCGGAGTTTAACCAACACCGAAATTACAGGGGAGGAAATTTACCTGCGCTCTAGAATTCTCCCAGGAACATCGGTGTGCAAAGTACCGCGACGGTATTCAATTGCGCCGATTATATGTAAAAGGTGGAATAATGTTGGAAATACATAGACTCTGTAAAAGTCACTTCGCTTCTTGCGGTGTAGCACCTGTGATCGTATTTTAGCTAGTGGACCTTCAACGTTCGACTTGAGTTCAATTCATTCATTCTTTCGCTTCACTAAATCATCCGAGAATATTCTGTAAAGCATAGATTAGGTATTCTAAATAATCCATCATTCTAGCTTCTACGGCACTGAAGCCAACGTATATGTATATTCTAATTTAACCCACGGCACGGCCCCTAAACTTTTCTAAAGCACTTGTATAAGCAACCTATCACAAATAAAGCTCAATCGGCCAACCCAGCGCAGCGCATTGGTCAGGATCTCGAAACGGAACCATTTTAGGGGAATCTTGTAATAGTCTCACATTGCGCGCATCAGCCTTATTTTTTGTTAAAGGCGTCCAGGGCCCGGACTGCTGGAGTGCTGCAATTGTGTTTTCGTACCTTCGGGCTTTCAAATAGCCATTGCTGGGATTGGGATCGTATGATCGTGCGAAGCTCGTCCATGTATCAACAATGAACTGCTCGAACAAGAGGTCATTGACATCTCGAAGTTGGTACCCCATTCTGAGAATGGTGCCAAATGTGTAGAAGAGTTCCCCGGAATGGCACTTGAAGTACTCCTGATCGGGATCACCATATGGATGGCTGGCGGTAACAGGGGCCTGACAAACTGGGGGATTCGGATTCCAGTTGGGGGTTTGATAGGATCGATTGAACTCGTAAAAGTACTGGTTTGGCGCAAAGACATCGTTCAGTACCCCGGCGTAAGCAGACGCTTCGTCCGAGCATCTAAATATGGTGTCTGTGGCTACACGAGCTGTGACGTTGAACACATTTAAAGTCTTGTTGACGCCGTCCGGAACAGGAAAGAGTCCTGAGTTTGTAACCACTGATGTATTGAAGCCAGTGGTAGTTATAGCTTGAGACACGTTTGTTGTCTGAACATAACTAGTAATGGCACCGCCATCGTCACGCATTAGTCCTTGGAGTAGGTGAACGTTGCCAAGAGATCCCATTGCGGAGGAACTAAGCGGAAGTTGGCTGGTTTTTAGATAGGTGCCATCAACGACGAGGTATCGTACAAGATTCCCTATTGTTCCTTTGGATAACGTTGAAGCGGGCAAGGCACGTAAACACTCTAGCTGGGATGTTGCCGTTGTACAGTTTGTCGCAGCAAGGAGAGGCTTCGTCGCAAGCGAGACAGCAGCGTCAATCGACAACCACGAAGAATATGTTTCACCATAACCACCACCACCTAGATTAGACATTGGAATCGCAGCTGCAAACTTCCCCTTTGCTTTTGGCGATGCCATTATGGCACGCACGCTTGCTGCTCCTGCGGATTGCCCAAAAATAGTGATGCGATCCGGGTCGCCTCCAAAATTTTGGATATTTCTTCGAACCCAGTCAAGCGCTGTGATAGCATCCCCTAAACCATAATTGCCTTTCGTGACTCCGTCGTCGAGAGCCAAGAAACCCAGGGCGCCGAGGCGATAATTGCATGCAACCATAACAACATCTCCCCTCGATGCCAGATTTCCACCATCAAACGTCGGGTCATTTGCAGTACCGCTAGTATATCCTCCACCATAAATCCATAGCATAACTGGCTTTAAATCTTTCTTTGGGGCACCTCCGTGGGCAGGAAGAAAAGGTGTCCACACGTTCAAAAACAAGCAGTCCTCGGATCCAACACCTCCTTGGTAGCATTGAGAGCCATACACCATCGCCGACGCATTGTTTTCTGTGCCATGATATGTTGTTGAATGTGTAAATCGTTTAGGCTCCGGCGCAAATCGAATTCCAAGGAAACGAAAGCTCAACCGATCGCGGAACCTACTGCTGTTAGCATGCCAATCGAATCGGAATATTTATTACGCACCCAGTGATATACTCATTGTTGGAATGCACAGTAGCCTGCCAGCGAGATGATGTATCTTGGGTCGTTATATCCGAAAATGGTGCAGATTGTGTGCAAAATGCGGGCAATTGCGAGTGCGGACTGAAAGTCGTAGAATCTCTTATGCGCCCCTTCCCGTCAATTGCTCGCTTTGCAGTAGCAGAGGAGGAGATCCAATAAAGCTGGTCGCTGCTGTATTTGCCCTGGTACGTGAGATAATCAAGATTTGCTTGTATGCTGGTATTCTTCGATTCCGGTGTCCACAATGATTCGCCTAGTTCCGCACATGCTTTGGCTGCTGAGACCTGCGATCTGGGAGTAAGAAGGATAAGACCCGAGTCGGCAGAAGAGCTCTGTGGACCTGGATGTTTCAACAGTTAGGATCCTATTCTTTGCTTGCAAATCAGAGAGCACATTTCTAACCTCGAAGATCATTGTTGATCAATATAGAAAGATCAGATCCGATTCCATTAGGCGAGGGGGCTCCCGAAGCCATTTGGGCGAGCGCAACGATAAAAATCGACAACGCCGAAGCCATCTTTTCTTGGACCATCATACTGGGATCCGCTGATAGCAAACTGGGCAGAACCTTCACAAGTATAAGCCTTATACCAGACCAGATACACAGTATATCTTGCAAAGTGGGAGAACCTACATGATAAGTGAAAGCTAGTCTCATCAAATCATCACAGCGTATTCGTAGTCGGTACGAGCACAAATAGATCTCCATCTACTATACAAGTCCCGCGCGGGGTATGGAGAAGTTCCTGCAGCGGATAAATGTTGGGGAAGAAAATGCAGCTACAGATTCCCCGGCTCGTGTGCCGATTAACGAGCTCGGCCGCGATGAGGTTGATGGTGTTCGAGTTTCATTGTCGCAACAAGCTTTGTTGTTAGTGCAAGTCGGTGAGCTTGTACCCCCCGAGAAAAAACTGATTGTGTTTGCTTATCGCGTTGAGCTCCTCGGTGTTGGCATTGGTAGGAAGCAGCCGTCCAGAGAACGTGCCACGATCCACGGATGTCCCCAATCCAGCTGCTCATCGCTCAGGGGCATTCGAGCCCAAAGTCACTGAAGCTCGCCATTCTCCTCTGTGAATACAGAGTCTGCTACACGAGTTCTCTAGTCTTGCTAGGATAGCCAAGACGGAAGCTAAGCAGCGGATAGGTGAATGTGATTGTGATATTGACTGCGAACGACGGCCAGAAAGATGGACAAAAAGGCAATGGAGTTTCATCCATATGACTGGCTCTTTACTCCAGAAGTTCATGCATCCAAAGCTTCAGGCTGAATCATCCAGCGAGATTAGCGACAATACCGCGATATCACCTTTCCCGCATTCCGGTGGGGGTTTACGAGGAGGAGGAGGTTGGATCTTGTGGAAGCACATGATGAAGAGGAAAGGTGGGATGACGACGGGTTTTTGACATGTTTGCTGTGTTCCTGGATCCCAACTCTTTCGGTGAAGCCCCTGTCTCGCAGCTCGTTCACCGTGCCCGCCGGGGAGGGCTGACATAATCCCTCGCTAGCCTAAAGGGGCTCGCTCGTGGACTTGGTGTTTGTGGGGACACCGAGAGAGTCCCCGTTGACGCACCTCGTCTGTGTGAACCTCTCACAGCTGCTCCTCGAGCTACAATTGATTGGAATTCCCCACGAAACAAAATCCTCCTTTTCTGTTCTCAACACCACTACGAACATCGTCGTGGACCGTCTCGATATCACCCTGAACCCGACTCTGATTCCTCTATTCCTAACTAAGCTTTCAGCAGCATTCACGCCGACATCTACGCGGAGTACCCCCTTCCGCCAACCAGAACCTCGTCTTACGAGCTCGCTCCATAGCCTGCACCAATGCATGTATTGGTTTGGAGGGGAGAAGAAGATACTTATCCGTTGTAGACGACGTAGGCCATATTCGGAGGTACTGGTACTTCAAACTCAAAAACAAAGCAGCGTGATCGATTCCGTCGACTCGCTTCATCAATATTCCCATTGCGAGCCACTTAGCATTCAATAGCCGCTGTAGCCATTAATTCAACTCCAACGAAGCCATCAGCAACCTACTCGGCCCTTAATCTTGCTTCGAAAAGAGCCGATTGCAGTGTTTGAAGCGGGAGCTGCGAATCCAAGACCGCCATGGCTTGTCTCTTTCGTGTCGGGGGCGATAGTCGCTCGTACTGCACATCCAAGCTGCGCTCGACCTGTTGCCTCTAATATAATCAATTGTCATAATCAACAATGATGAGGGAGAGGTTGCTTTACATAGCATTTAATATGTTTGGGTGTTAGATCAACACCATTTCCAGAAGGACGCCTAGTCTTCCCTTGGGCCGCCACCTACCGCACCCCAGATTCTCGCTCGTTGGTCCTGCATGAGCATCACAGGGTTTGCCACGATGTAATATTGCCCCCCCCGGTACGAAGGCCTTCTTCTAACCCCCAGTAACCCCTCGACATTATTTTGTCTTGAAGTTCTTGCCTTGTTCCACTTTTCGGCGGGTACGGGCGCATGTGCGTTGTAACCTCTGAAATTCCTCGCTTAAAGACGAGGTCTGTTGGCGTTCTTATCACAAAGCCTCTTCCTCGTCTTTTTGTCCAACCTTACGTTGTGTCCATCAAGATTTGAGCGACGGAACTTCATCAGTTGTACTGCGTCTTCACTATAATATCCAAAGATTAGCAGCCATGTCCTAAGCAGCATACTTGTGCAATCAAAGTTGCATTCAACATCATGTCAAATTCCTCGGCAGAGAACTCCCCAATATCGACTGCGGGCGGCGGAAGACATTTCTCCATGTCAGCAAACGACAAATTTACTATTGATATTCCATCACCACGCCTGCAAGTAAACACAAACACAAACGGCAACCTCAACTCGCCCAATACACTGAAGTCTCCAACCGCACGACGTATTGCAGGATTTTCTCGTGAAGGAATACTTGGTTCAGCTCAAAAAGCCAGAAACTTATCACAGTCTTCAGCAGATAGAGAATCAATGACGAACGGCAACCAAAATAGGCAAGCGAGCGACGATGGAATTAATCCTCACAAAAGGAGAAGCACCGATGCTGGGGTTGATTATCCTAGAAGACGAGCCACCATTGCTGTAAGTAGACTTACTGTTCCTCATATTTCTGGTGTTGACGCCGGTCAAGTGTGAAATTTGTCGATCGAGGAAGTCACGATGTGATGGGACCAAACCCAAGTGTAAATTGTGCACGGAACTGGGCGCGGAATGTATTTACCGAGAACCTGGCATCAAGCTTGATGCTGGTGATAAACTCATTCTAGAGCATCTTGCTCGTATTGAGGGTATGCTCCAGTCGAGCCTCGTTGGACAGACCTCTAATCTAGCGATCTCGGCTGGCTCACCATCGATCAATGGAAGAACGACTATCAGTACCGACGAAGAAATGATGCAAAATGGAGCGAATTTCATCTCAATGCTTCCGGCGACTGGCCTAGGTACTTGGACGACACCCACTAACATTTCAACCATGCCGAAAATACACACAAACGCAGCATTGCATTTATTACAGTGGCCGTTAATTCGCGACCTTATCTCCAGACCTTACGACCCGCAAATTCTCCTCCAACTTGAAATGTCCAGGGAACCTCTCACACTGTCAAAAACTCCATGTCTTGACCTGTCGAACACCTCAGCCTACATCGAGGCATTCTTTGCAAAAGTCAATTGTTGGTACGCTTGTGTAAATCCGTACACTTGGACGAGTTACTATCGCATCGCACTCTCTAATGGCTTTCGAGAAGGGCCCGAAAGCTGTATTGTCCTTCTCGTCTTGGCTCTTGGCCAAGCGAGCTGCAGTGGAAGTATCTCCCGAATTTCAAACGTACAGGATCCGCCTGGAATGCCATACTTTGCAGCGGCATGGGCACTTCTTCCTAGTCTGATGACTCGGAATACTGTTCAGTCGGCTCAGTGTACCATTCTCGCAGCTGCGTATCTATTCTATCTGGTCCGGCCCCTGGAAGCATGGACTTTACTGAGCAGTACCAGCACAAAGCTTCAGCTTCTCTTGAGCGCTCCTGGACGGGTCCCAACAGGCCAAAGAGAGCTAATGGAAAGGGTTTATTGGAATGCCTTACTTTTCGAAAGCGACCTACTTGCTGAATTAGATCTTCCTCATTCCGGAATTGTTCAATATGAAGAAAATGTTGGTTTACCGGGAGGATTTCATCCAGAGGACGAAGAAAGCGTTGGTCGTGATGAATTGTGGTATTTCCTCGCCGAAATTGCTCTCCGACGTCTTCTCAACCGGGTCAGCCAGCTTATCTACTCAAAGGACTCCATGGCTTCAACACAGAGTCTCGAGCCGGTTGTGGCAGAGTTAGATTTCCAACTAACCCAGTGGTACGAGAGTCTTCCACTACCATTACAATTTCCCTACAACCGCTCTCTTTTGCAAGACCCGGTACAGACTGTGTTGAGACTGCGATATTTCGCATGCCGGACGATCATATACAGACCTTATATCCTTGCGGTACTGGATAACGAATCTGCTGCGATGGATCCTGTTGTGCGCGATAATTGTCGGAAGTGCTTAGAAGCATCCATAAGGCAATTGGAACATATTACAGCTCAGTGAGTACTCCTTAATTTTTCCTCGAAACTATCTAATCGGTGGTAGTCATGCTGGCCACATCCCATATTTATGGCAAGGAGCGCTTTCTATAGCTTCTCAAACACTTCTTGTTATGGGTGCCACGATGTCACCTTCGCTTTCCGCCATTCTTTCGACTCTTGTACCGCACTTAGACGCTGTCGATGCGATTATCAACGATGTGGTTACCGAAGTTGAGCGATATGTGCACCTTGCTCCTAGTCTCAGTCTTTCCGCGGAGATCATTCGTGAGGCTGAAATGAGAAGACGTGCATATTTGGGAACATGAATCATCAGTTCTGCTGATACAGCATTCATTACCAGCGTCCGTCTTAGAAGAGCTGGGCTCATGACGGATGCCTCATCGACCGCAACTGCGAGCCACTTCAGGCGGAGCGGAAAATTTGTTCTTTAACTATCTCACCAACCCTTTCATCTGGAGAAGAAGCCGATGTCAATGCGGGAACAAGTTTATCGTGTGCTATGCACGCAGGATACCAACACTGTTTAAATACTGAGCTAGTAAGGCTATGGGTCTCACAGGTCTGCATTGAGATTTTTCCATGCATTCTATTACAAACAATTGTTACGGAGAATCTGAGCAAAAGCTCACGAATTCACTTGACTATTACTGTTTCTCGGGTATAGTTGTTACACTTACTCGTATATTGGGGGATGTTGCACGAGGTACATGTCACAGTCACATGTACCAAGAGTTGCCTTGATTCCAAAAATATCACAATACGTTGAAGCAATTTAAAAGCTTCCAATACAGCACCGCGCAGATTGTACAGAGTGCGGGCGGCCGAACAATATAAAACAATGCTGCGCAATCAGAATAAGGTCGAGCGCACAGCCTAGGTGCTTTGTTTCTATAAATGGGCGTGGAGATACGAGCAAAAGAGGGCTAGTCAATGATGGAAGGATTAAAACGCGGCTATCATGAAAGTATAGAAATGTAGAGAAAGTCAATGAATTAACGGCACAAATATGCGACTCTCAAACTACCTTGCTGAGCAAGATCTTCTGACCTGCATTTGATACTGCAGCCTGACATAAAGAGCTACGCCTCACCTATACATCTCAGTTGCGCAACCTCGTTCGCAACATTTGAAATACCAACCCAACAAACATCGCTAGGCCGCCCTCCAGCTGACGTTTGACGTCCCGTTCCGCACCTAGTAGTAAAGCAAGACAAATTCAAATTATCAGCCCGCATTCTGCTTCCCCGATGTTTCTGACTCCGCACAAAAGCTGAGCTGTCATAGACGTGGGAGCATTGTGGTTACATTCAAGTCGCATACATAACAACTCCTGCAGGACGAGTGTGGGGACCCCGCAATGTTGCGCGTTTCCCCTGGCCATGAACCTACAGCCTTCATGATTGGACAGTTTCTGTATTCCAAAGGGGCGTGGTGGCATGCAGTAAGAACACTCGCTTCCTGATTTCCTGCGTGACATTCTACGCATCCTTCCACTGCGCTTCTCTCAACCTACGGCACAACCACATTTGTTCGTACTTCCAACCAAACACTCATGACCTAGAAGGGCATTATTCGTCATGTCACGAGTTTTCGGACACAGAATAGCTAGGGGCCTGGTTACACGATGTGCATATCATCCACATGCTTAAGCGAGTGCGTATGCAAGCCGGGAAATGGGTAGCATTGAAATTTGGTACCGTGGGTTTGTACGACTCGGCAGTGGACCAAGTTGTTGGGAGGAAGTGAACATCAATTACCGGTTTGGAGAGTCCCTGAATTTATGTGCTTTGATAGTTGGGTTTTGCTAATGTTGTGAATTTGTTGGATACATCCTAGCGAATTTGGAACATCTTGAACTTATACCTCAAATCAGCAGAACTCAATCACTATTGAATAACATCTCTATCATCAAACAAGGACTCTCATCGTTCCAAATCAACCTCCAGATCACAAAACCCCAATCCCCTAAAACCCAACCCCACATCCCCTTCCAAGCCTCATGGCAACGCAACCTTAAACTCCTTCCCAAACAGTTCCGCGTCCTGGTAACACAACGCTTCAGCCCTCTTCTCCATCGAGACTTACGAACCCCGAATCCCTGAATCTGTCGTCCCACCCCCACGTGCCACGCTTCTTTTTCGGCAGTTGCGAAATAGCCTCTGTGTTGTAGAAAGGGGATTGCCGCGGCGGAGATTTTTTAAGGGGCTTGATGTCGTGGTAGGTAGTTCTGATGATTGATGATGTAGTGGAACGTGTAAGACTGTGAGTAAAATTAGGTGTTTCGTTTGGTGGGTGCGTGGAACGATTGGACTAATGAATTAGTATTCTAGGTATCTAACCCAAGGAGGCTGAAATTTTGTGAAACATGCGAGGTCTAGCGTTATTCGGATTTCATGACCAATACTTCCGTCTATTTAGTAACACAATTTTGAAAAGCTGACAGTTACCTTGTGATATGACCATCGAATCCTGATATCGCAAATTTCATGGTATGCAGGCACTTCTTGTTTAGTTGGCTTAGAGCGAACATCACAAAAGATGATATCGTTCTGAGATTTTCAATAGTCATCATTAATGTCTATCGTCTCCACAAAGAGTAATAAGCGATCATCGGTCGTATGATGTGTAGAATCTCCAAGTTCGAAATCCTCTCGTAATATACAAATAGTATGGCTAAAGAAATAGGTCAATACTAACATCTTGGGTATGTCCAAGGTGTCTAGCTTGATTACACCTGATTCAACGAACATCCGATTACACTACCTCCGTCTGATCTAGCAAAGCCTATTCATTTTTCTTGACTTTAAATGAAGCATTGAACGATAGCACAATATTTCTCGAAGTCAATGAGTCTCAAACTGATGACCTTTCAGGATGTCAAAGTACATAACTTCTCAATAATTCAATGCAAAATACGAGACCGCGACGTGGAAGGACTTGATATTTAGCTGTCAAGATTTCCTAGGAAGCCAAAACTTCCGTCTGAAAGAGTGATACGACGTCAACTAGGTTCTAACCTTTGCAGAACACATTATGTCGTTGCTTTAGGCGATGGGTTTGCGAAAGTTCGTAGCCTTGTTTAGACGACGAAACCCCTTTTTCTGAACTGAAGTTTTAAGTGTACAATAGTGAGAAGTGCTGATTGTGATGTACTATGTTGATCAGGAAAATTGAGAGCTTACACCGGTAGCTCGCTGGAAGTGATTTGCTTTTGTGTGGTGTTGCGCAAATTCGATTTGGGAAGTCTAAACTGGAGACACGCTTTTGGAACTAGCACTTTTGTATCACTTCACTGCCCTGCATAGTAAACTAAAACAACAAAGATTGATAAATTGTAAGGATCTGATATTTTATCTCATGATACCTTGAAAATTTGTATATGCCGCTAAACTAACAATAATCCAATTTGATTTCCTGAAACACGAAGGGGAGGGGGAAAAGTCCATCTGCGAGAGGGTACTCGTAAGGAGTGGACTGAAGGTTCCGAGCTCCTATTCCGCCCATTTTTCTATACTTCATTGATTCTCAAAGATTTCTCTGCTTGGCTAAAAGAATGTGCATTATCAGTGAAATTCGTCCCTTCATTTCAAGCTCGCTTAAGATTACCATCCGGAACTCGAGAGTCAGAAAAGCACCCTAAATGCCAGTATATTGCTTTAGAATGCTGCTTCGTTATCAACAACCAAGTTCTCTGTATTACCAATTAACTATCCTTCTCAGTAACCCAAAGCACCAATGAATTATCCTCCGAATTTAACTCTTCACGTCTTGACTCTTGATTCTTGTCTCCGAGGAACCTGTATTATTTGTAGGTAAAGACCAGAATACAAATAAGTTTTCTGTCGATTATTCTTAGTCTTGAATTTTCCGTCGCAAGTCGTACCTCTTGACTGACCCTAGAGTCAAAGTAGAACATTCCTACATTTGGTGACGTTCGAGGTGAGCGCTCATGAACTCAATCTTCCACCATTCTAGGTTTCCTACACCAACATGTTTTAACCATCAGGTGAAAAAGACAATTGAAATGCCTGAAGTGGTCTCTGTATTTGCACCCCGGCTGGAAAGTTGGAGAAAGTGAATAACGGAATAGCCAATTTAGTAAAGATCGAAAAAAGGGAACAACAGAGTAGCGAGTTTTATTAAGATTAAGGACAAAGTGAGTACTAAGAATTCGACACTGTGAGTCGTATGTAATTTTACCGAAAATTCTCCTATGTAACTGCTTCGTATTCAAGAGAATTCCAATCCTCATAATCACATGCCCGCCAACAACTTTTGTACATCGTACTCGTGCGACCACAAACACCATGAGCAAGAATTCTTTCACTCTGATGACTTACTAAACTTTTTGAAATCCCATTCTACTCATTCCGTATTCTTAACCCACAAATCACCTGACCACCCCCCTCTCTCACTCCACCCACTAACAGAGCGGAGAAGCGCAACCGACGGGACCCACCCCCGCCCAACCAAAATCCAGGGAAGAAGTCACCCACGTACTCCAAAAAAGCACTGCCTCAGATGGCCCGAAAGGGGCCTGGCAATGCGCTCCATGTGATCGTGCATGCGTACCAAGAAACTAGCCAGGCTTGCGGCTCTCGTGGGCAGACCGAGCTTAATGGGAGCCCCGAGGAAATGGCAATGGGCAGAGTTTAGACGTGAGGGCTGAAAATAAAACTCAAATTGTGGGAGTCTAGAGTTGTGTTTTCTATTGCTGTTGTGCATTCGATTATCACATTTCTTTTTGCTGAGCAACAAAATATCGATTCTTTTAGCACCGAAAAAAACGGAATTTGAAAACCACAATGTCTCACAAGTTCGAAGGAAAGGTAGTGGTAATCACAGGAGGCGCCTCTGGTATTGGTCTAGCAACAGCACATCTACTCTATTCTCGCAACGCCATTCTTTCAATAGCCGATCTCTCAGAAGGCGCACTGCAAAAGGCCGTGGAATCGATAAAATCAGAATACCCTAACAGCACGGGTAAGATCTCAGGGGTCGTCGTCAATGTCCGTGATCGAAAGGCAGTGGAAAATTGGATCTCGTCTGTGGCGAAAGAGCATGGCAAGCTCGATGGTGCTGTGAATCTGGCTGGTGTGATCGGAAAGCAGATCGGGATTGCTAATATCGAGGATGTGGAGGATCCAGATTGGGATTTCGTATTGGGCGTCAACCTGGGCGGAGTTCTGAATTGTATGAGAGCTGAGATCCCTCATATGAAGACGGTAGAGGATGGAGGAAAGGGAAGTAGTATTGTAAATGCGAGTAGCATTGCGGGAGTGATTGGAATGGTGAAGAACGCGGCGTACATCGCTAGTAAACATGCTGTTGTCGGACTCACAAGAGCTTGTGCGAAGGAACAGGGTCATAGAGGGGTAAGATGTAATGCCATTGCTCCGTAAGTCTCATCTTCCATTCCCTTCATGCTTATCTTAGGTTGTGGCGACCCAACACCCAGACAGCTGGGTGAAGCAGGCATGAGGTTTTCCAGGGACAACTGCTAACAACAACCGACAGAGGACCAATAGATACACCTATGGTAGCTAAATCCAAAGAAACGGCACACACGGATGATGGCTCTAGCAATGTCGCCTTGGTTCCTATGGGTAGAGAAGGAAAAGCTGACGAGGTTGCGGAGTTGATTGCATGGCTTTTGTGTGATGGCTCGTCGTACATGACCGGAACAGTACAAAGTATCGATGGAGGCTGGGCTTGTTAGTCTCATAATTCAACTACGTTGATAAGTAATACACATGTATTGTACTCACGTGGAAATGCCTTCAAACAATCTGGTCCATGTGTCTCGTCCCGGTCCAGACCTCCTGTCACGATCCAGACTTGTCAACTCCTAGTCCAAACCTAGTAAACCCAACCGCACTTCCGGGACCCAAAAATCTCCGTACTCGCTCTCGCATGTTCAGCCGTACGCCTAACTCGAATCGCAATTTGTTAAGCATTGTGTGTGAAATGACTCAATAATTATAAGAGCCATGTGCCTCACGGGTAACGTTTTCCATCCCCGCATTAGGACCTATCATACCCCAACATAATCTTCCCCAGACAGACGCCCCCAGAATTACCCCACACTTTTATGGGGATATACCGTGTAAAACTTCGGTGGAAACGCGTTCGCGTACATGAGACCGGGACAGCGGTTCTAGATGTGCGTGCTGGGTATACCAAGTTGAACTAGCGGCGAATAGGCACATGTTGAGATTGAAAGGTCTATTTATCGACCATGCCCTTCGAAGATTGAATTTTGTTGATCAGTTGAGTTTGATTTGATTCAGTTCTGACCTCGAATTGAACTCTTCTTTCTCTTTCCACACACTTTTCGATATCCATGTCGAGAGCACGAGAATCTTCAACAAAACGAGACATCATGACAGACGAAAAACGCGAAATCGAGCTTGAGCACCATGAGTCAAACGAAGATCGCACTATACAACACGCACCAAAAGCTGATGTAAAGCTCCATCATGACAAAGTCGCACCGGAAGCAATTGGCGGGTTGTACGATGAGATGCCAAAAGGGTATTATACGAGCAAAGAATTCATCGGAACTTTGATTGTAGGTTCCCTCAGTGAAGAGCCATGAAATCGATTCTGATGAGAAATAGGCGACTTGTCTCGCACAAATCAGTGGCTACTTGGGATGGGTGTTGCCAGCAAACACTCTATCTTTGATCAACGCAGCCCTTGGAGGATCTCCAAATATCACATGGGTGGCGCTGGCGTGGACGATGGGTTTTACTATTGGCTTATCGCTTGTCGGTCGATTGTCTGATAGTAAGAAGCAGATTTCGAAATCTGCCATACACCTGCTAATTATCACTGTAGTCTTCGGTCGCAGATGGTTCTTCATCGGATCCAGTATCATGGCTCTAGTGGGTAATGTCATTGGAGCATCAGCACAATCCGTGAACATGCTCATTGGAACGAATTGTCTTAATGGACTCGCCGCTGCTGGACAGCTTTCCTTCTCGGTCATCATTGGTGAGCTGGTTCCAAACAGACAGCGTGGACCATTCAACGCTTTGGTCCTGTCAACTTCGATTCCTTTTGCCGTCTTCGGTCCACCAGTAGCTCGAGCTTTCTACGAAAACACCGGCTTGCAATGGCGATGGTCGTACATTTTGGGTTGTATCATCAATTTCATCGCTGCTGGCATGTACTATCTTTGCTACCATCCACCAACTTACAACCAGCTCCACGTGGGCGGAAAGTCGAAGATGCAACAACTGAAAGGTCTTGATTGGGTTGGAATCTTTTTGTTTTCCACTGGATTGGTTCTCTTTCTCATCGGGTTGAATTGTTTGTGCTCCAAATCCCTCTAGATTACTACACAAAGGCTAACAAATTTTCAGGGGGTGGCCAAGCGTATCCATGGGTTTCAGCTCACACTCTTTGCACCCTCATTTTCGGGATTGCCACCTTGATAGGCTTCGGTCTGTGGGAAGCGTATAGCGGCCACGAGTTTCCTCTTATGCCAATGAGGCTTTTCAAAAACATCAAGTACGACGCTATCACGGCTTGCGCTTCTATTGCGGCAATGGTATACTACTCTATGACAGTTGTATGGCCAACTCTGATTGGCGCACTATTCACCACAAACGTCCAGGAAGTTGGGTGGCTCTCCTGCGCTGTGGGAGGTGGTCTTCTCTTCGGACAAATCGCTGCAGGTATGGGTATCCGATATCTGCCAAGAATGAAAATACAGATGACAGTTGCGTCTATCATCATGATAGCATTTGTTGCATCGCTGGCTTCCGTCAATGAGGACTCACGTACACGAACCGTCGTATGCCTATTGATTGGCGTCGCGGCTGCCGGTTACATCGAAAACTTAACTCTTTCTTCGATGGCTTACGTTTTCGAACCCGAGGATATCGGTCTTGTCGCCGGTGTCATGGGAAGCATTCGCACAGCATCCTCGTCGGTCGCCACTTCGATTTATGTGAGCATTCTGTCGAATGAATTATCGAAGTACCTTCCAAGATACGTAGTTCCTGCTGCCACAGGAGCAGGACTTCCAGCGGCATCCATGACTGACCTCTTCGCTGGAATAACAGCAGGTTCATTTGCGAATGTACCAGGAATCACACCGGAGATTGAGATTGCTGTTGGACATGCAGTAAAGCATGCCTATTCGCTCGCATTCCGAACCGTTTTCTTATGTACCCTGCCGTTCGGTGCCATCCTCTTAGTTGCTGCAGTCATCAGTCCTAATGTTGAGGATTACATGACGGACGATGTTGCGAGAAGATTGCAGGGAACAGTGGTTGCAGGAGGAGGATCAGATAAGTCTGTCGATTCCGAGGCTGGCCAATAGATTAGGCTTTATGTTCTGTAATAGTAAATTGCACTCTGAATATTTTTCCAATTCAGACCCATATTTGAATATGCTTCACAGACGTGACGACATGGCGGAATACTTAGAGCAGGGTGGACAGAGGCCACATCCGAAAAGGAAGTCTCGCGCCGCGTTGCAGTAGCCTGACGCGTGGTGAGACATCGTAGTCCGTGAGGCGATATCGATGAATCAGAAGATAAGTGAAATTTGATAGTGATCGTTCGGAAATTAAGATAGTACAAACATTACAAACTCAACCAAATTTGATAAATGATCATGTATTTGGTAATAACGTCCGGTAGTCAAGCCATCCATGTTCGTTGTTTGATACGAACGATCTATAATCCCAATTGTGATAAAACCCAGCTAACACTTCATAGGAGGATCTTAGACGATTTGACGATTTTCTCTTAAATTTACCCAGCAGCCAATCTATCGCCAGTAGAATCACTATCCTTCTTGATTGTTGCATTGCCATTGCCAGAAGAGCCTTCGCGTCTAGTCTTTGCGCCCTCTTTAAGCTTTTCCCATCGATCACGATATCTTGCCACAACATTTTTCAGCTTTTCGTTGTCACGGCTAAGCCTTTCGATCTCTTTCCCGCTTAGTGCTTGGTGTTCTTCCAATTCGCTAATTCGTCGTTTGAGAGCATCGTCACCTGGACCCGGTGAAAGATTACCCCCCGGACTTGCAGGTCTTTGCATTCGCATACTCTGGTACATCATCAGACTGTGGTCTTGAGCACCCATTTCGAAGGCATTCAATCTTTTACTAAGCTTGTCTGCAATATCTTTGAGGCTCTGGTTTTTCATTTCAAGTTCCTCGATGTGATTTTCGAGTTTGCCTTGTCGACCGCTTATTGGCTTCCTCGACAGACCAGGTGACGTTGGCATTGGAGTTTCTCGAGCATCGACAAAGTCTTCGTCTTCTAGGTCAGCCAGATTTTCCCCGTGTTCACTATGGACAGATGAGGCCAATCGGCGTCTTTCCTTCTGGTCGAAAGACAGGATTTTCGCATACGAGACAGAATGACCGGCAGTTGGAACAACATAAAAGGAATCATTGGCGGAATACCCATCACGAGAAGAGGCTCTCAAGGCAGCTCGAGAAATGTATTTGGATAGTTCTGGCTCTTGTACCGAGGACTCTCTGTTATTTGAAATTCGCTTCCCCGACTGGGACGGGCTTTCTGGCTGAGCCGCACTATTGGCTTCATTCGATACTAGAGGAAGTCCAGCGAACGCAAGAGGAGCAGAAATCTTTGTAATAAAGCTCTCAAAGGTGCTGTAAAATCGAGAAAAGCCCTCGTTGTCTGAGGCTGCCACTGCGTCCCCCGCGCTTGCGGATTCTTGAGTCTTTCCATTCAAGGTAATTGCCTTCTGGGAACTTGCATGAGTAGGAGGTAACCAACTAGGTTGTGTGACCGAGTGCTCTGGAATACTGCCCGGGGCCTTTGACCGCTTCCCTTCCCTACGCGGATGTGACTCGAGGTTCCCTGGAGCCTGCTGGTTCGAAACACTTGGCGATAACGGTTGTCTAGTGTAGTTCGCACGAATGCCTCTTGCCGATGCTAAGTTGCTTGCGATAGAGGAGCTAAGGTCTCGTGGAGGTAGTCTTCTGGGGTGCTGAAGGCTGGGAGGATTCCGAAGAGGAGAGGATGATCGAGCGCCAATATCTGTCTTGCTCGCTCGCAATTCTGCTACTGCGGCCGAAGTGGAGAGCGGCTTCTCTGCGGAAGGTTGTACTTCTGATTCTGTAGCGGAAGTCGACGGTGGGTTCTCGGAGGGGTAACGTAGAAGCTCTGATAATCTTTGATGATGCTGCTCGAGAAGCTGCAGAGTCCTCAACGCCTCAGCACTCCTTGTACCTGAAGCAGCCTTTGCAAATTCCCCAGCAGCGAGAGCATGTTCGTTGATTGCGACAGTCGTATCGGAGCTCGATGTCGCGACAGATGCCGCTCTAGCATGATCGTGCGCCTGAAGCAACAATTAGTATATCAACATAAATAAGATCAGGACGGCGACATACTAGAGTAAGCGGTGATGACTCCATTCCTTATCATACGTCGTCTTCGTTCGAAAGATTGGTGAGCTGGGAAGGAACTTATTTGATTCTGAACGGAGGGGTTGCTACCTTCAGATTGACGGGAGCTAAGACGGGAACGATTCACGCGCCTCGGTGGCTGAACGATTCACGTGACTCAACACCTCCCCTAGTCAATGTCGAAATGACCTCAAACTACCACATCATTTTGCATTAATTCACTCAAGTATGGATCAACCATCTCATGTATCATTTCAAACCTGTCATTATAGTAAAATCTGAGTGCAGAAACCCGTAAGAACGTCCGAGTCTGGCTCTTCAGGATTATTTCATGTCGGTACATCAAAAATCTTGAAGTGCTTCACAACTTCACGAGCTGAATGCTTGCTGTTCTAATAAACCAGTTTCTTGGAAGTCTTCTACAGTTAATGGGGAAATGACCTTTATTGGATCCTAAGCTCGCAGTCAGTAGGGAAGTAACGCATGCTCGGCAGGTGGTAAGTCAGAAATGTCTATTTTCAATTCTATATTGACCAAATATGCAGCTTTTACTCCTGCTACGGCCGATTAACATGTATTCCAACCTTATCATGATAGGTCATTCGATCTCTGGAAATAGGTGATGTGCCATGACCCTTGGTCAACATTTAGCATGATCGGACCACGTCACGTTTTGGCGACAAGTTCCTCATCTTCCTGGTCAATCATATTTAGCATTACGAGAGAGGGAATCAACTGCAGAAAATATATCAGCAACTTCCATATCGAGATCATACTCTGTTGGGTGCGTCACTTACACTTCGATCCTTCTTAAACTTGTTGGGTAAGCATCTAATGCAAGCACAATCCCCCTTTTCTTCTTCCTTGCAATACAGCCATGGCATGTGGACGTTATAAGTCTTGTGATCACATCTATAATTGTTTTTAGAAATTATTGGATGATGAGCATGAGTAGGTTCAACTCACGTCCAACTGACTCTCTTGATTAATTCCATTCTCTGAGGAAGAATACTCATTGAAAGCTGCAGAATAGTCTCTGTTCTTTCGAATGTGAAGGTGTTTTGAGAGTATAGTATGGGAATTGCTTCAACATATCTATTGCATGTTAGCTAATTCTGTAGCTGACGAAGCAGATACAGGAGCGTCACTTACATTCTCCTGCACACCTTCAAGAGACTGAGTAGGCTTCCAACTCCCCACTCATCTAAGCCACGATTCCTCTTCTGTATGGAAAAGCAAGACAAACATGTGCTGACTGGAAAAAGCTTGCATCGAGTGTGTTGCATAAACCTTCTACTCTCCTTTCTGTTAAAACCGCTCACATCATCGATGGTGTTCAAAGTGACGCGAATATTGTAGCCCGAAACACACTCAGCATATATTTGCTGCCGTATCTCCAAAGGCAATTTCCACAATACAGACTGAGTTTGGATCTTCCCGTCGAAGCTCAATCGCCTCCGCTTGATATCCGTTCCTGGGTTATATGACGGAACGAGCTTCTCCCAGTCCTCCATCCTCTTCGAACCTGGCCAATTGAAGATTTGTAATCTTATCCTACTCAAGACCCGGCCTAATGTCATCAACGGAGACCAGAAAACGCAGAATATCAAGCCTAACATCAATGCAACTACAACATAAATCTGGTTCTCTAGTTTATGTTGCCGAAGCGTCGACGGAAGCGATATGCCTGGCATGTTCTTTGAAGCTCTGGAAATCGGATGAGTATTTCTTCATTGCTCGGAAAGGAATCTTGAAAGCAAAGACGAAAATAGGTTGAATGTGGTGTAATGTAGATTCTTGGCAGTGGTACCTCCCTATTTCGAGGCTGGCTGAATTGCTACTAGCGTCTTTCTCGTCCTATCTCAGGTGTTACTTTCCGCTGTCAATATGCATGGCACGACATTTTGATCTTCACGATATTCTTCGATTTTTGTTTGGGAAGGAAAATATCGAATGCGATCGCTAATTTAGCCAAACCATATAAGAGAACATCCTTCGTATTTGAGAAACACATGGGAAAGACATATATTTCTCATCGCAGGTCTAGATTTACCCATCTTCCAGTTTTCTGGGGCTGAGGTGAGATAAGCAAGCGGCGTCTCACTTATGGTGAAGTAGCCTATCACCATGTATTTCTACATGTGAGCCTCATGGTGAGGCTGAAAAACAATCCATTCAATTCACAGAGGTGGAGATACCACCAGAATTATGCGCCAATGAGGCGAGTAATCCGCACTTCCTTGCTTCCTTTGCACAAACTTAACTGATAGGTATTTAGCCACATCAAATGCGAGAAGCGAATCAGAATCATTGGAAATAAAACTACTGCACCGGACAATGAAATTCGCAAAAGCAATACATCTCAAACCCAATCCACAAAACCCATTACGCCTTCAAAAAAGCAAAACTAGGTATACCAAGTAGGCTCCGGAATCTAATTGGCCGTTAGTCACGTTTGCAAATCAAAGAAACGCAATCGAAAACCATACCTTATCAAGCAAAGCATACTCTCCAACCTCCCGATTCTTATAAGCAACAGGATCATGCAAACTATGCGTCCTAACATCCCTCCAAAACCGATCCAGTCCAACCTTCCTCCCCGTCGCCCTCGCCCCAGTCACCTCAAACACGCCCGCCGTAACTCTCAACGCCGTATCCGTCGTCACGATTTTCGCGCTCGCTACAACCTCTGCAACCTCTCCTCTCTCGCGCGCTGAAATCTCGCGCTTCTCGCCGTGTGTAGTATACACGTTTGCGATTGCAGACCCAGCGCGGTCGGTGAGTGCTACAGCGGCTTGGAGGTGCGCGTAGAAATTCCCGTAGCGCTCGAGGATGTAGAATTCTTCCGTTGCGGAGTTCTTGTTGTCGCCGCCGTAGGGCCAGGCGCGGGTTGAGCTTTTGGTGTATTTTGTTGCGAAATCCAAGGAGCCGAGGGCTATCCCTAGGTAAAAATTGGAAAATACCAACTGGATGGTAGGCAGCAGGAGCGTTGCAAAGGGGATTGAAAGGACTTTCGGATCAGGTTTCTTGGTCTTGACATCCCAGCCCAAAGCATCCTCCCAGGGGACTTTGATCTGCCCAATCTTCACGCTTCCGGATTCTGTGAGGCGAAGACCTACGTTATCCCAATTATGCTAGTCACATCAGCTCGGCTCATCATGGGTTTAAGATTAGGCGGATCAACTCACAGCAAACTCAATCCCCTCCTGCGCCGTCCTCACAATCGCAAAAATATGATCCTCCGTCCCCTCCAATACGCCCTCCAGAACCGTCAAATCCGAAACCACACCCCCAGTATTAAAATGCTTGAACCCGTCAAACACAACATAATCCCCATGATCACTAATCTTCAAATCATTATCGCGAGGATTCACAGCTCCTATACACTAATTAGCCTCCCTCCCCCTTTCCCTCATCCAACCAAACGACTTACCACCAACGAAAAAGTTCCCCTCAATAATCAGTTTCTGAAATCGCGCTTTCTGCTCATCCGTACCAACTACATTCGCAGTCGTACTCCATAACAGATGATACCCGAGTAACATGCCTATACTCCCATCACCCTTCGCCACTTCGCGGATTACTTGATACCCGATCTCCCAGTTCTGGCCGCCGCCGCCGTATTCAGCCGGTCCTAGGACTTTCAAAAGTCCAGAGCTTTTCAACAGCGCAACTTCAGCAACGGGTGAGAAGTTGGCGATATCTCTCGCCGCTGCGTCGGCGGATAGGATCTCGGATACGGCGCGTGCGCGCTGGAGCCAGGCGGAGGAATCTTGGGGGAGATCGTCGGAGGTGAATTTCTGGTGGTGGATGTCGTAGATGCTTGGGTCGGTTTTCTCGCGGGGTTTGGAGGTGGGAGGGGGAGCTTGTTTGGTTGGGAGGGAGGTGGGAGGGGAGGAGGTGGTTGTGGTGGTGAGTGAGGGCGCCATGGTTGTGTTTGAGATCGATGTTGAGAAGACGTGAAATGGTTCAGTTAGAAGATTGTTTGTATGAGGGATGTAGTTCTTGACAATCTATCTATCTATCTACCTCTATCTTCCCTCTCCTCCCCTCCTCCCCTCAGCCCAAGATGGTGCAACATCCCTCCCCCTATACGCCATCCACACGCCATCTCTCCTCCCCAACACAAAGCAAAAACCAACATCCGCATCGAAACCGTCGCCTATTGCGTGATACATTAGTTCCAAGCTGCAATGCAAGATATCCAAGATCGTGACGCGAGCACGTTCTGATGGTAGGTGGTTGGTTAGTGGTCGCCTTGTCGATCATCGAGCACGTCAGATTCGCTAATTAAGTACCGAGATCTAGATGAGGGGAATCCCTGCTTTTAGGGAGTGTTGGAACTGCGAGTTATTGGGACTGCCGTGGGGGTGTAGGTAAACTCAGTTAGTTTGATGGTATTGGTTAGGTTTGTTTAGCCGATAGTCGCTGGTTTTAGAAACATAATTGGATGGGACTTTTGGGATTATTTCTTGGAAATTACATCTCCTTGAGATTTTAGAATTTAGAGGACTGGATGATAGACTCAATTTTACAGAGTCAGTTTGGGGCAGTGTTGCAACGGACGCTAAGTGCGTAAACCCAGGCCCGCTTCGGATTCTCCCAGTAAATGTGTACTATCTCTAACCTCCTTTTTGCGCCCCACCAAATCCGCAACATTACTTCAATACCCATTCAGTCTGTAAATCTATGTAGAAGTAAAACAAAATAATACCAACCATACTCAACGATCCTTCCCCCCCTCCTCCCCACTCCCCTCCTGACTTCCCCCATCTACGCCCACCTTCGCCCTAACAAAAAACCGACTCGTATCCCCCATCGGAAAATGCCAAAACAGCGCCGTCTGACACATCAAATGCGCGACGGTATAATACCCGAGCAGACCCGCCAAGAACGCAAATACACCGCCTGCTTTCTTAAGCGCGATAGCTGTGTCCGCGAAACCGTCGGCGGTGGCGAAATAGGAGGCGGCGACGAGCGTGAAACAGAGCTCGACGAAGAAGAAGATGCCGATGTATACGAGATTGCTGGGAGGGTTAGTGGGAAGGGAAAAGGGGGGAAGGGGGGAGGTACATGGGTAGAGAGCCGAAGAGGAAGAAGAGATTCAGAACGGCCCACATGAGGACGAAGAATCCGAGGGCGTTGTTGTATTGTACTGTGTCTGTTCCGTAGGCATCGCTTACGCCGAAGATTGGTGTGAGGATTGCACCGAAGCCACCGTAGAAGAAACCTGAATGATTTGGTGAGTTTACTGTATTCCCCAGGATTCCATTGTTACATACCGAAAGCACTTAATGCTGTATAACCAAATGAGTTACCTAGAACCAATTCCCACTGCGCTGAAATGACCATTCCAATACCAGCAACTATGACTTGTAAGTTTTAGTCTTCAAGGAATGCAAATGGTCCCCACCAAAGAAGAAATTTCCAATGTAAACATTTGTTGTCGTCACCCCTCGCCATTCCATCAAACTCAAGGAGAGAGTGGTGAGAGTGGTAGAAAATGCACCAATCGCCAACGCAGTCTACTCAATGTCAGCTAATTCGCATACCGCTTTATAGAATAATCACATACCGGACTTCCAAGTGTACTTTTCACAGAACTTGCAACGAAGAATGGGTAAGGTTTGCCTGGTGATAACGTGTCCGTGGTAGTACTAGGATATATGTCCCTATACGCATGTTCCAAGGTACTCTGTCTGACAATATTTCTCCTAACGCTATCGGCCGAAGACATTTTGTGACTGGAATTTGGGTGCAACTTTGGATGTTGAAAGAGATGAGTTGTCGGAATGGCAACAACTCTGCTTTTGCAGTTTCGGGGACTTCAGACCCCTTCTAGCATTAGCCTAGTAAGTCCACAATGGATCTCGACATTGCAGCGGAAATTGTATGTTGAAAATATGCAACAAATTGCAACATTGTTGACACAAGGATCATAGAGTCTGGCCGTATTACCCCTGAAATTGACCCAGGCGATTGCTATGAAAGAAGTATGACAAGACCGGAATCACACAATGCCGATTCCCGTTCCAATTCAAGAATTACAGATAAGGCAAGATAACCTTAAACTTAGTGCGGGGTATCAAAAGAAGTTGTACTGCATTAGTTGGGAAATGTGTGTGGAATTGAGTTGTGGTGTGGTTGATGCAAAGCTCCGCGTATAGCACGCCATTACGAAGCTGTTGTAACCAATCCCTTTTGTCGATCAATTTCCACGACAAGAAATATAATCGATCTGGGATGATAAAATAAGGCCAAGTGAGCTTTGACTTCGTCGGCTCGATTTACAGAACTCTTGCAATTACCAATCCGCTTGGATGAGGTAAATGTTGTTGTGTTCATTTTAACACAACCTGGAGGTGCATACCACTTGCATCAGGGTAACATCTTTTCACACCTTCCGGTACACAAATTCATGGCAGAATGGCTTCTCAGGGTCATCCGTATATCTCTCAATCACTATTGACGCCCCCCAAGACTCCCCCTCCAGATTGCGAAATTATCTTTCACAACTGGCCAGAACCAGAAACAGCGCCCGAAGCACAGTCATATTTCGAAGCACCATGGGAATACGATGCGAAACAGATCCTGCAAGATGATAATGGCTTTGCTGTTCGACACCAAGAGGTACTCCTCCTACATGGTGTCAAGCAGAGATATGCGCATACGAAAGAGCAACCAATACCAAGACTAGAAAATGACTCAGAAATGCTCGTTGCTGTAGAAGTCGTCGGCCTGAACCCCATCGACTGGAAAGCACCGTAATCTACGGCTACCTATCATAATCAACCTAGGCTAACTATGTTCCATAGTGACTTCGGTTGGGGTTTGCCAAAGCTACCCTGCATATCGGGTCGAGACTTTGCTGGCAAAGTCGTCAAAGCACCTACGAAATCCTCGCGATTCGAACTTGGGCAGAGCATACTTGGAATTGCGACCGATTATCGAGACAGCAGACGATCCGCTTTCCAGCAATACGCTGTGGTATCAGATTTCAATGCTTGCAAACTACCTCCAAACATAACCGCCCAAGAAGCTGCACCACTTGGAGTGGCTTTCGTGGCCGCTGTACTTGCGCTGGGAGTATGCATGGGAGTGGATTTTGCTTCAGGAAATAATGGACCTCACGGTCCTGATTTGCTCCAAATCGTAAGATCAATTGCACAGGATTCATTGCCAAAAGATATTCGAGCGGAGTGCTTTGATAAGCTAAAAGAGAGTGGGAGAGCAAGATCAGGGGACTGGATAGCGATCTGGGGAGGTGAGTCCACTCGTCCCGTCAGTTGGCGAATACTGACCCTCAAAGGCTCGTCGGCGACAGGGTGTTGTGCCGTACAGCTAGCCAAACTCGCTGGGCTCCGGGTGATATCTGTTATAGATGTTGCTAGAAGCGGAGAAAGAATGCTTCGCCATGGCGCTGATCTACTGGTCGATCGTTTAGACACAGAGCGTGCTGTATCAATCGTAAAATCCGTGACGAAAGGAAAGCTTCGCTTTGGTCTCGACACCATAGGAAAAGACACAGCAGGATTGCTAGCACAAGCCATGTCGTCTCATGACGAGAGTTCCAATAGGTCTGAAGACGGCCATGTCGTAGGACTCGTCGGTGTTCCCAAGGAATCAACACCCGGCGTTGTTTACCATTCGGTGCCCATCAAACTCTTTCATGAAGCACCACAGGTTGGGGAGAGTATGATGATCTGGCTTGAGAAATTGCTAGCAAAGAACACGCTCGCAACGCCGGACATTGAGGTGGCAGTAGGCGGCTTAGAAGGGATCAATTCAGCACTAGACAGGCTGCGTGATGGAACTGTCAACGGTCCAAGGATTGTGGTGCCAATTTAAAACGCGCTCGAGGCGATATTTTTATTTGTGGATAGATTAAAAACCGCGTCCCTAGCATAGAAATGATACATGATGATGTCACTCAGATATGAGATGGAAAATGCCGTAAAACGTGATAGAGACGATAAATAAAGTGTGTATATAAGGGGAATGGTCGTGGTAAACATTTTCGTCGGTAGTTGGTAAAAACCCAAGTCCCGATCGGGTTTAGGTAGCTCGGGAATGAGCTGCTACCGAGCACAGACCACGCTGGTCAACGACCGCCAAGGCTCCCGGCTTTAACTTGCTTTCCCTCCTCTCGTCCTCCTTGGCTGCTGGAAATCCAGCAGCTTCAGTAACTCGCTACCAACTCGATGGATTGAATTGCACATTGCCGGCAGGGTTATTATCTGCTTCTCGATGGCGGGAAACCTTGTTTCCGAAGCCGATCGGCAGACTACTCTGGGTTCGAGCTGCGACGAAGCTTTGTCTAGCGGTTGCTCATGGTGGGGGTATATTGCACCATAGCTACAGCTACCTACCTCATTGTCCAACGATGTTGGCATATGCTGTCCTCGAGCACATCATGTAGCAGTCGCATTTCGATTTGCTTTGTCCATGTGTCAGAGCCGAGTTGTTCGACTTCCGGGCATTGAATAGTTGGTACGACCCCTCTCTGCAGCTATGGACCTAGTTCAATGCTCATCTTGCTTGCTATACCGTTCCGTATAGTTTGCAGACTGTTCAGATATCTCCATTCAATCATTTTCCATCTATTCAATTATCTCTCTTGCTTTGCTGTGAAAACCATACATTCTCTTGCACCCAAAATGGCGCAAGCAGAACCCTTTACAGAAGCACAGCTTCACGCCATATCTGCTATTGTACAACAGGCAGTGTTGCCACTCAGAGCAAAGCAGACACCGAATGGGACTCATGCTCACGCAGAGACAAACGGGTATCATTACACCGCACCAGACGATATCAATGGTGCTGCGGATCGTGTCAAATTTGCTTACTGGGTACCGAACGTGTCAGGAGGTCTAGTAATATCGAAAATACCACAAAGAACAAAGTAAACTATAATACCTCTGTATGTCTTATTCAACCTCATGCTCACGATAAACAGATGGGACTATCAATCCAATGTGCGATATGCGCAAACAGCAGAGCGGGTTGGATTCGAATTTGCCCTATCTCAGATTCGATTCATGGCGGGATATGGTGCTGTAAGAGCTAGTGCTACAATCTTACTGGATTCATGACTTATTAAATAAACAGGACAACCAACACGAATCTGTGTCCTTCTCGCAGGCGCTTCTACATGCAACCACGAAACTCAATGTCATAGCTGCCCTCCTTCCTGGGCCATGGAACCCTGCGATAGCTGCAAAACAGATCGCAAGTATCGACCACTATTCCAATGGTCGCATTTCCGTCAATGTTGTATCTGGCTGGTTCAAGGCCGAATTTACATCAATTGGCCAATGGTGGCTTGAGCACGCAGAACGCTATAGGTATGAACAACAATATTTGGAAACCACTACACATCTCTGACTTTATTTTGCAGACGGAGTCGAGAATTCATCGAATGTCTCAAAGGCATTTGGACAACCGAAAAATTTACCTACAAAGGCGATTTCTACCAATTCCACGACTACCCCCTATCCCCCAAACCTCTTGTTCTACCCGGCCGACCCCACCCACTTGTCTTTCAAGGCGGAAACTCAATTGATGCCCGTGAGAATGGAGCGCATGCAAGCGATTACTATTTCATGAACGGAAACACCCTCGAAGGATTCCAAGAGCAAATCGCCGATGTACGCGCTCGCGCGAAGAAACTGGGTCGTGAAGATGACATCAAATTTGCCGTAAACGGCTTCTGCATAGTCAAGGAAACAGAAGAGGAAGCTGTCCGTCTATTGCAAGAAATCCAAGGCAAAGCAGATAAAGACGCCGTTGGCGCCTTCAGAGATGCAGTCCAACAAGCCGGCGCCAGCACTGGTAATAAGAAAGGTAAACCCAATCTTTCTCATCTTTTGAAAAGAAAACATGAACTCGATACTAACGAATCCCAGGCATGTGGGCCGATTCCAAATTCGAGGACCTAGTCCAATACAACGACGGCTTCAAAACCAAGCTCATCGGCACGAAAGAACAAATCGCAGATCGTATCTTACTCCTAAAAAGTCTTGGTATCGATATCGTGCTCCTCGCATTCCTGCATTATGAAGAGGATATTGAGAATTTTGGCGAACAGATTCTGCCGCTTGTGAGGAAGTTGGAGAAGGAGGGGCGGGGGAAGAATGCTGAGGAGGAGATTGAAAGGACGGGAGATGTTTATCGGGCGAGGAAGGTGGAGGTGTAGGTGTTGTTTGCTCAGATGTTGGCAATTTGGCTGCGTGTTTGGTTGTAGTAGGCTTGGTTTTCGGGGTGGAGATGGTTTTAATTACCGTGAAGGCACATGATAAGGACCTCGGGAGTTTATAGTTGATTCCTGATCCATGTGAATATCCATGATTCGTACACATCAGATGTAACATGTAATCTTCTGGACCCCTAAGGCCGTATCTGTTTCATATCTCAATATCCGTTCTTAATCAACTCCAATCTTTCAATTATTTATTTCAGCGCCAACTTTTCGGATTTTCCCTCGCACCACAATCCCTCCATCCTTTCATTTTCCTTGGACCCTAACCCCTACCCCCGCTTCTCCTAAACATATCATTCCAAGCTCAAAATTCAGATGATCCCCCAATCAACTACGACCATCCTTCTCCCAGCAAACTAGACGTATCCACCCCAATATACCGTGTGGATGCACGAAGTGCCTGAAGAGAAGACGATAGTAGTGGCAACATTCGAAACGGAGGAAATATAGAAGATAGAAAAGAGGGCTAGGGTAATGGAAATGCACTTTTTGAGGGTCAGTCATGTGTTTTTGTCTATGTGTGTTTACGTGCTGGGGGTTCAGGATTGCATTGGAGCTGTGCAGTTTCTGTTGGGGAAGGCGGAACGGAGACAGGGAATCTGCAGGATGTTGTGATCGGGATGGTTCTCGCGTGTTGTACGAAGGGTGCTTGGAGTATGTATCCTTTGGTTAGTACTAGGATTAATAGAATGATATCCAGGCAGGTGGTTTGTATTCCTCTTTTCGAAGCTTGTTTGGTGCACGCGGGTTTATGCGTGAAAGATTACTAGAGATCCTAAGCTTGGCGTAAATTGTCGCTCTACTTTAGCGTAGGTGTAGGCTAGGATGTTGTGGGTTGAGATGGAGTGGGGAAGTTAGAGGATTGGTAATGAGACTTAAGAATCAATGAGAATGTTGGTATTATGGCTGATGATGTTTGTTTTGATAGACAAAAGTAACTTTTGGGTGTGGGTTTAGTCTCTTAAATAACATATGCATATGCGAGTTTGCTTATGTTGAATACTCATTAGTAAGATAGATAAGTTTCAAAAAATGGGGGGAGGTGGAGTATATATCTATCTGATATAGTGAATTGACATGGAATCCCCTCCACCTTCCCCTCCCCAAAACCCCCAAAAAATAAATCCCGATACCCGCAGCTCAATCCGAAGAAAGAAGCATCTAAACTAATCTACTAAATCACACACTCCCAACTCTATCACGAGGAATCTATGAGAAGGGAACGAACGGGACGGAACCGGCGCCGCTGTTAAGCAGTGTGAAGTCTTCGACTGTTTTGATTTGTTGAGGGGGATTGTTGCGCTGGGCTATATAAATGTGAGTTGGCAGGTAGGGGGAGGAGGGACAAGTGGGGACGGGGGAATGAGGAGGGTGAGTGGTGAAGTTTAAAGTGTAAGTAAAGTGAGAAGTGTAAAGTGAATGTTTAGGGGTTGTTGTTTGACATCGTATCTGATTCCATGATGAATTCTGTCTTAATTATTTGGATACGTGAAGTAAGTGATTTTGTTCATGTTCGAATTTCTACACATCACTGTTCACGCTCTGATCGAGAAGTTCAACTGTATAGGATTGTTTATTGTTGATAAACGTTGTTATGACAGAAGGTATCGATTCACCTATTATTATCTAACGCGTTATATTGACGCGCTGAAAACGGTCAAGTATCTCTGTCATTGTTGTTTCTTATCTCTGGATAATTCAAATCCTTTCGTTAATCCGCCAAAATTCCCAACTCAAAACACATACCCAGATCTGAGGTGGAGGCAAGCCAACCAGCCACACACGAAATGGGTTTCTTGAACTGCTTCCGCAGCTCTAAACGTGAACCAGACCGGACTCCTAATAGCAAACCCATCACTGCTCACCAAGAGAGATCAGAAGATGAGGTTTCCAAAATCGACAATGTCGACTCGACTCCAAGATCGAATCCAAAACGAAGCCCGCCAAAGACATATGTTCCTACGGTCCCCTCCCAAGCAAATCAGACACTGTAAAGACCTATCAACCTACGACAGGCCCCGCAAGCAAGCCGGAGACTTGGAAGACGTATATTCCCACCGGTCACCCGGTGACCAAATCAGATCAGCCTTCCACAAACGGATCAATTGGCAGATCGAAATTAATTGGGTTGTATCGATCCAAGAAGACAGAAGAACCGAAGACTGAGGCACAGGACGATGTAAAGACTGGTGCACAAGAGGCAGAGCCAGGAAAGCAGTGGGTTAAGGTGAAGGTACTGCGTCAACATGGGTATGCATGGGACGTGCCGTATGAGTATAGATGGACAACGATGCCTGTCAAGGGGGGTGGCATGGCAGGGAAGGATAAAGACAGGCCGTCGACGTCGAAGGAGTCTGACGTTATTTATGGAAGGTCTAGTCCGCCGTCTGAAGTTGATGTGACGGAGAAGAAAGATGGTGAAAAGGTTGAAGGGCTGACGGGGGAGGGAGCTTCGTCGTCGTCTCCGGGGGGTGAGGGCTCATCTGCGAGGGATACGGCATCAGATATTGTCGACAAAGAGGAGGTGGCTGATAAGGGAATCAGAGTGGTCCAGAAAGAGGAAACACCATCACCATCCTCCTCCTCCTCCGCACGTACACTCGTGAAATCAACTCCACCATCACCCCTCGACGCTGACGAGAAGGAAGTCGAAAACGTGGTCGCAATCAAAGCAGAAGTCAAACTAGTAGGCATCTCAGGCTGTTCCAGCTCTGGCAAATCCACCCTCGCATTTCTCCTCAGCGAAATCTTCAACCCCACCCCCCAAGACTCAACCGGCAAGCGTTTTCTAACCCAAGACGATTTCTTCCGTCCAAAAAAGGACATCCCACATACCACATTCACCGACGCAGATTGTAAATTTGCGTGTCGAAGCGCGACCCAAAAATCCGGAGATGGGTTTTACAGTTTTACGCATTATAATTCTAGAGGGGTTGTGAGATGGAGAATCGAGGGTCCGAATTGCGATGGTGCTGCTGCTGTTGATTTCCACAAGTTGAGAGAGGCGGTTGCGAGTTTGAAGGAGTTTGGAGAAGTGTCAATGAGTCTGGAGTTGGTGAGGGTGAAGAGTAAACTTGGGTTGGTGCAGGATACTGGGGAAGTTGCTGGTGAGGCGACGAAGGCTATACCGACGTTGCAGTCACATCGATCGCAGAGTGAGGCTGTGTTGAACGTTAAGTACGCTACTCTTATCGATGAAATGCGGAAATTGGTATAGCCGGCCATGGAGGGTAAGGCAGTCAAGTTCGCGTTCGTGGAGGGGTTTAGGTTGTTTGCGGATCCGAAGGTAAGTCCTGGACCGAAGGCGTTGGATTGGGATCGCCATATCATCCATGCGAAACTCGATATTCCAATTTTCTTGCCTACGTCTAAGGAAGTGGCCAAGACACGGCGCTTTTCACGACAGGCGTATAAAGATCTTCCTGAAGGTGATCGTGCACCGGGACATATGTGGAAGAGCGAGGGATACTTTGAGCAGGTACTTTGGCCTGAGTATATGACCGAATTTGGCTGGTTGTTGGATCAACTTGGTGATGAAAAGGTCAAAAATGGTGGACAGGTTGATGGAGTTTGGGTTAGGGATGGAGATGATCTAGGTGTTGAGGAGACGGTTCGGTGGGTTGTTGATTTACTTCTTAAGGAGGCGCATTTGGCGGCAGCAACCTAGACTTGTTATTGGGAATAGGTAATCTTGAAAATCGATTAGCGCGGAGTCTGTGGGTTTGGAGAGGAAGAAAAAATGGTAATACCTGATAGGAACTTGTATGTCATATTCTAGACACAAAACAAAACCCACCGGTCTTTGGCCATGGAGGGAGAGGATGGATATTGTTAGATATTCCAAACCGAAATTTCATCACTATGAAGACATTCAGCAATTATAAGAGTGCCAGATATGTTTTGTCTCCTTCCTACCTAGTCCGAGATGCGTATCTATGTCGTTCTTTTGTCGTCGCGGGTAATTAAAATCTGGAATTGAGAACAAGCATCCATTTGGCAGCCGTCATACAAATTCGCTTCATCACGGACAAAAGAAATACAACCAAACAAAGTAGTTAAATACATAGGTAGATATAAGAAGAACTTTGAAATATCTGATATCCTTCTAATTGCGACCTACAGTGCTGCCAGTCTATGACTGCTTATGATTTCCAGACTCCGGTCGTTTTGGAGATGATGAATGTGATTTTCCGAAGGAGAGGATACTTTTTGTCCTAGAGTATGAAGATATCTCCACCAAGCATCACTACTAAAATGATTCATCATTTTGTGTTTCTTCGATGAACGGATGAGGTGAACGACGGGAGATCAGAGCTCGAACTTGAACTGAATGAGGTCCACGCATCACGTGTCTCGCTTTACCTCGGCTTTCGACTTGAGCTCCAAGCTCCTCCGATGCCGAATATATACAATTTACACTATCTTTCTTCTAAGTCATAACTACAACAACAATGTCAGGCCTCCGAATACTTGTACCCATCAAACGGGTAATTGACTATGCCGTAGGTTACTATCTTTCCATATCCTACAATTCCTGCTCTCTGTCATACCAAATTCGTATTCCCGAATCAACTAACATGACTATCAGGTCAAACCCCGCGTCAACAAGGCGCAAACAGCAGTCGAAACTGCCGGTGTAAAACACAGCATGAACCCATTCGATGAACTCTCAATCGAAGAATCAGTACGCATCCGCGAAAAGAAATCATTTCCCCATGGCGTTGCAGAAATCATCGCATTCACAGCCGGGCCGCCGAAATCCGCCGATATCTTACGGACGGCGATGGCTATGGGCGCTGACCGGAGTATACACGTCGAATTCAAGGACGGTGAGGAGATTGAACCATTAGGAGTGGCGAAACTCCTGCAGGCGGTCGTGAAGAAGGAGAAGATTGATTTGGTGGTGCTGGGAAAGCAGAGTATTGATGATGATTCATCGCAGACTGGACAGATGCTTGCGGGATTATTGAACTGGCCGCAGGCTACGCAGGCTAGTAATGTTGGATTTGGGGGTGACAAGAAGATTACGGTTGAGAAGGAGGTTGATGGTGGAACTGAGACGGTGAGAGGGACGATACCGATGATAATTACGACTGATTTGCGGTTGAACGAGCCGCGATATGCTAGTTTACCGAATATTATGAAGGCGAAGAAGAAGAAGATTGATAAGATGAGCGCGAGTGATTTGGGGGTTGATGTTGCGAGGAGGTTGAAGACTCTGAAGGTTATTGGTATGTGTTTTGGACTATCCGGGATCGAGGGCGATGCTAACGTTTTATAGAACCACCACCAAGACAGGGAGGAGGAAAGGTAGAAGATGTCGATGGGATGATTGCCAAGTTAAAGGAGCTGGGAGCGATATAGTAGAACTGACTGTTGGTGTTCTGGTATTGGCCGAAATGGCGGATGATGATGTATATATATGGACTGATAGATCTTGGAAAATGGTCATAGAAGGCCAGATCATGAATGAATCCGACTAGAACCATTCTACTGCCGTCTACATGTAAAAGTCAAGGACCATCAAGAACGTTTAGCTATACGCAGCCTCATAGTAAAGGTAGAGATATTATGCTAGTACTCATTTACATACGTCAACTGTTATATCCTTCCGACACCAGCTAACTGTCCAGCTTATGTTCTCAGTGACTGAATATGAAAAGTGAACAAGATCAAGTGTTTGGCAAGCACCTGAATGTGCTCGAACGTAATACAACCAGTGGTTAACTAAATCGCCAAGCAGCTCTGACAACACAGTATAGAATATGATTGAACTAGCTCCTGTATAAGAACAGGAGGCAAGAAGAGGAATTGAATTAGAGACTTGTGTGATTTTATGCTCCTAATTGTCAAAGAAACTCTGGGTAGTTAGGAACCAACTAATCGAGTGATAGGTGGTTACAATCCACATAGCACTCCACACTAGAATTTTTTTTCAATATATCAGTTACATTTACTCAAAAGCGAAGGAAACTTGAATCACAATTAATAATTCGACAGTAGTTGTACTTCATCGTTTTACCCCGCTACTAGTAATCGCGGGGCGCTGTCATCTCTCCCACACGTGGACGGCCGACCCAGGAGAGCTCTGGAATTTGGCGGTCATCCACCTGCAAGTAACAAATTTTCTAGATGCAGCAAGCAAAATTGAGATTTTCTGCTGCGGTACTATTCCACTCATAGCCACCTGATGCATCGCTCTAAACCTATAGAGTATCAAGAGGCGAAATATCACAGAAGAAATGAATTTAATTGATTGAAAAATGCTGGGAAACTCTCACCTATTGCGTCACTCAAAGGGAAAACTGTTAGACCTCTGTTGCCCGCCGTAGAAAACGCTGCTTGCTATGAGCAGAAAACCTCTTTCATCGTGGCCCGCTTTTACCACGTGATTGACCAATCACAACCCGCACCATAATCACCGTCACCAACGCTCTGACTGGACCGAAATCGCTCTGCCTCCCACCACCACTTCACAACTCCACTCCCATACATCCATTCTGCGTCCTGAAAAAAAACATATACACAACTTCTCCCATCAAACCCTTTTCTAGAAAGGATTCAACAGTCGCGCGTATGACTGGACGCCCGTCGGTCTTCACGTCCCAGGTATGTTCGTAATTGCTTCGTTCTCTTCTTTGTGCCATTCCTTGACTCATGGCGCGGATTCCTTATCTCGAGGAGGGCGATCAACGACCACGGCCCCTCACCGTCGCGATTTTGTAATTTCAGGCTCATCTACTCTTCAATTGTTCCTTCGATACTGTCTTTTACCTGCTGCGGCCCAAGAATTGATTTGTTCATCTGCTAATTGCGAATAGGATTATCTTTCAGGTTAGACCCTCAACGGCTTGCGAGCCCCCCTTCACCGCTATGTATTAACACGTCGATTCGCAGATCACATCTGGAAAGCTTCAGTAAACTGAAAGACTTAACCCCTAAACCACACTACCTATCTAAATCTATAAACCGTTACGAATTCCACACAAAATGTTTGCTCGATTCGTTAAACAAACGCCTTTTAAGGCCGCCGGTGGCTATGGACGTATTGCTCAAGCACGATTCCTAGCTACGGTTGAGGGAAGTGCTGGACGTGCTATGCCAGTTACCCGACCAAGGGCCACACCAATCTCCCACGACCGTGCTACATTGACACTCAGGGTATGGAATATCTGGTGCGAGTCGCGAGATCCCAACTAATGGTGTATTAGGATGGACCAGTCTTCCACGGCAAATCTTTTGGAGCTAAGTCCAACATCTCTGGTGAGGCTGTCTTCACCACCTCCCTTGTCGGATACCCAGAATCGATGACCGACCCCTCATACCGTGGACAAATCCTCGTTTTTACCCAACCCCTCATTGGAAACTATGGTGTTCCTTCCTCCGCTCGCGATGAGCACGGACTTTTGAAATACTTCGAATCTCCAAACATTCAGTGTGTTGGTGTTGTGGTTGCGGACTATGCCGAGAAGTACAGCCATTGGACTGCTGTCGAGAGTTTGAGCGAGTGGTGTGCCCGTGAAGGAGTACCAGCTATTTCAGGTGTTGACACTCGTGCGATTGTAACATACTTGCGAGAGGAGGGTTCTTCATTGGCCCGAATCACAATTGGAGAAGAGTACGATGCAGATCAGGATGAGGCTTTCATTGACCCTGAGCAAATCAACTTGGTCAAAAAAGTCAGCACAAAGGCACCATTCCACGTCAGCTCGCAGAATGGAGATATGCACGTTGCAGTCATCGATTGTGGTGTCAAGGAGAACATCTTGAGAAGTTTGGTCGCTCGAGGTGCAAGTGTCACTGTTTTCCCATACGCTTTCCCTATTCACAAGGTCGCTCACCACTTCGACGGTGTTTTCATTTCCAACGGACCAGGTGATCCAACTCATTGCCAAGAGACTGTTTATCACTTGGGTCGTTTGATGGAGACATCTCAGGTACCAGTTATGGGTATCTGTCTCGGTCATCAATTGCTCGCTCTGGCTGCCGGTGCTCGAACAATCAAGCTCAAGTATGGTAACCGTGCGCACAACATTCCTGCTTTGGATTTGACTACTGGTCAATGCCACATCACCAGTCAGAATCACGGTTATGCTGTTGATACTCCAACTCTCCCTGCTGAATTTAAGGAGTACTTTGTCAACTTGAATGATGGATCCAACGAGGGTATGTTTATATGAACTCATCTCCTTTTCTGCGGTTGATTACTAACACCCTGCCAGGTATGATTCACAAGACTCGACCAATCTTCTCTACACAATTCCACCCAGAAGCCAAGGGAGGACCAATGGACTCGTCATTCCTTTTCGACATGTACATTGAAAACGTCAAGCGTTACAAAGAGAACCAAGCAATCCACCCAACCGGCAAGGATAACCGTCCTTCACCACTTCTTGTTGACATCTTGTCCAAGGAACGTGTTGGTGTGCATCCAGCTCAGCCAGCTGAGAACTTGGCTCAAGCTGCTGCTGCGGCTTAGAGTGGACAATTTGTCACGAGATCTGATGTTTAATATTGCGAAGGCGTTTTTTGGGCTAATAAATGGATGGGTTGTATTTAGGGATGGGAAAGTAAGAGGGGAATCAGATGGATGCTATAGTGTTCTCATTATTTTAAAAAATGAATTTTCAATTGAGCTTCCTTGGATACATCACGTGACTGACTTAATGGAGCTTAGAAAGTCTTATTTAATTTAAACAATTCACGAAATAGTAATAATGTCCCAAGTTGATCCACCAAATATACGGTATTTCGTCTACTCAATCGAAGAAATATTGCCTCGATTCGTGTTGTCTTTTTAGGGGCGTGTAAAAATCCATTACGCGACAATATAACGTATCCGAATAAGAAGCAAAGGGATCGGAAAATTCAATGCGCCGAGTGTCAAGTAACTCCGATTTGTAATTTATGCAACACTCGTCACCCGCTGTCTGAATATCCTAATAGCACAAGAACACTCACGGGTAGAGAGTTGAAATGTAAAAACTGCAAAGAACTCGGGTTGACGCGCTGTTCAGTTGGTGTAAGAAGATGTTAAAAGATGGGTTGTTCGGAGTATTGTGAGGTGTAAGACGGAATCAAGGGGAAAGAGGAATCGGTCTGGCTGACTTGTTGGAGTTGAAAGATATGCCCTAGATGTAAAGATCGTCAGCCCCTTGAGAGTTTTGACTTAGCTGCGAAGGTCATTTCGAGTTAGTCGTTGTTTAATGTATGTTCGTCTGTCAGGAAAACCTTGATATGATGGTAGATTATCTCTTGTTTGTAACGGGATTAGATGTGTAATTCCTGTTAATTGAAAATTAGTACTTGTTTAAGACTAAAGCTTAATTCGCGTAGCTAAGTCGGGTGCTATAGATTTAGTTAAAATCTAAAAATATCTCGCTAATAGTAAATGAAAGCACTGTTTGAGAGAATCATATCTGCGTCTACAGAGGAAGATTCCGAACTTGAAGGGTAAATTAGACAGAGGAAACTCCCCGAGTATTACCGCCACGGAGACAGGCTTTATGATGTACTCAAGAGATTCGAAGAGATATTAGGACCACTAGTACGTAGAGTAGCTCGGATGGATGTTTAGATTTAGAATCGGATCAGGAATGGGGTCAATGTCGTACAGAATATTCATTATAAAGCGCTTTTTCAAAGAATTGAGGTGTTGCTAAGCGCCAGTCGTTCACAAAACAGCTCTGGGAGAGAATCAGAATTGAAACCAGAATTGTACACTGATTCAGATTCGGAAAAGGATTTGAAGTATCGTTATAACACTTTTATTTTCTAGATGATTAATAGTGGGAAACTGCTTGCTTGGCAAGAATAAGCGTGTTTAAGTTTCTAGCTATAATGTAAAATGGCGCCAATAATGGTTGACTTTAATTACGATTTTTCCTAGCTTTGGAAGGTTATTTCTAAAGCACTGTCTATACAGTCAATTCGTTGCATTGCTTTAGTGTTGATAACTTTTTAGGATTGCCAACCCTCCGGTATTCGCCGACGCTTTGGTGGTCAAGCAACGAATCTCTCAATACAATCTGCCAAAATATCCGCAGAAAATGGGAATAATCCCTAGACCACGAATTACTTACCAAAATCTTCTTAACAACTCCCCAGAAACTATGAGTAATCTTCAGACAAGCATTCAATTCCCACAACATACAAATGAACAAGCATGGGTGCTAGGGTTAAAGTTGTCAGCTGATTTAAGTAGAGTGCGAATCTTAAATGCGATGTAAGCGATACTTCACCGGAATGTCCGAATATAATTCCTCGCTTGTACAAATTGATTGTGAGGAAGTTCTATTTTAACTAATTCTCTAAAGATAGGATCAAGACATTAAGCGCATAGTAAGTCTTGAGAATGAGGAGAATAAGCAATTTATTGCGGATACTTATATTGATTGGTAAAGACGAGCATTTTACAATTGAGCTTCTATGTTTGGTTTCTCAAAGGTGCTACTTCCTCGTTTAAACTCTAGGTTAGATTAAGAGTCTGTTCCAATGTGTCGAATAGTCGTGATAGTATGCACTCCTCAGTTAGATTGAGGTGGTGGATGCTCACAATTGTGGGTCTGTATATCTCGCTTAATTCAGGGGTAAATATTCTGAGGGCAAAGCTCATTTATTACTCGATATGGCTACAAAGATCTTCTATCCTCGTGAATACAACTTCATCCTCGAATAAACAAACGAGATCTCGAGACAAGATTAGTAAGATGTCTTCGCCTGATAACCCCTTATCCCCAAAACCCCATACCATCTTAAATCCAAGACGCCTCGCTGACGTCTATGCGCTTCTTAAAAACTCCCAAAACCAAGTAATCACCTAAAAATACAAATCGCCTGGATAGACATAACAGTCTATGCGCGAATAAGAAATCGTGGATCGATACCACCCATGAACCCCGGCTCCGGGGCAAGGCAAATATCGAAAAGTCTAGGAACCTCGCCAATTTCCGCGTCCCAAATCCACTCATTCCACTTCTTGTAAATTACATCAGCCCCCTTCTGGTACAAACCATTAAGATTGATGTGTGCCGCTTGTGTCGGTTTGAAAGTGAAGATGATACCTTTCTGAACCCCCGAAATGTCGTCACCAATCTGTGGATCGTCCTTAGGCGAGGTGAAGACTTTATCGTCGGGACCGCCATGTCCTTTTGCGTCTGGGAAAATTCTGTTGTCGGGAAATAGAGGGCTTCCGGGTACGATGAAGCCGTAGTCGGAGTATATCATTATTTTGCTGAACTCTTCCCCTTTGTGCATGAAGGTTGAGTACCGACAGGCGATGTGGTGGGTGTTCTTTGGAATAGGATCTTCTGGGGGTGGTGGTGGTGGAGGCGGCGGCTCTGGAGTGGGCGTAGGTTTGGTTTTAGTCGGGAGCGCTACAGTAGAAGTAGAAGATGTACTCTTTGGGTCATTCAGTACACACTGCTGAACTGTATGGTTTTGCGCTGTGCCATTCTGGCGTCTAGACATTTGACCAGAGATTCGACATGCCGGTGCTCCGCTACTGATGAGATCTGGATTCTCACCATTGTAGACCACCTTGACCTTAAATTCATCTTGTGGCTCCTTTCTTTCCCAGGCTAAATCTTTGACATAATTTCGGACAGTTCTGACCCAATTTAGGTCATCATTGACGTCATCGTACCATTTGTCTTCTATAGCAGCTAAGTGGTCCGAGTTGTAAAGATAAGCTATCATGCCTGCCACGGATGGTGCCGCTGGATTTAAAAGTTAGAGCAGCTTGGCTTAGTAGGGGGGGTTTGAATAATGTACCATACGAAGAGCCCGTTCTCTGATCTTTTTCTTTGCCTTGCAATGCCACGCTCACCCAAATATCGTGGCCTGGTGCATACACATCTATTTGGGCTTTATTACAACGATTTGGCCATGGTTGATACCTAAACAACATCCGTCAGCATTTGCATCTTGATGATTTCAACTTTGTTTAGGTTGAATCGATAACTATTTAGAAAGCACTCACGGCTGGAATTCAGAACGTTGCCCAGTATTATCGTTGGATCCAACAACCTGTAAGTCTCGGGATTAGTATATGTAATGGAATCCCCAAAAACTTCAACTTACAATAAGAGGTAGATCGTCAGACTGCCATGCGTCTTTATCGGAAACCGAAGTCCAAACTGAAGGTATGTGTCGTAGCTTGAGCGTTTCTGGTTTAGTTAGGTCGGCATCATTTCCAGCTGACACCGTAACAACAACCCCTGCATGGGTTAGTTTGGTTAACCATTCATGTAGCTTCCAACCCAAATCGCCCGAATGCCCAGGCCTCATTCCTCTTGGATCCTCAGGTTTAATATCTAATGGCAGTGATACACCAAGGGACAAGTTGATGACAGATGTTCGAGCAGCCCATTCATCACCCGACTCTAACTTTGATTCGACATCTTTGTAAACCAACTCAAGTGCATGGATAAAGCCTGACATGCGATGAAGGGGCGGAACTTCGCCTGCATCCTTTTCTTTGTCATTCGCGACAGAGGGAGGGAGTCGGACTATAGTTATTTTTGCTTTTTTTCCAATCCCATAAGGATCACCCGTAGCTTTGGATAGAACGGCTGTGCCATGATGGTGCTCTTCATCTCCATCATCTTCTCTGGGTTCTGGGTCGAATAGTTCCTCACCCTGAAGAATGGCAGTTCTGCCTGGATGAATCCATTCGATTTTGGATGGATCAATACTTTTATAGGCCTATCACGTATTAGTGAAGATTTCAACGACTCTGGGTTTCTAATACTGACTTCGCTACTCTTTTCGGCCCCTGAGTCAACGATGTAGATCCGTGTGCTATAAGGCTCTTCTATACGATACGTGTATCCTCGAAGATCAGAGAGATCCACCCCCTTAGGCTGAGAGATCATTTTCATCTCAGGTAAATCAACTGTGTCTTGTATTCTCTCGTTCAGAGGAAGGAAATTGCTGGGCAACGTTCGTTTCATCGGTGCCCTTAAATGATTGCCTGCTTTTCCCTTCTTCTTCAGCCTCCTGGCAGTTGGTTTCATGGTCGAACTATACCCTAAAACATAGTCTGAAGACCAGGCCTTCTGAATCAGACCCACCTAGTATCGTTGAAGTTTACATTGGAAGGAATTAAAAAGGACTAACCGCGGGATCTTTCTCAAACAACTTGACCTGTTCACTGGTAAGAGCCTGATTCCAGAAGACAACGAACTTGTCTTTATAGCCACTTGTCCATAAGGTATCTGCGTTCGTTTCACTCTCTAATCGTGCCGTAAATGAGTTAACAATATCCTGCCATAAGTTTGGTTTAGGAAAGATATCGTAAACGGGAAGCGGTTTACATGGTCGGACTGCCTCTGTGCCATTTCCTGTGCCATTTTGTCGAGGATAGATTCCCATCCCAGAATTTAGGGACCGTTTCAAAGGTGGGCATTCTGAAAGTCCAATATCTGGCGTCTCTCCATTATATAAAACATTGACAGGCCCCAAATCTTGACGGGGAAG